ACTTAAACTTATCCACAGTAAATTCCCCGCACACGTACAAATGCAGTCTCTGCATGACAAACCTTGCCTTCAGTCCTAGTCTAGCATGACAAGTTGGACACTGCAAGTTAGCGAAATTTGTCATGCATTTTGTACATGTCCAGGAAATAATTTACATTGCATACGACGTTGCTTCTGATCACGCTCTTGATGTGATGTCCTCCGATTTTCCCGTAACAGCTGCTCATCCGCTGTTTTGGCTTGGCGGAGGGAGGGACGAGATGTAGATGAAGATGGGCCCCCGCTGGTGGTTCTGCCACCTCCTCCACTCGGCCCCGTACTGCCATCCGGCGGTGGATCATGACCTCCATCCGGGTCGTGGTCCGGCCCTCTTCCTCCAGAGACACCATTACCACCAAAACCATTCGCAAAACTACCTGTTTCCATCTCGTCCACAAGTCTCGATGAAAAAAGTCCTGGCGGCGCGGACTTGCTGCGCGGAAGGTTTTTCACCCTGTCAGCGATCAAATCGAGGTACACTTCCTCGGGCCTTTTGTAGGAGGAGAAATACGAGTCTGGCTGATACGGAAACGGAGGCGGATCGCCTTCAGCTTCTGGGCCGGATGAGGACGAGGAGGATGAGCCCGATGACGAGTCTGCTGGTCGTGAACCGCCATAGTCCGCTCCCTGAAGTCCATCCACGATTTCGATGTCGTCTGATTGATTTTGTTGTGGCGCTTCTTCGTCTTGTTCCTGGGATGGACGACCAGCCGCAGCTTCTTTAGCAGCACCAACAGTTCCTGGTTCTGCTGCATCTGGTTCGACCAAACCATCCTCGCCCCCTTCCACTTCCGCCAACCGTTCCCGCGCTCTCGTCTCATCGTCAAACTCATTCTCATCGTATTCTGATTCGCCGAAATGGAACCGGTGGTCATGTGGACTAGATCCTGCCGCGTTCGTCGTGGAACCTCCGCCACTGTTGCTGAGCGCGTAGAAGTGCTGATGATGATGTGTTGGTAGCATTACAAACGGAGCAGTTCCATTTTGATGTTGAGGGCTTGCAACTGAAGGTGCAGGAACTCCTGCGTAGTAAGCTCCATGATAAGGCGGGCTCGCAGCTGTTGTACTAGCCCCCGCAAGATCATGGTGTTGTACAACTGCTGGCATCGGGACTACAGCCACCTGCGGATTAGCGTAGGGTGCACCTACGTACGTAGAAGAAGAGGAAGCAGCAGCAGCACCTCCACCAGCCATTCCGGTAGAAGTAGTGGCAGTCGCGGCTCCAGCACCCAACGCGGCTTGTTGCTGTTGCTGCATCTGCAGCATTTGCTGTTGCTGCATGGTAAACATTTGTTGCTGCGTCATGAGATCCAAAACGGACTGCTGTTGCCCGTTGTACGGAACGGCGTTGACGTACGCCCCCGTGGACATGTCAACAGCGGCTATGTTGTTAATCGGAGTTGTAGTGCCACTTCCGCTGGCGATGCTGGTTGTCGGCATCTGCTGCTGCTGTGAAGAACCTACAATGCCTTTCCCCTGATAAAACCCACGTGCTACACCCTGTTGCTGGTTCTTGTAGTAGCTACTGTGGCCACCTTCTTGAGCAGTTCCAGTCGCGTTTGCATACGCCGCATTCGAGGAAGCAGCGGCGACATCTCTTCTGGTGTTTCGTAACGCTTTGCTGAGATCTTCAACACGACGGGGCACGTCCTCTCGTGTCCAATCGTAGGAATGATGCGCAATTTGAGAATGCGCATAATTCTGCGTGTCGTCATGCGTGGAAGCTCCTGTTTGCTGCGAAAGATGAGCTCGTCCCGCGGTTTGTTCGCTAGTTGTACTGGTGGTCGACGGTCCATTCTGTTGCAACTCTTCGGGGGGCTTTGTGGACATTAGCATGCTAGACAGATCCAGATTTGCCACGAGCCTAGGTTGCTGGGAATATAATCCGGCTCGCCGTTGCTGCAACCACCACTGGTCTAGTGCCTGGCGCTGTGTACGCACCTCAGCGTCAGCACCAGGATCCTGATCCTTATTTCCCGCAGAAGTGCCACTGGAACTTGTAGCCTGTGGTAGACTGTGTGCAGCTGGTGCAGGAGCGCCGACTCGGATTCGGTGACCTGATTTTGTTGTGAAAACCTGTCCCTGCTGCTGCTGTTGCGAAGAACTTGAACTACTACCTCCTGCTCCTGCATTCGAAGTTGGAGGCGTGGTAACCACAATCGGCACAGGTTGTTGTTCCTGCTGTAGTTCGTCGTGTGTAGTTCTTGCGCTGGCCTCTGCAGAAGGAAGAACACCCCCACCAGCACCGCTACTTCCATCTACGTACGCCGGAGTCGTGGGCGCTGCACCAGTGTTGTGCACCACTATCAAATGTAAAAATGTCTGGGTCTGGAAGAATGCAACTTGTGATGCTGCGTCTGCATTATCCAAAAATCTGTATTGCATGAACAGCAAAAGAGGTCTGGTTTTGGCCACGGCGAGAGGGCATTTCTCATGCAGTATAGGCATCAGAAAGCCCTCACAAGATCTGTGATGCTAGGGCATGCATCGCAGACATCAGGAGTCATGCAAAATGTGCATGACAAACCTTGCATCCTTCCAGACCCAGACATTTTTGCATTTGATAACCACGCCCCCCGGATTATTTAGCCGAGGTAGACACTCGGGTGGCAAAATCGGGGGAGGCGGCGGTTTCCCACTCGGTGTCCCGGGTTTTGAGCCGCCGGGGAGAAGGAAAGAATTTGTCGGTGTGCCTGGTGAGATAGAAGAAACTACACCGACCGGGCCGCTTCTTGATGGAGTGACAGGTACTTGTTCATCTCCTACTGCTCCGGCTCCAGTAGAAGTACGCGCAGCTTGAGTTCCAAGCCGCTGCTCCATCGACAGATGTGTGTAGATGGGGTACTGCCGGAGAGAAGATCCGAGATTTGTCGTGCCACTTTCGGTCGGTTGGCAGTGGTAAGGCAGCGGATGTTGGAGGGCTTGTTGGGCTTGCGGTGCGGCACCGGCAGATGAGGTTCTCGCCGCGCCTATGGGAGTGTCAGGATCGAAATCGACAAAATCGAAAAATTTGTGATGCATAAAATGTAGGGCACTGGAGACCTGTATTGGGGAGCAGGCAAATGAGACCGATTGTAAGCCTGGCTAGGGGTATGCAATGCGCTGCCAGAGTAGCACGACAGGAGCAGTCTTCTTTGACTAAACAGCACGACAAACTGGATTTAGGTACCGCCAAAATCTGTCATGCACCACTTGAAAACTGGGCTCCAACTGGCATCGAGTTTATGCATCACAAATTTTTCGATTTTGTCGATTTCGATCCTGACATTCCCATAGCGCCTGCGGCTGCTGTAGTACCTCCATCGGTCACCGAGTCCGGCAGGCTTTCTTGCTGACTCGCAACAGAAACTTGGCGCGACCACCGCACGTCGCAATGGAGGTTTGGGTACGGTACACCAGCTGCCGGGAAGTGCTCAAACGTGGGTGCCGCGCTTGCCGCCTCTAAAAACGAGCCGGTTGGCAAGCTCGAGGCCGACAGCGACTGCTCGCTTCGCCAGCTGTTCTGCGGAGCTAGCGTGCCGGCGCTGGGTGACTCGAATAGATCAGTTGTTGCACTTGTCTTTGGCGACGTCTGTGAAACAGAAGTAGTACCACGACCTGCTTGTTGATGTTCTAGTGCGACTTCAATGCCTTTGTGACCCGATCCCGAACTGCCGTCTGGTTGCTTTTTTGAAACTTGTTCGGAAGAGTTGTGCGTATGATTCCTCGTTGACTGCAGGCTAGGAGTCCAGGTCAGACCAGCAGTATTGCGCAACATTTGCTGTTGTTTACTACTGCCTTGCGCCGTCGCTGCCTGTTGCTCGGTTGGCGCCCACCACCCCCAGAAGTCGGTCCCCCGTTTGGGTGGTTTATTTCGTTGTTGTTTCATCTCGTGTGGGGGCCTCGCAGGTGTCGTGTCCGCGTAGTTGTAGGGAGCAGCATGATAATTCTTGCTGCCCCAGCCATCATCCCCGTCGGCATGGGAAACTGGTGATGCAGAGGATGCAGCAAGAACACCAGCGGTTTGACCTCCACCCGCGCCTCCAGCGTCTGACCCAGTTACTGAAGCGGACCTTCCCCGGTCGCTGTTCCCATTGCCCCGACCGCCTCTCTTTCGCCATTTTTTCCGCCCAGGTTGTACAGCACCTCCCCCGCCGATGCTAGACGCGGACGAAGAGCCGGTCGAAGTGTAGATCGGGGCTCGACTGCCAGCGCTAGCTGCAGCACCGCTTGTTGAAGAAGCAGCAGCAGCGGCTGCGGCAGCTGCTGCCGCAAAAGATATCATGTCGTGCTGTCCGGTTCTTGATGCAGCACTCCCAGTACTACCGTTGAAGCTGCTACTCAGAGAAGATGAAGATGAAGTTGCGAGAAACCACGTCGCCGTCCGAACCGTGAAAGCACTCGCGCTTGTGGCGGTGAGAAGGGACCGAGTTTTCCGACTAGTAGTAGACATGGCGGACATTATCAAACTTTTTCCAAAAAACCGGGGGTTAAGTAGAAGACAAACTTTTTGCCGTGAAAAGAAAAGAGTTTTTGGGCGGATAGAAATGCGATGAAGTAGTTGACGATGATCTCCCGTGCCGTCTTTTCTCGGGAAAAGATTTTTTTGTCGCGCAACCAAAAAAATAGGTAAACACTTGTGTTCAAAAAGTCTCAGTCGTTCTGTGCGTACCAAAAAAGAAGAAACTGTGCCACTGTAAATAAAGTTCCGTGAGACTGTTGAAATTGTAGATTTTCATACGAAACAAGCGGCTGCACCAACAGGTTCTCACCCTGTTGAATGAAAGTTGACTCGTCTGTCCACGACATCGCGACGAAATGCTCATCCAGAGCACAGAAACTGTGACTGATGAAAATGATCCTGCGGTGTCGACGAACTGGCGTAAAACTGACAACGATCATACGTGGAAGAACATAAAACCTTCTTCGAAATTGCAACTGCGCTGCTGTCGCCGCATCAGAGAACACGAATCTTCATCCTCGGGGAACTATAGTCAACATGTTGCCTTATTTGCATCCAGAGAGAATGGCCTCATCTGTGCTACTTTGTTTTGTATGTCTCTTTTCCATGAAACTGATACACTTTGATATTCGTTCTTTTTCGCTCGTTCATTTTCATCCGCACTCTGCGCGTCGCGAAAGAAAATCACACAAGAAGGGAACAAAAGGCTCAACCTCCTCGACAGAACTGTCGCTCGAAATTCTTCTACGTTGCCGCCCCCGCCCCGGGTGGAAGCCCACTGGCGGCTTCCGTATCTTTCTCCATCCGATTCAAAGCAAACCTTGATATTGCCGCGGGAAGACTTGCCAAAATCGGACACTCGTTGTGCAACAGCGACAACTCGTGCAAAGGTACCACCTCCAATGGCTATCAAACAAAAAAAGTTCGTCACGATCACTCATGCGCATTTTTGCAATACAGAACTGTTTGTCATGCGTAAAAATGCATCGCAGCCAAACTTTATCAGGGATTTCCCTAGTGTTTCTGCAATACAAGGAAAATTTGTGATGCTAAGAAAATTTGTAATGCAAACCCTGCAAATTAGTGACTGTGATAAACTTTTTTCTCTCCATAATGGCGACCCGGTTTGTAGTATGCACTTCTCGGGAAGAACAACTTGGTACACCTATCCTGAGTAAAAACGTACCCACACCAGAGTCAGGATGGGGAATCTGCTAGACAAATCAGCCAGCTTTGGTTGTTTGGCATGACAAGTTTGTCCGCGTAGTGTAGTGCTGTTTGAGCTAGTTCAGCAACATTACAGATCTAGTATCTCGTGCTGATTGGAGCATGACAAATTTCAATACCGCATTAGAAAATGCTTCTCATGGGGCTCCGCATGAGAAACATTTTAAGCATGCAGAGTCGCATGACAACTATGGTGTGGGTACGTTTTTACTCAGGATAACACCTCTACGCGCTCCTTTGGTCGGTTTTCGTGCAGCGGGAGGTAGGGCAGAAGAAGCTCATCAAAATTCGGACGGTACCTGCAGATTTGTGTTGCATAGAGATAGACTATAAAATTTGTATTCGCACACATTGCATATGTTGGGAATTAAAATCTTGTAGCATCAAAGCAGTGTTCATCTGATCTTGCCACTTGTATGAGACACTCGACGCCCTTCTTTTTGGATAGGAGCTGAGCATAATCGAAGCCACGAAAGCGCCTAGAAGCGATACGGCTAGGACACACTCCGAGCATATAAGGATCTCATTGTAACTTGCTCTAGTACCATTGGGATAGAGGAGGACAGGTATAAGGGCCAACTTCTACAAGAGAAGCCACCAACCCGCCGCCGACCGTATAGTACGAAGTTTTGCGTTTTCAGATCATTTCGTGCTCAATAAAAGGAGCTCCTTTATCAACATGAACATTTCGCGAAAGAATAGTTATAGCAGCATTTACAGAACGGATCAAAATATCATCAACCGTACTAAATCATTGTAATACCAGACACTGAGCAATTCCCCCATCTGGCAGCTCGTTGGGCCGCCGAAGACGATGTCTTTCATTTTTCTGTACAGTGCTTTTTCGACCGTGGACTCGCCGACTTTTATCTTCCCCCCGACCAACTTCAAGCGCCCATCATTTTTCTTCTTCAAAATCAAGCAAGGATGGCCCTCCGCGTTGAAACACATTAGAACGCACGCAAAGGATTTCTGCATCCCTTCCCGCTTATATTTCCCGAAAAGCTTTTTCGCCCGCTGCTGGGCGGCTAATCTGTGGTTAAACATCATGGCCTGGTTCTGCGTCGCTTTCACCTTGGTGTCATACTGGTCCTGCGGGTAGCAGGCCCAGTGCTTAGTCAGCTGGAGCGTCATGGTTTTTTTTAGGGATTAGCTGACGTGTCGCTAGTTGTCGGGAGATGAACCTACTGCCAATACCATCGAGTGGTTGATGGTACGAAATACCTTATCATCTTTACCTTTTTTCAATACACATGTAGTTTTGGTGACAAAATGGGAAGTGGGATTATTCTGGTACGAGGAGTTATCACTCGAGAAGAGAAAGAGTCGTCCTCCTGAGGACGTTGTGAAACTACTTTATTTCAATCTCTCAGCTGCGATAAGAAAATGGAAGTACAGAAGGTTTTGGAAAGTGAAGGCAACATTCTGAACGAAGATAACCAAAAACCTCCGGCGCGACGCCCAGATTTAGCTAGAAGCACAAGGTCCAGATTTGTTTTTGGAGACGAACTGATAAGGCGATTTTGGTGAGGATGACGACGTCAAAAAGCATGCGATTTGGGCATGATACGAAGTTCGTGGTGACAATATCCGTTTATGTAGAAATTAAAATTTGAGATCTTCGCGCGCCCATTTCGGAAAGGCAACGGCAACCGACATCCACAGATCACGAACACATGTCCCCTGCGCCTGAATTGCACAAGTCTGCGACCCATCACTAAGCTCGCACTGCAACAAAGCTCTCTTTCTTTTTTTTGAATTCCGAAGTCACCACAGAGTCACGCGCATGTTGTCCATTTGGTCATAAAATGTTCAATGTGAGTCGAGTTATTCTTCACTGTGCACGCGATCTGTCACGCGTCGTGCGCGAACGACGACACATATAGAAGTCCGCAGACAGCAGAAGACACTCGAGCAGATTCAGAAAGTGCGATGACCGACAACAGTCTTGTTATCTTCTTTTAACACAGGTACCTACTAGTACTTAGTACAATTTCAACCCCTCAACAAGCTGAAAGTCCGCTACTTTCTCGAAGTAGCTACTTAGGCATCATCGCCGACGGCCTCGGTCTCCAAGCGCTTGAAGGTGTCAACCGGTACGTGCTGCACCAAAGTGTACATCTTTTCCTTAGCGTCCTCGTCTTCGTTACGCTTGCGGGACAATCGCACGCGAACGCGACGCGGCAAGTTGCGGATACCTGTGGAATTCCAAATAATCGATTGCGGAGGTTGGTGAAATGCAGTTCACGCATCAGAAAGCGGTTTTGTCATGCATTTTTTTCGCACTCGAAGGTTACAGGTAGTCGGTTCTTTGTAATGCCGCCTCAAGAGTTGTTGCTTTCTACTTGAACCACTCCTGTTCGCTCTATAATTCCTGCTCAAGACATGACATGCTAACAGCATGTGTTGATCAGGGTTAAAAAGCTCAAAATTCGAAATCCGCATCAGCACCGAAATGGCGCTTCAGCGTTGGATTTCTGTTTAGTCGATTGTGTCTCATCATGTTTGGTTATGACAGTGCACAATGCCCCCTCCCCCTCATTTGTCATGCAAAACCCCAAATCCAGCCGCTGCTATGTGGCACTGTTTGCATGACAAATTTCGAAGGGCCAACACCAGTACTACAGCAGATGCACAAATTTGTCACGCACAGGCTCCCGGGTCGCTGGCGTTTGTCCTCTTGCTGCTCACGCAATACAACATGTGAAAGTCAGGGTTAAAAAGCTCAAAATTCGAAATCCGCATCAGCACCAAAATGGCGCCTCAGCGTTGGATTTCTGTTATCGATTGTGTCTCATCATGACAGCATGCTGCACGAAGTACCGAAGAGCAAAAAATATCACAACAACTACTCTCAGCGGCTCTCATCTTCAAAGACTGCACAGCTCTCAAGAATTATGGCACGACCCAGCAACCCGCGAGTAGTGTAAAATCTAACTCTGTCATGCGCAATCAAGCAATAAAATCTAAATCTGTCGTGCGCGATCAAGCAAGTGTACATGCAGAATGAAAAGGAACAAAAACAAAAGTATATAAATACCCTTGTTCCAGATGTGCTTGTTCAGCTTGGTGTCGATGCGGACATCGGAGGTGCCCATGCACTTGGTCGCCATCTTCTTGATTTCCGAGATAGCCCGCTTGGCGCGCTTCTTAAACTGGACCTTGTAGACCAGCTTGTGCACGTGGACGGTGCGGTCCTCAGTGCGCGGCTGCAGCTGCTTCTTCGCCATTTTGAAGAGGAGTTTTTGTGTGTGTTAAGGTGTGACTCCTGACAAGTCAGAATTCTCTGGGTCCCTGTTTGGTGTTGAGAGGTTGAGAAAGGTCGTCGTGTGCAAAGGTTTTGTAATGAGCTACTGACATCATCAAGTGGTGCTGTGATCATTCCCTTCGGGCACAGTGGGCACATGGTCAGAAGTAGATCCTCCTGATCAATTTCGGTTTTCCGTGATCACGAAATTTTTCAACGGCTAGCGTGATCTTTAAATTTTGAACTTCAATTAGTATCAGCACATCTGTTGATCGCAGCTTGCTCATTTTCCTCTTCCTTTTCAGAAACATATAACAAGACCGATCGAGCTGTACCATCCTCGTCGTGCATCTCTCTCATTGCATTTCGAACGCTGTGAAAAAGACCATCAAGAGATTACACATTCATACCTAGCACATGACTAGGCATCTTGATCCTCGCCACTATTTTCAACATTTTCGCTTCGGTCATCTACATTTTGGTGTACAGGCTGTTGTCACAATTGTCTTTATCATTCATCAAATTTAGATTTTGAACTTTCACAAGTTTGTACCACGCGCAGGCTGAATTTCATCTTACTTTTGGCTACAGGTACAGTTGGTAATAACAGGGTCCTGCTTTTTAATTGCATTTCTATCTTACTAGTGCGCTGGTGAGGAGCTGAGGATGGAGTATACAATTACAACTGAAAGCATAAAACGTGATAAAGGGTAGAAAATTTTCTGATATTAATTTTCGTGTTTACAAGAGAATAGAAACGTCGTTTAGAAATAATCTGCAATCGAAAATTGAAGCAAGTTTTTTGAAACCGGGTACTAACGCTGCTCAACACATAGAGTGGATTTGCTCACAAGTAGATAAACAGAAGCCATTCTTTAAATCCACCACAATGCTCTCTACCTCTAGAAACTAGGTTTATTTGCATCCTGAGATTGATCCCTGGAATTACTTCCTGGCGTCGGGCCACTTATTTTTGCATGGACCGATCTTGTTGTCCTACCCCTTCTTTATTCTCGTGATTTAGAAATAATTTATGCCCTCGCACCTCCTGCTCCTGCTGGAAAAATATAGGGATTTCTTTCTAGACCGTAGATGCGTTCTTGTCCATCCTGCCCGTTGCCTTGTCCGCGTAGTAGCAGACGGTCTCTTTGTCGTAAAACTGGTAATCGAGGCTGGAAATGGAGTCCTCGTCCGAAATCCACCGGTCTAGAGAGGATGTTGCCACAGCTGCGTGGTCCTGGCGTTGTTCTTGCAAATTGTATGCATCACTTGTTCCTGACAAACCACCAGCGACGAGAAACAAATCCTTCTCCCCAGCACGACTCAACTTCCCCACCCCGATCGTGGTGCCCCGGATGACGGCGGAACTTGGACGCGAGGACGAGTTTGGGCTGGTATTATTTTTGTCGGAAATAAAGGCAGAAGAAGAAGAAGAGTTGTAGTAGTTCGTCCCCCGAGGAGCTCCATGACCGCCGCTCCTGGTCGAGCTCGCAGTACTGCAACCACTGCTGGAGTAAAATTGCTGATTTTCTAAATCTATGCTGTGCAAAAGTATCGCACTCGTACTAATTGCAAATAAGTACGCATGACAAATCTTCATTCCAAGGCAAAACAACACTACAAGTTACACTTTTCTTCTTGCCACAATTTGTCATGCAATTTATACAGCAGGAGCGTTACAGTTGCTTTTGCAACGCATAAAATCTAAATCGTCCTCGTCCACCATGGAGCTCAAGTCTTCCTCGAATTCATCCGCGCCGAAAGAACTACTGCTGCTGCTGCTGTTTAAGGCGCCATAAGCTGGTAGCGGAAGAAAACCCCCGCGAACCACGTTGATCAGGTGCCACTTTTGCTGGTCCTCTCCTCCGGAAAAGTTGTTATTGCTACTCAACTTCTTGAAACAAGAACCACACAGCACTCGCTTCAACACGAAGAACAGGAAGATTCCGGCAATGGAAAAGACTTCGAATTTGTGCTCGTGCGCGAATACATTTATCGCGTTCACGGACGGAACCAATTGGTCGAAGCTTTTCTGCGCAATTGCTGTTGGGCGGGAGAAGAAGTTGTGGAAAGACGAAGAGACTGATTTTCCTTCTACTTCAGACGGAACCATTTTTACGTGTTCTTCTGGCACTTTGATTTCTTCTTCGCTCTTCTTGTTTTTCTCCTCCCGTCGAAGCATCTTCTTCTTTCCTCCACCCGGTTTCTTTTCTTCCGGAGATGCTGCTGGGGTTGGGATCCCGACGATCTCGAGGGCAGAGGAAGATTGCAGTTGTTTTTGTTTTTCCACATCAGCTGCCACAACTGGGGGACCATGTTTAGAAGAAGTGCTGGGACCGCCACTGGACGTGGCTGGTTGTTTCTGTTCGTAGTCCGCATTAACCTTCTTGTCGCCCGGTAGTTTCTTCTTGTTCATCTGGGTTCTTTCCGTGGACGAGGATTTTTCTTCATCAGAGGAAGATGAAAGTGTTTTTCTTGCGATGAGCTGCTCCTCGTTTATTTTACTACTGCTCTGCTTCGTCACACCGTCGCCCTCGATTTCCAACGCGGCCGCAGAAGCTGATGTTGAACTCGTCCAATCGGTAGAGCCCTTCGCGGCCCCGCCTTTATTTCCGCGAAACCGATTCATCATACCTCCTACTGCTCTGCCCGTCGAAGAGGTTGCGCTCTGCATGCCCTCCTTCGCTTCGGTTCCGTTATGCAGGGAAAAATAGATACCCATCCTCACCGATTTTCTGCATGACAAACAATGATTTGGACTTAGTCTTAGTGCATCATGTTTTGCATGACAAATTGGGTGGGGATGGTTTTTTTCGTGGGTATCCGTCCGAATTCTTTTCCACGCCCTGGAAATCCAGCTGCTTTAACTCGTTCCAGCAATCGGTCATGACCTGGTCGGGCGTATCCTGAGCTACCCCTAACTTCTGCACGGAATACATCGAGTCGTTCCCGAACTTCCTCTTCGTGTCCTTGTGGTCGTGTAGGTACCGTGCAATCATCACCGGGCATCGCTGCGCATCCCCCTCCGCTTTGTCAAACAACCCGTTCAAGGATGTCATCATGATGTTTCCGTCGATCATCTATCAAATGCAAAAATGTCTGGGTCTGGAAGGTTGGAGCTTGTGATGCTACCTCCGGACTCCAAAAAAATCTGTATTGCATGATCAGCAAGAGGCGTCTAGTTTGTGCTACGCGGGGAGGGCATTTGTCATGCGGATTAGGCATCCGGAAGCCCTCTACAAATCTGTGATGCTAGGTCATGCATTACAGACATTCTGGGTCATGCAAAATCTGCATGACAAACCCGGCAAAATTCCAGACCCAGACACTTTTGCATTTGATATCATCTTTCCGTCCGCCATGCCGCTTACGAAGTCGTCGGTTATCAGGGACATTTGGTTGCTACTCTTGAGCGCCTCGTGCGCATCCTGCCCGAGCTGTTCATCGCCGTGTAGACAGAATTTGGCCAGCTTCCGCCCTGGCGCGTTGTCGTCGGCGGGGCCAAACCGCGTAGGACAGTACTTGGCGATGAGGCCACCCATGGTGGAGGTGACTTATCAACTGATACAATCCAGTTTCTTTAGTAGCCTGTCACTGTTGTACTAGCGACTATGAGTTTGTTTATTTTTTTTTCTACGTCTGTATACGACTTACTATTCCACGTCAATATCTAGCTAGACACTACCCCATAGAGGTGCTCTTAATACCGGTGCTTCTACCACAACAGCAACTGAGAATTACTCAAGTTTGTCGTGTTGTTCTGCAGGATTCTGAAAACATCCTTCTGGTCAACGACCCTGCTACGGAGCTTGCTCGAGACAACAATCACGACCAGACGAGACTCAAATCACTCAAACTTGTTCTCTACAAACGATATTCTTCATTTGCTCGCAGCTCCGCAGTTTCATTCATCTCCCCGACAAAACATAAATCTCTCTTGCCACGAGAACTTCTTTCGGCTTGGATATATACGACGAGAAGATTACCACGACAACGACTTTCTAGTTGTAAATACGAAGCACCGGCGTTTGCATTTATTGAAATGCCCGTCCTACGAGGGCAAAGGCAAAAGCGGGAGCGAATCATACATCCGCCATCTCCAAACCAAAATTTTCATCTCCCTTCCATGCTGAAAGAAAAGAATAGTTGCAGTCCTCTTCTATACGTTTACACCACTATTTCAAAACAGCGTGTCCTCTTCTAATCTGTCTCACGTCGTTGTACACAAGCGCCACATTCTGTGCTGACGGTGGAGAAAAAACGCTTCAACCATAACGCTGGTCTGAAGTAGTACATCATACATCGACGGCGCAGCACCTGCAGAGAATCAATCCTACTTCTTCTGCGCGCCAACTACAGATCAAATGACCCTACGTTCTTTGCTTGATACTATTCTAGTTGTTGTTTTCTCTTTGCTGATGTCAATACGTAAATATAAAATGGTTTGAAGAGTATAATGCTGATCCTGAAGCATTAGAGTTGTTGGAAAATCTTGCCAGTATTTTTAAAGTGCTAAAAAATTCGTGAAACGAGAGGACAAAAGACTTTCCAACATTTGGAAAAGGGAAAAGAAAATTCAAGCTATATATAAAGACTTTCTTCTAAATAAAAGCCACAACGTTTTAGAGTTGCTTTTTAAAATTCAAAACTCGCCCCAGCCAAGACTCCCTTCGCCTGGTGCAGCCCGTCGATCTCACTCTCGCGGGCGGCCTTGCGCTCCTCAAAGTGGGCGATGATGAAGTCGCATTTCACGTGCAGTTCTTGCAGGGTTGTAGCCAAGTTCTCCAGCTCTAGTTCATTCACCGACGCCATGGTTTTCTCCTGCACAAAAGTACTACCGAACTCGTCGGTTCAATCTTTAAGTTGCAATCTTGCATGACAAGAATCATGCCTGGTACAAATAAATCGGCATGGGAAATTCGGATTCCGTCTTCTTTCATGCTGAATAAATTTCAATTTGTGATGCAAAAAGTTTTCCAACCAGAGCATGGTACTTTTGCAATTCGTAGGTTTCCGCTTTCTGCAGCTCTTCCTCGTAGCTGGCTTTGTCGCTCGTGGCATCCGCGATGGACTTGCCCCACTGAATATGCAGAGGAAATTTACCGTTTATAATTTTTCGCAGATGCGATAGAATGTATACTTCTGCATGACAAAACCGTCCTGCATCCGTATTTAGCATCACAGTCTTTTCTTTCATCTTTCCTAAGTATTTGTGTCATGCATCTTGCGCATAACAGGTAAATTCTTGTCTTCGTTACTCCGCCTGTTGTTTGAAGGCGTCGGTGGTCAAGCCCACGTAGTCCTTCTCAGCGACTTTTTCGTCCGATTCGACGGCATATGGATTGTAAAAATGTCTGGGTCTGGAAGATTGCAACTTGTCATGCTAAATCCGAATCATGCAGAAATCTGTGTTGCATGAGTGCCATAAGCTGACCCTTTTTGACCAAGTTGAGAGGGAGTTTCTCATGCGCGAACGGCATGATAGAGACCTCAAAGAATCTGTCATGCTGGGTCTCGCATTCCAGACCTCATGGGTCCTGGAAAACCTGCATCACAAATCTTTTATTCTTCCAGACCCAGACATTTTTGCAATTGATACGGCGGCCGAGTCCTTCTTGATGTCGCTTTGCAGCATACGCAGGAGTATGCATTGCAAAAGGATCGCACTCGTACTATCTGATCTTCGCACTCATCCACGACAGATCTATGCCCCCGCCCACTTCTTACTCTTAGGGGAATAAAGAACGGCATCACAAATTCAAATTGCACAACTTTATTTGTTCTTAAAAAACTTCTCCAGCGATTCAAACTAGTACGGCACAACTTTTGCATAATGCATAAGGAGAGCCACCACTGAGTTGGACTTCCCCGATTTATTCTTTCGCTGGGCAGATTCGAAGATCTCCGGGGCGCTTTCCGTCGGATCTACGACTTGACGGGACTGTTGTGTAGTGGTTTGGTACATAATTCAAATTCCCTGAAGTTAAAGCACTTTAAAAATTGCAACTCAATCTTCCACCAACAGACAATATAGTGAATAAAAGTCTTAGTCTTACTCTGCTTTGATCTCCTACTGAAACTTTAGATACACAAGGGACAACTTGAAGATGAAAGTGATTTGATTTGTCTCAGTGTCCCGTGGACCTCCAAGCCGAACCAACGCTAAACACCTGAATCTGCAGGAAGGAGCTTGAGGCGTGCTGCTTCTGCAGCAATACAGCGTCGATATCCGTGCCGGCGATTTTCGAAGTGACCGTGGTCTCCCCGATGTCTTGGCCCTCGGCCTGCAGGATCTTTTCTTCCTCCGTGAGCTATCCCAGTGAAAAAAGGAAGCTGGTGGGGCATAATAATTTGTAATGCAAAATAGATACACAGATACAGAAAAATCTGTCATGGGTGGCCCCGTAGCTCGCTGTTTAGTAGGATACGCAATACAGATTTTTTTGTGTATCTATTTTTGCATCACAAATAATGTGCCCTGCCTGCTTTTTTCTGTGTGATAAGAGCTCTTTTTCCTTCGGGGCCTTGTACAGTTGCGGGTTGTAGTACTTGTTCAACACGTTGCTGTATACATTGCAAATATGTGTGGGTCTGGGAAGATTCTGAGACTTGTCATGCACGTTTTCCAGGAGCCATGCTGTCTGTGATGCATGCCGCAGCATCACAGATTTTTTGAGAGCTTCGTGATGCCGATTCCGCATGACAAATGCCCCCTCCGCATAGAAAAAATTGCGTTCCCTTTACTGCTCATGCAATACAGATTTTTTTGGAGTCCAAGCGCAGCAATAAAAGTTGCATTCTTCCAGACCCAGACATATTTGCAATTCATATGATGGCCTTGTCGATGAGCTGGATCGCAGAGTTGTTCAAGTCCACTGTCTATGAAATGCAAAAATGTCTGGGTCTGGAAGAGTGTGAACTTGTCATGCAGGTTTTCCATGGCCCTTGAGGTCTGGAATGCGGGGCGTAGCATGACAGAGTCTGTCAGGTCTCTTTCATGCCTATCCTGCATGCGAAACTCCCTCCCAACTTGGTCGAAAGTGGACAGCTTTTGGCACTCATGCAACACAGATTTTTGCATGATTCGGATTGAGCACGACAAGTTGCAATCTTCCAGACCCAGACATTTTTACAGTTTATACTGTCGTGATGAACTGCGCATTCTCCTTTTCCCGCTGCGCGGTCGCCTCCTGCACGGCCTTTTTCGACTATGAAAGTGCAAAACTCCCCCTCCCCCCCCCATCTGTGTTCTTGCATGAACAGCAACACAAGCGCTGGCAAAGATGCAGCTTTTGCATGACAAATTCCACCTAGCAGATTGCTTGTAGTGCTGTTTTGCATTCCAGAATCTGTCATGCAAACAGTGCTAACAGGCAAATGGTTGATTTGGAATTTTGCATGACAAATGAGGGAAAGGGGAAGCTGTGCACTTTCATATCGACTCCGCAATGTTCGCCGTGTTTTCCTCAATCAACTTTGCCCTATGCATTGCAAACATGTCTGGGTCTGGAAAGTTTAATATTCCGGGTTTGTCATGCATATGTCGCATGAGCCATGATTGTCTGTGATGTATGCCCTAGCATCACAGATTTTTAGAACTACCCTTCCTGTTCCCTACTCCACATGACAAATCAATGCCCTCTGCGCGTAGCACGACAAACTGCGCTCCCCTTTTTGGTCATGCAATACAGATTTCTTTCGAATCCAAACACGACAGCATCACAAGTTGCAACCTTCCGGAGAGACCCAGACACATTTGCATTTGGTAGGCCTTGGCAGCGATCAATTCCGTCATCTCTGCGACCTTCTCTTGCTCGGCGGTGAGCTTGTGTTTTGTTTCCTTCGTATCGGCCTCATTCATGGTCAAGTCCGCATTACAGTCGTCCCGGGAATGGAGGTTATGGCGTTCTCAACTGTTACATTCTCAGCTGTTACATGATTTGTCATGCAAATTTGCCGCCAAGATCACCACGATTAAGCTGCTTCGCATGACAAATATCCGAAGGGCTAAACAGCATCTAACTCTGTGCCAAATTTGTAATGCAAAAGGCGCAATCTTCCCCCTTTCACTCTCGTCGTTCTTGCATTGCAAATTCATGTAACAGTTGAGAATGTAACATTTGAGAACGCCATAGAGGTCGTTGGCGGCTTCGGACTTCAGCAATTCCACCATCTCGTCGATCATGGTAATGACTTTCGAGTATGCAATACAAAAGAATCGCACTAGCATGAATTGCATTACAAATGTCCTCAGCATAACGAACGCAATCTGTTATGCTGTTTTACCTTAGGAAGGAGATTTGTCATGCATATTTGCAATTAGTGCGAGTACACGATACTTTTGCACATGATATCGAGAAGTCCACACCCGCTTTAGATTTCGACTGCTGCTTCAGCTCCGATTTGGCGGTGAGGGCGAGCAGGGACAAGGCCTTGTTCATGCTTTTGTTCGCCCTGCTCTTCTATCAAATGTAAAAATGTCTGGGTCTGGAAGAGTCATGCTGTCTCTGCATGACACAGAGGGTCTGGCATGGAAGCTCGAGCATTACAGGTTTCGAGAGGCTTCCGCAATGCCGAACCCGCATGACAAATCCCCCATTTGGGTGACAGAAAGTGAGTAGCTTTTGCTACCTATGCTTGAGAGATTTTAGTGTGTTCTGAAATGCGCATCACAGGTTCAATCCTTGCAGACCCAGACACTTTTGCACTTGATATCTTCGCAATCAGGGAGTCCAGCATTTGCACGAGCTTTTTCACGGTAAAAGACTGCGCCTGGAGGGATGTGCCCTTCTGCAAAAAGGAAACCTTGTTGCTGTCGGACGGCTGTTGTAAAAGCAGCGCTCGTGGGTCCGCTTTTTTGAAGATGTCCAGCGAATCATCGCCGTTCAGAACCACAACGGCCTCCTGGATCGCGGAAATCTCCTTCTGCGCATCGTCCGCCCGGATTGCGAACTCGTCCTTTTTGTCGCCGCACATTTCCTTCAACTTCACCAAAAACGCCTGCGCGTCGCCGAGCTGGGCAATGGCGTCCTCTTTCGCCTTCATCGCCTGGACGATCTCGACGCCGACTTTCCCTTTCAACTCGGTCTTCTCCTCGATCATTTGCTATCAAATGTAAAAATGTCTGGGTCTGGAAATTTGTGATGCTAAAACAACCGCACCGACATTGCCATTGTCCAGCATAGCTGAGGAGGCAAGCCTCCACAGGCTCCGGAACGGCATAGTGAATTTTGTGATGCTAAAATGTGCAAGAGGAAGTCACTTCCTTATGCAGGCAAGCATGACAAGATTGCAGCACGCCTTCTCATACGAACTCCGCGTGAGAAAGTGCGTTTTTGTATGACCTAAGGGGCCACCACTGTTCTTGGTCATGCAATACAGATTTCACAGGAATCAATTATGCAAGACCAGCTTTACAAGTTCCAACTTTCCAGACCCAGACACTTTTGCAATCCATATTTGCGACAGGGCGGCAATCTCCTGCTCTTTCGCGGTCTTCATCTGGTTATCAAATGTAAAAGTGTCTGGGTCTGGAAGAGTGCCAGACTTGTCATGCAGGTTTTCCATAACCCATGAGGTCTGGTATGTACTAGGACATAGCATGACAGATTCTGTGAGGGTTCTATCATGTCTATCCTGCATGAGAAACAGTCTCTCGATTAGGTCAAAAGTGAGCAGCTTTTGGTAATCACGCAACACAGATTTTTCTATGATTCAGATTTAGCATGACAAGTTGCTTTGTTCCAGACCCAGACATTTTTGCATTTGATACTGGTGGTAAGTGGCCTTCGCCTTCTTGTCCTCTTCCAGGGCGCCGCCCATGTCTTCGTTCATCTGATCCAGCATCTGCTATGCAATGCAAAAGCATCGCACTACTATAAATTGCAATACAAATTTCCTTAGCATGAGAAATGGATTTTGTCATGCGGATTTGTCTTAAGAAAAAGATTTGTAAATGCAAATCTTGCATTTATACGAGTGCGATACTTTATTTGCACACCATATCTGCTTCAGAATGCCGACAATCTCGCCGGATGCCGGGGCGTAATCCTTGTTGAGGAAGGAAAAAACTGCCCGTTGGTTGTCCTCGTCCTGGTGTAGCTGGTTGTAGGAAGACTGCGACAGGAGCGGAGACTGAGGTTTTAAATTTTCACTTTTTTCATCTCGATGCGAATTACACATGAGAAAGTCTACTTTCTGTCAACATGCGTAAGTACCCGATTGCAGCTGGAGCTGCGCCACATCAACTTCGCCGCAAGCAGCTTCGGACGCGGGAAACTCTTTCTTGTCAGGCGATCATTCTTTTAATGAAGAAACTGAAACTGAAAGCCGAAAAATTTAAAAAAAAACAGCGTAGAATGAGTTCTATCAGTACCTGCATAACCTTCTTCAACTTTGATGCGACTGCGCTTTGCAGGAACGCTGTCTTCCCCATGCCCTTTGAGAGCGCCTTAATAGCGGCCTCCATCGCCCGGATCGTATCTAAATACAGCGTATCCACAGAAAATTTTCCTACCAGAACACGCGAAAATTTTATTTGCATGACACTAAGTCTAAATCTGACCCTGCCGTATCAAAACTTAAGTCTCATGTTTCATTGGCAGGCAAATAAGTTTTTAAATTTTTCTTGCCGCTGTACAGGCATGCGACGAGAATAAGGAAATTTGTGCGATGGATACTCCGAGTGCTCTGCCTCGAACGCCTTTACCCGTTCCTTCTCCGTCTCGATCGTTACCGCCAAAACTTTTTTCGCTGCTTCCCGGTCCTTCTTGTGCTGAATCAGCTCCTCGGCCAATCGTTTCTTCTCGCCCTTTTTCTGCTCTTCGATCTGGCTTTGCTTGTCCCGCTCGGCCATCGCCTCGGCTGCTTGAGAGCTCAGCGCACCGTCGTTTTGCTTGCAGTAGCACTCATACTTAGCGTACATTTTCCTCTCCTCCGTGACCTCGTTTTGCAGCTCTTTCTCCATGTCTTGCAGCAGGGTCACAATCCTGCGAATCGGGTTTGCGGCATTGGCAGATGTTGTTGAACTACCTGCCGCTAGCAGGACGAGAGGGAGTCTTGGGCGCATTTTTGAAGCGTTTATTTCTCCAACAGTCTTGATTTGAAGTTTTTGAGAGAAAATTTGCCGCCGCGAGAGATTTTGGCTGCAACGGGTGGAAAAGGTAAAAAAATTATAGGATCTTTGGCCAATCGCAATGCAAGCGAACTTTGACACATTACGCAACAGCACTTTAGATTTGACACTCTGCACAAAAGCGTGTCTCCTGCTCCGCAGAAACACAACGAAAGAACCGACCAAGACTGACTTTGCAACGAGAAAGAGGTGATCGCTTTGAATCGAAAAAATGCCGGGGTAGCACTCAGCATCTTCCCACTTCCCGACCCCACTTCGACACACCGAGAAAGCAATACCTCGACGCCGATTAAGCTTTTGCTCGATAGATGGCAGCTGCAGCTAGTAAAAATGCTGGTGCTCATTCTCATAGTTTTTTATCTTTCTTGGAAACTGGACCTTCTTCAAAATCAAATCTTAAAGTACGCAGCCTTTATCTGGTGCTAGCTGCCTTTGGCGGTGGCTGAAAGGAGTCAAATTCGAGTTTAGATTTTGAGCTCATCGCATCAGAAAATCAAAATTTCATCTGCGATCACCACGTATCTAGTACTAGATACGTGTGGAACAACAATTCCACAGACACCACCACGTCCTATTTCCTTACTTCTCCCCGGCCGCCGCCGCTCTGCGGTCGTCTTCGTCCGTCTTTTCCTCTCCCGGGAACCAAATTCCTAAATCGTATTTCTATCCTGTGTAAAAACGTCCTACGTCCCCGCCCGTAATGCAGACCTGCATGCTTAAAATGTTTCTCATGCGGAGATCCATGCGAGGCGTTTTCGAGTGGTGATCTGAGATTTTTCATACTCGAGTCAGCATCACAAACAGGGTCTGTGATGCTGCTGCACGAACTAAACACAACTACATTACGAGCCCAAATTTGTCATGGGCGGCAGCCACACCTTAGGGATTTGTGTAGCAGATTTCCTGTAGTGACTATGGGGTGAGGACGTTTTTCCTCAGGATAATTTCCCATCCTTCCCGATCCGGTAGCCGTCAAACACTTCCGCGTAAACCGCGCCGAAGAACCCGTCGTAGCCGTATTCCACCCTACAAGTCAGATTCTTCTCGTCAATGCCGACAGTCTATCGGAGTGCACAACAACTACTTTCACACCCTCCCGCCCTTGTTCCTCGGAATCACATGAGCAGCCAGCAACACAGAGAGCTGCACATGATCAAATGTGGTGCCCACATCACAAATCTGCTCCTGCACACAGGATAGATTGTACGTCGTATTGTTTAAGGCGTCGGTCGAAAATTTGTCATGCGGACAGTGCTTAGAAGGCAGGATGTGGACTTGGTATTCTGCATTACAAACGAGGGGGAGGGACTAGAGTTCTTGTGAATTCTCATACAATGACGCCGGTGTAGTACTCCCCGAACGCCGCGTCTGGAAGAAAAAAACTGTGTAAGTGTAGGTGTCTTGGAGTGACAGCATGACAAATTTGCTCTGCATGACAGAGAAAACCTCCTTTCATGCGCATCTAGTACTGCAAATGCAAATCACATAATAAAAACAGGACTTCATGGCTGGCCAGCATGACAGGTGTATCTGTGTTGCATGCTTTGCATTGCAGACATACATACACACAATTTTTTTGGATACCGCGTCTGGAAGATCAGAGCCATCGACTTTCGGAAACTGCTCGCCGATCGTTTTGGTATCGTCGAACAAGTACTGCTATCCCCTGCAAACAAAGTATCGTGCTCGTAGAAATGGTAATGACGCAATACAAATCTCCTTCTGGAGGTGGATCCGCATTACAAATTTCGTTTGCATGCTGAGAAGAACAATTGCCATGCGATTTATACTAGCGCGATACTTTTGCACAGGATAACTGGTCTTTCTGTTCCGGCAATGTGTGGTCGAAGTGGTTTTTTAAGTGGTTCCCGCAAGAATACACGGGAAAGGATTTGTTCGGATTCCTATCACTCGTTTCAAACTCGTGCACAAAAGCGGCGAACGGACCAGCGGAGGGGAAAGCCGGGCTGGGATCAAAGTGGAAGGGCGGGAGAAGCGGTCTGTTTATTTTTGCCGCCATGGCGCCGCTGCTCCTCGAGGCCTTGTTCCGTTTGGATGATGTTGTAGCTCCTCCAGCGGGGGTTGCAGCCAGCCCTACATCTGCTCCCACCGGGTCTTCTCGTCCTCCCGATTGTTCCGAACTGATACTACCAAGCACCGTGGTTACATTCCGGCCACAGAACCAATCCACTCCCCTCCTGACGCGCATCCCAATTTTCGCGGTTTTGCCGCAAATCACCTTCCGGTGGTGCGGGGTTAGACTCAGTTTTTTAAACGCTCTAGCATTCGTTTTCATTTTCGACGATGTTGTATTTTTCATTTCCCCGACCCCGCCCAGCATCCCCTTTATGCACTGCAAAAGTATCGCACTCGTATAAATGCATTACAAATTTCCTCAGCATGAGAAATGAAATTTGTAATGCGGATTGGACTTAACAAAAAGATTTGTAATGCATGATTGCAATACGAATACGATACTTTTGCACAGGATACCCTTGTATTTCAAACAATCCTTCCGTAACCGCTCGTAGTACGCATCTTCGGGTATCCCCCAGAAAAAGACCGGCAGGTCATATTTGTATTTGTAATGCAAAAATAAATAGACAAAAAAATCTGTATTGCATGCCCAAAACAGCATGCTATGGCCTCGCCCATGACAGATTTTCCTGTGTATTTATTTTTGCATTACAAATCTGACCTGCCTGCTTTTTTCTGTGGGATATCGGCGTCTAAATACCGGTCTTTAAACGTCACCGATTGCAGCAACTCGTTTGCTGTTTTATCCATTGCAAATATGTCTGTGTCTGGAAACAAACTTGTGATGCAAATCCGTGAACAATAAGTGCTCTCTAATGCGCCGCCAAGCATGACATAGTTTTTTCGTACTTCTGTGATGCGTATTTCGCATGAGAAACTGCGCTTTTGCATGACAGGCAAGACGACCTCTTGGTGGCCGCGCAATACAGAGTACCGAGTCATGCCAGACTAGCATGACAAATCTCGCAATCTTCCAGACTCATATTTGCACTTGATACGTCTGCTCGGAAAGCAACTTCTCCACCATCACCGTTGGGCCCTGCTTCAGTTATGGGAGTGTCAGGGTTGAAATCGACAAAGTTGAAATGATTTGTCATGCATAGAATGTAAGGCATGAAGTGCCTGTCTTGCAGGGATGGCAAGCGAGGCCGATTGTGAGCCTGTTTGGGGTTTGAAATAGAGCTGCTAAAGTAGCATGGCAGAAGACGCCTTCTGTCCCTAAACAGCATGACAAACTGGATTTACACTGTGCCGAAATTTGTCATGCACCGCTTGAAAATTGGGCTTCCAACTGGTATCGTTTTCGTGCATTACAAGTTATTTCAACTTTGACGATTTCAATCCTGACACTCCCATATCAGTCCGAAATCAAGCAGGAAATCCGGGATCGTGTAGAGCTTATGAGAGTGCACAACTCCCCCTCCCCCTCATTTGCATGGCACGAACTGCAATAGAAACACCAGCAGTCCAGGGGCCTGTGCATAATAAGTTCACCGGCCGAAAGTAGTACTGTTCTTTGGCCTTCCGAAATTTGTCATGCAAACAGTGCCACAGGGCAGCAAATGGATTTGCGGTTTCGCATGAGAAATGAGAATGAGGGGGAGTTGTGCACTGTCATACAGCTTCGGGTCGATGGATAAAGACAGTTGCAGTCGAATCAGGTTTATCAAATGCAAAAGTGTCTGGGTCTGGAAGGTTGCCAGGTGAGGTTTGTCATGCATATTTTACATGACTCAGGATGTCTGTAATGCATGATCTGGCATCACATATTTTTAGAGGCCCTCCTGATGCCTATCCCGCATGGCAAATGCCGTCCCCGCGTAGCACAAACTGGGCTCCTATTGCTGGTCATGCAATACACATTTTTTTAGAGTCCAAAGTTAGCATCACAAGTTCCAACCTTCCAGACCCAGACATTTTTACATTTGATAAGGTTCGGGTCGTTATCGAAGTTGGGGGTAATCAAAGCCCCGGTCGGTTTGCTGTGTTGTTTCACGATTTCACACCTCACGTGGTTGAATTCTTCTTCGTCGTATTTCAGCACCAGGTGTTGCTGTGGGGGCGTCGGATTTATTTTCGACTGGTGATAAAAATTTCCTGTGGATTTGTCCCCCGAAGTAGTCTTCTCACCGTTCCTCGACGATTCATCTCGCGACACGACGACGTTCTCTGAAGACGAGCCGCCAAGGCGGCCCGAGGAAAGAACCTGACTGACTCCTCGCTCGCCCTCCGGTACTTGGAGCTGTGCGGCGCCGGGAGTAATTCGTCTACTATTCCGATCTAGTACATTGCTGTTGCTCCGTCTACTTGTCGGGGAGAAATAACTCCCGACGGCATCATATCACGAGAAAAAAGTGTTACAGTTGCACACTTGCTGTCATTTTAGCAACACAAATTTTCTCCGCATGAGAAAGAGAACTTGGAATGCAAAGATCATAAGGGAAAACAGGAAGGAAACGGGGCTCCCAAGCATTTCCTGCATGAGCAAGGTTGTCTGTGTTGCCGGTCTTGCAACACAATGTGTAACTGTAACACTTTCTTCTCGTGATACATCACTGGCCGTAACATCTCCTTCCGGCCGCACCAACCTCCGCCGCGTTTGTTTATCCCCTGCAAAATTACTTTATCATAGTACTCGTTGTAGTAATTGCAATCATGCATGACAGTTCTCTTTTCTGAGGCAAATCAGCATTGCAAATGCGGTCTGCCACATGCTGAAAAAATTTGTGACGCGATTTTGTGATGCTAAAACAACCGCACGACGCGATTTTGTGATGCGATTACTACAGCTACTCATACGATATTTTTACTTTTGCAATGCATATTGTTCCAACAGATTCGAAATGTGGTCCTGTTCATCGGCGTTCAAAAACGCGTCCAGTCGCGCCGCCTCCGGCCCGGCCAGGGGTGGGCGGGACCTTGCTCTTTGTTGCCCTCCGGGTGCGGAGTCCGGCGAGGAGCCGGTTTTTGAGGTCTTACTGCTCGCGTCCCGGGAGGCGCCATGGTGGCCTTCGCTGAAATAATGCTGTACTGGTTCAGCGTGGGATTCGTTTGGAATGAATAAACCAGCATCGCGTGCGTCAAAAATATCGTTTATTTTCTCGTGCGCGTAATACATGTCGTCGTCTGGTTTGGTTTCGTATTTTTTGTCCTGTCGTGCAGATAAAGAGGCCCACGACGTCCATTCTTGCAGGTCTTCAAAATTTTCCTGTTGTTCGAAATTATCCGATAGAAGAAGTTCCGACTCAGATAACACGAGTCCGTGCTCCAAATGAATGACCGGGTCTTCTTCAAGAGGAGCTTCGTTGCTGTCGCTTTCACTTTCTCCGTCGCGGTCGTCTCCTGTGATCGCGTCTAAATTGTTCACCATCTCTACTCCTGCAATCGGATCTGTGGTGACCTCCTTCTGCTCTTGCTGCAGCCAGTATAACAGTGCACAACTCCCCCTCGCCCTCATTTGTATAGCATGAACGGCAATACAAGCATCAGCAAGAATGCCGGTTTTGCATGGCAAATTTGCAGTGGAGCATAGTGCTATTTGGGCTACCAGAACTTGTCATGCATGATAGTGACAGGGGGGAAGGCGTGGATTCGGTATTCTGCATGAGAAATGAGAACGAGGGGGAGTTGTGCACTGTCATAGCCACCGCTCGTACAAGGAGCGGTCGTCAAACTTCGGTCCTTATGGATTGCAAATATGTCTGTGTCTGGAAACTTGTAATGCTAAAAGTGAATGATAGACGCACTGCAATACGCAGCTATGCATGACAAATTTTTTGGCTGCCATGTCTTACGTATTCCGCATGGCAAACTGCGTTTTTGCATGAAAGGTAAGAGGGCTTTGTTGTCCCTATGCAACACAGATTCTCGAGTGATGCCAGACGAGCATGACAAACTTGCATTCTTCCAGACCCAGACATTTCTGCATTTGATAGTCCTTCACAAGAGGATTGGAATCCGTGCCCACTATCCAGGAAAAAACACCCATCCCCATCCAATTTCTCATGCAAAATATGCATAAAATCCACTATTTGTCGTGCGAAAAATGGATGGGGAGGATGGGTGTTTTTTCCTGGATACCCACCCACAATCCGCAATCGGGGGAACCCGCACCGGGAGTCCGCAAAGCTGGTTTCATCGTCATCGAGCACCTCAACGTATGACAGTGCACAACTCCCCCTTCCCCTCATTTGTCATGCAAAACCCCAAATCCAACTGCTTCCCTGTGGCACCGTTTGCATGACAGATTCCGGAAGCCCAATCAGTCCTAAACTAGGCGCATGAGTTTGTCATGCACAGGCTCCACGTGTGCTGGTGTTTCTATTGCTGTTGGTTCATGGAATACAAATGAGGGGGAGCGAGAGGGTGAGTTGTGCACTCTCATACAACGTCTTGGTCTTCTACTAGGAGTTTGTTCTCATCGACATCATCTTCTACATGATCAGAAGACGTTTTACTAGCTAATTCCCCACGATGTCTTCCCTCCTGGAATCGCTCCGGGTCGCGCCTCCGACCGCTGTTGCTCGATGATGGTGAAGAAATTACCGGTGAGGGTGGATTTGCTGCAGTTACTACTCCACCCGCCCAGCCAGAAGTCGTGTAATTTTGTTCAACGGGTAGAAGTTGCTTACTTCGCGCCCTGCCGGTACTCGCTTGTTGTTCCCCGATGAACTCCTCCACCGACGATGCTGGTAGATTCTCGTAGTTCTCTACACTGGCATATCCTGAGTAAAAACGGCCTCAGAGGACCAGAGTCAAGACGGGAATCTCGCAACACAAGCCGAGAAGTTTTGGGAGTCACGCATGACAAGTTCCTCTCTGTATTGTACTGCAGTTTAGCAAGTGCAGCCGCATCACAAAGCCATCTACTCATCCTGTTTACGGCATCACAAAGTCCAAAACACGATTTTTTTTACAATGCCTCTCATGGGGATGCACATTACAAATCTTCCTGTGACTGCAAATCTGCATGACAACTATGAGGTGGGGACGTTTTTACTCAGGATATGGCCCTCTCTTTCACAGATTTCAAACCCGATGCTTCTCCGGACAACGTCAGCTCTTCGCTTGTTCCTCTTTTATACCGGGCGGTCTGCTTGGCCCGCAGCCTCTCGAACACCATCAACGCTGCCATGTTGGCGTGGCCGGTGTGCACCATGGAATGAAATCCCGTGTCTTCCACGAAGGTGGGAGAGGGTTTCAGCTTCGGTTTATTGTTCGGCGATCTACTGGGTGATGAACCAGGAAAATCCGCTACAGTTCCGGAAGATATAGCTCGTCCTGCCTGTACTTCTACTTGCCCGCCCAACGGCGGTCTTTGCTGTGACGATGGTGACGACGCTCTCGCTGTCGGCAACAAATATTTCCCGATCGGCACCTTCAATACCGCTTTCCCGGGCGCGCTGCTAGTGGAACTCCGTGAACTTTTCCTCGAAGTGGTTGACCCACCAGTCACGCTGTTCTTCGATCCGTTTTTTGGAGATTTCGATTTTTTTTTCCTCTCCATCTTCTCCACGTCCGTCACACTCAACCCGGCTACTTCCTGCTCTACCTCTTCGAGTATCAAGTGCAAAAGTGTCTGGGTCTGGAAGATGCAAGCTTTGTCATGCAGCTTTCGCATGAGCCAGAAGGTCTGGAATGTGAGCACTAGCATCACAAGTTTTGAGAAGGCCCTTCAATGCTGAATGCGCATGAGAAATGCCGCCTTCTGGTAACCAAACGTGAGGACTTTTGCTGGTCCCGAAATACAGATTTTTGTGTCGATCAGATTTAGCATGACAAACTCGGACTCTTCCAGACCCAGACATATTTGCATTTGATATCCAGCACCACGTTGTTGAATTCGGACAGCAAATTCGGAAATTTCGCCACGGCTTCGATGGGATCCGCTAAATCGTTCACGGACACGGATTCCGCCAACACAATCTGCTGAAATGTCGACCCCGGGATCGTTGTACTACCAGTACCAGATGCACCACCAGGAGAACTACAAGGTGCGCCAGAGTTATTCATTTGCTCACTGTGGTACACCTCCATCTTCGCCAGGAGGTCTCTTCTGGTCAGGAACGGCATGTTCAAGCTCCAATACCCGACCAAACTGTTGCAAAACCCGTTGAGTGAAATTCGCGGGTCTTTCTTCTCCACCGCCGTCGATAATTCCGTTCCGTACCCCAACACCATGGGGAGCCAGTTGGTCTGCAGATCCGTTTCCTTCATGAGCGACACCAGGTGGTAGAAATCCAAAATCGTGTGATTTTTCTCGTCCGCCTTCTCAACACCTTCTAAATTCTTGTCCACCTTAAGCACAATATCCGCGACGGTGTGCAGGATGGACCTCGGAGCTTCGTACGTCGTCGACCGGGATTTGTCGCTTTCGTCCACGTCTTTTAACTTTTCGATATCAACTGCAATAAATATCCCTGGATGTCTGGAAGATTGCCAGCTTTGTCATGCAGGTTTTGGATGCCCCAGAAGGTATGGAGTACGGGTCTAGCATCACAAATCTTGTTGAGAAGGCTTGGCTTCCTAATGCCTAATCCGCATGACAGATCACCTGTTTCGCTTTCGGTCACAAGAAATGGGCATGCGCATTCTTTATCGCTGTCCATGCATGAGAGGTTTTCCTGCGATGTGAAATGCGCATCACAAGTTTGCATCCTTCCAGACATCCAGGAATATTTGCAGTTGGTATTCGATCTGGTAGAACATTTTCAAATTTTCTTCCTCCACTGCCAGATTCCAATTTGTGTCAGACTCAACGGTAATCAGGTGCGTCCGAAGCAGTTGGATCTTCTCGACCGACTCGTACAGGGCTTCAATCCAGGGGATCTTCACTGTAGTAGTTGTACTGGTGGGTCGTGTAATATTGCTATTTGCTCGTCCACCTGCGCCGTTCTTTACCTTGGTCGGGATGTTCTTGTCATCTTCATTTTCTTCCTCGGAAAACGAAAAATCTTCCCTTTCCTGAGTGTGGTAGAATTCTTCATGTAGCCCAGTTATCAACTCTTCGCTATTTACGGTGACCTCGTTGAACAACGGAATCTGGTTCTTGTCCACGATATCAGAAAGATCGGCGAAGAAATCCTCGGAGGTGAATGTAGTAGTGGTTGTAGAAGGGGAGTCCTCTGTGTTGCTGTTCTTGTACTTTCGAAGCACATCGACCAAGTCCGTTATGACGTTCTCAAACGTTACGTCGCTCTCAGCCGTTACATGAATTTGTAATGTAAGAACAGCAACAACCGAAGAAACAAGCTTGCTGCTTTCGTATTACAGATTTGGCACAGATTTGCGTCCTGTTTAGCCCTTCGGAGATTTGTCATGCGTAGCCGCTTGACCATCTGGCAGCTTAAGGTAGTTTTGCATGACAAATCCATGTAACAGTTAAGAGTGTACTTAACGTTTGAGAATCCCATATCCGTCGCGGCCACCTTCGAACACTGTCTCGAAAACGCCTTCCACGCGTGCTCCGGTTGGAACGCCTTGTAGAAGGCGAAAGTGAGAAGAAGGTCTTGGTAGTAGGGAGTGGTGTCGGACTTGGTTTTATGTCTGTTGCTAGTTCTAGTACCTCCCCCTCCGGTCGGACCAGAAGAAGTTCTACTCGTCGCTCCTGAAGATTTTTCCAGTTCTGCTTGGACACCAAGAGCTTCATCCTCTTGCCCTACAGAAGGTCGTCGACCAGCAACTGCCCGCCGGGATTCATCATATTCCTTCTGTTTTTCAAAATGACTGCTGATAATGTCGTCGGGCGATGTGTTTAATATCGGTGGTTGATGGGGGAGGTTGGAGAAAGAAGACGAGCTGGAAGTAGTACAACCTCCCGCCAGGTTCGGAGCATTGGTCGAAGGAAACATTTTTTTTCTTCCCGTGGTTTATTCTTTGAAAACGTGGTCAGGACAGAATCATGGAGGCTGCTGCTCAAGTACTATCAGTAGCGCCACCAGCTCTAGTAGTTCTGTTCCGCAGCTGTGGTGATAGCACAACTAGTACCAAATTATGTGAGGACCATGTCAAGAAGAACCATGACGATGTTGAATCAAAACCTCTTTCGAGCACGAAAGAACAGAACGACCTCTCGAGTTCGCTCGTAGACAAGAACGACCGAGGACTGTGATTTGAGTTATTATATACCCTCCCAACTTCCCTCTCGAGAAAACGCTCCTACTGCTCGGGATGATACATCTTCGCGAACTTTCGACACCGTCGAGATCATGCGTCGAAGCTTCAAGTCGAATCGAATTCGAAATCAAATTTGGAGCGCACCACGAGCAGGAGCCTTGATGGTGAAGCGACTATCATCAAAACGCGTCGATAAGGAAGCACGAACTAGCAAAGGGCTATAACATCAATCAAAAACATCTTGCTGTACCAGCCGTGGAGGCATGCATGCAGCCCTGCTCTTCGACTGCATTTTTGCAGAAGCAGATTTTCAGCATGCAGCAGCTGCAGCATCTCCATTCATGTTGTACTAGCATTCTTTGATACTTTTGTCACAAGAAGTACTCATCATTTTTATACTGTAAAGGTGGACTGTCCTCTTCAGCTGTAGCAATATCCGCTACTACTCTGTAAGACAAAAAAAGCGCGCGACTTGTTCTCTTGGTCAAATGAAGGAAAATGTCAGGTGAACAAAACACAGAGAAAAGCTTCTGCATACATTTCTGATTAATATTGAAATTCGTGTGTTTTTACCACGATAATTTTAAACTCTTGAAAAACAAGACTAGGTAGATTTTTTGCATCTTCTCCGAAAAAAATGTTATGGGGATATCGTTTAAATTTGTAGTGAAACTTTCAATCACAGCAAATTCAGTTGCTTTTTATTCAAAAACATCAAGCGGCAGCTACATGCGGACCATGCGCATAATGCTAAATGCTTAGTGCAGCCGGCAAAAATCGGAACTACCTGTCGCAGTCGGGATGCTCTAGGTTGTAGTTTTCTACTCTTAGGAATAACAAATTCGCTGAGTAGTCCTGCTATTCAACCACCACCCCACATCCCATCGCTATAGAGTCCCGCAAAAGTTCCTGCTTATTCCCCGCCGCCTTCTCCGTCGGTAATCTGTGTTGTATCGCAGGAAAAAGTTGTATTAACGTTATACGGAATTTGTCACGCAGCAATGCTAATGCATCACTAAACGTGCCAAAATTTGTCATGCATAGCATGCATAGTGGGCTACATTTGTGACGCATGACTGCAATGTGTGAAAACTGTTATACGTATAACACGTATACTTTTGATATGTTGCGCCAAGAACTTGTAAACTTCCCACTCCTCGTACTGATACGCCCGGAACCAGACGCAGTGCTGATCTGGCCAGTCCGGCCAGTCTTCCATGGGATCCTCCTGGATTTCAAGGAAAGTGTACTTGGTATCCTGGGCAAAAACGTCCCCACCCCATAGTCAAGTTGGAAAATCTGCTAGACAAATCAACCACCTTTGGCTCTTTCGCATGACAATTTTGTCCTCGTAGTATAGTCCTACTTAGCTAGTTCAGCAGCATCACACATCTCTCATATCATGCTAAGATGAGCATCACAAATTCTACTAAAACACGTCGAAAAAATTATGCTTCGCATGGGGCTCCGCATGAGAAACATTTTTGGTATGCAGATTCGCACGACAACTCTGGGGTGGGGATGTTTTTACTCAGAATATTTGAGGCAGTTCGGTTTTTCTGCCTCTGTTGGTGTCCGAAAGGATCGTTTCCAGTACTTCAGGGACTTGCGATATGGGAGTGTCAGGATTGAAATCGTCAAAGTTGGAATAGTTTGTCATGCATAAAACCGATACCAGTCGGAAGCCCACCTATCAAGTGGCCCATGACAAATTTACCGAGCACCGGAATCCACTTTGCCATGCTGTTTGGGCACAGAAGACTGCTTTTGTCATGCTACTTTAGCAGGCTCACAATCGGCCTCACTTGCCATCCCGGCAAGGCAGGCACTGCATGCCTTGCATTTTATGCATGGCAAATCATTTCTACTTTGTCGATTTCAAACCTGCCGCTTCCATATGCGATGATCGCGACCAGCTGGTCGTCGGGAGGCTTCATCATTCGCAGCTTCAGGACCTTCAGGGAGAACAGAAGATGGCGCCCCAACAAGAAGGTCAGCATGCGTAGGAGAAGATCCATCTTCACGACCCCCTGCGAAAGAAGAAGAAGAAGAAGAAGTGGCCGGCGCCGGCAGCATCCCGGGTAGCTCTCCCGTGGAATCTTCGTAAAGGTCCTTCTCTGGAGGTACCGGTAACTTGTGTTGCGCGTTCGCCAAAAACCACATGTCCCGTTCCACGTGCTGCCGCTGCGGGCGGCAAATCCGAACGTCGTATGCTCTGCAAAAGTATCGCACTCGTACTAATTACTGAAATAATCACGCATCATGACAAATCTTGTTTCTTACTCTTAGCTGCCAAATCAGCATTACAAATTCCATTTTCTCTTGGGAAAAAATTTGTCATGCGATTTACGCAACAACGTAAAGCACCACGACACTTTTGCAAGGCATATGTCGTTTTTCACGTTAATTTGGTAGATCCCGCAATACTGGAAGTTTTCTTCGAAGGAAAGAGGTTTGGTGTTGACGTTTTCTTTTTCGGCACAAGTAGAATCATCTTCTTGAAGATCTACTTCATATGGCCAGTAGTTTTTCGGCGGAAGGGGGGGGATGAGGGGTGCTGCTCTCTGGTAGTAAGATTGCTGCTGCTCCACAAAATTCGTCTCCTTTTCAACACCGCTCTTGGAGGTCCTCGCTCTATTTCTGTTTTCTTTTTGCAACTTCGCGAGCAAAGCCCGGACCGATTTCTGGATCACAACTGTATGGCCCGCTCAGATGTTACAATCTCAAACGTTACAATAGAATCTGGAATTTGTGTTGCATGATGAGCATGACATAAACAGACTGTGCTGCTGCGGGGATGGCATTGTGTATGCCGCATTGTTGCATGATGAGCATGACAGACTCGCACAGCGTTCCACGTTTTGCAATACAAATTTTGCCAGATTGTAGTGGGGTTTGGGGCTCCGGAACTTGTCATGCGCAATCCTATGAGCGTTGGCTAGATCACGCACTCTTGCATCACAGATTTCGACATTCTATTGTAACGTTTGAGATTGTAACACCTGAGCAGGTTATAAACTGTGACCCCGTCTTCTTGAATCTGGTGCACGAGCGTGTTGATGGGAAGCTTCGTAGTTGCTGCGGCGGCCTCGAAGCAGGAGAGGAGCGCAGAATTGCTGTTCGAGTGTTTGTTGTTCGGGTCGTTTGGAGGTCGTCCTCGTCCCGTGCTCTCTTCATGATTCTCGCCCGGAGCTACTGCCACGGAGGTTGCGACGTGCGCATCTGTAGACTGCGGCCGTGAAGAATCTCCGCCCACATGATCGTCCTCCGAAGATGCTGATTGGTCCCCGGATGAACGCGGTCCTCGTCGTCCTCGTCCTGTCCCTTGCAACAGCCGACTGAGGAAGATCTCCGCTAGTGCCGCCAAAGTTTGCTCGAAAATCGAGATCGGGCCGCTGAGGGAAGTCGTTGTGACGCTGCCGCTGCTCGTCGTGAACAAGTTCTTGCTTCTCGTAGAAGTTGAAGAAGAACTTGTCCCTGAAACTGCTGCCTCAGATGCTGTCGCACTGGAGGAAAATGACGCCACCAATTTCCCGACCAAATTGGACCAGTTCCGTTCCGATGCGTTGTGGTCAAGACAATCGGAGGGAGCTGCACCATGCGTGTCGGCATGACAATCTGTTTCAAGCTCGTCGACGCAGGAGATGTTAGTGCACTTTGAGGAACTTCTACTCCGCAATTTCTCCACGATTTTCGCAACTTCTGGGTCTGCGTCGTCGTCTGGAAGGGATTCTGCATCGAATCCGAAGGGGTCGGGCTCCGGTTTATTATGGGGATGCTGTGCCAGCACAATTGCAGGCTCGACTCCTGTTGCGCCACCTGTCGCAATATTAGCACCATCAACAACACCACTCGAAGTAGGTGCAACAGCTATTCCCGTCCGCGCTGTGTCTACTTCCGCCGGATCAAGAAAATCCTCCTCGTTGTACCCTACCGTCAATCCGTATACCCCAAAGTTCAAGTCCATCCGTTTCCCAGTCACGCCCCAATCCGGGTTCCCAACTATCGGAACACAAGCGGCGAAATATTTCCCGCAGTGCGCCAGAATTTGCCAGCACCCAGTGCCGCCCATGGAGATGCCAGTTAGGTAGAATTTCTCATAGTCGAGGTAACAGTTGTAGTTGATTGCGGCGGATGCATCGCAAAAGCTAAAGCATGGCACGACTACCTCTAAAATGCATATATTTACAATTTTTTTCAAGTCGGAAAGTGGATGAATTTGTCATGCTGATTCACCTAAAGGAGGGAGATTCGTCATGCACGACTGCGATCTTGTTCTATACGAGTGCAATCGCGATGCTTTTATTGCTCGGGATACTGCATTCGCCTCGATATGCTGCACAGCGTGTTTCAATAGCAGTTCAATCGTCTTCTCGCAGTACCTATGGATTGCAAAAGTATCGCACTCGTATAAATGCATTACAAATTTCGATTTCCTCAGCATGAGAAATAAAATTTGTAATGCTGATTTCCCTTGAGAAAAAGATTTGTAATGCGTGATTGCAAAGTTCTAGTACTAGTACGATATTGCTGTTGCAATTCATAGTACCGATAGTGTCCGTAGGAGTCCTCGATGTAAACCATATCCGATATGGCGTTCTCAAATGTTACATTCTCAGCTGTTCCTGTTGCGTGATTTGTCATGCAAAATTACGTTCAGAACCGACACCAGCAAGCTGCTTCGCATGGCAAATTCTCAGAGGGCCGCCAAGCAGGCTGACAATCTGTGCCAAATCTGTCATGCAAGACGCGCAAGGTAAACCCGTTCACTTTTTCCACTCTTGCATCACAAATCAATCGCAACACTTGAGGATGTAACAGTTGAGAACGCCATATCCGATTCCAACCGGTAGTCCTCTATTAAGGGCATGATGTAGAAGCTGTTGAAGAGCTTGTTCTTATTCGTCAACAGCTCGAACCCGCCGGACCAGGGACAGCCAGGGACCTGCCAGTTAATGTTGCCCGTGCCCGGGAGAAAGAGGGTCAGTGGGTATTCAGATTGTTTTTGCTTGCTGTATTTCTCTTCTGGTTGGTCTCCTTCTTCATCGTCGTCTGTTCTTGGACTCGCTATTTCCATGCCTCCTGTGCTGGTAGAGGTAAAACTGGAATGAAAAGAGTTTGACGTAGCTTTCAGGCCGAAAGCGGAGTTCCTGTTCCTGTGCGGCCAAACCAGCACGTAGTGGATGCGCTCCGTGCGGGTCATGGTCCTCGCCGTGCGAAACGATTCGTTTTGCTTTTCCTTTCTTGCAGCTTCTCCTGCTTCATCTCCTGCATCTTCACAAACTTCCTCTGCTCCTTCCGCAGTCAAGGTCGCGGGATGCACCCTTTCGATTTCGAAAGAGAGGAGTTCTGTATGCATTGCAGAAGTATCGTAGTACTTACTCGTATAAATGCATTACAAATTTCCTCAGCATGAAAAATGAAATTTGCAATGCTGATTTGGCTTAAGAGAGAGATTTGCAATGCATGATTGCAATTACTACGAGTACGATGCTTTTGCGCTGCATATTCTGTCCGATTTGGCAAATCGTCCATGTCCACCCCGTTACACTCTATGCATTGCAAACGTGTCTGGGTGGTCTGGAAGGTTGCATGGTAAATCTGAAGCATGCAAAAATCTGTGTTGCATGAGTGCCAAAAGCTGTACACTTTGGACCAAGTTATCGCATCGTATCGTTTTGACCTTTGACTCCTGTCAGGGTGGCGTTAGAACAGATTTAGCCTCTGCCAATACCGTGGCGTTAGAACAGATTTAGCCTCTGCCAATACCCCTAGGTGGACACCCGTTCCACGTCCTACAGGTACCACCCGACCGCATCCGCTGAACCGTTTCCGATTTCTTACGCGTGTATACGGCCAGTGGGCGTTAGATGTGGCTGACCTGATTTACCATCCAAGCCCGCGAGCAAGGTGGAGCTCCAGTGTTGCCTTGCTGGGTTATTCTTACAAACTTTAAACTCTTCTGCTTTTGTGGTCGGTTGCGCGCTATGATATACTGGGGGCCTATTGGTCACACACGTTGACCCTATCACGATGGCGGGCAACCCCAAAGCATGCCCCTTTCAAGCACCTTACCGACCTGCTTCCGCGCACCCTTTTTATGCGCATAGGTAGAGTCGGACTTTGGAGCTCCGCGTTAGCAGAGCCGCCACCGCGCCCGCCCCGGGGGGCCCCTTGGGGAAGGGGGGTGCTGCCTTAGCGCAATCTTTAAAATAACAACCCTGGCGCCACTTTGGTAATAAACCTAGTCCGAACGACTTCGACATGCAAACTCCCAGACAGTTGCAGCTCTTTTTTTGCTCTTTAGCCCCTTCCCCCCCCGCTCGTCTTTTCTTCTCTTCTTTTTCCCTAGTGCCCCACTCCGCTTTTCTTCTGTGCCCCACCTCCGTCTTCTCCTTCGTGGTTCTGTTTTTCCCCGTCTCGGGGTTCTTTTTTAGTGCGCCGGCACCGGTAAAAAGGCCCACTTTAGGAGCGCCTGCGGAAAGGGATCTAGCGCTACCGGGATCCAGTGATCGCGTCGCGGGGAGAAAAAAAAACCACGATGGTGCTGCCGCTCCACGCTGGAGGAACAAAAAAGGAAGGGAGTTTCTCATGCAGGATAGGCATGGCAGAGACCTCGTCGCAGAGTCTGTCATGCTAAGGCTCGCATTCCAGACCTCATGGGTCATGGACAATCTGCATGACAAGTCTACAAACACAACTCTTCCAGACCCAGACATTTTTGCATTTGATACACTCCAAGTCCTGACATTTACCGTTGGTCTCAATACACGTTTTGCTGCAGGCACGAGGGGTGGGCGGTGCAGGTGCTGCAGGTTGTTGTGGTTGTACGTCAACTGTTGGAGGTTCCGGTGCAAGGTTGGTTGCGCTTGAGGACTCCTCCTGCTCCTTCTGTTCATCTTCCCTCTCGCCTAGTCCTTCGTGTTCGCTGATCCTGGGCATTATATCCGCTAAAAACTCGTCGCTTTTCGCCACGAAAGGGAATAGTACTTCTTCATCTTCGTCTTCTACGGCGGAGCAACCTTGTCCTTGCTGTTGCTCTTGATTCACGTTCACGTTCACCGCATCAATGATCTCTGGGTTGCACATGAATTTTTTGCAGAACCCACACCTCGGCGCGAACAAAACGTAGGGTTTTCTTTATGGATTGCAAATATGTCCGGGTCTGGAAGAGTGGAACTTGTAATGCTGTCTGCGGATTCTGAAAATATCTGTGTTGCATGAGCTGCAGCAAGAGGAGTCAGTTCGCGGCACGCGGAGATGATGGCATTTCTCATGCGTAATTAGCATCAAGAAGCTCTGAAAAAATCAGTGACGCTAGCACCAGCATAACAGACCTCACGGGTCATGCAAAATGTGCATGACAAGCTCCGCCTCTTCCAGACCCAGACATTTTTGCAGTTGATATTCTTTCCAACAGAACGCTCTCCGGATAGTTGTAAGAGGAGGAGGAGGAGTTATGCCAGTGGTTTTCGTAGTAGGAGAGAAATTCCTGCTCAGGTGGGGCACCCCGTCGTGGAGGTCCAGAAGCATTTCCATTTGCAATTTGTATTGCAGAAGTTCTATCAGCGATTTCATGTTCCTGTGCGAAGATGTCTTCTGCTTTGTCTGCGAGCCACTGCAATATGAACTGCAAAAGTATAATCGCACTCGTATAAATGCATTACAAATTTCCTTAGCATGAGGAATAACATTTGTAATGCGCATTTACCTTAAAAAGAAGACTTGTAATGCATGCAGTAATCTGAATTGCTTCGTGCTGAGTTGTCTTTTTCACTTTTTTTCATGGCCTTACGGGATGCAATCTGAGTTGTCGTCGTATTGTGTATACGATCGGTTTTCGTTCTTTCGTTGTTTTCGTTGTGTTTCGTTCACGTTTTTACGCTTCCTTTCGTACGTATGACGGGCGTTGCGTCATATAATTGGAAAAATACTTTCGCTGTCGAGCGTCGGGCCTCACATGATAATCACATGACTATCATGTGAGCGAAACAACTCAAAATGGCTTACTTATGGGGGTGCAAAATCATATGATTATCATGTGAGCAGTCACGTGATAGGCATATGATGACTTTGTGTTGGCTCATGCTTATATTACTTTTTTCTTGTTTCATCTTCATTACCCTTACAGTGCCCAACTTCAGTTTGTCTTGTTCAGACGAAAAAAAGAACACGCTACCCAAAAAAAAACAACTTGTCTACCTCGGACGAAAAACGAGCACACTAACCACAAAAAAAAACCTCTCGACTACTAAGCAAAAAAACACCAGCTACGCACTAGCTTGCGACGCTTCTGGCTTCTTTATCTTTGTCGTTGCTTCGCGTTTTTCTTCTTCTCGCATTTTTTCGGTTTCGCCTTGCAAATCGAAAGAAAACAACAAACACCATGGCCATGGAAATCGTTTCGGTGGCCGGCGATTACGACCGGGCCAAGGCCTTGGCGGTCGCTGGCTTGCTGGACTTGCAGGATTCCGACTTCTGCTTCGGGGACTCGGGCAATTTTCCCCCTCGCCTGACTCCCGCGGGGTGGGTCGACATGAGTGACCCGGGCGCTTACTCGGACAAGCAGCGCGACCGCCTGCGGCTCACTCGTATGAAGGTGGCGAAGCTGTGGGCGAATTTCAAGCGCTTGGAGACGCTCGGGAAGGGCCTCAGCGCCAAGGAAAAAATACGAAAAAAAACCAAGCCCCTGCAATTGCAGGGCGCGGGCAGCTTTTTAGGCATGACAAATCCCAGGCTTTGCAGGGTTTCCGCCCGCTAAGGGCTCCGCCTTTTGCGGCGCCCAGGCCAGGCAGCGCCTGGCGCTTTGGGCTGTTTTTTATGATACAAGGGCCCCCGCCCGTGATTTGATTGGGCGCACTTTTTCCCATTATGGCGCAGCATGCTTGGCGGGATGTTGGCGATGGCGATGGAAGGGGCGCAGCCCATCAGCCCCGAGCAGAAAGATTTTGCCGCGAATGTCGCCACAAAGACGCGGGATGCCGGCCTAATGGCGGCATTTCCGCACAGTGGCCCGGGCAGTGTCTTGGGCGTTTCTTGGCTGCAGGACCCGGCCCCCGCTGCCCCGGCTCCGGACGGAACCCAGGCCCCCACCAACGGGCAGCTCGACGCGGGCCCGGCTTCTGTGGCGAGCGACTCCGATTGCGGGGACAATTCGAAGGCGAGCGGCAAAGCGTCCGGGCGCAACATCGATCCGCCCGCGGGCCGCACGGCCGGTGGCCCGGGCCTGCACAACCTGCCCCCCCCGCCCCCCCCGATGCCGTCGGCGTTTCCGGGTTACCGGTACACGGGGGAAGGGTTGGTGACGAACGATCTGGATGCGGCGGCACTTCCTTGTCGCAGACATGACCTATCCCCCAAAAAAATGGACTCCCCAGGCGCATGGAAGGCGGCGGGGCCTCGTGGTGGCTTTTTGCATTTGCCCCGCCGATGGGCAACGGATTTTTTTTTTGTTTTGCCGGTTCGCGTTTTCGCTCTTGTATGCAGTGAGGCCGCCAGCTTTGTGTGGACAGCATTTTTTTCGGGGATAGGTCACGGGTCACGAAGTTGTTGCCGGTCGGGGCCCTCCGGAAGTTGATCCTGACACAGGCCAAGGACCCGCTGCGTGGTGGGGGAGGTATTCTTTTTCGCTTGGGTGTTGCGATAGATTTTCGCTTCCGCTTTCTTATAGTAAGGGAGGGGAAGCAGGGCGCTTCAGTCGTTTTCCGCGTAGTGAGGTTTCCTTTTTCACATGTCAAATAGCAACACTCATCTTTCCTGTTTTTCAGGCGTCGCCAGCATGGAGCAGCGAGCGGACCCGAAGGCGTGGCGGCCCAACGCGCTCGGGAAGGATTTTCATTATTTCTTTCGCCCGATGGGCTCCGACTGGATTTTACGCATGTGCACGCGCAAAGCCTTCGCAACGGCGCGCAAGCATTGCGCGCAATGGAGTTGCGGCGTTTTTCTGCAAAGCCGCGGGCGCCCGGTGGAGATTCTAAACCCTAGGCCCCGGCCAAGGTCGCGGCGCAGGTTTTCGCCGGTTGGTGAGAAAATTTCTTTGGCCGGCCGGCGGCCGAGCGAGGCGACCCGAGTTGCAAGGCGCGCGCCCAGTGTGGCGCAGCGCCGGGGCCGTTCCTTGGCTAGATAGGGCAGCGCCGCCCCCCGCCTCGTGCGCGCGCTTTTAGTAGCATGGGGGGCGTTGCGGGTTCGCGTTTTCCTTCTAGCTTGCCGCCCGTACAAGGGGAAAGGGGCGCCGCTTGCTTGATTGGCCGCGGCCAAGCACCATGACAGAAGAGCCGGGGGGATTGGGCGGTCGCTCAATTTCCTGCCCAGCCGTCGGGCAATACCTCGCGCGCGCGCCCGTAGCGCGGCGCTGTTTTGCGGGGGCTTTGCGTGTTTGATATTTTTTGGTCGACCTGGACAACGCTGCGCCGGGGGTGGTGGAAAGGGCGAAGGAAGACCACCGCTGCCAGTTGGTGACCCGCACTTCGGCGGCCTGCTGGCAGGCGTGGTCTCAGGTCCCCGGCGGCGCGACAGCGGAAAAAGATTTCCGCACGGTGATGGTCCCCCTTTTAGGGGGGGACAGGCACGCCAACAAGCCGAGCCAAGTCGGGAGGCTCCCCGGCAGCCGCAACCCCAAGCCGGGACGGGGCAAGTGGCTGTGCCGGGTCGAGTGGATCCGCGGCGAGAAACCGGCGGAGGCCCCTGCTGCGGCCGCTCCGGGGGAAGCTTAAGGCCGTGAACACAGGCGCCCCCCCCGTTGTTGTTTCAGCTAATGCGCGGACTTGGTTGCGCTTTCGCTGGTTTCCCAGGATTTTCCACGAAAATCCCGGGAAATTCAGGAGATCAGCATGACAGAAGCCCGAAACGATATCGGGGGGGGCTCCGTTTTTTCAGCGATTGTGGTGCGGCTTCGACCGATGTTTTGCAAAAGATCGAGGGGAACGGCAATTGTTGCCCTCTTTCGATTGCGGCGGCCACAGGCATCAGCATGCCGAAGGTGAAGCAGTTGGTGGAGGGTTTCATGGCGGACAAGCGCGAAGAGCTTGGTCCGTTTTGGGTGGGGGAGTACGGAGTGGACGAGCCGGCGGGCCCCGCGGTTTTAGCAGAGCAGAGCAAGTGGCTGGCCTGGTTGGGAAAACTTCTGCACCCCGCGGCAACGGTATGGCTGGGCCACGCATTTTTGGAGGCTGTGGCGAAAGTCATGGACCCTACCCGAAAAAATGAGCCCGCCCGCACCTAAAAGAGCCGAGCGGCACGCCGCGCGCTGTCGTTTTTGCGCGGGATGCGGCGCGCGTTTTGCGAAAATTTGCGGCCCGTGCCTTTCTTGTCTCTGATGTGTAGTGGGCTGGTTTGCTTTTTCTTTTGCATAGTGTTGTCGATTCAGATCGAACCCGCCCCCGGTTCTCAAGAGCAGCCGCAGAAAATCGGAAGCGGCGCGAAGGCGATCCGACTCGAGTACGATGGCCGCCACTACAACGCCTTTGTCAGGCGCGGCGCTCAGCCGAAAGCGGAAGCGACGGGGACTTCCTTTGCCCCGCCCCCCGAAACGAAGGCCGAAACGGTTTTGGAAACGCAAGAGGGCGAACCTGTGGCGGTTGGCTTGGCCTCTCGCAAACGTGCAGCGGAAGCAGATGCGCCGGCGCCGTCGGTTTCGAGCGTTGTTAGCTTGAGCGACTTGAGCGAAAGCGATGGGGAGGCTGCTTCGGATGCGAGCGAGTGCGCGCCCCCCCCACGAAAGCGCGGGCGAAAGTCCAACGCCGGCAAAAATTTTTCTTTGCCCGATGGCGCGATTGAATTCTTGCTGCGGGCTGCTGACATTGGGGCGGCTTCCAAAGCGTTGGGACTTACCGCGCGGCAGCGGAAGTGGTGGAAAACAAAGAAAAACTTTTTCCGCTTGGCCCCGGGCATGGGCAAGCTGCAGGTCCGCGCAGAGTTCCAGGGTTACGGACGCAAAACCACCGAAGCGCTGATGGTGTATCCGGATTGGCTTACCGTCATCGGCGCCGACGACGACGCGGAAAAGCAGCGCATTGCGGCCCTTGGGCATTTGCGGTCGCATGGGGGAATTGAGGCAACTGGGGTGGCCATCCAGCAGCTTGGCTTCACGTGGTGCGGCTTGAAAGAAAGCGCGCGGGTTGCGGTGCAAGCGTGCGAGGCTTGCGCGGCCAACGAAGAACATGCGCCGCAGCAGCAGGATTCTTACGCAAGCAGTACTTTGGCGGCGCTCAAGGACCCCGCCAATGAGTCCCTTCGGCCTTTTGCCTGGGCAGGCGTCGACTGCATAGTTTGCACCCCCTGCGAAAACTCGGCGCACCGCGGCAAAAATGTCGGCACGCGCTTCGTCGGTTGTTTGAACATGTGCTGCCTCACGACTGGCGCCGTTTGTTCCAAACTGCTGACGAGCTTCGAGGCGGAAGAGGTCAAGTTGGGCGGAGCCGGCCCCGGCGGGGGCCGTGCTAAGTGACGGCTATTTTTTTTCCCGTGTTCGAATTTGCCCACCCAAAAAACCCCCCAAAAATTCGCCAAATGGGCCCCCCCTTTTTTGGCCCCGATTAAGCGCGGGGCGAACTTGTTCTCCCTTGCTAATTCGCTTGCTATTTCGCTTGCTATTTCGCGTGCTATTTTGCTTGCTATTTTGCTTGCTATTTCGCGTGCTAATTTGCTTGCTAATTCGCCTGCTAATTTCCTTGCTATTTTCCTTGCTAAATCCCTTGCCGAAGGCGCGGGCTAAATTTCCTGCCAAAGTCGGCAACAATCTCGGGCCCAGCGTTTTGCCTCAGGTTTTGCGCGTTTGCGATTTAGCAGGGGAAATAGCAAGCAAAATAGCAAATCTATAGGCTGGACAAAGGGGGTGGCGCGCTGCCTCCGGCCGGCGGCCCTGCCAATGCGCAAGGCACAAGGGACGGGCCATGCCGCAGGGAGGGCGCGGCCCTCTGGAGCGCGCAAAGCCACAGACCCGGCATGGGCTCGCGGCGCCCGCGCGCCAAGGGCGTGGCGGACAGGCGCCAAGCCTTTGCGATTTCGCGCCGAGCCCAGGGGATGGCACCTCACCACCGCGCCGGCAATCTTCTCCACATTGTTCGGGAAAAAAAATAGCCGCGATTTAGCAAGCAAAACGCCGGGGGCGGCTCCGACCAAGTCAAGCAAGCGCATCTGGATATGATCGAGGAACACGGCGCGCCGGATCATTTGAACATTGACAAGGGCACAGAGCTGCAGCAGATAAAGAACTGGAGCCAGTGCACCTGCTTGACGCGCGACCATAAGTGCGCGACCTTCACCAACGACCCCCCGGCGGGCGCAGCCTTTCGCACGGATATCCGCGAAAGCCCTCGCGCGCATCCGCAGTCCAATGGTGCCGCGGAAAGTTCTACGAAACTGAAAAAGCCGCTCCCCCATATTTATGAAGACCATTCGTGTTGCTGGGTTCGTGTTCGCGCGTGTTCTGCAACGGACTACAACTCGCGGCCACGCATCAGCAACGCAAATTCCTTTTGCAATATGGGGAGGGCGGATTTTTCGGTGATAACCTACTTGGGCGGAGCCGGCCCCGGCGGGGGCCGTGCTAAGTGACGGCTATTTTTTTTCCCGTGTTCGAATTTGCCCACCCAAAAAACCCCCCAAAAATTCGCCAAATGGGCCCCCCCTTTTTTGGCCCCGATTAAGCGCGGGGCGAACTTGTTCTCCCTTGCTAATTCGCTTGCTATTTCGCTTGCTATTTCGCGTGCTATTTTGCTTGCTATTTTGCTTGCTATTTCGCGTGCTAATTTGCTTGCTAATTCGCCTGCTAATTTCCTTGCTATTTTCCTTGCTAAATCCCTTGCCGAAGGCGCGGGCTAAATTTCCTGCCAAAGTCGGCAACAATCTCGGGCCCAGCGTTTTGCCTCAGGTTTTGCGCGTTTGCGATTTAGCAGGGGAAATAGCAAGCAAAATAGCAAATCTATAGGCTGGACAAAGGGGGTGGCGCGCTGCCTCCGGCCGGCGGCCCTGCCAATGCGCAAGGCACAAGGGACGGGCCATGCCGCAGGGAGGGCGCGGCCCTCTGGAGCGCGCAAAGCCACAGACCCGGCATGGGCTCGCGGCGCCCGCGCGCCAAGGGCGTGGCGGACAGGCGCCAAGCCTTTGCGATTTCGCGCCGAGCCCAGGGGATGGCACCTCACCACCGCGCCGGCAATCTTCTCCACATTGTTCGGGAAAAAAAATAGCCGCGATTTAGCAAGCAAAACGCCGGGGGCGGCTCCGACCAAACCTACAATGGACAGTTGAAGCAGCAACTGCGTAAAAGGGGGGGGCGAAAAGGATTGGCCTCGTCATTTGCCTGCGTCTGTTGCGGCACTGAACCGACGGGCGACGCGGGGCCGTCGGATTCCCGCTGCGAGGCATTTGAACACGTTTCTCCGCCCCTTACGGGACATCACCGAAGCCACTCTGCATCCCGTGCAGCGTGCGCCTCCGCATATCGTTGCAGACAAGGGCGCCGCGGCAGAAAGCGCAAGCGCAGCCTCCGCCACCCCACTGGCTGGACCCCCGCCGCAGAATTCCGAGGAAAGGAAACACGGCGCCGGGGCCGCGGGTGGCGAGAGTGATGGCGCTGCTGATTTTGCGGCCGCAACGTTGCGCGGCTCTCTGGCCAGACAGGCGCTACACAATCGCAGCCGCTTCTTTGAAAATCGGGAGGACGGGGGCAGGCTGAAGGACATTAAAAAACTGAAAATTGGGGAACGTGTTTTGTGCAGAAACAGACAGAAAAGCCCCGGCTTGGCAACAAAATTCTTGGGGCCTTTCGTCGTTACGCAGGTGAAGGCGCTCGGGGTGGATGTCCGCAGCGACGGAGTCCTCTCCGGCAAGAAACGCGAAACGACTCTGCGCGATGTTCCTTGGAAGGACCTCAAGCGGTGCCCCACGGGCCTCACGCAAGTCGTCGCGCCGCCTGCGCCTCCCACCGAGACCGCGCCGCCTGCCGCGCCGAATCACGTCCCGCCACGAGTCCAACAAGAAACGGCGTCGATTGCTGGGCCACCGCCTCCAGCTGCGGGCGACGATCTTTCCGCGGTCGTCGCCGTCGACCCCGCAATGGATCGCGTTTTTGGCTCGGGGTCGCTTCCGCTCTTAAGCTCTGCAACACTCGTGCTGGCGCGCATGTGGTTGCGCATTTTTCTCAGTGTCTTTTTTTCTCTTTATGCGCCCAGAAGCATGCTGGTCTCTAATTTTTCTTTGTTTTTATTTGGCTGCTTGCGTAATTACGTTGCGCCAGTGCGATTTTGCAGTGCATAAGGGCAAACGAAAGCCTACGTCGACGTCGCCGAGCTGGAAACTGCCGGCCCGAAACAAGTTCCCACGAACATCCGGGGTTCGGTCACCCGTGTCGAGGGGGCGACGCGCGGAATTCGGATCCGCATTGAGGGCGTTACTGGTGTCAGCATCGTTTGGCGAATTTATGAGGCTGCACCAATGGCGTGGTGGCGTGCTCAGCGGTGCCCTTGCGTCGTTTTCATTCCTTTGGCGCTCACGCGAAATTTTCAAGGCGGCCAGTTTCTGCGCATGCCGGCAACGTGGCGCACGACTTCGATCGAGCCGCGCGCCCCGCCGGAGCTTCAGGAACTGCACCGCATGGCCTCGACGTCCTCCGCCTCGGAGGGGCGCCGGTCTCTGTCTGCGTTCAAGAATCCCGAGCCCTGAAGAGGGGGCACGCGAAAAGCGCCGCGGCGTCGGTTTTCCGTTTTTGCTTAGCTTCTTGGCCTGTTATTTCTTGCGCTAGAAGATGCGCTGCGTTCCTTTTACTCGTTTTGTTTTTTTTCGCATGTGTAATTTCTCGTGAAAAACAACATGCGTTGTGCTACTTTTATCAGTCGTTCTTCTCGTCTTTTCTCGTATCTCTTCTTGTGTCGGACTTGAACTGTTATCAGCTATAACTATTAAAACTAGGAGCGCAGCGCACGACGCGAGTTGATTTGAGGCTGTCGCTTCGACCAACGCGCTCTGTTGCTGCACTCCACTTGTACACTATGCGCTTCTTCTTGAATTTTACATGCAATTTTTACACTATTCTGCTGTCTTCTGTTTCTGCAAACTGTTTCCATTTCCGTACGAAGTACAGCGCACCCCGCATGTTGATTGACGGCTAACGCTTTCACCAACTTGCCCCGACGCTGCACTTCGCCTGCAAGTTCTCCTTCGCTCGTTTTGTTCTCATACAAAACTCGCGTTGCTAATTTGATACGTCCCTGCGTTTTGTGTTTGTGCAAGTTAAGTTTTGTAGGCTTTATTTGCTAATGTGGGACTCGTTCTGTGTATTTTTGTTTTCCCTATGTTAGCTTTGGCTTTCTCGTTCTCATTCCCTACATTTTCACAATCTAAAGAGCGATTGTTTTTTTGATCGCGTTTCTCAGTGCGTCAATTTTGTCACAGAAGCTGCAGCTGAGGCAATAGAAGTAGATCGCGCTCGCTTTCCTGTCGCTATTTTGCTGCATTTTTTTTCCGCTTGCTCGTCTTATTCTATTTCGCAGCGCAGCTATATCACAGAAGCGGCAAGCTGAGCTGCTTTGTCTTTTCACGCTGAATTGCATCGATTTTTACAACAGCGGGGTGATGCTTTTTGCAATTCATTTTTGGGAAAATATGTTGCAAGGGTTGCTTTTTTGCTTTTGTCGAATTTGGCTCGGCTGGTGTTCGCTTTCGCTTTTCTCTGCTGCGTAATACGATACGCTGCAAGCTTCGCTGGATAGCAGATACGTATTTTGTTACAATTCATCTTATACGACAATTCATCTGGGTGCATGCATGATTGCAATCCGAGTACGATACTTTTGCACAGGATATGCAAGTGCGTACTGGGGAGGTACCACGGCCTGGAACTTCTACTGCTACGATATAACCCGCTCAGGTGTTACAATCTCAAACGTTACAATAGAATCTGGAATTTGTGTTGCAAGACGTGCATGATCTACCCTACTCCCACAGGATTGCGCATGACAAGTTCTGGAGTCCCAATCCGCACTACAATCTGGCGAAATTTGTATTGCAAAAAGTGGAACGCTGTCCGAGTCTGTCATGTTAGTCATGCAAGACAAATTTCAGATTCTATTGTAACGTTTGAGATTGTAACACCTGAGCAGGTTATATACGACTTTTTCTTGTCCCTGCTGGTCTGGCCCCCGGGTTCTTGTTATGGCGTTCTCAACTGTTACATTCTCAACTGTTACATAAATTTGTAATGCAAGACTAGCACAGATGAGAGGGAGAACCTTGCGCGTCTTGCATTACAGGTTTCGTGCGGATTATAGTGGTGTTTAGCCCTCCGAGAATTTGTCATGCGCAGCAGCTTCATCGTCTGGCGGGTCATGGTCATTTTGCATGACAAATCATGTAACAGTTGAGAATGTAACGTTTGAGAACGCCATACTTGTTCCCACGACCTTCTGACAGATTGACATGTTCCCTCTGATTTCGTTTCTTTGTGTCCTCCGTGCGGGAAGTAGATGGTGCTGCTTCCGGATAAAAATTAGAATTACCACTCCCAGCGGCCCCTTCGTCGAAAAGGAGATCGGTATTCAACTGCTGATAGTCTTCGTTCTGATCCGTATATCACAGGAAAAAAGTGTTACAGTTAAACACTTATTGGAGTTTCTGCATCACAAAGTTGCTCGACATTGAAACGAAAACCTGTGATGCGCAGACTATATAGGGAAAACACGAATGAAATGAGGCTGCCAAGCATTTCCTGCATGACAGAGGTTGTCTGTACTGCTTGTCTACTTCCATCAGAGTGTGTAACTGTAACACTTTTTTCTCAGGATACCGTAGAACAGTACAAAGACTCCACTTCCTCCCTGACCCCGTGCTCCGCCACGTCTTTCGCCAGACTGTCCGCGATCGCGGCCAGCAGATGTTCATCCGACTTCTCGACCCGGTTTGTAACATCCTTATCCGCGTCACTGGTCACTTCTTCGATGGAGGGCGCGCGGTCTCGCTCCTGCTGGTGTTCATCCAGCAGTGCGACGAAGGGGGATGGTATCCACAGAAAAAAAAACCGTGAATATCATCATCCGTTTCTTGGATGAGAAGCACCGGACTTGATGCATGTTTTGCATGACAAATTGGATGGGGATGGAGGTTTTTTTTTGCGGATAAAGGTCGCTTTGGAGACGGAGGAAGAGGAACTTGAAGATGAAGATGGCACTTGTTCTACCGATGGAACCACACTAGTAGACACAGAAGAACCAGAAGGCGGAGCACTCTCTTCGAGTGGCGACACGGTCGTGCTGCTCGTCGCAGAGTTCGCAGCAGAAGTGCTAGAGGACGAGGAAGAAGCCACAGATGTTGAACCAGTTGCGGTTTTTGTTGATTTTGCATGAGAATAAATCTCCACATTTTTCATCAACCCATCCGCTACAGTAGCTGATGGTTCGAAATTCTCCACGATAAATTCGTCATCAAACCCGTTCCGGTATTCAGTGCAAAAGTATCGCACTCGTAGTAATCGCAGTCATACGATTACAAGTTTGAATTTCTTTCTCAAAACCGCATTACAATTTTCATTTCTCATGCTGAGGAACTTTGTCATGCGATTTCTACTAGTACGAGTCTTTTGCATTTCATATCAGGAGCTCCAAATTTCCTTCAAACCTCGCTTTCATCGACATCGCAGGCGGTGGTCTACTACTAGACGAGCCGGCTGAAAATAACTCGCCGTCATCTTCGTTGTAGTTCTGGATCAAATTTATATTAGCGACCTCCAGAAAATCGAAGTCGACAGAGGGACTGGGGGAAACCGAGGAAGCACTGAGGATGTCGTTGCTCATCTCGTTCTCCTCGCGAGAGGTATGCAATGCAAAAGCATCGTACTTCTAGTATAAATCGCATTACAAATTAGCCCAGCATTACAAATAGATTTGTAATGCAGATCTACCTTGGGAAAGAAATTTGTGATGCATAAACGCAATCACTACGAGTACGATACTTTTGCACAGCATAAGAGGTGAAGGACGACGACTCGCCGCGTTGTAGTTGCTGGTCGTGAAGAACTGCATGATCTTGTTGCTGTATGTCGTGATCCAGTGCAGATTTCAGGTTTCGCAAAATCTCCAAACTTTTTTGGACTTCATCGTCCGAAGAACTACTACTTCCGGCGAGGATTATGGTGTCCTGCGAATTTTTATTCCTGCAGCATGCAGAAGCAGACCGAGAAGATGCTGCACTTCTGCCACCGCTCGTCACAGGAGCTGCGCCCTTGGTTGCAGCACAACCACTATTCCAATTATCGTTATCCAGCCCTCCGATACTACTTTTGTTAACATCGGAAATAAAGTTCGAATTTGTTTTCGCTGCATGTTGAAAAGGAATCCTCTGCCGCTGCCTTTTCGCATCGACCTCGCAAAATCGCAGCCCGCTCTCGTGTTGGATAGCGGTGATGGGAGAAGAAGCTGTGGAGCTGGCAGAGGAGGAGGAAGATGATGATGCTGTTGCGGGAAGGTTGCCGACAATTATCCCCACTGGTGGAAGAGTCGTCGGGTCGTTGGCCTCTATTATATTTTCGCCTGCAATTTGCATTTGCTGCCTTTGTGCCTCTTCTTCTGTACTAGCACACTGGTGCTGGACCGCTTGTCGCGATAGTGGTACTGGTTCCACCTCCTCCTCTTCCGGAATGACGAGCGACGTGTTGTTATACAAGGTGTTGAAACTCGACGAAGCTGACAATTTCGACCCGGACTCCGGCTCCTGCACGGTTGTAGTGGTGCTGGGGCAGGCGGTGGTCCTAGCGTCCGCATTTGCATGATTTCCGGCCTCGTCAGTGCTGACGGACTGCTTTCCTCGTGCCGCTGCTGTCTCGGGGGTTAGTGACGGCCCCTGCTCGACGTCGACAGGCCCACGACCTGAAGATCCAGTTTGTTGTTCGCCGTCTGGCTGAGAAGGTCGTGGAGCCTGCTCTCCAGCCTCGGGCACAACAGTTGCAGCACTCGTAGTACCTCCGTCGGCCGCGGCATAATTACCGATGCTTTCAGTCGCCTTCCGGCTCTTCTTGCTCACCACCGTGCTGTATGAAATGCAAAAATGTCTGGGTCTGGAAGGATGCAAGTTTGTCATGCTTGTCTGGCATGACTAGAAAATCTGTGTTGCATAGGTACGAAAGAGCCATCGTAACTGTCACGCAAAGAGGCAGTTTGCCATGCACAAGACATGGCAGCCACAAAATTTGTGATGCATAGCTGCGTATTGCGGCACGTCTATTATTCACTTTTAGCATTACAAGTTTCCAGACCCAGACATATTTGCAATCCATATGCTGGTCTTTGACGCAGTGCTCGCGGTCGTGTCGCGCCGTTTGAACTTCGGCTTCTTTTATCAAATACAAAAGTGTCTGGGTCTGGAAGATTACCAGGTTTGTCATGCATATTTTGAATGACCCATGATGTCTGTGATGCATGCCCTAGCGTCACAGATTTTTAGAGGATTTTGTGATGCCTCTGCCGCATGAGAAATGTCCTCTCCGCGTAGCACAAACTGGAGTTCTCTTGCTGGTAATGCAATACAAATTTTTTCAGTATCCAGAGACAGCATTACAAGTGTAGAACCTTCCAGACCCAGACATTTTTGCATTTGATATCTTTTTGCGCTTCTTGTCCACCGGGACGCCCCACTCGCACAACATGGCTTTTGCTTGCTTGTTGGTTCTTTTGCTGGAAGTGGAAGTTGTTCTAAAGTTGTAGCATGATTTTATGTGGCGTAAAAGCCGCGGTACGAAGATTCAGCTCGAGCAGCTACAATCACAACGCTTGTCTTCATCAATATCAATATGACGAGTACGCTACACTTTATGTTGTTCTAATTTTTCTGACTATCATCTCTATTATTGCGTTTCTGAATATCTCGGCTTCATCGCGGTCTGGAGCGCGTAGTGCTGCTGGCTCGCTGAAGACACAAAAAGCATCTTCATCAACTACTTCCCTCTCGTTCTATATTTTGTGGCGTTGTTCATCTCATGGCTTTGCTCTTCTACTGTAGCTGAAGCTGTAACAGCAGCGAAACACGGCGGAGCTACATGTCGCTGCACAAACGACCTCAACAACAGACACGACGACAAAGAAAGCAGCGCGTAGCGGTAGCCTTAGCCCCTACGCCTACCGTTCGACTTTTACCATGATACTTTTCTCTGCGATTTTTCGGGTTCATCATTTAACAAATTGAAAGTTCATTCATCGTCGTTGTTGTATAGGATACGACCTCTTGCTCTTGTCTGCCTGACATGTGGCGTCAGCATCAGCTGCACGAAAAGCCGCGGTATTCGTATTTTTGATAAATCGTAAAAAATTTTCGTCCCGTTGCCGTTGTCTGTGAAAAGCTCGCACGAAAGAGGATAAAGAGAAAACCCAAAGCGAAAACTGTTCGTCGTTGTTCGTATATATCTGCTTCATCTGAAAGTTTCTTTCTTCTTCTTGGATATTAACACTGTCTGAAGATGAAATTGTTGTAAAGTAGAATGGCGCAGTTGTAAGAAAGACTGCAAAAGTTCTTCACGAAAAGTTCTTCACGAAAAGTTCTAGGAACGTTGAATAGGTGTCCGAGAGACATGAGAAAAATGACCCCGACACGGAAGAAAGTTCGTCGATAGAAGCTCACGGTCTGCCAAAAAAATCGGTGCTTTCAACATGGCACAGTAAATCAATTTCGTTTTTCTTTTTTCCGAAGGTGGATTCTAGGAAATAAACAAGCAGCTTGAGTGTGAAAACCACAGGATAAGCTGAAAGCAGCTGCTCTAACCGTGGACATTCCTAATTTTTTTCAAACGGTAGTACCTACTAGTAGTGTAGCCAACGAGTTCTCTTTCTAGATTGCGAGCGGGAATACTAGAAGAGTATCATGATCCGCTTCTTAAAATTTGACGTCAAATGTAAATTTACAAAAAGAAACACGAGGAGCTCACAACAACTTTCTATTTCTACTTTACTGCGACAAGCATGACATTAGACAAGAAACGTGTAAAACGAAAACCAGTCATCTTTATCACGAATAGGACCTACATATCCACCAGAATGTCGTCCACACTCACAGGTGCTCTCTTGGAATGATCTTGGGAGTTATCTTCCTTCTTCTTTCCCAAAACTTCGTTCCGCTTCCCTTCCGCAAAAGTTGTACTGCCTGTAGTCCCAATCGTTCTCTCCACAGCATCTTTCACTACTTCCCACAATTCCGGATAATTTTTCCGTACCAAATCCGACACCAAAAACTCGCGCAGCGTGTGGCCGTTCTTCAGCGGGAAGAACTGGGAGTGATCTAGATGCAACTTCAGATCCAAATCCTCACTTCGCGGGCCGTGGAGCTATGGATTGCAAATATGTCTGGGTCTGGAAAGAACTTGTAATGCTGGATCAAGAATAAGTGAATGCTCTGCAATGCACAGCCAAGCATGAGAAGTGTCTGCGCTGCTTAGTGTTGCGCTTTCCGCGTGACAAGCTGCGCTTTTGCATGACAAACAAAAGAGTTTCTTCTTGGACACGCATCACAAATTCTTCAGTCATGCCAAACAAGCATGACAAATCTCGCAATCTTCCAGACCCAGACATATTTGCAGTTGATAGGAGCAGCTCCTTGATGATTTCCAAATACACGTTTTTCCGTTTTTATGCAGTGCAAAAAGTATCGCACTTGTACCAATTATCGATTTTACGCATTACAAATCTTTTTCTCAAGGCGGATCCACATTACAATTTTAATTTGTAATGCTGAGTCGATTTGTAAATGCAATTTATACTAGAAGGTAGAAGTACGATGCTTTTGCAATGCATAGTTTCTCAATCACCACTTTTTTCCGCCACTTCCGCATGTCGCCGTTCAGCTTTTCGTTCCTCTTCATCTTCTCCTGGAGGACGTTTTTTTCTGTTTTTGCAGCGAGGGTCTGATCATCGGCGTCTTCATCCGAAGGAGAAGAAGAAGAACTTCTACACTTGCATCTACAGTTGCCGCACGTCATTGCCCATTCGTACTCCATGCAGTTCTTTCCGCAGTAAAATTCGAGCATCGCTTTCAGATTTTCCGATGGAATTGTCGGGTTATGGATTACAAAAGTATCGCACTTGTAGACTAGTAGAAATCTTCGCATGACAAATTTGCTCAGCATGAGAAATGGAACTTGTATATGCTAAATTTACTTTGGAAAGGAGATCTGTATTGCATAAAACGCGATTACTACTTTTTTACCTGTACGTCGATACTTTTGCAAATCATACGGGTCTTCCTTGCTCAGCTCCACGTACTGATCCACTGCAATTCCCAAAGCGGAGGGCACCATTTCGTTGGTGGAATTCAACTATGCATTGCAAAGGTATCGTGCACGTACTCGTAGTCGTCGCAATCATGCTTGACAAATGCTTCTCCCAAGCAAAATTAGCATGGTAAATTCCATTTGTCATGCTGCGCTAATTTGTATTGCTAAACAGACCGCGTTAATTATTTGTATTGCAAGTACTACGGCACTGGTAAACGATAGTTTTGCAAGTCATATTAGCGCGAAGTTGGAAATCAGGTGGAGGTCCGTGCTTGGGCTCTTTTTTCTGTCGATGAGACCGCTGGAGCTGGAGGACGTTATGGTAGCAGTGTCTTGATGATTCTGGAGAATGTTTAACATGTTTTGTTTCCTCTCGTCTTGCACGACAGGCAGCTCCGAGGGCAGGTCCTGTATTGTGAGTTCGACGTTTCCCGGTGGGTGTTGGATGATTGCAGTTTTGGTTTCATCATCTTCACGACGAGAATTTTTGTTATTGTTCCGTTTCACGTCGTCCTTGCTCAACAGCATCGGGGTTCTTGTACTAGCCGCAGCGGGTCGTGCACCAGACACTCTTACTGCTGCTGCGGTTTCATTTCCACTTTTTCCCAAGGCCGGCGCTGGAGGAACACCATCACCATCACCGCTTTTGACGTGGTCCTCACACTGCACCTCAAGAGCTTCGACCACCGCCTTTCGATGAAATTGCGTCGCAGAACTGCGCACGACAGGGGTCCTCGTTGTTTCATTCTGTTCGTGGTTGATTTTCACACTTGTCGTACAACTCGTCCTGCTTAAAGTGGTTGATGATGGGAGCTTGTTCTCGTCACTGTTCTTGGCCGGAACATCAACTTCTGCAAAGTCTACTTTCTGCTCAAGCTCGTGATCCGAACTTCCCGCGTAACTGCTACCCGTGTAGGCTCGCGGACGACCATTTATTCCACTCCTTTCGTCAGAAGTTGTTGCCGCCGCACTTGGATTTTGCTGCCCTCCTGCGGGTAGTTCTTTTTGCTGTTGTAGATGTTTCTTCTCCCCATAATTATTGCGAAACGACATGTCCTTCAGCTTCCGATGCACCGTGGCGCAGTCCGCGATTAGCGTCTCGACGGACTCTTCGGTCAATGCGACTTTTTCAAATTTGTCCAAATGGTTCCCAAAATTCTCTGGATCGAGCAGGTCGCCGAGTAAAGATTTTTCCTTGTTTTCCTCCTGTTCGTGTGCCATGTCGAGAAACATTTTTTCGATGTCGCCCTCGCCCATCTTGGTCACATCTTCGACGTTGTAATTGACATTCCCACGATTGTCTTCCTCCTCGACCTGTAGTTCTTCGCGCTGGTTCAACAGCCCGGTGGTGACGTCACAACGACCGTTGTCCTCATCGTCGTCCTCGGGACTCGCTGTACCATCGTGGTCAACCCCCGCTGTTGTGTTGCTTCCATCTCCACAGGTGGTAGTGATAGTCGTGTCGCCTCCCGGACTAGCCGCGTTGAGGTTCTTCCTCGTCTTCGTGTAGCTTTCATCATCTTCATTCTCGTTGTTCTCATCGTCGGAGCAGTAGCCTGCAAGATGAACCTCCGCCTGTTGTTCCGGCGCTTCCGCAATCGCAGCTGGAGCTGCACACGAACTCGAAGATGAATATCCTGTGCAAAAGTATCGTACTAGTATGAATTGCATTACAAATTGGCTTAGCATTACAAAGGTAATTTGTAATGCGGATTTCCCTTGATTACTAGATTTGTAATGCATGACTGCGATTAGTACGAGTACGATACTTTTGCAGTGCATAACGAAAGTGGCATTACGATGGTCTGTTCCTTCACGTCTAAAATCAGCCCTATGCATTGCAAAAGAGTCTGTGTCTGGAAGGATGCAACTTGTGATGCTGCATCTGGATTCTACAAAAAATCTGTATTGCATGAACAGCAAAAGAGGTCCAGTTTTTGCCACGGCGAGCGGGCATTTCTCATGCGGTCGAGGCATCAGGAAGCCCTCACAAGATCTGTGATGCTAGGGCATGCATCACAGACATCAGGAGTCATGTTGGGAAACTAAGGGCAGGGCGTCCCTTTGTAAATTACGTCGACAAACTCTTAACCGCGTACCCGGTAAACTCCAAAACAGAAATTTTTTGAACAGCGTGATTTCTACCGAGAGACAACAACCGAAACTCCTGGGACGGCTGCGACGTGAGTTGGTTGTTATCTAGGTAGAAATAACTCTGTGCAAACTCCCTGTCTCAGCACCGAGGGAACCAAATTAAAAAGTAAAAGGGTTCATGCAAAATATGCATGACAAACCTGGCAATCTTCCACACCCAGACATTTTTGCATTTGATAAGACCCAACGATGTGCCAAACACGTCGTCGTCGCTCAAAAAGTCAAAGATTTTACTTCCCTCGTCGTTTTGGTTTTTACTTTGCTGGTCGTTGGAATGGTTTTTGTCATGCTGTACTACCGCTGTACTAGTACTACTGCCACCACTTTTCAACAACAGTTTCGCGACTTTCCGCTTCACTGAATACTCGAATTCCGGGTTCACGTGACGCCACACCGGGTTCATCAAGACCTGCAACGGGTTCGTTCTTTCTTCCTCGATTTGCTTCAGTTTTTTCTTACTCAACTTCTTTGTTCCCGGCTTAATGCCGTAAAAATCTGCCGCGTTGAGCTCCTTTCTCTCCGGGAGGTAAGAAAGTGTCTTTGACTCGATGCTGCACTTGAAAAAGGAAGGATCGTCGGGGTCTTGCTCCTCATCATTGCGGGCGGTCGTTTTCACCGGCGAAGAAGGTCCTCTCGACACAGCAGCAGCTGTCCGCAAGTAAACAAAGTCGAAGTCGCTGGCAGTGGGAGCGGTTTTCACAATGATGCTGTCCTTGTCGTTGTCGTCCTTCCTGTTGACAATACTCGTTGTAGCATTTGCGTTCAAGAAATCGCTACCGTCCCGGTTCTTGTTCATCTCCGCCCCTACCGCGACCGCTTTCTTACTTCCGACGTTTCGCAGCATCTGCAGGTTATGAACTGCAAAAGTATCGTACTAGTATGTAAATTTGCTCAGCATTACAAATTATAATTAAATTTGCAATGCGGGTTTGCCTTAAGAAAAACAAAAAGATTTGTGATGCATAACTGCAATTACTACGAGTACGATACTTTTGCACGGGATACAGGTAAAACTCCGGTAAATGTTCGCACCACGACCAGGTTTGCCGCTGTAGCATCTCCCGAATCATATCAAATGCAAAAGTGTCTGGGTCTGGAAGAGTGCGCGATTTGTCATGCAGCTTTTCGATGACCCATGAGGTCTGGAATGCAGGACCTAGCATGACAGATTCTGTGCGATCTCTTTCATGCCTATCCTGCATGAGAAACTCCCTCCCGACTTGGTCAAAACTGGACGACTTTTGGCAATCATGCAACACAGATTTTTGCAAGCTTCAGATTTAGCATGACAAGTTGCATTCTTCCAGACCCAGACATTTTTACACTTGATAAATCATGGGGGAGTACCAAACGAGCTCCAAACAGGCGACCGCGAGATTAAACAAGTGGTGCTCCGCGATCGTTCGGGCGGTGAACCAGTGGAAAACGTCTTTCGGATTGTTCACCACCAGAACCGCATTCGCAAACAATATCCAGTGCAAAAGTATCGCACTCGTAGTAATTGCACTTATGCATTACAAACAAGGTCCGAGCACGGGGACAGAGTCCCCGTGCTGCGACCTTCCGACGTTTGTCTGCGCGGTGGCACTGGGCAGGCAGGTCGCTCGCAGCTAGGTATCTCGGTGCGCCTTGCATTCAATGACCCGCGACGGGCCTGCGGACGCGGCTCCCTTGCTTACGCGCACTAGATTCATTAGCCATCCGCGCGCAACGATAAAAAGAAAGAAGAAACTGGCGCCGGGTCTGGAGCCGGCCCCCAGGTCATGGCGCGGCGACAGAGCCCCCGCACCGCCTTAGGGCTTTTCTTTGCCCCTTCCTTGGCTGCGCGGTGTGGTTCCCGGGGGGTGTTCATAGCTAGCCCCTAGGCCATGGCGCGGGGACCGAGTCCCAGCGTTGGCCTAGGGTTTTCGCCCCTTGGCCACACGGTGTCCGGGGGGCGCTCACAGCTGGCTCCTAGGCCATGACGCGGGGACCGAGTCCCCACGCTGGCCTAGGGCTTTCGCCCCTTGCTCGGCCGCGCCGTGTCCGGGGGGCGCTCGCTGCTCGCTGGCCCCTAGGCCATGGCGCGGGGGCCGAGTGAGTCCCCGCGCCCTTGGCCGCACGGTGTCCGCGAAGCGCATACAGCTGGCCCCTAGGCCATGACGCGGGGACCGTCCGAGCCCCCACGCTGGCCTAGGGCTCTCGCCCCTGCCTTGGCCACACGGTGCCCGGGAAGCGCTCCGCCCCAGCTGGCCCCTAGGCCATGGCGCGGGGGCCGAGTCCCCGCGCTGGCCTAGGGCTTTCGCCCCTTGGCCGCACGGTGTCCGGGAAGCGCTCACAGCTGGCCCCTATGCCATGACGCGGGGACCGAGCCCCCGCGCTGACCTAGGGCTTTCGCCCCTTGGCCGCACGCTTTCCGGGAGGCGCCTCACTAAAGCTGGCCCCTAGGCCATGACGCCGGGGGCCGAGTCCCCACGCTGGCCTAGGGCTTTCGCCCCTTTGCCACACGGTGTCCGGGGTGGGAGCGCTCACAGCTGGCCCCTAGGCCATGGCGCGGGGACCGAGTCCCCGCGCTGGCCTAGGGCTTTCGCCCCTTGGCCGCCCGGTGTCCGGGGTGGAAGCGCTCACAGCTGGCCCCTAGGCCATGACGCGGGGGCCGAGTCCCCGCGCTGTCCTAGGGCTTTCGCCCCTTGGCCGCACGGTGTCCGCGCGCGCAAAGCTGGCCCCTAGGCAATGACGCGGGGGCCGAGTCCCCGCGCTGGCCTAGGGCTTTCGCTTCTTGGCCGCACGGTGTCCGGGAAGCGCCCAAAGCTGGCCCCTAGGCCATGGCGCCGGGGACCGGGTCCCCGCGCTGGCCTAGGGCTTTCGCCCCTTGGCCGCACGGTGTCTGGGACGGGTGGGAGCGCTTACAGCTGGCCCCTAGGCCATGGCGCGGGGGCCGAGTCCCCGCGCTGGCCTAGGGCTTTCGCCAGCCTCTTGGCCGCACGGTGTCCGGGAGGCGCTCAAAGCTGGCCCCTAGGCCATGACGCGGGGACCGAGTCCCCGCGCTGGCCTAGGGCTTTCGCCCCTTGGCCGCACGGTGTCCGGGAAGCGCCCAGAGCTGGCCCCTAGACCATGGCGCCGGGGACCGAGTCCCCGCGCTGGCCTAGGGCTTTCGCCCCTTGGCCGCACGGTGTCCGGGATGGAAGCGCTCACAGCAGGCCCCTAGGCCATGGCGCGGGGACCGAGTCCCCGCGCTGGCCTAGGGCTCTCACCCCTTGGCCGCACGGTGTCCGGGATGGAAGCGCGCACAGCTGGCCCCTAGGCCATGGCGCGGGGACCGAGTCCCCGCGCTGGCCTAGGGCGTTCGCCCCTTAGCCACACGGCGTCCGGTTACGGAAATGGTCACAGCTGGCACCTAGGTCATGGCGCGGGGACATAGTCCCCGCGCTGACCTAGGGCTTTGGATCGCCCCTTGGCCGCACGGTCTCGCGCGACAGACTGGGCTTCGGGTCCAAACCCCACATGACAAAGTCCGAAAGTTTGGCCGGGGTGTGTCCGAAAGTTTGGCCGGGGTGTGTCCGAAAGTCTGCCCGGGGTGTGTCCGAAAGTCTGCCCGGGGTGTGTCCGGGGTGTGTCTGGGGTATGTTCGGACTTTTTGCCTGGGGTGTGTTCGGGGGTCTGTCTGGGGTATGTCTGGGGTGTGTCTGGGGTGTGTCTGGGGTATGTTTATACCCCACCTTCTGCTTTTTCGCCAAAAATTTGTATTCAGGTCGTGATTGACTGCCATTTGCATACCCCTGACACACCCCCGAACATACCCCTCGCCTGCATTTTTGACCAGCTGCTGCAGTTTAGATAGTAATCTCCATCCCAAGGTAAAACAGCATGACAAATTCCATTTTTCATGCTGAAGGAATTTGTCATGCGATTTCTACTAGTACGATGCTTTTGCATTTCATAAACAACCACGCCCGGCAAAACTCCAAGCCCAACTCGTATCCTGTGCAAAAGTATCGCACTCGTACTGCAATCATGCATTACAAATCCTTTTCTGCAGGTCAATCCGCATTACAGATTTCATCTCTCATGCTGAGGAAATTTGTAATGCATTTATACGAGTACGATACTTTTGCAGTTCATAACTCGTTTGCCTTGTCGAGAAACTTCGCGACATCCAGCGGGTTCGCGTGGTTACTCCGCGGCCGTATCCTGTGGAAAAACGTCCCCGCGACCCCATAGTCAAGAAGGGAAATCTGCTAGACAACTCCGCCAGCTTTGGTTGTTTCGCATGACAAGTTTGCCCTCATAGTGTGATCCTGTTTAGCTAGTTCAGCAGCAACATAGATCTAGCAAGCCATGCTGATTCTAGCATCACAAATTCCAAAACACGACTAGAAGATGCTTCTCATGGGGCTCCGCATGAGAAACTTGTTTGGCATGCAGATTTGCATTGCAAGAGCTCTGGGGTCGTGGGGACGTTTTTACACAGGATAGGTCGGTCGGTTTCCTCGTCCCACCGGTGGAGCAAGCGGCGGAGCTGATGTTGCGGCCCCGTACCATTCGTAGTTGTTGACCCAGGAGCACCTCCTTCTTCTTGCACTTCTAACAGCGGCTCAAACGGGGTCTCATCCGTGCGGAAAAGAGCCGTGTTGTGACCGGATTTGGGTTATCAAATGCAAAAGTGTCTGGGTCTGGAAACTTGTAATGCTAAAAGTGGATAATAGCCGGACTGCAATATGCAGCCAAGCACGACAAATTTTTGAGGTGCTATGTGTTGCGTATTTCGCATGAGAAACTGCGTTCTTGCATGACAGATAGGAGCGCCTTTTCGTCGTACTCATGCATCACAGATTCTCGAGTGATGCTAGACATGCATAACAAATCTCGCAATCTCCCAGACCCAGACATTTTTGCATTTGATATGGGTAGCAAGACGAAGTTCGCGAGCCGGAGAAGTTCCCGCTGCTGGTGCAGTTTTAACTGCGACCAGAAGGGGGACGAGTCGTCTTCGTCGTGGTTCGTTTCTTCAGTACTGCTAGAAGTACTAGTCCCGCCGGACGAGGACTCATCCTTAGTATTCGAACTAGAGCTCCTGGTGCCAGCACTACTTCTTCCGAGGTTTGGCGGCGGCACCTCCCCGGTTTTTTGCGCCTGATCTAATGCGATCCGCTTCGGCGCTTCTTGCAACAGCGCGTGCTCCACGCGGCGCAGCAAACTCCGCAGGGACCACGCGTCCAGTTGGAACCGCTTGTTATTCGCACTTGGACAGGATCTCTTATTTTTTTCCAAGTTCAGCGTCCCGGCCGCACAAGCCAGGAGAAACCGGAGCCGCCAGAGTGCAGACAAAAGTTTCTTCGGGTGCAGTGGCTGGTTGGCGTTGACGAGGTCCGTAAAGTTCGGGAAAATGATTTGCGGCGCGTAGTCGAGGAGATGGAAGTTTGATGATGTCTTGCCGGTGCTCCTGTCAAGAATAGGAGCAGAAAGAAAATCTTCGTTTTCCGACTCGTCTGTACTGACGTAATTGCTCGTTTCCTTTTCATCTTCGTCCGAGCTGTCTTTATCGACGTCGCTGTCGAAATCAGATTTTTCGTCGTCTTGGTCAGAAGGATCATGGCCATTTCTTTCGTTTTCCCTCGTCCGCTTCATTTCAACACTGCGCAGCAGGTCCTTGACCTTCACGCCGTATCTTTTCCGGATCGATTCCCCAATCAGCGCTGCTGCCTTGTCGTCGAGGTGGTTCTCTTTGCTCTTCTTGTGCTTCGTCGTGACCGCGAACTCCCGGACCTTCGCAATTTTCGCGAAGTCGCGGGCTAGCACCGTCACCTGGTCTGCGTCCAGCTGAATGCCGCTCAGATTCGGCTCCGCGAAGAGAACGAGCTCGAGGGGACTCAACATCTTCCGATGCACACGGAAGCAGAGATCCTCGTAGGTTTGTTTATGTTCTTTTTGGTCATCTACTTGTGCAGCACCAGCAGCAGGTGAGGCAGCAGTTATTTCCTCATCGTCATAATCTTTAGAAGTGTCCCCATCGGACTCTGTCGGAGATGAAGATGTTGAGGGTTTAGTCTTGAAGATTTTCGGACCAAGCAGTCCGCTTGCTCCGGCTTCATCTTCCTCTCGGTCGTCGAGAACCATCTCCAAATATGAACTGCAAAAGTTAAAGTATCGTCCTCGTATTAATGCATTACAAATTTCGATTTCCTCAGCATGAGAAATAAAATTTGTAGTGCAGATTTACCTCAAAAAGAAGATTTGCAATGCATGACTGCAGTACGAGTACGATAGTTTTGCACAGGATACCAAATGCTTCGCCACGTCCGCTGGGATGCCGAACACTTTGTAGATGCAGTCGTAGACGGTTTTGCAACTCTCAGAGTTCGTGAAAACGGAGAAGATGTTGCCCCCGACATCACGGAATCGAAAAACTCGCAGATTGCTGATGTCGGTGGTCGTGACGGTCAGATGAGAAGTCGTCGTGTTTGATGTTTTACTCATTGTTGTGGAGGTTGTACCAGCGGGTTGTTGACTTGTTGCTCCTGCGGTCGAAATTATCGCGGAAGTCGAAGAAAGTGCCGCTTTGGCGAATGGGCTTTCGTCACGCGGAGCCGCGCCCGCGGACAGAATACTTTCAGCCATAGTTGTTTTGCTGTGCGGTATTCATATTTTTTCAGATCTGCTTGAGCTTGTTCTGGTGTACTGGAGCTGTCCACTAACAGCACACGAGAGCTCCACTTGTAGGATGAAAGTGCCGCAATGACAACAAATTCATAAGTAGTGGATACCTACATGCTGCTTTTCAATCCGATCTTGTACAGAACAACCTACGGTGAAAGAATAGAAATTATGGTTGATGTTATCATGATGTAATTGACACCCATGTCATTGCGTCCGAGCCATCTTCGCCATTTTTCATTTTGAAAAATCAACAACGACAAACACACAGGCCCCTCGAAAACAATTTATCGAACGAATAAATTTGCGATTTGTAACGACCGTTGAAACGGTTTGGATTTCTCGACAACAATAAGGCGAGCAAGACACGACGCTTCTTGTTCTCTCGACATAACCTCACTCCGGTGCTGCTACTTTCTTTTCTGGTTTTCGAAACATCACAAGAAGAAGTCCGTTTTTCCTGCCACCCTCCAAGGAGGTTCTTCGTTGTAGTTTTGGCCGAACAACAGGGGTGTTTGTACTACAACTGACCCGTTTTTTACCTGCACTTGAACATCCGTGAGGATGCCGGCGCAACTGCGGTAGTTGCAACTTTCCATGAATACAACTTTGTTTTTTTTCTCCAACATCCTTCTACAGCTTCAATCTCACATAATCACACACTTACACGTCATTTCCTTTTGCCTTTCCTCTACACGAGCTACCTTTTCGGATTGATCTCTCACTTCCTCCCCCACCTGTTTCAACTTGCCCTCTATCCTCTCCAACACAGCCCTGAGCATCTCGCTGTTGTTCTGGATTTGCTGCGCAGCAACCAGATCTTTCTCCAACTTCAACACGCGCGCGCTGGTCTCTTCCACCTTATTGCCCGCTTCCTCGGTTGTGGTCAGTGTCTCGTCCACTTTGAGCATAATTTGATTTGGATCTATCGTGGAGTTGATATCGGATATCCTACCGTCTAACCTCACCAAGCCTAACTGCACGTCCATAATCCGGGCCAGCAACTGGCGCAGCGCGAGTCGCATGCTGAACACCAGATCCTGCGCCGCTTGCCGCTCGGCGGTCTCCGAGATCGGGGGAACAACGACCGATTCTTGAGAATGAGTGCGAGTAAGGTTGGTAGTTGTAATTCCTGGGTCCTCGTACTGGCGCCGGACAATCGGTTGCGAAGGCGCGGAGGCAGCAGAAGCGAAGTTCATGTGCTTGTTGTTCTCTGCTGTCGTGCTGGCAAGCGCCGCAGTCGTGGCTTTATCGTTTTCGGTCTTCGTCGTGCCTGCTCCCGATGGTGCTGTCAAATCGAAATCGACATCTTCATGGCTGATCAAGTCCATCGAACTGTTTTCCATCGGGAGCGCAGCGCCGCCGCTGGCGGCGTCTGGATGATGGTGGTCTTTGTCCATGATAATATCGTTCTTGTGAATCACACTACCCTGATACTGAAACTAGTGCACTGTCATATTAAACTTAAGGTAGAGCAGAAGTTGGTACTCAAGCGTTCTCACCAAACAACAGGAATTGCAGTGCTATGATGTGTAGGGATATTAGGCCAACTACCACTACAACTACCTGCGCCAATAAGAAAAGTGTCTTCAGTCATGGATGGTGTACTACTGCTTGCGTAATACAGCTTTTGTTAGTGCGACGATGAAGAGTAAGTCACCTGTATCGTGTTCCTGCTGAGAAAGTAGTCAAATTCAAGGAACCACACGACTAAAAGGAACGACAAACGAGGACGACCAGGACGAAGAGGCACGAAGACGATTGCTATTGCTTCTTGTTGCGGGGAAGATACATAGAACAACATCTCGCTATTGCAAAATTCTTGCGCTGCAGTTGGCAACAGACTCGTATCCTCGTAGTACGCCGTATCTTCTACTTGCTTCTTGCAGGATTCACGGAGTTGGAAGTCTAAAAAATCTGAGGGAAACATAGGTGCAGTACGTAAATATTGATTTAACAAAAAGGAGAAAGCGAATATTGGCAGATGAGCCACTCACTGCCTGATGCAGAAGATTCGGGGCAGATGACAACTTCTACTTCACAGACAGAACTGACACTGTGCCCCCTCCCCTGCTACTGCTTTTATTTTAGTAGAAATAATCTCGATCTCCAGCACTGGGCGGACGCTTACCTCCCTTCTTGCCGCCTTTCTTGCCGCCCTTCTTGCCGCCCTTTGCCTTTCCACTGCCCTTCTCGCCGTAGCCGTCCTTGCCCTGGCCGTACGACTGGTAAGTAGGCCAGTCTCATCCTCTGTAAAAACAAGGTCATGACCCCAGGGTCAAGATGGGGAGTTTGCAAGAACACAAAGCGAGATCAGCTGCTCGCGCAGCCGCGTCAGCAATCGATACTCAACTTTTCTTTCCCTGCAGAAAGAAGGGCATGAAAAACTCCAAAACACCATGAAAGACTGCCTCTTAATATGTGGCTCGTGAACATGTAGGCAAACTTGCACGACAGCCCTTGGGTCGTGAAGATGACGTTTTTACACAGGATAAGTCGGCATCGTACCAGTCGGTGCCGCCCCAACCGGTGCCGTTCCAGCTCTGGGCACCGTATGCCTGGCCACCGTCTACGTATCCAAGCCCGTGGCCAACATTGTTCCTGTTCGCGGTGGCCGCAGCTCGACTCGTATACCAAGCCACCGAGATCAGAATGCCCTATGCATCGCAAAAGTGTCTTCACCTGGGTCGGAAGTTGAAGGACAACAAGATCGATCATGAAGCAAGAGCTGTGAGCAGTTTTTTTGTCGTGCTCGAAGACGAGCGTTAGAGTTTGCTACATCTGCTTTATGGAAGTGTCAGAATCGAAATTGACAAAATCGAAATATTTGTGATGCATAAAATCGATACCAGTTGGAGCCTCAGTTTCCAAGTGGCGCATCACAAATTTTGGGAGCACCGAAATCCAGTCTGTCATGCTGTTTGGACAAAGAAGACTGCCCCTGTCATGCTATTCTGGCAGCACATTGCATACTTCTAAACAGGCTTGCCATCGGTCTCATTTGCCTGCTCCCCAATACAGGCCTTCAGTGCCCTACATTTTGCGCATCACAAGTTTTTCGATTTTGTCGATTTCGATCCTGACACATCCATATGCTTTATGCGATTCTTTATCTTTATTCTTGGGGTTAATACTTCAAATAAACCTAACTGATGAAGATGACTCTACTCAGTATGATTCATGAGATATTAGCCTCGAATATTAAAGTAGACTCGTCCTGATGCTGGTAATATGCAGTACAAGTGGCAACTTTGCGACGCTCGAGCAGCCTGCAGTATAGTACACAGTTTATTTTCTGACCCAGACACATTTGCATTTGATATGCCCAGGCCGCAGACAACAGCAATGGCAATGACCTTCGTCTCAAATCCGGTGTCGTCGTCTTGTATCGTGTCGAAAAACCAACGTGCCTCCTCCCCGTTTTCGTCACGCAAATTTGCAATTATAGGCCAGACCCGGCAGACCCTTTTCGGTAGGTTGGTAGGTAGTTGAGTAGGGCGATGCTGTGAACTAGATAGCATGGGCGTTAGCTACCTCGAGCGTGGTCGTAGTGTCTTTCCTCCCGTGATTTTGCCCTCCTACCTACCTACCCTCATCGGGTCAGCCACAGTCATGCACGTCTCAGCGCGAGGCGAGCTACCCGACCTACCTACTACTATCGGCCGAGCTGCCACAGAGCATAGGTCTCGAGCCGCCCTACCTACCTACTAGTGACAGACTAGCTTCCGTAGCTGGTGCGGATCACAGGGCGCCAAGCTACCTACCTACGACTCGCCCTATCTCTGAGCAGGCGCCTTTCAAGAATTCCCGACGTGCCCTACCTACCTACTTCCGCCCGGGCCGGCGGGAGTCAGTGTTGGCTTGCCCGGCCTGCCTCCTAAGGTGTGCCGGCCGCCTGCGCAAGTCAGGGCTCGGCGGTCTCCCCGGTCCACCTATTGCTGTCGTTGTGTGGTGGCGCGGCTGATCCGCGCCACCACAGTGCCCTGGTCCTTCCGGTCCGGGCAACTCAGTGCTACACCTGCCCGGCGACCGCGGCAGGTGTTGGACTAGCATCACCTGCCCGACCTACCTACTGCTGCGCCTGCCGGCGCGGCGCAATGGGCCTGGGTCTGGCGCGGGTGCGCCCTCTCCCTCTGCCCGAGCTACCGCACTAGCCGGCGGGGGGCGTGGGCCAACGTCAATCGGAGGGGCCGGGGCTCGAAAAACCAACGTGCCTCCTCCCTGTTTTCGTCACGCAAATTTGCATGTTGCCCACAAGCTGGCTCATACGCAACCCCATGACATACTACACTTGCTATTCTTATCGTGATTGAGGATAGTTCATCATGATTATGCTTTGCCTTTGGTCGTGTTGATGAAAAGACGGATTTATACTTTGGCTGAAGTATAGTGTTAGTGTAGTACCTAGACACAACTTCTACGTGCACTACATCTTACCCAAACCCAAATTTATCGTCTCATGCGCGAGGTCTCAGCCTTGTGGATTTGACTACGGGGTGGTGCAGGCTTGTACTGTGTTTTTTACACATGATATCGTCGTCTTTCTGTCCCGTGAGCGGGGATGGTGCTGGTTGCGGAAAAGCTGCGGGTCCCGGGCTCGGAGACGGTGCTGGTTGCGGAGAATTTTCGGGTCCCGGGCTCGGAGATGGTGCTGGTTGCGGAGAATTTTCGGGTCCCGGGCTTGGAGACGGTGCTGTTTGCGGAGAAGGTGAGGGTCCCGGGCTCGGAGAGTTCGCGGTACTCCCACTAGCATCGCCGCTGGAAATGGATGCAGCTTGTATGACCTTGCACAACTCCCCCTCCCGCTCATTTTTTTCAGCATGGCATGAGCAGCAACGGAATGAAACAACAACAAAATGAAAAATTGGCTTTCTGCATGACAAATTTGGAAAAGAAATGTAGTGCGGCAATAAATGTGGAAACGAATGGGCTGTACCACAGCCCGTAAGGCACCGGCGGGGATTGCAAATTTGCAGAAAAGATGAGGGGGCGGTGAGGAGGTGCACTCGAGTAGGGTCTGTCCCGTCTCCGTCTCCGCTTTGCGAGTTCGCCAGACCAGGTTTACATCTTGTGACACCACTTGACACGATGAAGGTGGCCTGTAGACTGGGACAACGCTCGACGCAACTCTGTTGTGCAGGGTCCCAATAGGGTTTCTCATCCGGACACCGAGTACACGGACACCACTTGGAAGCTCCTATAACTCGTTGGGGGAAATCCGTGGTTATCGGTACCGACAGCAGTTTAGGGGTGTCTTTCGCAAAAAATCTTCACTCCCAAGGGCCACCAGCAGCAGTGCTGGTTTTCCAGAGTAAGTAGCCCGGACAACCTTCGCCGTTCTGATTCAAGTTTAACTTGCTGCACACATCTCCACATTTCTCAAGTTCAACTTGCTCCTGCACAACCGTGTACGTTGTAATCCCCTCTTCCAGGGAGGAAAACCCGCTAGAATAGGGCGCACAATAAAACTCATCAGAGTAATCATTTTCCAGAAAGAATCCCGCCTCTCCCGCTATCGCGTCGGAGTCACAATGATACTTCTCGTTAGCCTCTATCGGGCAGTAATTTAGACAGTATAGTCCCGTTGCGGCCCCCCTTTCTGGCACCAAGAACGTCCACAATGCAACGGCTCCCAGCTTCGAAAAAATGATGTTGACCATGCTGTTCTTTCAGTCGTACTTGTAATCTTCAACCGCTAGACATTTAATATCAAGGATCAAGCGAAGTAGTACACACAAGGTCCTAGTAGTAATTATCCATCATTTTCATTCGTGATTGTTTTTTTCAACAAGAATACGTATTGTTCTATAGAAGTGAATCATGCTCCATATGATCTCTCTCGGTCTCCCTCTGAAGGGGAACTAAGGCTAAGGGACCTGCGAAAAAGATGAAGGTGGTGAGGTACTATCGGAAGAGAAACTACTGGCGTTTAACGTCATTTAGTGTTCTGCTTCTCGCGTAGATTACTTGAACGTCCGAGAATGTGTGCAAAAACTACCACGAGTACGTACTGCGGTGTCTATTGCAAGTACTCAACATATTGTTTTACTTTTAACGAGCAATCTCATCAATTCCGAAGAAGTGCCATAGAACTCCCCTGTTCCTACGGAAAGGAAACTGCGAAGAAGAAGTTGCCGGGGTCAAGTATTTTCCTACAACCTCCGAATAGAACAAACAACACTTCTCCACCTCCTAAGTGGATGAGCCAACGCCTGAGTCCTGTTCTCAACCCAAAATTTTTGAGTCCCATCTGAAGCAAAGAAACTTGTGCAGCCGGGGCGGCCGAAGGAGTTGAGGATCGAAGTTTAATAAACAGACGCGGCGACGGGCATGATTCCGTATCGGCGGGCGCTAAAATCCTAGGACCTAGGAAAAAAAGAAAAACTGCTTGGTTCCAGTTGGGCCCGGGAAAAACGAAAACGAAGCAAAAAAAGGAGGATTTTGCTGCAAAAAGATTGCACCTAAGGAGGAGGAGGAGGAGGAGGAGGAGAACCATACACAGCAAGCTAGACAGGACTAGTAAATAGCGCACACCACACAGTAGAACGAAGACCCTGTTTCCGCTCTCCCGCTTCAGTCAGTGATGTCGTTGCCACCTCGCAACGCCAACGCTCTTTGTACCTAAAAGGGATATTATGGGTCGCGCTTAGTTTCTCATCTCTAGATCGAAGACAAGGAACCGATGTAGAAAACGAGCCGAGCGAGAGCATCACCGATGAAGAATCAATCATACGATAGGGCAAACCGAAATTTTATCACTCAAGGACCTCACTTCCGAAGTACAGTAAGTAGCCGTGAACTTGAACTACAAGTGCCTGAAAATATGTAGTACCCGTTGTAGCCTCCACATGAAGGACATGAGAGGAGGGACGATTCTAGTTCTATTCTAATCTAGGCGGCAGGTGCGTATGCGTAAACAACTACTACTCAGATGGTCATGCGGTGAAGATGATGATGATGATATCAAGCTGGGCTTGGCGCGCGGTAGGAATCAATAAGTAGTAGTAGCCTACCCGACTGCCATAATATTAAGGCCATACGTTGAATGAGGCCAGGACTTTCACTTGTCGACATTCAAGTGCGGAATCAAACTGTTTTTGAACGGACGACCAGTAGAACGATCGAAAGAGAAACCAGAGTTGCACGAGGACAGAACGAGGGGCCGACAATAAACGACGTGTCAGACAATAAACACGAGCAGATTATTGGACGATTTGATTGAGAAGTTGTGCTATCTAGAAGTCCGATTCCGATATACAAGCTGTCATTAAGAAGTCAGCGAACGGCCAGAAAACAAAGTAAAGCTAAAGCTGGAAGACGCAGGGAAATAGAAAAGAATCTTGAACAGTCAGATGGATCTTTATTTTTACCTCACATTTTTGCTCCGGGGAAAATGAATATTTGTTCACGCACTGGTGAGTTCACTTTCATTTTTGTCGCTGTACTAGCTGTTACTGTTTTGTATTTGTTGTTCTCGGTGGATGCAACGAAATAATGGTCGAAAAATCAAAATGCGTCTGCTCTTTCGTACGATGCCATGAAAATCTCAGCACGACCCCTCGCTTTTTTACTAGCGTAGAAGGTAGACCGCTTCATCAGGTACTTACAGTTGCGTCTGGGCGAAGCAGCGTTCATCTCGCTCATAGTAAGAGTAACTCTAACTACTTTCGAGTTAAAATACAACCCTTGATTATGGTTCGCGAGGACAGAGTTTTCCATCACGACCTCCATCTGTTTTTTTCTTTTCCAGCACAACAACCCCTCAGTGCCTTCCTCCGCGACCGAAAAACTTCTTCATCGCGTTTTTCGCAAATTGCTGCGTCTGGCTCACATCGCACATGTCCCGGAGAAACTGCGCTTGCGTTTCCCGGGCTTTTTTGCAGTTCTCCGCGATACTAGACGTTGCATTTGCAGAACCAACGTCCGCGTTGTTTGTCTGCGGTCCGGAGAGCGCTTGGTCGCCCATTGCGTGAAAAATATCCGCACCCAGCTTGTCGCGGAGCAGAAGGGTGACTTGCATGATCTCCCCGAGAAGGTTCACGGGCGCGTTTCGTTTGAGCAGCTGAAACAACGTATGAACTGTAAAAGTATCGTACTCGTATAAATGCATTACAAATTTCCTCAGCATGAGAAATAAAATTTGTAATGCGGACTTACCTTAACAAAAGGATTTGCAATGCATGATTGCAATACGAGTACGATACTTTTGCACAGGATACAACGCACGAAGCAGCAAAGACCCGATGGCGGTTTTGGTCGAGAGGTGCAGAATGTACTGGGACACAGTGCGGTCGTCGATACTAGAGTTTTGGTTTTGAACATGTTGTCCACCAACAACAGTTGCGGTTCCACCACCACCACCACCTGCCGGTCCTACCACCGGCGCGGCCAGGCGGAAGCTGTGGAGCGCGAACTGCTCCAGATTTGCAACCAACTCCTGTTCGTTTTGCGGAATGGTACTTGTTGGTAGCAGATTTGTCTCGCTGCGGTCGGTATCCTCTGGAGGAAAAGTACTATCGCACTCGTACTGAATCTGAACAAATTGCGGCACAGCAAAATGACAGATCTGTCTTCTTACCTTGTTCAGCATTAGAAATTCGATTTTTTCCTTCAGAGAAAGTTAATTCGTCATGCAATTTCTTACAGTAGTACCAGTATGATAGTTCTTTTGCAAGAATGCATAACCGGAAATGGAACCTGTGGTTGGGTTGCTTCCCACGACGGGAAGTTTGAGGTAGTCGAGAAACCAGTTGTCGTTAGCGTTCTGCATGACAGAACTACCTGTGTTGCCAGTACAGTTCAGCAGCAGTTCGTTCAGAAAATCGAGACACACCTTCATCGGGTGCGCCTGGCTCCCATTCCCGGATTTGTTCTGGCCGCCCGTGAGAGCACCAAGTCCGGAACTGTGGTGGTGCACTCCGTCGGGGGAACTAGTCGCGCTATGAAAGCCTCAGGTTGGAAATCCTCAAAGTGCAAATATTTTGTAATGCAAAAAAACGACTCCAGTTGAAGGACCATTTCTAGTCGGCGCATGACAAATTTCCCCGGCACTCAAAGCGTGTCTGTCATGCTACTTAGGCAAAGGGGTGCCCTTCTGTCGTGCTAATCAGCAGCCCAATTCTGAACCCGTAGAAGCACAATAGTCGGCCTCCATTGCGTCCTCTGCAATACAGGGTTTTTTGCGTCGCATTTCATGCATCACAAATTATTTCCACTTTGAGGATTTCCATTCTGAGGCTTTCATACGCGCCGTGAAACATGTCCAGGGGATTTGGCCCGTCCGTGTCCACGGACATCGCGTTTTGTTCTCTTTTATGAACTGCAAAAGCATCGTACTCGTAGTAATCGCAGTCATGCATTACAAATCTTTTTATCAAGGCAAATCCGCATTACAAATTCCATTTCTCATGCTAAGGAAGTTTGTATTGCAATTTATACTAGTACGATACTTTTGCAATGCATATCTTTCTGCCGCAGAACTTGAAGTTGCACTAGACTTCAGACCTCCTGCATTGGTGGTGGAATTCGCTGCACTACTCTTCGACGACGCGGCACTGCCTGTTTTAGAAGTTGCACCTGTGCTCGTCCCAGCCTGCTCCGCTGGCCCTGTTTTCGGCAGGAAATCGCGAAGATTCGTGTTAAACAAGGCCAGCACAATGGTCAGCCCCTGCTTCGCGATCAGATTCCGGATCTGGAGCGCTTGCGGCGTGTTGGCGTTCATTCTAAAGCGGACCAGCAAGTGGAGGAGAGTTTCCAGCAAATTTGTCGCAAATTTCACTTTGTTCTGGGATTGCACGAGCAAGGGGTTGAGATTCCTTTTCAGCACTTCCATCATGTCGAGAAAATCTTCCAGCGAACTGTGCTCCCGGTCTCGGTCGCTGGCATATGCTGTGCAAAAGTATCGCACTCGTAGTAATTGCAGTTATGCATGACAAATTTCCTTTCCAAGGAAAAACAGCATGACAAAGTCCAATTTTCAACATGCTGAGAAAATTTGTAATGCAATTTATACTAGTACGGTGGTTTTGCAATTCATATGGCACCACTAGCGTCGATGTTATAGTTGTTCATCATATTGTTCATATTACCCGCGGCACCCGCCCCTCCAGAGCTGGAATCATATGCATTGCAAAAGCATCGCACTCGTATAAATGCATTACAGCGGTGGCAGAAGCTCAAAGTAAAGAAAGAAGGGTCGAGATATGTAGTATAAATTTCACACAGAAGCTTCGCCACAGAGTATTTGTAATGCATAGCAGTTTTCTCAGTCCTTTATACGAAATTCTACAAAAAAAGTTTTACGTAAGAAAGGGAGGCTTTGATGTGAAGAAGTTTTTAATGCTAAAAGGTTTACTTATAGAAGTGTTGCGAGAAGCGTTGTGATGCTACAGTGACGGACTGAGATTTACTGTTTTTAGAAGCTTAACAGCAGTACTTTATTGAAGAAACACCACCCTGATTTCTACAGATCACGGACCGGGGTTTTTTTAAAAAACATCGATCAAAGAGTCGAAGTCCAAACTATCCACACCCCGGATCCGTGATCAACAAAATTTTACTCTTTTTGAAAATGCAGAGGAAGATGAAAAAAACAAAATCAGAAGCAGAAGATCTCATGCAAAAAAGCAAAAGAAATCAGGTGGTGATAAAAGTTCTATATGGTGTGAAATTTAGAAAGGAAAATAAAAAACGCGATGGATTTCTTTACTTTGAGCTACTTACAGGCTTCAGAGTCGCCGCACATATATGGGCTCAGAATGACAAAACTGGGTTTAGGCTAGCGCTCAAGGCGAGGAAGAAAGAAGTTTTTTCGCGAAGACCAAAAACTCACAACTGGTGCATCACAATGCACAAAAAATGCACTTTTACTTGTGAGATGTAAGCTGTTCCGAGTACGTGTAATTACAAATTCCCTAAGCGTGAAAAATAAAATTTGTAATGCAGGTTTGCCTTGGAAACAAGATTTGTAATGCAAGACTTGCATTAGCATTTGTACGAGTACGATACTTTTGCACAGGATAAATTATTGTTCTGCACAATCCGCATCAAATTTCCGTTTCCGCACAGCCACAAGGTTTGCGACAGCTTATGCAAGTCGTACAGCAAGATATTCAAATACTTGTTCGACTCCAACACTCCCCCGCTCAACGCCACCGCGGCGTTCGCGATGGCCGTCACATTTATCCTGTGTAAAAACGTCCCCACGACCGCAGAGTCAAGATGGAACTCTGCAACACAGATCCAGAAGTTTTTGGAGTCACGCATGACAAGTTTTTCTCTGTGCTCTACTGCGAGCTAGCAAGTGCAGTCGCATCACAAAGCCGCCCTGGTATCCCGTTTACAGCATCATAAAATCCAGATGATAAACGATTGCGAATGCCTCTCATACTCATGGGGATGCGCATTACAAGTTTTCCTGTGATTGCAAATCTGCATGACAACTCTGGGGTGGGGCCGTTTTTGCTCAGGATAAAATTTCCGGCGTGTTCCCGGCCCGCGCGCTGGTTCACACTCGCGTTGTTCCTGAGGTTCAGGCCCCGGAGCTGCGGTCCCCCACCGAGGTGGTTCCGTCGCTGCTCCCGCTGCATCATGCGTCTCCCGAGAATCACCCGCGCCTCCGCGTCATCCAATGCCGCGTACCGGCGGTTGCGCCGCATTGCCTGGAGCTGCCGCCGGTAGTGTTCATTGTTATGCGGATTCAGGTTATTGTTCCCGTGTTGATGGTGTAGGCCCCCTCTTGGGTCGTCGTTGAAAAAATGGCCCACCCCGGTCAACTCGTCGATCTCCTCTCCCGCGACCATTCCCAGGAACAAATCCTGTTCCGCTTGCTGCAAATTGTGGACTGAGTACGCGGCCGAGTTGTACCTGCGTGGTAAGTTCTTCCCCGCGAGTAGGATCTGCTGCCGTTGCTTTTCGTTGAAGGACAATTCGTCCGTGAAAACTGGGCACGTGTTGAGAAGCAGTTGGAGTACCTTCGTCTGCAAATCCTTCTCGACAATCGCGCTGATCTGGTTGCTTTGGGTTTGCTGTGATATCACATTTACGTTGTTCTGTTGCTGTCCGCCAGCACCACTACTGGAGAGGATGAACATCTGCACAAATTGCTGCTCAATCAACTCGACACTTTGGGGTAGATTGGTTGACGCTCCTGCTGCAACCAACTTCTGCGCTTCGGTAACATACTCTGGATTCAGCTGACACTGTAGCAAGCACATGTGCAGTAATGTCGTCGCTAACCGGGTTTGCAGAACGGCTTTGAAAACGAACGTCGGGTTATTTATTTGCTGGGCAGTCGAACTCATTGCGGAAGTCGTGGATGAACATGAAGTTCCTGCGACCGCAGGCTGTCCACTAATATTGTTCCCCGCACCAGCTAGAGCTCCTACCCCTACCTGGTTATCCGCCTGTCTGAGTAAAGCCTGCAGGAATTCGCAGACAAAGGGGAATAGCAGAGGGCATTTTGCCACCGTCGTCACAAAGTCGATGAAAGAGTCGGAAAATTGGTACAACGCGGTGATGTCGGAAATTCTTATCTGTAGGGAGAAAGAACCTGCTGCTTCGGGGCCGCTGCTGTTCAACAATAAGCCATCGCTATTCATCGCTCCATTATTCATGTGCATCGCCGCATTGCCCATCATCTCTTCCAAAAGAACTCTTCCAGATCCCGGCGGGAAATTGTCCATCCCGTAGAGTTCGTTTTCCAGCAGAATCGCCTCCATCTCCTCCCGGTCTAGAATACTACTACTGTTCTGCTGCCGGCTGTTTCTAGACAAGCTGCTACCGCTGTTGTTTCTTAGCCCGTTGCCTGATGTAGTTCCGGCTTGATTTAATATTGCTGCGCTGTCAGTGGTACCAACGTCGTGGGTGAGTTTCTCCATAAACGGGTGCAAGGAGTGCTCAATGTTGTAGTTATTTGTCAGAATGTCCGCCAAGCTCGGCCCTTGCTGGTTGTTTGACTTCACATTGAAAGCCTGGAGACAGAGTTTCGAGTTCTGCAACAATCGGGCGCCAGCGTTCTCCGGCATCTGATTCGGCAGGAGGTATTTTTGGACAAGAGTTTTGCTGCTCTGCGAATTACTACTTCCTCCGGCGCTACCAGACGAGTTGCTATGATTCCCTGAGTCCGAAATCGTCCTGGCCGGCGGGAAGAAGGACAGAGAGCTGGTGCTACTGCTTATCCTACGAAGAAACTGTTTCACTGTGATGATTTTGCAAGATTTGCATCACAAGTTTGTTACACATGACAAAGAAAACTTGGCACGCGTGATTCCTACGGGAAAACACAGCTAAAAATCCAATGGCGTGCATGTGTCGCAAGACAAACGCATTTGCGTTCCGTTTTATGCATCACAAGTTTACAGTGAAACAGTCTTTTCTTGCGATACTGCTAGAGCCACCACCAATATTAACCGCGATCGGCGAGACTCCAGCGTTCGTCGGGGTGCTGCTTTTCGAAGAGGATGCCGCCCCGAACGTTTTCTTATCTGCCAGCAACGAGTGGCGGATCAAACAAGTCAAGTGTTTCAAGATCTTTTCTACAGAGCTCTGGTGCGGGTTTTTGTTTTGCTGGGCATGTCTCACAGTCGTTTTGCTGCTCGCTTTCACATCCGAAGTCGACCTCGTTCTCGACGTTCTTGTCGAATTCGCCCCTGCAGCTCCCGCGGCCGATCGGTCTCCGTTGTTTATTGCGTTGGAGGCTCTATATTGCTGGTTGTTCGGCTGCATAAAAATTTTCCCGTTTAGTACAATAAACTTCTCAATCTCCCCAGCCAAAACCCCGACCGCGGTGACGAAGTGTTTCCCGAGAACTTTCTCCGCAATACTGGTGTTGTAGCTGGACAGAATCGCCAAAATCTGCGCCAGAACCTCCGCTGTTCGGCTGTCGTAGATCACCTTCGCTGTGTTCGCCTGATTCTGCTTCTCTTGCTGTTGGGAAGACTCTACTGCTGTTGCGTTCGGGAACTGCTTCTCGAACGTTTTCGTGCTCGCGTGCGTGGTCAGAATGAAAATCGTTCGCTCACAGAACTCGATGGCCCACTGGATTAAGATCTCTGGAATTATTGTTCCCGACTGCGAGGTGGACAATTGCGGCTGCTGTAGTTGATGTTCTTGGGGGCTTGATGAAGTAGATGCTCCACCTCCACCGAGAGCAGCAGGAACCATGTGTTTGGGCCCAATCTCGACGCACTGTGCGCATTTCAACAGGCACACAGCGCCTAAATGGTCTTGCCTGGATTTGAAGGACCAATTTCGTTGGATGATCAACGTGAAGAAGACTTCTGCGGGGGATAAAGGAACGCTATTCCCCCCCGTGCTGCTCGCCGTCGGTGGGAAAAGCTGCTTGCTTTGTAATTCCGAGGCGACTAAATCGGGTAGGTTGTCCTCGATGGAATTCTTATCCGCAGAATTCATATCTTGAGTTCTGCTGCTGCCGTCTCTGTGGTTTCCGGTTCTGTCGGAAGAGGAGGAAGAGCTTGACTTTGCGATCAGGCCCGAGCCCGTACTCGCGGTGGATTTGTTCGTTGATTTCCCGCTGGAGGAAGCGGTAGCACTTGTCGACATCAACTTCCACTGGATTTCCATCGGATGGGCAGTTAAACTGAAGATACAGAGGAGATACAGCTGGTGAAAAACCTCCGTGTCGTCCTCTTCGGCGAGAAGACCCGTCACTATCCTGTGCAAAAGCATCGCACTCGTAAAATGAATTGCAGTCGTGCATTACAAATCATTTTGCCAACGTAAATCCGCATTACAAATTCCATTTCTCATGCTAAGGAACTTTGTATTGCAATTTCTACTAGTACGATACTTTTGCGATTCATAATCACGTACCCCGAGCAGAACCGCAGAAACGTTGAGCACAGAACGCGCGATCGGTATAAGAAACCCTTGATTAAATTCGCGTTGTTGTTGCTCGATAGCTATCCTGTGCAAAAGTATCCTACTCGTACTAATTGCATAATATGCATGACAAATGTTTTTACAAAGGCAAAACAGCATCACAAATTCCACTTTCCTTCTTGCCAAAATTTGTGATGCAATTTGTACTAGCACGATACTTTTGCAATACATAATAGCAACAGCTTGAACAGGTTCACCAAAGTCGTCGACACTTCCGGCATGTGCAGCCCCTGGATGTTCCGGGCTAAACAGCTCAAAAAGAAGAAATGCTCCTCCAGCTCGAGCAGCAAATCATCCAACTGCTCAACCGCGGCCCCCGCCCCGCTCGGGTGCGGAAGGTTCACTAAGGGCAGTTTCGCGGTCTCGGCTTGTACCTGCAGCTGCGACGCTTTTTGGAAAATCGCGGAAACTTTTTCCAAAGAGCCGCGAACGACCGCCAACGTTTCCTCGCTGGTGGTTACGATCTCGCGGACCGCGTCCGCAAAGGTTTCTCGGTAGCCGAGAAACTCGTCAAATAAAGTGTCGTCCGGGAGAAACATCTCTTCCAACTGCTCCGCACTTCGCCTTTCCTGTTCGAGAGGGAATAGAGGCCCGGCGTTTTGGTAATACGCGATGTAGCCCTTGAAAGGGATTTTGCAGTACTTCCGGCAGATTTCCAAAATCTCCGGTAACCGCGGCAGCTGCCCCGCGCAGGCTTTTTTCAGCCCCGCAAAATAGGGCAAGGCGAGGTCGTATGAACTGCAAAAGTATCGTACTCGTATAAATTGCATTGCAAATTTTGGCAAGGAGAGAAGTCGAATTTGTAATGCTGTTTTACCTTAGGAAGAAGATTTGTCATGCATATTTGCAATTAGTACGAGTACGATACTTTTGCACAGGATAGGTCGCAGAGGTGCATGCCGCCGTGGGATTTACTTTTGTTCAGCAATGGGATAATCTCGTTTATCCAGGAAGAAAACTGTGCAAGTGCAACTTTTTAGGAAGAGCAGCATCACAAATTCGTTTTGCATTAATCTGTCATTCGCCGCTAGCACGTGGAAACACGTATGAAAGTAGGCTGTAAGGCAGATCCAGCATGACAAGTGTAACAGTTTTGCATTTCCTGCATCACAGACTTACACTCACACAGTTTTTTTCTTGCATATCATTGAGAATGGTCGCCGTAATGTTCGGATTCATGCGGTAGGCCTCCAGGGCATCCTGTGCAAAAGTATCGCACTCGCATTGCAGTCATGCATTACAAATCTTTTTCTCTCAAGGGAAATCCGCATTACAAATTTTATTTCTCATGCTGAGGAAATAATTTGTCATGCATTTATACGAGTGCGATACTTTTGCAGTTGATACAGGGCGGTGAGGAGTAACCTGCACCGCTGGAAGTTGTTGCCGACGGAGGATGATTTTTTCGTGTGCATAGAACTGGTGTCACTCGGGTCGTTATCGTGTTCTTCCTGCTCCTCCGGCGTGGCCGCAGCGAGAAGCTGCAACAGCTTCTATCAAATGGAAAGAGACCCCCTCCCCATATCGAAACGAAGTTTCTAATGCTGGATTTCCAGACACAAATCGGATTTGTCTTGCAGTAGAGGACTGCAGGAACATGCCAAGGCTGAGCCGAGAGGTTTTGACTTAGGCGCCTAGCATGACAAATGTCTATGCTGTAAGGCGAGCAGCATCACAAACCGCCTGCATAATGTGGCGGGCTCTCTGACTTTGCCTTCTTGCAAGACAGACAGGATTTGTGGTCACAAATCTGCATCACAAATTCTCCGACGGATGCGTGTTCAATAGGGGGAGGGGTGATTTTTCCTCACAATAGCTTTTCCACGAACTGTTGCGTCGGGGCCTCGTTCATGTTCAATTTCAGCGTCTTCGTGACCAAAGCCTCGATGAATTTGGCGGGCGAAGATATGGCGGCGGTAGCTCATTTATTTGTAAAATATTTTTTTTTTTAGCTATACCACTTAGCTACGCATTCTCTTTTGCATGCCAAATGCCCCATTACTGTAGCTAGTTAACGTATCCAATTCGAAGTCTTCAGCCAGATTCCGGAACAGCGGAGCACCCACGATCCGGCAAGCACGACCTCCTGCTGAACGGATTTGTAGACGAATCCGTGCCCCAGCTCCATGGTCTACCACGCCATCGGTTGCCGCAGTATCGGCCTTCGTTTTCCTTTCGCAGACGGGCACTCCGCCTTTAGCTACAGTAATGGGGCCAATAAATGCATATCTTGCTAGCTATTTAAGCGCTATATAGAAAAAAAAAAAAAATTTCCAAATAAATGAGCTACCGCCGCCATAGAAGAATCCCCCTGCTGGTCCGGCGGCAGGTTGCGCCCCACCTGCGCGCAGAGCCGGAGCAAATTGTCCATCTGGATCTGGAGCAGCAAGTTATCCGGCTGCAGCATCGGGACCCAGTTCGCGGCGCATTCGAGCAACAAATCCGCGAGCAGCTTCATATGGCGTTCTCAACTGTTACACTCTCAGCTGTTACATGGATTTGTGATGCAAGAATGGGAAAAGCGAAAGGGGAAGGCTCTTGCGCCTGTAGCATTACAAATTCCGCACAGGTCGTTTCGGCGCTGTTTAGCCCTAGGCAAATTTGTCATGCGAAGCAGCTTGGTCGCGTGGATGATGATGGTATTTTTGCATGACAAATTCATGTTGTAACAGTTGAGACTGTAACGTTTGAGAACTCCATATTTCATGTCCTTTTCCTGCTCTTTTGTCAGCATTTGTCCGGAATTCGCCGGCTCGAAAATCCTGCCAACGGTAATTTTTTCCAAAACATTCAGCATCCTGACGGCGTAGGGGATGTTGTTGTTATTATTGCTAGCGTTATTCTGGTCGTTCCTCAATCGCTTCAGCATCGCCGCTTTATTCACCGCAGATCGGGTCCACACGGAAACTTCGTACGGCAACGCACCTAAGACATACAAAGCTGACCAGGTGCCCTTCTGTTCCAATTCGATAAAGAGCTCATCAAGAGGCACCCCGTTGTTGTTGTTCTCGGTTGTGTCGGCAGTCGTCTTGTCGGTCTTTGCTCTCGACGCCGGCACATAGCTAGAGCCCGCGAGAAAGGCCATGCAGATTGCCGAGGCGACGCACTTCATTACCGCACGGTGGGATTCTATGAGAGTGTCAGGACCGAAATCGCCAAAATCGAAAAATTTGTAATGCGTAAAATGTAGGGCACGTAAGGCCTGTGTTGGGGAGCAGGCAAATGAGGCCGATTGCAAGCCTGTTTTGGGGTATGGAGTGCGCTGCCAGAGTAGCATGAGAGGAGCAGTCTTCTTTGCCCAAACAGCATGACAGACTGGATCTTGGTGCTCCCGAAATTGTCATGCGCCACTTGGAAACTGCGGCCTCAAGTGGTATCCATTTTATGCATCACAAATTATTTCGATTTTCTTGATTTCGATCCTGACACATCCATAGATTCGAAATGGGGAATGACCGCCAGCATGTAGGGCAGGTAGTGGTGTATTCTGTGGTCGGTTTTCGCGCGGTTACGGTATCCTGTGCAAAAGTGTCTGGGTCTGGAAGAGTGTAAACTTGCAGTGCAGATTTTCCATGACCCATGAGGTCCGGAATGCAGGACTTAGCATGACAGACTCTGCGAGGTCTCTGCCATGCCTATCCTGCATGAGAACCTCCCTCCCAACTTGGTCGAAAGTGGACAGCTTTTGGCACTCATGCAACACAGATTCTTGTATGCTTCAGATTTACCATGACAAGTTACCACCTTCGTCCAGACCCACACATATTTGCAATTCATATACGGAGGGCGGTCGCGATGCAGCCCGAACAGGCGGGGGAGGAAAGAAACTGAGATGTGATTTTGTGAAAGGCGGTTCATGCATGGTAAAATTTATCCACTGTATAGAATTATTTTGGTTTTGGAGCTGGTGGAGGATGATAGAATACAGGTAAACACTTTCATAAACCTGTTTCTAGTAAGAAGAAGATGAAGAAGAAGAACTTGTCATGCATAGTACGAGAATAAAACATCTTCTGGAGCTGCTTCTATAGTACCGCAACCATATTCGGGCTCAGTCCACAGCATCCTGTCGTGCTTTTTGTCATCTTCGGATTTTGCCCCCCGGGGTTCACGGTCAACGGGATTGGGTCCTTCGTTTGGTAAAACTCCGCTAGTTTTTCCAAACCCATAATGCTCGTCATGGTCACCGTGTTTGACCCCACCCACAAGCGCATCCAGCTGTCCGCCTTTCTCCTTTCGTTATTCGGCGAAGACGGCATATGCAGGTTAATGGTATTCAAGATCAGCATATTTGCCTCCTTGCTGCAATACCCCCTGGAGTCCGCCATGGTTGCTGGTGTTCCGTCTGGGTAAATTTGGTCCGGAGTCTGGCCTTCTTCGCCCGAAAAAAACGCGAGCAGCTGTCCTCTAGGGTCGTTGGCGTGGAGCTCGAAGGGAAATGAATTCTCCGGGTTTAGAGTGGTGTGTAATAAACCCGTGTTTGTTCTTTGGTTCACATTGTGATTAAGTGGAGAAGTGCCACAACTACCGTATGTTCTACGTGCTATGTCCTGAAGATATTGTTGACCACCGCCCAAAAAGTTGCCGTGTTGGCCACTTCGGTAGTCTATGATTTCTACGGTATTATCCTGATAATCATCTTCTAACGATCCTTCCTGTAGCGGAGGAGGACTAGACAGAAAAGGGAGTTCTGTCAAGCCTGGCATTGAATCGAAAATAGATCACTCCAGCAACTACTGGAGCTGCTGGTGAGAGCGGTAGTTATTGGACGAAAATAAGTATTTCTAGCGCTAGCACAAGCACGGCGTCAAAAATAAAACGACAAAGATCCGCATGGCGAATAATGGTAAAAACTACGGCTCGCTCGCTAAGTACGGAAGTAGGTGTGGTACTATATGCCGGTGGTCATGTACTTAACGCTAACGGCGCTGCTTGTTCCTGATAAGGTAGTAGACAAGTGCACGTACTAACAGTTGCGCGTGTGTCTCAAAAATCCTTGGCTTTGCTTCTAGGAGAAATTATGTCAGGGCTCGGGAACGGGGTTCTTTCGAGCCGCATCTTTGGTTTCGGCGTCTTCAGGATCGCTTCGAGGAACAGGACTTCCGCACTGAAGGTGAAGATCTGTATCTGATACAACAAGAGACGATCTGATCTACCGCGGCCGGGAGCTTCTGAATAATACATTAAAAAGCGCTACTGTAATATCTTTATCGCTAGCACGGTGGTTGTTCTCGTGAGGAAATTGAAATTTCAAATGAAGCGACGCCGTCTTACAATCTACTCTTCATCGACGTCAACGGCTTCTTGTTTTTGCTACTATTAAACAGTTGCGATCTACTTCTAAAAGCAACCCGCATAGAAGCGCTGTGTCGGATCAAAAAGGAGAAAGACCGTGCTTAATCCTGGGCATTTTGTTATCTCAGGATGGCGCACGGTTTTGTGTACTTAATTCTCGTAGTCCTCATCTTGCGTTGTCACACCGCTTGCTATGGAGAGGACACCGAAAAAAGTACTTATACCAAAAAAACACTAACACCATACGTGTCTGCTGTGACACAAGAACAGTGTGTTGCTGGAAACACATCACATCAACGAGCGAGGAAAAATCATCATCACATCACATCAACGTTGCATACCACAAGAAGTACGATTCTGAACTACACCGAGCAAGCCTTTTCGACTTTTCGTTTTTGAACAACGACCTGGTATTTCGAATCCTGGTGGACGAGTCGTCCACCAGGAGCAATTCTGCACAGCATCAGCGAGACTTTTACTGCTAGATCAAAGTCAAAATCGCCACTCCAGTAACAGTCAAAACGGCACCAGTTACTCCAATCATCGTTGGTTTTTTCTCGGGGTAATTCAGCAAATACAGCATGGGAAGCGCATACAGCGGTCCAATACTGGTCAACGCGATCACTAGCGCAACTGGGAGTTCGAACAGCGCTATGGTCGCCAGTGTTGGCCCGAGAAAAGTGACGAAAAAAACCGCGGCCGTGATCCACAGACAAGCGGATTTTTGTCTTCGTTGCTCAAGAAAATCGAGGTTTTCTCGGGGAGGTGTTTCCAGCGCGGCGATTGAGTCTTTGTCTTGTTCGTCCTTGTTTGCCCGTTTTCTGCTTCCGCACTTACTTCTACATCGCAAATGCGCTAGCGAGATCTCCTGGGGCATTTCATACCATTGGTAGGCTTTTGGAGCTGTCGTTCCGGAAACGCAAACGGTCGGCGGATTTTCATCAAGTGGAGCAGCTTGTGGTGCTGATTCTCCATCTCCGTCACCTCGTCCCGTGGGGTCGTGCTCCCGCCTTTTCACATCGTACACAGCAACCAGCTTCCTTGCGACAACTGTGCAAACTCCAATCGACACCGCCGTCGTCCCGAACCTGATCCAATTCACGTCCAAGGCGGACCAGTGCCGGCAGTATTTCTTCGCCATCACTGCCGCGCCCACGTCAAAAATCACGTTCAACGCGGCTGCAATGAAGCCTTGGACCTGCCGGTCATTTTTCACTAAGCGGTTTACTTTTTGCAGGTTGCTTTCCCTTTCCTCCATGGAATCTTCGTGCTTGTGCTTGTTACACCTGCTCGTCCGCTTGGGCAGTCGACAGTGAGTATTTTTCCTTTCCGCTACTACAACAAAAGCATCAGCATCGGGCTCATTTTCATAGCCGCTAGCCGCCGTTGCAGCACCCCCAGTCGTGGAAGTTATTTTGACATCTGAGGGACTGAGAACTGCGCCGTCGCAACACGGACAGGTGGAAGTACTAGATGGAGGCAATGCAGCACCAGGAGCTCCAGCAGGCTCGGTATCGGTTGCGCTACTGCATGTTAAAGTTTGTTGCGCGCAGGTCGACGTCGATAGTACGATCTTCAGCTGCGAAGGGTTTCGTGCATCTGAATCTTCAATCATCTGACGCAATATTTCTGATTCCTCATCTACTAGAGCACCACCGCCATGATCGCTGGAAGGAGCTGTGCTGGTGGTAAATCTCGGTCGTTCTTGTAGCTGCTCAGCTTCAAGTAGGTCGGTTTTCGTTGCTTCTTCGGTCGTTCTTGCATCAAGAGCGGTGATATTAAGGACCGCACTCGCATCGCAATCTTCATTATCTGCCAGGACGAGGTGTTGTTCTCGTCGTGCACGAGGATCAAAAGCCTGCTCCGCGGTGGGCGCGGGTGTGGTTTCATCGGGAGCGGCTGGTGCAGCCCCATGATCGACAGGTTTCTCGATCTCATCCTCGTCCTTTTCCTGCTCCCGCACTGCAGGTGCGGAACATGATCTGTGGTCTTCCTTAGTGTTGTCTCCATCCTCCGTATCTTTCGTGATCACAATGATGCCCACGCTGGTGCAGCACAGCCCGATGAGAAACTTCGCAATCGACTCGATGTCCTCGTTTAGCCACACAGACCCGAAGTAAATCGCCAGAAACGGCTTCAAACTGTCGACCAGAACCACTTTTTTCGCCCCAATCAGTTGCACGGCGGAGAGCCAAAACACGTCGCCGATCGTGATCCCGATAGTCCCGCTGACAATCAATACGAAGACCTGGGTAAGTGTGTAGTCTGCCGAGCCGTAGAAAGTTGATTCCTCCTCCTGGTCCAGAAGTTCTGCCAAGGAAGATGTGTTGGTGTTCTTGCCCTCACCTCCCGTGGAAGAAGAGGACCATGCAGACAGGCGAGCAAAGCCGAGAAACGTGGCTGTGAGAAAGAAAAACACGCAAGCGACCGCGCATTTGTAGAGATTCAGTGCGACCGCGTGGCCCTTCCATTTCATGTCCCAGACAATCAGTCCCGTTGTGATCAGGAGAGGGGCGATGAGTGCTGCTAGGACCGCCAGGGCAGAGGAGGTGGAGGGGGTCATTTTGGAGGGCTCCTGTTGCTGCTACATACACATTTTAGTACAACTACAATACATCGCTCAGGAGAACCCAAACTGCATATTGAATGCGCACAAGAACGCTCGTCCTCTCGTGTCCTACTTCATCAACTACTCAACTTAGCCTCCACACTTTCACCTGTTGCACTCTTACTTACAGTGTTGCAGTTTCCTACTTCACGGCGAAGACGAAAGCAAGTGCGTTAATATATCATCGATGCTATTTTTGCTTCGTATTATTTTATTGCTTTGGGCACGACAGTTGCATGTGTGATCGCTTTCCGAGTGCTGTTCGTTCTTGCAGGAGTAATCAGTGCTCACAATTGAAAAGTGCGGCCACCCGAATCTATCGTGGGGGTTTGATCACGAAAACGGTTCTGCCACGCACCTGCAACGAAAAAGGCCGACTTGTTCTGTCTGCTTAGCAGACAGAACATCGTCGTTGCCGACGGTCGACGCACTGTTTTAGACGGTGCTTCAATGCAACGGGGCGACTTGCCTTGTCACACTTTTGACCCAATGTCTGCGATTTGGTTCAGATGGGATAAAACAGAGCTAGCGCCCCGGGCTGCCTGAGTGATTATATACAAGGCGGCTGACCCTTTGCCCGGGTTCGCCTTCGCTGTAATGCGTCCGCCCAGCGGCTGCAGGGCGGCGCGAACGACGGGGACGACGCCCTCGAGCTCGCTTCCTACCTTGCCTGGGCCGGTGGCCCCGCCGGGCAGCGCCGCTCATCACACACCCGCAGAAACAACGACGAGACACTTGCCAGCCCGCCCGCCCCGGGTCCGTCGGCGCGGCAACCAATCGAAGCCGGGGGGGGGCAAACAGCCCCCGGCCCCAGTCGGGGCACACTTGAAAAACACAACGCCAGGCCGGCCGGTCGGTGGACGCGTGCCCCGGCCGAACCTCAAAGGGGCGGCGCGGGCGATTAATATCGCCCGCCGCTTCGCCTCCCGCCCCCCGGCCGCCGCGCGCCCGCGTCTTCCTCGGCAAACCCGGCCCCGACCGCTTGGGATTTTTCATCATTTTCAGCTTCCGACCATCATCTTCTTGCTGGCTCTTGGACGGCAGGGGCCGCCGTCTTCGATCGATCGCCTCACGCTGATGCCCGCGGCCCCGGCCAGGGAACTCCGCCACCCCCTGCTGCCCCGCGCGAATTGCTCGCCACACCAAGGAGGCCCACCATGGGCGCGCCGGGCGCTCAACGCCCGGCGCGCCCATGGCGGGATTAATGCCACGGCCGAGCGCTCAGCGCCCGCTGGCTCAGGCGCCTGCTTGCCGGGTGTCGCGTTTAGACACCACGGCCCAGAGTGAGCACGCAGGCGCGCCGGCGGGCGCCAAGTTGCGCCGGCCGGGTAAACAAAGTCGCGCCAAGTTGCGCTCAGTTGCGCACTCGTCGCTGTAACTTGTGTGTGTGCGCTCGAGGATGTGTCGCACAAGACAAGAACCAAGATGAAGATCTCTCCTTCATGTTTGAGAACACCGGCTCTGAAGAAAATTGCTTGAACACCGTTGAGCAGATCAAGAAAGCGCGGGCTAGTGGCTGTTAGACTGCAATCTGAATTCTGTTTCATTGCGCTAAAAAAATTTTCCGGACAGCTTGACTTCGTTCCCCGAGATAAAACTGCACTAGACCATCACAAATCCCCCTTAAACACGTCATAGTACTTCGCACTTGGCACCTCCTGCAGCAAATGGTGCACCACCGTGTCCATGTCCGGCTCCCGCAAAATCGGCGCCTCGGCCATCATATGCAGAGCAAAAGCATCGCACTCGTAGTAATTGCGGCTATGCATGACAAGTCCGATTCTCTACGTCTACCCGAGTACGCATGACAAATTGCATTCTTCTTCTTGAGAAAATTTGTGATGCGTTTTGTACTAGCACGGGGGTACTTTTGCAATGCATACATCATTCCGAACTCCGTCGGCCGAATGTTGGTCGTAGCCGCTTTCACCAAGTTTTTCCCGCTGTACCTCGTGTTGTTCAGGTTGTTCCGGGTAAAATGCGACTTCGGCGACCGCGTCGTCGGCGATAGGGTGGCGTCGTTGGTGCCAATGGGCAAACACCCGGGCCCGAGCTTGTCCCGCGGTTTCAAATACTGTCCGCACTCCCCACCGGCGTAGGAGACCTTCGTGCGGTGCGTGAACGCGTTGGAGGAAGAGTCAGTGTCGCGGTAAATGCCCGGTTCGCCTGATGTCGATGTGTGGTTGTTTTTCTTTTACTATCGAGATGCGACTCGTATCAAGTCTGTCATGCTCATGCCTAGCAGAATCAAAATCATATGCACAGCAAGCATTTGCGTTTCATGCATGAAGCAGCTGAAAAGTAGTTATACCCGTGATCGCAAACGAACTCGGAACCATGCTTCCCACCGTCAGGTATTCTCTGTAAAAGTATCGCACTCGTACATATAAGTAAGTGCATTACAAATATTTCTCAGTGTGAGAACTGGACTCTGTCATGCTGTTTTACCTTAAGGACAAGACTTCGATTCGTCATGCATGGTTGCAACTGGTACGAGTGCGATACCTTTGCAATGCATATCAGGTTCCCCTCGGCTATTCGGCTTGGGTTTTCTGCGAATCCACGCGAGCTGCTGCTCCCCGGAAGGGTAAGGTTGGGGTTCAAATTTCCCTGGTACCGCTGCTCCGGCATTTGCTGTATAATTTTCGTGTTTGACGAATAGGTTACTTAAAGTCAAGGTTCGCATGACAAACTCAATCGCGATTGTAGAAAGTGCATGACAACTAAGTACTTCCCAGCAACAAACTTCTTAACTACCTTCTTCCCCCCGGTAAAATCATCCTGCTTGTTATTTTCACTATCCGTGTCTCGCAGGTGGAAAATGTCGCTTTTCGTCTGATTTGCGGAGTTTGTCATGTTGGATGCGAAGGAACTACTCGTTGTGGAACTCGGATCCCCGGCGTTTGAAGCATTCGCCCCTCGGCTGTAGTTCACGACTTCTCCTGTGATGGGATTTCTGGTTTCCCGGTGCACCCGCTGCTGGAACAACTTGGTGTCCTTCAAGCTCATCGAACTGGCCGTCGGCCGACAGCCAAGGTTCGTGTTCGCGTCCGGACGGTAGCAGCCGAAAGACATTTTGAAGTAGGCTTTCGTTTATGACGCAACGGACTGGGATGTCAAGTCACGAGTTCAAAGATGACGTCGGCTTGAAGAAACTACAAATTACCCTCGCAAAAAAGAACGAAAACCATGGAGAAGTGAGTTCAGTTTGTGTTACAGGCTATTCTCTGTTTTATTGGCCGCTCTTTTTTCTTCAACACTGCCATTCGATGCATTTGCTTTGCAGTTCGCTTTGGCTTTGTGACGGTCACGTGAAAATTTGCGCTCGTAAAAGATTTGACGCCACGACTTTCCTCTGTTCTGCGCTCAGCGTACAAGAAAAAATGACGAGGACGAACACAAGCTCAAGCGGCCCCTGCTGATCTCCACACGAGCTGCGGCTGGCCCGCGCTGTTCTCTATTGCGATTCCACTGTCGAAAAAAAGCCTAGCCCGAGCAAAATAACGGTGCCCGACGCTCTTCGTTCTGACGGTGGAGCCAATGTGGATGGAAAAGGGTGCCCTGGCAACCCAAGCTCGCCCGCTGACTGCCAAGTTACAATCCCGGGCACCACACAGGCCCCCCCACGCGCACGCGCGCGCATTGCTACGCTTTTACGCTTCGCTGCCAAACTCCTGCGGCCCCCACGCGCCCGAGCCAAGCATAGCGCGGCGACTTTGGGGCCGCGCGCGGGGGCGCGCGCAGGAGACGAGGCGGCCGCGACGGGGGGGGGGCGGGGGGGCGACACTGCAAACGCGCCGCCCCCGGAAAAAAGCGGGCCGAGCGGGCGGGCCGGCGCGCGGGCTGCATGGATGCAGCACAGGGACGGCGCGCTGGCGAGCCCACTCGGCGCGTTCCGGCCCGCCAAAGGACCCCTTCCTGCCATAAGAAATGTGGCCAAACCGTGGGGCGGGCGCGCAGCGAGCCCAGAAGCAACCGGGGCGCGCCCCAAGCGCCCACGCGGGCCCGGCCGGCCGCATCCCCGCCGGGGATCGAACGGCGCGGCCGGCCGGCGGCGCCGCGGCAGGCAACTAGACGACGCCAAAAATAAAGGCGACGGGCCGGGATTTTTGGGTGGGGGGCGGGCCTGCCAGCTCTCCGGCCGGCTCTGCGCGTCCTGCCTCATCTCGTCGAGGACATTGCCGGCCCCCTGCAGCCTTGACGCCTTTAGATCATGCTCGCGTCGGCGGTCGGGGGCATTCCAAACAGCGGCGCGGGAAGCGCTGCGCGCCATATGAGTGCGCGCCACGACAAAAAGGGCCGCCCCGCGGCCCCGCCCAATAACACGGGGGGGCAATTTCAGGAGCCCTGCCGGAGCCCTCGACCGCCTTCCCGAACACCTTCCAAAGCTGGGCCATCACCTTCCTTTCCTGTTATCGAATCAGCGAGACAGGCGCGAGAGGCGTGCGCCGCGACAGGGAACGCAACTAACCTACCGCCCCCCCCGGGTCGCCGGCGCTTTTTTCGCGCCGCCCCTCTACTGCGCCGCGGCTAGCGGGCTCCATGCGGGGGGCTCTGGGGCATGCGAAGACTATCGGCGCCGCGACTGGCTCGGCGCTCCGTGAAGAAGCGCGGGACAGTGCCCCACAGCTGCATAAACACACCAAACTCGTGAAGACCCCACACGGGTCCCCCATTCGCGCTCGACGATTTGCGACTCGCCTGCCCAAAAATCAACTGGGCGCGGAGGGGCCCCCTGTCACCTTCGATCGCCCCGCCCGGGCCGGCCCGCCGCGTATCCTGGCCCGCGCGCCAGGGCGGGGCCAGGGACCAAACGCCGGCAAGGGGCGAGCGACCTTCCGCCGGCGCCCGCGTCCGCAAATGGCGGGCCCACCGTTCGCCAGCACAACAGGGCCGGCGCCTTTTCAATATTAGCGCCGGGCAATCACAAACGGGAAAAACACAGGCGCCCACCCTACACACCACACACACCAGCATCCGCCGGCAGGAACGTTAAGCAGCTTGAGAACAACAAAAACCACACGTCATACAAAAATCGCCCACAGTCTACCTCTGCTCACGGCAGACAGCGCACAGGCCGCCATTCTGCTTGTGCTCGTTATGTCAAGCACAACAAAAATCTTCATCTGAGAGCTATTCTTATTTCCAACATCCAACATCAGCCATTCGAATATTCTTGATTCTGTCCACATCATACACTGCAATTTCAAACGCGTAAGCAGATTCTGCTCCATCATCTTTTTCATCTCTGTTTAAAACAATGCTGTCGTATCCAAATTCCCTCAAATATTCCAAATCGATCAGCTCCGTGTATTTATCCCAATCCCGCTGTTTCATCCTCTTCCCCGCAACACTCTTCTTCGCCTGATCCGCCTTCCGGCAATCCGGATGCTTCGGTAGCGTCGGCAAACACTCCGGCCACTTCCTGTCGTCGTACGACCCGAAATCGCAAATTGTACCAGCGTCAATGTCGCACGAGAGGCACACGATCCTGTACTTTTCTTGGATCATTTTCCGATATTTGGCTTTTTTCTCCTGCTTTTGAAGTTTCTGTTTTGATGTAGAAGTGTTGGTTCCAGCTTCTTCGCATGGGCTTCTGTCAGCTTGAGAGGAACAAGGGGTTGAGGAACCCGAAGATGAACTGCAGTTGCTTCCCCTTTCTAAATCCATCATTGTGTTCACGGCTTCGTGGATGCAATAATCCGCATTTTTACCAAAATACACCGCCGCGCCGAGTTTCAAGCCCCTGTCAATCGCCTCTCTGCGGGTTGGTAGGCGGAATTTCTGACTTTCGATGAGCTTCTCCGCGTTCTCCAGCGAAGTTGCGTGGTAGAAAGTGGAGGTGGTTAAGGGCGGACGCGAGCACATTGCTTATTTTGCTTCTGAACAAGTAGATGATCTCTTGAACTTTGTTGATCGAGGACGGCACAACACCAGCTGCAGCGCTGTTTAGATCCAGGAGGTCTGCACCCTCACGACGTTGATCTACGAAACAAAATCTTCCAGAGAAGATGGAAACCTCCGGGTGTGTAGTAGTAAAACAAGGGTGGACACCTACAGACGAACGCGTGCACTTCTTCTCCTTAGAAGTGGTCGTGAAATGGAACAACATCGGCCGCATCAGAAGCGATCGCGCGTCCAGTGCTACTGCGGTCGCGAGAGTACTAAGTGCGCCAGACTGTAATTGCGCTGCTGTAAGTTGGTGCTGTCACGTGTCTGTGCATTTATTGTTCTGCGAGGAGCATATGGTGTTGAAAACAAGCTATGTGATGTCGTTTTATGCGTACACGAATTTGAAAAGTCCATGTTGGTTTTCTGCCAACCGGAAACGTTTTCTCATCGGATTTGCGGTTGCAGAGAGTATATGAAATGCAAAAGCATCGTACTAGTAGAAATCGCATTACAACTTTCCTCAGCATTACAAATGGAATTTGTAATGCTGATTTGCCTTGAGAAAGAGATTTGTGATGCATAAATGCACTTACTACGAGTACGATACTTTTGCACAGGATAAGAGAGTAACATTTCCAATGCTGTGTTGAACTTCTCAGAGCTACTTATGGCGTTCTCAACTGTTACATTCTCAACTGTTACATGCATTATTTGTGATGCAAGAATGGCAAGAGTCAAACGGCCAAGCTTGCTGCTCCTGCATTACAGATTTGGCACAGATTTAGATGCCGTCTAGCCTCTCGGGGATTTGTCATGCGAAGCAGCTTCATCATCTGGCGGCTTAAGGTTGTCTTGCATGACAAATTCATCTAACAGTTGAGAATGTAACGTTTGAGAACTCCATACTACTCGTTGAAAAATTGTGAAAAATATCCGTGTTCAAATCCACCAAATGTTTGAAGTCTGTCGCTTGTTTCTGTATGTAAAGCTTCTCGCTTTCATTTAGTCTACTTAGTGGGCTGCTGGTCCTGTGCATTTCTATTTCTTCATCTTCAGGAGCGGAAGTTTTTGGTGTTGTTATGGACGTCTTGAAAACTGGCAACACACGAAAATCGAAGCTGATGCGCGTAAGCTTCTCTTCTCTGATGCTTGCAGGCCCGGTTTTGGTTGTAAGAACCGACGTGGCTGGTAGTTCTAGAGGAGAAGAGGAAATGTCTCTACCCACGACATTGGAATCAGAAATCTCGTCTTTCACAGTTGCTATTGTCGACGCCGTAGTGGTTCTGGATATCGCTGGAAGTGGTTCTAGTTCTGATTCTTCAACACGGTCTGGGTCACAAACACGGTGGTCTGGCACTTCTTCTCGCTCCTCGTCGTTCTTCATGTCCAAATGCGCGTAGTGGTGCAAGTGCATGCCGTCGAAGCGAATCACGGTTCCTTGTGAAGCATTAGAAACCGCATCACAGTTTTTGTTTTTCCGCCGCTGTCGTGAAGATTTGTCCGTGACAAAAGGTTTGTAATCCCCGAGACCCGGCTCACTCTCCACCCACAGCGTGTTTCTCCCGTTCAATTCGTTTTGACAAATCGGGAGCCAGTAGTTGATCTCCTGTTCAAAATGCCCGTACTCCAAATCTTTATGTGGTCTTGAGGGCGGGACCTGGCTGTTTGGAAAAACGATGCGGAGCACGGGTTGCTCCTGGTAGAACACGCCGAGGATTTGTCTTGTAGTCTTTTCTGAAGATGCGTAAAGATCCGCACGATGTTGACGCCCAAATTTGTCTTGCAGGTCCGGAATGACAAACTCCTTCACAAAATGATCGTACGCAGCGAGAAAGTTTATCCAGTTCTCGTCGCGGTTCCACTGCTTCAGAAGCGTGTTCTTCGCCTTCTTGTTGGCTTGTTTTTGTCGTTTTTTGGTCGTGGAAGTAGGGAGATTTGAATTTGTTGCTGTCGTTGAAGCTGCAGGGGTAGAAGTAGTAGTAGAACTCGGGGTCGTCGTGGATGAATTTGTGGGGGAGGGGGTTGCTGGCTCGTCAACGTCGAAGACCTCCTTCGCATGCGGCTGCAAGGGCTGCTGCAGGTCTACTGAGCGAGTCCTCTGAGTCGCTTGTTCATGATCCACGACCTTCTGGGGTAGGATTTGCAATGCTCGTTCCAGAAAAGGAGGCACTGTTTGTCTTGCATTCTCGTCGCGGTTCTCGGGCCGGAAATCATCGACGCGGAGATGGAGGTATTCGAGAGAATTGTTAACCGACGTTGATGATTCGTTATCCAGCTTGTAGTTCTCTGCATCACCACTTCGTCGCCTGTCGTTCGTCCTCTTCGGTAACAACTTCGCGAACAGGTCTACAAAAGGATGCCGGGCCAGGTCAAACTGCAAGTACTCCACACCGATGCCGCTGTAGGTGGAGGAGGTGGGTTTGCTCTCCGGATCCGCTTCTTGGCTCCGGATTGTCACGGCGCTGGTTTTCATTTTCGCTTCTTGTTGCACAATCGAAATAGCTACAACTTAGAAGTTTTCATATTGTCTTATAGAAATCACAAGAACTTCACAATCGATATCGATCTACCTCGTGAGAAATTCTGCTGCCGCAGCCTGAAGAGTCTGAGTCAACTTACTTGTGTCGAAGATCACGACATGTAGGAGAAAACATCGCGGAATTGAGCGAACGAAGAAACAAGACAGGGCTGGGCAGATCAGATCCTTCGGCACTGGTGGCCATCGTCCAATATTTCGTCCTCCTCACTCTGAAATGCATGCTCGACCAACTCATCCTCGTGCAGATCTGTTGCGCGCTCCAATCTGTGTTGTAAAAATTTGATTTAATATGTGGATTTCGATTTCCAGTGTGGTTCGATTTTTTTGCTCTTTTCCCATTTCCATGTCAGCGGAGATTCGCTCGCATTTGATGAACATCGAGCATACATTAAAAGAAGCATGAAATTCCATATTTTTCCCGCCCTTGCTGTTCCACAGCTGTTGTCGATTTGCCCACGGAGCTTCTATCGCGACTCGCGTGCAATGAACATTCATTCTTGCAGCGTGGCTCGCGTGATAACCGATGTCAGGTGGGACTCATATAAACAAGCACAAGTTCGCGAGCCTCCTCCAAGATGAGCCAATAGCTAGGAAGAGAGCCCCTCTAGCCGCGGAAACGTGACCACATGCACATCCCCTGGTGCGTGCTTCCGCCCACGCGCGCTCGCAGGCGCGCCACGCATGCATGGCTGCGGTGGTGCGGCCAAACACCAAGACACACACCTGCGCCATCCTTCCTAATCAGCCCAAGGGGCGTCACCATTGACAGGGACAGGGCGAAAACCCCAGGCGCCCGGGGCGCAGGGCAGAGCCGCGACCGACCACGCGATCGGCCGGCGGGCGGGGTGCCCGCGGGCGGCCAACCGCCAACCACGGCAGAGAGTCAGCCAAACAATTGCCGGAAGGGGGGGGCGCCAGGGGCAAACAAAGACGCACGGCCCGAAGGCCGGAGGCCTGGAATACGGGCACCCCCCTGCCGCCCGCGCGGCCCTTCACGGGCACTATCCAGCCGGGCGCGCGGCCCAGAACTGCGGCCCCGCCGCGGCCGCCGGCCCGCATACCCGGGCGGCAGAACCAGCGCCACCGCTGGCGCGGTTTGGTTACGGGAGCCGGCAAAGCGCGCCAGCGGCGGCATGGGTTTCGCCGACTAGCTGCGCCACCCGGCGCGCTAGTGCGAAAATCGTTTTTCAGTCTGCTCGGCCGCACCAGACCCCGGCTATGCTATCACTCACGAACTAAATTAAATTAATACGGCTTTAGTAATTTCTTGCCCGCCCTCGCCGGGCGAGTAGAGGTCGCGGGCGGCACTCGGCAAGAGGCAACGGAGCCACAAGGCCATCCACGACCCGGAGCGCCGGCCCTTTTGGGTTTGCCTCGATGCCGGCCGGAAGAGGCACGCAACGCCGGCGCGACCCTGCGACCACGGCCGCGCGGGGGCGAATCATGCAGGCAACACCGGCACACGTGCGCCGGCGATGCAGAAACGGCTGGCAGCCCAGCCCCGGGGCCTTCCACGCACAAAGACCGCGGCCGCGGCGATTCGCTTTCTGTAAATCAAGAAAAAAACCTTTGCTCTATCCTCGTTCATTCCGCTCACTCACTCTCACAGACACTCAGGAAACACGCTGCAGAAAACCCTCAGCTTTGCTGCTCTTTAGGCCTGAACACGACCGTCTGCCCATCTTAAAATTTGAACTACACAAGCACGGCCAGCACCAAAAAAGCGATTGCGCCTGCGACATTTTGATTGTCGGCTTCTACCTTCAAGAAAGTAGTGTACATGATCTTAATCTTTTCAGAGCATTTCAGACGGCAAAAGTTTGACTCAAGCAGAAACAGAAACAAGCAAAAGTTCAAAGCTTCAAAAAGGGCGCCATGATAACAGTAGTTCATTCTCTATCGCCACTGCTGCTGATCCCCAACACCACCACCATTCAATTGTTGATTCGGATTCCCAAACCTCGACGGCGAGGCTGCGATGTTGGCAAAGGACAGTCTCCTGCTCGGGCTATCCGCCTGAAAATCTTGTTCATTTCCCGCCCCGACACCACCACCTAAAGCTCCAAAACTACTTCCGGACTGTTGGGACAACGACTGAGACTCGACAGTGGCGTTGGTTCTCGTCACGGCGAGGGGATTAATATTCCCCGCTAGTACTCCAGTTGTTGTTCCGGGCGGCACGCCTGCTCGGATCCCCGTTCCGTAGGTAGCGGAGAAGAGCCGCTGATTCACCGTGTAATTAATGTCATTGTCATTATGCCTTGCAAAAGCATCGTACTAGTAGCAATTGCATTACAAATTTGCTTAGCACTACAACTGAAATTTGTAATGCTGTTTTACCTATAAAAAGGAGATTTGTTATGCATAGCAGCAATCACTACGAGTACGATACTTTTGCACAGGATAGTCATTGCCGTTCAACAAATTACTCGCCGGTGGGTTCAATCCCGGGTAGCGGAACGAAGGACCCGGGGCCGGTGCAGAACTACCGATATTGATTCCGGTGTAGCTATTGTTAATATTTCCTCCTCCTGGTGCAACAACCCCTCCGAAACCACCGACATTTTGCTGCTGCTGATTGGTATTGCTATTTGCGAAAAATTGCTGACTCTGAATGGAGCCACCTGGTGCTCCGCTCGGTCCTGTTATCCCCGTAAAATACCCCCCGCGCATTGTCCCGGGACTCGGAGGTGGCACCGTTCGGCTCGCGGGGTGTTGAAAAGTGCCAACCGGCCCGGACCCGGAGGAAGACGAGGATGCGGAGCCGGGTGGGGGTTGCGCGGAAGTCGGGGAGGTTCCCATGGCGGTGATGTTCCGGAGTTGGTTGTTCAAAGCCGCCGCTGCGGAAGTGTAGTTTGTGTTGCTGGGAATGTTTGAAGGCTGCTGCTGCTGCTGCTGGTAAAATTGCTGCTGCTGTTGTTGAAAGGACGACGGGCTTTGTTGCTGCTGCTGCTGCTGAATCTGATGCTGAATTCCCTGTACCGATGGCGACGACACTTGACCAGCGTGTTGCTGCGGCGTAGTACCAGGCACTTGCTGCTGATACACCTGCCCCTGCCGCTGGTTTACCACACCAGTCGCATGCTGTTCGCGCTCATCCACGCGGAACAAGTCGTTCTCCAGCGGGATTCGAACCAGCGGGACGAAGCTCAAATCCGAGATCGCCATCTCGGTCGTCTCCCGTTGTTGCAACTCCAACTCCCCACTAGACCGTCTCCTGGATCTTTCCCGTTGGTCGGAGGAGGTGGAGGTGCGCATCGCTGATGAAGTTTGGTTTTCCCCTCTACTCGGACTCGCGTTCAACATCGAACCAGAACTCGGATAACCGAGTCTCGCGATGCTGCTCGCGAGATTCAAATCGTCTTCCGCTGAGTTTTCGTTTTGGTCCTGGAGATTAATGTCGTCTTCACTGCTATGCAGCAGGTCTCGAAGGGTGAAACCCGGGGTGCTGCTGACTTGACCACCTACTCCGACGGCATTTATTCTTCCAGCAGTTGTTGTACTAGCACCTCCGTACACAACATCCCGCCCGCTCACCTCCCGGCTCTGCGTCCGCTGCTGCAAAAGCATGTGGTGCTCCAGGTATTTGCCAATCGCCTTGATCACTTTCTGATCTTCATTCTGCATGTTGGTGTTCACGTTGGCAGAAGAAGAGCTGCTGGAACCGCCTTGGCCTGCACTCCCCGAAGAGGACAGCATGACGACATTTTTCAACTCCTGGTCCAATCTCACCATCTCGTGATAGTCCCCACTCAGCAAATCAATCGACAACTGCTGTTCCCGTAATCTGCTGTTCATCACGGACGACGCGTTTTGCATCAACTGCAAAAACTTTGTCCGTTGCTTTGTGATTTCAAACATCAACTGCTCAAAGTAAAACAGCCCGGACTGCTTGCAAATTTCGTAGGACTGCTCCTGTTTTTCCTCCCAGTTTTGCAACGCGGTAGTTTTTTTCCGCCTGGTTTGTTCCAATTTTTGGATTTTCGTAGAGAGAGTGGTTAATAATTGGTCCCGGAGCTGCACTGGTGTGCACCGGTCGTGCTTGCCGTGGAAAGAATTGGAAGATTGGTAGCAATAGCGGCAAATGAACTTCTCGCAGGTAAGGCAGAAGGTGTCGACTTGCTCGTTGACATGCTCCGTGCAGAAGGTGGCGTCTTGAAGTGTGTTGTTTGGCTGTAGTTGGTTCTGCTGTTGTAGCAAAAGGAGCTGCTGCTGTTGACCACCTGAAGACGAACCAGAACCGCCGTCGGTTTCATTTTGTTTCTGACTTGTTCCACCCGCCGCATTTGCTTTCGCCGCTTGCTCGGCGTTTGCGGCGAGAATTTCTGCCAAGGCGTAGTTGTTCCTCACTTGGGTGATCAGACTGTGGGTGCGGCACATCGGACAGACGATCACCGGCGTTTCTTCGTCCTGCCCCGCGGTTTCTTCTCGTTGTTGCACTAGGTTCAAACAACATTGGTAACAATAGGTGTGGCCACATTGGAGGATCTTTGGCGCACGGTCAGTCTCCGTGTAGGGGTGGAAGCAAACGGTGCACTCCATATTGTTGTAAAGACGGGTTTGTGTCGTTGAGATTGAGTTGTGATCTTAGCGAAAACATAACAAAAACGCAATTCAAAGGATGAGCCTGCTAACCACAAGAAGACCTCAAGTACAAGATTTTGAAGATACACGACGTCGCAAAACATGAACAAATTTTTCAGGTTTTTATTCGAGACGAGCGATGAAGCAAGACGACACTCATCAAGAACTTGATTGCTCTCTTCACATTCTTGTTCACGATGACACGATACGAGTCCGAAGACGGTTCATTTTGCTTCTTCGCGGTCTTGAAGACCACAATTATTGCGTGAGGCAGACGAGTGATGGACGATTTCTGCCGAGAGCTATCATGCACATGAGTACGCAAGCACAGCGATAACAGGGACACAACCGCGCCGCCAACCGTCGATGCTGCGCGGCAGGTCGACTTCCTGCCTATCAATGTCTTTTTGTATTTTTCCGTTAACTGACAAATCTTCGTTCTCAAACTATATCTTATCAGAGACGTGGGCGCAACGTCCTGAGTTTTTTGTGGACGGAAGAAAAATCGAACTTCACAACTAGATTACAGCCTCGCTATTGTTTCAAAGTCCTTAAAAGCATCACGTTGACTTCGGGAAAGCAGTGCTCGGTCAACAAGATGAAGTAGCTGTAATGAATCTTGACAAAAAGAAAAAACTCGGAGTCACGACAGAAAAACCCTTATACAAACATGCGCTTTTCAGAGATGAAGCTGTGATGAAACTTCTGGCACTTTAGAGAATCTTTCCGCGCGCTCCCGCTCCGTAAATCGAAAAATACAAATGAGTACCGCTACTTATGTCTGACCAGCTGCACAGGACCGCCTCTATGTGTGACTCTGCTTTCAACATCTCGATTAAGTCTAGTGGCGTATCTTGTATTCTGGTCTAAAGTGAATTTCCTTCCTCTTAGAGCTGGAAGGGTCGTTAATTTGAAGCCTTCCGGTGGGTTTTCGTGCGGGTTTGGCAAAGAGCGCCCCCAGAGACCCCAACAAGGGGACCCAACCCCTGCCTCTTCCTGGGCCAGACCCCTGCCCCTCCCTGGGCCCAACCCCTGCCCCTGGGCCCAGCCCCTTCCCCTGGGCCCAGCCCCTGCCCCTGGGCCGCGCGCGGGGGCGCCGGCCGGCCGGGAGGGCTTTTCGGCCTACCCGAGGTGGCTATCCCGCATGCTATGGTGGCGCGGAGGCTGCCCCAAAGCGCCCCCTTGTGGAAGATAGGGTGGGTCCAGCGGGTTTGGCCGCGGGTTTAGAAAGTTGGTCGTTTTTGCGCTTCAGAAATCGACCGAAATAGCCGCGGGGGAGGCTTTCCGAAAGGATGTGGCCTTGCTAATCCCGCGGCAAACCCGCTGGACCCCCCCTATCTTCCACATGGGGGGTGCTTTGGGGCAGCCTCCGGGCCACCATGGCACGCGGGATAGCCTCCTCGGGGAGGCCGAAAAGCCTTCCCGGCCGGCATCCCCGCGCGCGGCCCAGGGGAGGGGTTGAGCCCAGGGAGGGGCAGGGGTTGGGCCCAGGAAGGGGCAGGGGTTGGGCCAAGGGAGGGGCAGGGGCTGGGCCCAGGTAGGGGCAGGGGTTGGGCCAAGGAAGGGACAGGGGTTGGGCCCAGGGTCCTCACCGAAAGCCGCACGAAAACCGGAGGCCATTTCGTTAACGACTCTTCCAGCTGTAGACCTCCTCCTACTTGCTGAACTTTTTTTTGGATTTGTCTATCATTTATGTATTAATTTCGTTTTGTGGTAAGTACATCATCCTCTTTCCCACCTATTCGTGGCTTTATACGTGTATCTCCTAATCATGGTTCATCTTTCGTGGTTAATCTTTACTTTTTAGCTTGTCCTTGAATGTCTAGACATCTGAAGAAGTTTTTCGTATGCAAGTGCCGGATTTCTTTAGAAGTGAAGTTCTTTTCTACAGCATGAAACTGACTCTATTCTTTCTTTAGCATAAGGAGGTCTTTTAGCCTCTGACGATTTTCATTTTTTTCGAACGCTATGGATGCATGAGATGTACGAGCTTTTGATTTATGTTTCGATAAGTTAATGTCTACAGCGGTCACTTTAGACCGTAGGTTCTTGACTTTAACCACATCTGAAGTAGCCACTGAGGAGCTCTGTTAAGATAGCTCCAGTGGTGGTGCTTGCTCTGCCATCGGAATCTCCGGAGGTCCAGCAATAACATCCCGGACGGGTGGAGGAGGCACAGAGGAAACATCAGCGCCCAGCGTTGCAGCACCAGCTGCACTCGCTTCCGAAAGAACTGGTCGAGGAGCAGCAGCCCAACTTGCAGTTAATACATTCCGCCCGCGCCCGCGACCATTACCATTTGCATTTCGTCCCCGGCCGTGTTGTAGTTGACTACCGGTAGCACCTCCACCTCCACGGCCGCCCCTGCCCGCACGAGAGGACCAAGAGCGAGCAGCCGGTGGAATAAATTGCGGCTGTTGGCCGGCAAAGAAATTTGCACCGCCGCCAGTAGAAACGGTAGCGGAAACAATTCCTACCGGACCATTGGGATCAGCATTGAAAGCTGCTGCGTTCGACGCAAAGTCATGCCCAAAACCTTCCCCGTTTCCCACCACAGCCCCCATCGGAACGTTCGTGGTATAGTGAAAGCAGCGCCCACTATTCGGATCTGTGTGGAAATAGTGCGTGGTCCGGACCGGCTGCCCAGAACCGTCTTGACTTATGGATGTAGTCTGAAAAGCCCGGTCACCCGCGTCCCCATAGCTGTTGTAATTCGTCACACACCGGAATTCCCTCCCTTCACTGACGTGGTGAACCTGCCCAGAGCCAAATTCCCTCATACTGGAGATGTAGGGGGGGAGTGGCTGGTTTTGCTGCAGCATGTGTTGAATTGTTTGATGAACGAATTCTGGGTTTGGTAACTGCTGGCTTTGATGTTGACCCGCTCCGGGGACAAATACTTCCTGGTGCTGCAATTGCTGCAAAAGCTGGTTGTGGCGCTGTTGCTGCGCGGCCACAACCTGTTGCTGACGGTGCGCATAAGCAGCTTCTTGCTGCAATGCCGCTTGCTGTGCACCGTAGTTGTCCGGAGACGAGTACTGCAGGTGCCCGGATGGGTCGTGAACTGTGTACGAATTCGGATCTACTGTGCCCGCATACGGCGTCGCGGGATCGCCTACTAGCAAGCCCATGGCATAAGCTGGGTTCATCTCAAGAAAATTGTTCGACGCACCTGCACCTGGCGCCGGTGGGATCACCGGGTAGAAAGGCTGCTGCTCTTGCTGCTGTGGTTGCAGCAGCTGCTGCTGCGACATCGCAATTCCAGACGCGGCAGCTTCGCCGGTGTAGGTCGTCGGCATGATCTGAGAAGGTGGCACAACTCCCGCGGCCTCGTTTGCGAAACGATCCACACTGGTGAATTGCTGCCCATCCCTGCCCACGTGGTAATACAGTGGTCGAACGGGAGGAACCCGCATGCTGGCGTCGGGGCGGGATGATTCCGGGAGAACTGGAGGCGCAGGAGGTCGGGCAGAGGCGGCAGCAGTCGATTCCGTGTTGACCAAGACCATGTTGTCCTGCTCCACCAACTGCTCGGTCGGAGCGACGTTTGCAGGTGAGCTCGGATCAGACAGTGGCAAAATCGGTTCGGCAACGGCCTTGGTAGAGGAATTGGCTGTGACGGGGGAAACAGCATTCGAGGAGGAGGATTCGGCCGACGAAGCTCCGGATTGTTGGCTAGTACCTCCAAGAGGGGTGCCGATGTTGTGATGCTGGACTTGCGATTGAGGCTGGGGCTGTTCGGCTCCTAGTACCGCTTCACCTTCCGCAAAAGGAGAATCTCCAGCATCGCTCTGCTGAATAAACCCGATGCTATTTCCCGACAGCGCGGAGAAGAAGCCGTTCTTACTCGCGGGCAGTAGATCCGTGTCCGAAACCCCTTCACAAGTAACGGTGACGTTTGGTGCGCAGGGGGTGAGCATTTCCAAGCCCGGCGGGAGGCCGATCTCACTTAGGGAGGAGAAAACTGCGGAGGCGGATAGGGCAGCTGGGACGGGGCGGCGAGGTACGATTGGTAGAGTCGTGTTGTTCTCACGTGCTACTTGTACGGTAGTAGCGGTACCCGTTGCCGTTCCGGGTGGACCAGCATTTTGCAATGAAGATGAGGCCGAAGTGGCCCCTTCTTGTCCCACTCCCGGCCTCGGGGAGGAAAACCTGACCATATCGTCCAGGTCTTTTTTCAACAAAGCCGGGAAATCTTCCAAATAGTTTTTATCCCCCCGAGCGGCCGGCGGGGGGGAAGCAGCGGGGGTGGAGGTTGAGTTGCGGTCGCTGCCGGCAGATGCAGATGCTCGTCCTCTTGCACCAACTACAGGTGCTGGGTAGTAGCTGCTCTTTTGAACTACATTCGCTCTTCCAGCCTTTCCTGCCCGTCCAAGAGCCGGCCCCTGCTTCGGAACAGATACAATCGGTCTTCCGCCAAGCCTCGCCGTTTGATTCACTCCTTCGTTTTCGATCGGAAACTTGCGGTTCTTGATTTTTTGCTGTCTCGTCCGCTCGGAATGTTGTTCTGGGAAATGTTCATCGTCTCCTTCCTCGTGCACTGCTGTTGCAGTGAAGTTCCCTCCTTTGTTCCTCCTGCTGTTGCGCCCTAAGGGCGACTCTGCTTCCCACGCAGGCTTCTTTGAAGATGCACCTCCAACCGGAGTAGATCTTGTTCCCTTCGGCTTTTTCGCTTGAAACAGCTCTGCGACGTCGATGTGTTTGCCGACTGGCAAAGCCGGACTCGCGGAGATAGGATCTGCTGTCGGCAGTTTTGGTTTCCAGGCGGACGAAGAACTACTCGCAGCAGGCTGTTGCGGAGCAGTTGCAGTACTAGCATCCTCAATTCTTCTGCCTGTGCTTGAACTACCGGCCCCGTGGCTTAGTCCTGGTTTGTCTTGTTCCAGATTGGGAAACAAATCTCGAACGTTCACTGGTTTCCAGTGTTGATCCCGGCTGCTGCTGGTAGATTTCGGTACAGCATCGCGGTCCGACTGGTGCTGGTCCTGCTTGCGCTGCAAAATCTTTGTGACTTTCAATTGTCCAGCCTCGCGTCCTCGAGAAGATGATCCCGGCTTGGTATCTTCTTTTCTCAGCAAGCTTGTTGCCACGGAACCGCCGCTAGTACCAACACCGACGGAGGATGCTTCTTCGCCGGAGACCTGATCCACATCCTGTTCCGTTCCGCGTAGATTGGGTTATGGAAATGGAAAGTCGTGGAGCCTTGTGTGGGCAGTGCAAGAAGGAGGAATTTCACTCTTGCTTCGCTCGTACATTTCAATTTATGAAACAAACAATTTTAATTTCAAAGCACCAAGGACCATTTTCTGCACGACCATTAGGAGGTGCTGTCGAATTGATCACACGAAGCCGCTTTCTTGCATGGTGGACATGACACCAAGGCGCAAAACATTCTCCGCGACGGTGTGAAGCGCATGGAATTGTGGTGGGCCTGATACCATGGCGGGTAACATCTTGCACGACGGTGTGAAGCTCATAAATTCGCATGACATTCATACCATGCTGAGTAACATCATTCTGCACGGCAATCTGCGAAGAGGAATTTAGGCATTCTCGTCTCCGAAGTGGTCGCACATCTACATACAAAGCCCACACAAGATCTTGTTTGATTATTTTCTTCGTTCATAACCCAGACCCTGCAGCACCTGAACCAACTTCCGGCAGACGCAATTCTGCCCCGCGAGCGCTTTCCCAAAACCGGCTGCCAATCGGATCATTCGCATGCCGCATCATCGCAGCCAGCGCAGTTTTAGTACTGCTAGAGGACGAGGAGCTTGCGGTTGTGCCTCCCGTTGGAGCTGCTACTGCGGGAGTTGTAGCTGGAGCAGGAACTACAGGGACGCAAGACAAGCCATTGTTCGTCAACACGCCTCGACTAGAAGTAGTATCCCCAAGAAGCGGTAAAACCTGTCCGCACACTCCGTCCTGCCATTCCCAAAGCAAGTCCGGCTCCGCTTGAAACACCGCTCCCGCGACGTTCCCCGGCACCTGTTTTTTGCCGAGAATTGGATGCGGAAAACCGTTATGGAATGCAAATATGTCTGGGTCTGGAAGATTGCCAGGCTTGTCATGCGTATTTTGCATGACCCGTGACGCCTGTAAGGCATGCCCTAGCATCGCAGATTTTGATAGGGCTTCCTGATGCCGATTCCGCATGAGAAATGCCCTCTCCATGTAGCGCAAACTGGACTCCTCTACTTGCTGGTCAAGCAATACGAATGCAGATTTTTTCATTAGAATCCAAAGACAGCATCACAAGTTGGATCCTTCCAGACCCAGACATATTTGCAGTTGATAACCGTGGGTGTCTTCGAGCACTGGCGGAAAGTACGGGGGCGGAGGGCAAGGCGGCGTTAAGTAGGAAGTGGTGGGACTATTTGCGGGAGGTTGCAGGTATGGAAGTGGAGTTTTCAAATTTGTGAATGGTGTAGTTTATTTTGTTGTGCTTTACTAGTTTGCAAGTTTGGTTTGAAGCGATGGAAGCTTCACCTTTTGAGCTCTGCATGACTATTTAGTTGAGAATGATCAGTTGACGAACTGAAATCCAGCTTCGCGTGACTGCTACGCAACAGGACACGCTGTAATCGATGACGTTCAAAGCTATCATGCAAACAAATGTTGCATGATCAAAACCAAATTACTCACGAGAAGACACGTATTGGAATCAAAACCGACCGAATTTGAAAACTTCTCCTTCCTACTGCAGGGTGCGCTGGCATCTGCGGAGCTCCGCGTTCTACCAAATTGAAATTCGAAGGAAAGAAAGTCCGTTGCATCGGACTCTGGGTGTTCACAATCCCTGAATTCGGTTGCAAGATCTGCTGCTGCTGCGAGACGGGGTAATACGGAAGCTGGTGGGCAGCTCCTGCGGGAATCGGAATCTGCGCAGCTCGAGAAGTAGATGATGAGGCCCCCGCACCGGAATCAACAAGACCAGCAACATCAGTTCCAGAGTGCATGTTCCAATGCTGCGAAACCAATTTCTGTTGCTGGTACTTCTGCAATTCTTGGGAAATCACGCTAGGCGGAATAGGCGCAGCAGTCGAGGTAAGCATGACCTTCTTCGGCTCCAGTCGTTTGTGCTGTTGCACCACGTCCTCTGAGGATGGCGATGGGCCAGCAGGACCCTGTGCTGCAGGAGCTCTACTATTGCGTGCAGCAGACAAAATCTGGTCTTTACGGTAGGTGGCTTCCTGCTCAACGCGAAAGGCTTCATGCGCTTCTCGTGCTACATTTTCTTTTCGTTCATCGTGCGTTTTATACGAGTTAAATGAGGCCGCAGAAGCTTCGTGACTGGCAGTGCGCAAGCTGTGCAGAAACGAAGACTGGTGGTCCTGCAAGTCCAAACCACTGGAACCAGCAGCCTTGTCGCTGCTCGAAGCAGAAGCTGCAACCTCTCCTGTGCTTCCAGCAACTCTTGCTGCACCAAGAACTACAGCATCTTCTGGAGGTGACGTGTCCGTGCCCGCGGCACTCGAAGCGGTCCTCGACGCAGCTCCATCTAGAACGCCAACTTTGTGCCGAACATTCCAGCTCTTCTGTGCGTGCGCTCGTTCTTCCAGCGTCATCTTTTTCGCTGCTTTTTCTGCGGTTGTCGGAAATTGCACACGTTGAACGGAAGGGCTACGACTACTAGCATGATCTCCAGCACGACCGCTTGAAAACGGTACTTCTTGCGGCTGCGATTGTACTGGAGCTCCTGCATCGTCGTGCGCTGCAAAAGGCTTCACCTCACGACCCGGCAACTCCCCCTTGGCCCGCTTTTCGGCCCGGCGTCGTTCCACTTCGTAAAGCCAAGAAAAATCCCTTTCTCTACCGCCTAAACCGGTTGGGTTGTAACTGTTTCGATTTCCGACTCCGCCACCCAGGCTGTAATGTACTTGGTTTCGTTCCGCCGCGTTGAATTCACCGACCACACGGCCCGCTTTTTGCTGAGCCAACGAATCGACTTGTCTTTCCCGCGGGTGTTGGGCAAACTGGAGGTTCAAGGCGTTGATAGACAATTCCCGGGTGGAGGACGTGCCTTTCCGGATCGGGAGGTAGGAGCTGCTCTGCTTGTGTTCTTGCTCTTTCTTTGGTGTTTTAGAAGTGGTTGTGCCATCATCTCGAGAAGAGGTGGAAGCTGCTGCGCGGCCAGGATCTTCTCCTCCGGGAGAAGAAGAAAGAAGTGCGCCACTGTCGCGGAGAGAATACCCACGCTTCTGCTGGTTGTATTCGTGATCATGATAAGCCCCCGACGCGCCAACGACTTCGAACTCCGACGAAGCAGCATCGGAAACTGGTGAAGCATCTGGCGTTGTTCCTGTATACTTCTTCAGATTGGCTCCTGGTCCTGCCGGAACAAGTTTGTCAGCACCAGTCGTGGCTTCAGCTTGTTGCTGGTGCCCTTCCATCATCGTGGCTTCATTCTCCACAACATCTTCCTTCGTCTTCTTCTTTTTGGACAAGGCAGCACCACTGGAGGTGTGGCTGATGCTCTTCCTCAAGCTCAACGTGCGTAGCTCTGCCGGGGTAGGATCGGAAGTTTGGTGTTCAGCAGGCACTACATGGAAACTCGCCTGCTCAGGTGAAACAACAACATCATCCTGCTCTGTAACAGTTGCATGTGTCGTGCCACTAGCAGCAGCACCAGCACTACTCGCAGTAGCATTGTTCAAAGCCTCCGCATATGTTTTCTTCTGCGAAGAAGTAGATGAACTCGCCTTCCCCGCTTCCTCCACAGACGTTTTCGCTTGTTTCGTCTGGTGCGACATTTGTCTCCGCAGCTCCGTCAACCGTTGCTGGTCTCCTCGTTTCACGACCTTGTTCTGGCGACTGGATGAAACTACTACACCTGCCGGTCCTGACAGCCCTTGTTGACTAGCTTCATGATGGTTATGCATTGCAAATATGTCTGGGTCTGGAAGGATGCAACTTGTGATGCTGTGTCTGAATTCTACAAAAATGTGTATTGCATGAACAGCAAAGGAGGTCCAGTTTTTGCCAGGGCGAGAGGGCATTTCTCATGCGATATAGGCATCAGGAAGCCCTCACAAAATTTGTAATGCTAGGGCATGCATCACAGACATCAGGAGTCATGCAAAATGTGCATGACATTCCAGACCCAGACATATTTGCACTTGATAATGGTCGTAGTACAACCCGCCGGTCGTCGTGGAAGGTAAAGACACAGATTGCGACCGGCCCTTCTCTGCTGGGAAAGAGAACAACGAAGACCCCGAACTGGTTCTGGACACGTTTCGGCTGCTGTTGCCCGGCGCAGGACCACCTCCCAGTGGCGTTGCTTTCCCTGGCGGGCCGAAGAGGCTTCTCAGGACCTTCTCCCTCTGCGCCTGGTGATCTGGGTCGGGCGAGGCGTCGATGTGCAATGCGGATAAATTCCGCCAATCGACGGTAGTTCCGGAATGTTTTGTTTCTGGGTCACCGGGAACTGGGCTAGAACTAACAGAAGCAGCACGGCTTCGTCCACCGGTATGGTGCTCTGCTTGCGGAGATGAAACATCTCTCTCCACTGATGCCCGGCTTTGCTCCTCGTTCGCTGTCGTATCATTCCCCGTGGCATGCACCTCCCGGCCCCGTTGTAAGGTCTTGTTCTCCGAGTGCTGTTTCTGTCGCTCCGAGGCCCAGGCGAGAAAATCTCGATGCGATTCTTGTTTCTGGCTTCCAAAAGTCCGACTACCAGAAACAGGTGAAGCAGAAGCGCTACCCGAGGAAGATGGTGGAGCTGGCCCTCGACCTCTTTTCCTCCCACGATCCAGCGACTCATCCTCATCGGAAGGAGAAACCAGAGGGGAAGACGGCTCACTTCTTCCCTGTCCCATCTTCGGGCGCGGAAACAGGCTCGGGCGCCAGGGGATTTGCACTTTCTCTGCCTGTTTTGGAGAGTGGTGCTTTATGTCGTATAAAGTTTGGTCTAGCCGCTCGGGCGAAGTTTCGTCCTCGTCGGATGCCATGTGCAGGTTGTGAGGTCCGGTATTGACTCGCAAATCCCCGTTTTCTAGTAATTGCTTCCGAATCGGCGAGGCACTAGAAGTCGTAGTACCCGGACGAGCAGTAGGTGGGGACGTCGGCTCGGTGGCAAGCACCAACGGGATGGTCGATTGAAGAGCCCCCGCTGCAGCAGAGCTACTAGATGAAGAAGACGCAGCTTGAAGATGTTGTACATGTACTGCCGGCGCGACAGTATTAGCGTGAGACGTCTTCTCGTTCTCACCAGCTGGCTGTTCTTGAGAAACAACACCAACATGCTCTGGTACTTTCGGCGTGCCCCGGAATTCCATAACCCCACTCTTCCAGATTTCGATATTGTTATCCTGCCACCCCGCGTCCTTTGCCCGCTGCGTCATCAACGCCCGTGCTTGGATTTCCGCCTCTGCTTCATCTTCCTCGCTCCCCTCGGGGATCGAGGGAGAATCGTGCCTCAGTAAATCTTTCGGAAACAAGTCACTTTCTGCGAGGAACGCGTCGATTGCCGGCTTTTGGTCAAAATCTTTCAGGTCTTGAAGGTCCGCCACGGAGTGTGAAGATTCTTGATCTTGATGGTCATGATCCTCAAAATGATGCTCCCCGTCTTCGGGAATGGTCGGTGAGCCGCGGCGGTTTAACTGGTCAACAGCAATTTGTCGGAGTTGAGCATGTTGATTCGCCAGGTGGTCTAACCCCGGCGTGGAGGGCCGACTCGCTGTGTACGATGCGCGTTCTTGGTCCTCTAGCAGCGAAGACGAGGTTCCGCGACCCCAGCATTCGTCATCGGATTCTTCGTCGTGTTCGTGTTGCAAGTACTGCGGATCTTCCCCATATCTACCGCCGCTTCCGCCCCCACCTCCGGCGAAGTAACTGAACAATGGGCCGTCCGACATCGCTCCGGGCGTTGTGGTGTTGCACCTTGACAACGGCGTTGTCAATTGATCTTGCTGCATGCGTTGCAAATCGTCTGGGGAAAGGGGGACGGGAGCGTGTTTCTGCAATTGGAGATCATCTTCCGCTCCAGCAATAGCGCTCTTGTTGGATAGTACGCCTGGATGCATCTTCCCTTTCGCCGATGCAGAGTCGCCCTTGCTGGGCCAGGTACTTTTGAAATCGTCGGAATCAAGACGCTGATGCACGTCTTCCGGGGCAGCTGCACCAGTTGAAACAGTTGTACTGTTCTGCTTGTTCTGAAAGTCCGGATGATCGGCGTCAACTGCCGCTTCACTCAGCTGGAAATCATGGTCCTCTTGCAGCTGCTCCTGAAAGAGCGAGGAATTCGTAGAAGGATTCATCGCGTTAGCACTGCCTATACTTCCCACTCTGTCGCGCGGTCCATAAATTTCTTCCTCTCCCGCCCGAACACGAAGATCCTCGTTGCCGCCCCGGTCAACATCAACAGGCTCAAAATCATCTAAAAACGAGCCCGAGCCCCCCGCGGTAGAGCTCGGTCTCCGCGGAATCGGCGCTAGCATGCGCGTGACTTGCGGCTCCATGGGGTGACCCTCAAAGTCCTCGTCCGAGGACACGAGCGGAGAGGACCCGGTGCGATTCCGCGCCCCCACGGCCTCTGCGCCGAGTGCGAAGAAGTCGAGTGGGGTTCCACCTCTTCGTGACGGCAGCGGACCGAGGGTATCTCTAGAAGTACCGTGAAATTCATCTTCCGGCGGAGGCGGGGGTGTAGGTGTAGTTCTAAAAGTTGAGTTGAACATATCAAAGTCCGCTTGGTCAAGAACATCATGTTGTCCCTGGGGCTCCTGCTCGGGAGGAGTCCTGGTGCCCGCAGCTTCAACATCATGCGGTCCGACCAATGGAGAGAGGGGTGGCATGTCGTCCAAGGTGTCCTCTCGTCGCGGCCCGAGTAGCGGTGCCGAGGGCGGCCGGGAAGGGGGGTCATTTCGCGGATCATAGGTCGTGGACGAGCTGCTGTTATTTTCATCATTTCCGCGAGACTGCGAGCCAGCATGAAAAGCTGGCCCGAGAGTTCTTCGTTCAGGCAACGAGGAGGCCCTCGCCTGCGCTGCTTCTGCTAGGAAAAAGAATCCGCCTGGTGCTGTCGTGTAGTTCGTTCTACTAGTGCTGCTGCTGCTGCACACGTTGTCTATCGTAGCCAAGTAGTTCGCGAACAAAGCTACGACTGCTTTGAGTACATGCGGCGACGTCTTTCCCCCTTGGAAACCCAACATTTTGATGAAAGGAACGGTCTTATGTATTTTCTTGTAAATGGGACAACGAGAAAGACAAACCGACACCGGCTTGTAGAACGAAAAAAAAGATCTTTTTCACGATTTTTCACTTGGACTTGCACTACACTTGTTGTAACTGCATACTTACGTTGACGACAACGTGATAAATGATTCAGATTCTTGTCTTGCTACTGCCAGTAGAAACCTGGTATCGCTACGTCTTGTCGTTTTCTTTTCAAGCGCCCGTCGGAATCTTCATGTTGAACTTGAAGGAAAAATGATCTTACAATGCTGCCGAGTACATATTTATCAGGACAAAAAACGAATTTTGTACGCCGAGTGCTTGTTTTTCATTACCGTTTATCGTTATTTGACGTTGAAAAAAAATAATAGTCTTAGAAGTCACGGGAGATCTTTTTTCTACCTGCTTAGTACCCTTTTGGTACTTCGGCCTGTAGCTGTAACTGATGTCTCGTACCATGAGAAAAAGGTAACCCCGAGGCAAAACGACCAGGAGGCGGTCACTCAGCACAAGACCTCTTTGCTGTAATACTGTTCGATGCACCAAAACTTGAAAAACTACTCTATGCAACGCGTTAAAACGGTCGTCACGGTCGTGGATCGTCTTCGGGGATCTTCTCGCGACTGCAGTGTCTGCGGTGCATCAATGGAATCTCTGGGGCGAATAAAGAAGATCTTCATCGTCGTTGGACGCAAGAGAAATTCAACAGCCGTGTCACGACTTACTGTCTTCATGACGTCGTCATCGATATCTCTTTATTACAATCTCCTGGCGGTGGCCTCATGAAGATGAGCAAAATTTGGACGACGTCAACGTCGTGTCATGTTCTCATGTTCTTGACTGGAGTTTCATTTTTTTCTCAAACGCAATATAAATACAAGTGTACTACTTACTACGGGAAGTAGCCTGTATTCTTTTTTAGCAAACAGAAACGGAAACGCTTATCGTGTGGATTTCGCACCATTGTCAGAGCCGTTGAGCATATCTATGTTACACCAACCACGCTTTTTGTACACGAGAGCAGTAACAGTCGCAACGTTTTTCATTACACTCGGCTCATCACCAAAACTTTATCATGCCTTCCCGCCAGAACCAGCACAGCAAGTAGGCCTCTGCTAGTTCTAGTTCATCATCCCACTAGAAGCAGCTGCAGTTCCCTCGCCTTTCTCTGTCCGACGAGTTGAAGATCTTCATCATGAGCTCAATCCTTATTGTACCAGCACGTATCCGGGTGGGGCACTTCGTACAGCCCAAACGGTTTTCCGTACATGTACGCATCAATGCCCCGCTCCTTCGCCGCCGCCAGCATCTCCGCCCGGATTTCCGGCGTGTCGTCCTTCGCGTAGAAGTTAATTCCGACGAAAAAAGCGTAGTCGCTGGGGATGTGCGAGGAAACTTGTTTCAAATCCACACACTGGAGTTCGATCACCCACTTGTACTGCAGCTTCGGACGAGAAAGAACGACTGTGCTCGTTTCTTTAACCTTATCACCGACATCCTGCTCACCTTCGTTGTTCATGTTCTCATCGTCTTCTTCTTGCTCCTTAAACGCCACGACCGTGTCCGGAATCCTCAGGCCCCCCGTCACCGCGTTCCATTTTCCCGTGAAAATCCCCGGAGTAGAGGTATTGAGTTCGAACTTCAGGTCGGAGGCGTACGGCTTGTCGAAACAGGCAAGCGTGAACTTGTCGTGCAACAGAAACGGATTTTCTTTGTCCAAATACTTCACCGACTGCACACAAGACGGGCCTTTGACGCACGCAGGGTACTGCGTGAAGTCGTGGAGGAAGAGTTCTTTGTAGGTGCCTTGTAGTTTTTCAATGTCAAACGTGTCTTTCACTTTGGGATCTTGGATCGAAACCGGGTCCGGGCAGGTCCAGGTGGAGGAGAAATTGGTGGAAAAGGCTGACGCGGACTGCTTCGCTTTTCGCAGGAAAGTCTCGGCGGCTTTTGCTTCCTTTTTGACAAAGGGTTTGACGTTGTCTTGGTATTCGGAAGTGATTTCTCTCTCCGCTTTTTCCGCAAATTTTTCTAGTTCCTCGATCGATTTCTCTGCGATTTTTTCCACTTCGATTGCCGTTTCAGACTGCTGTAACTGCTGTTCATCCTGTTTCAATTTCGCGAACAGCTTCCTGGCCTGCTGCAGTTTTTCGTCTTTGAACCGATTCGCTTTTTCTAGATCCAGGAAAGCTGTTGTTTCACTGTCGTCAGAGGTTCTTGGAAGTTGTGCGACACCACCATCGCGTGAAGAAGATGCGTCTGCAAACACCGAGGAGCACGCGGGATGACAAGAGCTGCCGACTCCTGTATTCACTCCGCCGTACGAAGAGCCGCTCGTCTTTCCCCCGCTCAGAATGTACGACAGCGTCGCCAAGCCGCCGACCAGTGCGAGAACTCGGGGTCGCTTGTGTTGCACCACGCCGGTGTTGGTCGAAACTCCATTTCTAGTACGGCCACCTCCCCGTGGTCTCGCATGGGTTGCGGTCCTCGGGCTGCTGGCGCTGCTAGCACTACCGCAGACCGTCTTAGGCGAGAGACTGCTAGGGCTAGTACCGGTCGTAGAGAGAATGGGAATGTTGTTATTGCTGGGACAAGTCAGTTCCTGCGCAGAAGAAGTGCTCGGGGTCGCAGCACATCGCGCACTAATTCCTCGCCACGGTGGCCCCTGTTCATCGTCTCCAATATTGAAGTAGGTTGGACCCGCAGCGGCTGTGTGAACTGGGATCGCCGTTTCCAGCAACTGGAGTAAGTAGAGGCACAAAACAGAACGAACGGACGAGTGGAGCGGAGCCATCTTTTGTGGACCAGAGGAGATAAAAATAAGAGGAGTTTGATGCAGCCTGTGCGATCACAACATGAACATACTCGTCGAAATTCTAATAAGTACTTTAGTCTGAACGTTGACGAAGACCTCGCAAGAATCGCTTCTAGTGGAAGAAGAGCTGCGGGACTACACAGACACGAAAATCAAAACCCACAAAAACAAACGTGATCCCAGAGGAAACGACAGGCGGAGGGGCCTCTTCCTTGCAACGCAAGAACGCTCTTCGAAATTCAAGCGCCAGAACAATATTCACCAAAAGCCCGCACTCAATGGCGCCGCAATATTATCCACCACGGGGCCATGAGGAAGCCTCCTAGACTTTCGCCCAGGGAATAGGCGCCTGCACATACAGGTGAATGCAAGTACCAAAGCGGATGTCTGTAGTGAGAAATATGCGCAGAAAAGAATTACAGGGGGGCGGCGCGGCCGACACGCTTCAGGAGCTCGAGAACATGAGAGGCTGGCCATACGTGTGGCTGGTCACGCGACCCTCCCCCGGTACCTACGCATCGAACGCAGGGGCCACTCCCTGCGAGGCCGGGACACGCGATCATGTTCGTTCCGCGGGCGCTAGTGGCTGCATAGATAAGAACAAAGAATAAAAGAAAAAATGCGCCGGAGGGCCCCATTGGTGCCAAACAATCAAACGGGGGGGAGGCGGGGGGCTATCGGGCAGCCGGGCCGGCCAAACCGCGCCAGCCAGCCGCGGCCCACTGCGCACACGCACCACATTTCTGGTTGGCCGGCGCCCGCCGGCTCGGTAGGAACATTACAAACACACACAAGCCCGCGGCGCCGGGGCTCAGCGGCAGGCCCGGCAAGCGCAAGCAACGGCCTACGGGCGGCCGGGCCCAAGGGGCGGGCGCGCGGGCGCCAATCAAGGTCGGCCGAGCGACCGACGAGGAACCCAAAGGCCCACCATCCAGCCCGCCCGCCCGGCGGACCGCGGACGGGGGGGGGCGGGCCCAAGGAATGCGGGCGCCCGCGAAGGAAGCTAGCACGCAGCGGCGGCGACCGGCCTGGGATGAGTTGCGCAGTTTCTCTTTCGTTATCCCGGGGGCCGAAGGAAACCGCTTGGGCTTCGGCGCCGCTGTCTGCGCGCCTGGCCCTGGCATGGGAAACAGGAGCTGCCGCGGCTTGGACGAGGACAGACGCGCCGGCCGCAGCCTGTCGGGCGGGCGACATAGAGCGCGCGGCCGCTCGGGCACACACAGGCGCGCCACCCCGATGCCCCGGCCCCAGGGCCGCATTACGGCGACCGCCCCGGGGCCACCAGTTGCAAGCCCCGCCAAGCCCGCGGGGCTCGCTGGCTCGGCCCCAATGCGGTAGGCGCCGCCGGGGTTGCCATGTCACCACTTTACCCCCTTCCGGCTCAAACAAGTTGCGCCAGTTCATCACTTCCGTCTGCAGGGCGGCCTTCTGGAATTCCATGCTGTCCTGCATTTTGTCGAACCTCTTCAAGAGGGCGTCGTAGCGGTGGGGCCTGGGGAGACAACCCGGGCCCCCTTGGCCACCCAACAGGCCACACCCTTCCGCGCTTGGGCGGCTGCTTCTTGCGCCCTTGCCGATTCCTGGAACAGAGAAAACAGGAGCAAGCACATACCCGGGCGGGCCCATCGTATACGGGCGCCCACACTCCAACCGAAGAGAAGGGGCCGCGGCAATAAGGCGGCGCCAGGATGTCTCCAGCCATGAGAAGCCATCGGCCCCAGGCAAAAACCTCGGAGCTCCCCCCTACGTAGCGGGGTATCGGCGACGTCGATGCGCTACATGCCGAGACGGGGAGCCACAATGCTACAGAAAAGCGACCAGCTTAAGACACACCGGGAACACAAGTGGAGTGCCAAGATCGACGTCATAGACATTCTTCCCTTCGCAAAGCCATTTCAGCAACCACCACTGGAAGCGCTTTCACTTCATCTGATTATTGTTTTTTCTTCATTTTCGCACTCGCAGACATGTAATTCTGTCTAAAAAAGTTTCTGAGGTTGACCTTCACCTTCGTTCTCTGGCTCTTACTGCCGCTTGTTCCTCTTTACACACTACTTCTAACACGCTTGCATCCAAAAACGCTTTCGAGTGCTCCGCGCGGCTGTGCCTTTTAGAAATCTTGGAACGAGTGAACGTGTTCTGGCGATGCCTCTGGGTTTGGTACAGTAAGAGAATTCCAGGGAAATAAGCTTCTTCATAGGTAACGTCGACTTCTTCTTCTACTTTCTGGCAACATAATTTGATTTTTCATTTTTTTTTCGCAGTTTCATGAAAAATATGCTGTGACTTAAACGTTTTAGATTTTTTCCAAAAGGTGTTGCAGGTTATGGCTAGTAAAACGTCCAAGTTGGTAAACAACTCTAACGAAGTTTTTTGAATTCCTGGTCAGTGATATATAGAAACGTGACAAAAAGTTTGTCTCGTTTTCGTCTTCTTCCCATATCTTCACACTTCGGTCCGTACCCGTCTGTGGAGGCATCAATTTTCTCGGTGTTCCTCTCCACAACAGGCTCGAAAATGTGGTCTTGTAAAACCAAAACGGCAGCATCGGCAAGCTCCTGCAATACACGGCCTGTCCTTAACGTGCAGTTTCTTGCTTCCTTCACAATCAATAGTACCGCCAGTTGCCGCTGCGCTCGCGTTTGTCCTTTCATTCTGGAACCTACTTGTCTTGTCGCTCGTCGGGGTTGCACTGATGTTTTTCAAAACTGGCAATCGTGATCCTCGTAGACCTTCTGGTAGCTGCGGTCGGCGGTCATGATCGTCCCGGCGTGGCACGACGTTCTTGTCTGTTGCAGGTGGTGTTTTTCGGTTGTAGTTCCTTGCGGGGCATCGGCATCGGGCTGGTTGTTTTGCACCACGGTGTCTTCGCTTTTTGTCGGTTTTTTGCATTTTCGTTTTTTCTGTATGCTTACCCATGTAATTGTGTATGTTCGTGTTTTGCACAGCGTTTTTTTATTGTTTCCCGGTGTAAAAGTCGTTTTCGGTCGGCTTTTTCAAAACCCCTCCGCGGCATCCAATTTGTTCTTCGCAGAAGGCGGTTTTCGTTTTTATGATTTTTTGTCATGTGATTTTGCTTTGCGTTTTCTACGTCATAGTATGATGTGTAGAAAACGTCCATTCTTGCTGTCAGATTGTACAAAAAATTCATCTTCTTCTGTTTCCCATAAGCACACACTGGAATCGCTCACAGTGTGGATATCTGGTATGGCGGTTTTGCTTCTAGTAAAACTCCGCCAAAAGTGTTTCTCGGATCTCTGGAGCCACTCAGCCATTTTTACTGCTGCTGCTCTTCGCGGCTGATCCCACTCCGGAGTTATTCCGCGCCAGCACTCCCAACGCCTCCGTGACGTGCTTCTTCATCAGAGTCTTCTTTTCGCCGCAGAAATCCCGCAAGATGTTGGCCTTCTGCAAGACCTTGAAGAAGTAATCTTTGAATTCCGCCCGTAACCTCGTCACGCTCATTTGTCCGCCGAGGCGCAAGACCCCGGCACGATGGCATAACTTTCGGATATCGGCGTCATTCGGAAAACGGAGTTCCTTCAGCTCGTAGGGGATCTGGAGATTCGTTTGCCCCGGCGGGTGGAAGTGGGTCTTGATAGTGCTTGTCTTGCTGCTCGAGGAAGTGTAGTGGTTTTCCGAGGAGTTCAAAAGTGCTGGGGTCTTCATTCCTTTCTTCGCAAATTTCAAGTCTTTGACGTCTTTGAACAGGAGCTGCTTGTTGTCTTTGTCGTCTTTGAAATTCTTATCAAAAGAAGCGGTACCGGCTTTGAAATGATCCTTATCTGCATGGTAAGCTTCTCCTCCGAAAAAATCCGTCCCGTCGTCAAAGGCGATCACGCACTTCTTCCCAACATCTTTGTCTTTGTCCTTCTTCCCACCACACAAATGCTGGAAATTCTCATCCAATTCCGGATCCCACCACTGGCTGGCGTCAATCGAGCCGTCGTGCAGGATATGCATTGCAAAACAAGTATCGCACTCGTACTTACTACTTCCAACTATGCACGACAATTCTTGTCCTTAAGGTAAAACAGCATGACAAAGTCAAGTTCTCATGCTGAGAAAATTTGTAATGCATTTATACGAGTACGACACTTGTTTTGTGGGGAATACAGGACTTGCAGCTTGTTCCGCGTTTTCGTGTTGATTTGCTCCGTTTTCGGGTCTATCCAGTGCAAAAGTATCGCACTCGTATAAATGCATTACAAATTTCCTCAGCATGAGAAATAAAATTTGTAATGCTGATTGAGCTGAAGAAAGAAATCTGTAATGCATGATTGCAATACGAGTGCGATGCTTTTGCAGTGCATAGGATCTAGAAACGGCGCGGTATTTTGAATAGTGACTTTCGAGGATTTGTTCTCTAAATTCATCTTCCCAAACTGCAAATCCTTCGACTGTAAAGTTTGGTTGCCCCGGCAGTAGCTGAAGGATTGGGAATTCTGGATCAGCTTCTGGATGTGCTCCTCGGTGACGGTTAGAAGATGCTCGACAGCTAGCTCCTTAACGCGGATCTTGCTGGGTTCTTCTTCTTCTTCCTGCTGGCCATCGTGTTTCTTCATCGAAAGATGACCCGCGCCATCCTTCTTCTTACCACTTTTCCCCACCGAAGCTGCCGCCTGTCGGAAATTCTGCAAGCACAGCGCAGTGAACTTTTTCGCGTGACAAAAGCGGACCAGATTTTCCGTCGGGCACACCTGTTCTTGGTAAAACTTGATCGCTTCTTTCACCCGCTCCCCCGGCTTCGCGCGGTTTTTCTTTTTGTTCGGACGGAACAGTTTCGTGGAAGATTTGATCTTTTGAATTACACCGGAGGTGGAGGCTTTTTTCTTCATTGCGGTCTTCACGCCTTTCTTCTTTTTAATCGACGCCATCGAGTGCTGCATGAACAGCTTGTCAAACTTCGCGCCCTTGTCCTTCAGCTCCTTCATGCCCTTATCGTACTTCATTTTCTTGTTCTTGTCGTACTTCAACTTGTCGTATTTCAACTTGTCAAATTTCGCCTTGTCTTTGTCCTTCTTGGAAAATTTCGGATCTTTTCCCTTCTCTTTCGTGTCCTTGAACACCATTTTCGACTTCAATTTCTTCACGTCTTTCAACTTCGATTTCAAATTCTTGCTTCCCTTCTCGTCCTTTTTCTTGACAATTTTAACAGAAATCTTGTGTTCCTTCGCGGCCTTCTTGGCCTTGAGCAAGTCATGAGCTCCAGCTGGCTTCGGCATTTTTTTTGTGTTTTCGTTTCGGGATTTATCAATACAGGTTGAGAGGACTAAAGGAAGGAGGGTGGATGTGGAAGCGAGTCAGGTCAATAAAATGTATGTCAGGTAGTTAGTTTACGAGGTGTAGTATTTCTATTTGCGGGGTGAAACAACAATCGCAATTGAAATAGATTGCAATTTCTCGTCGCTAGTAGAATGGTATTAAAAGTTCTTCGTAGTTGTATCGCACTTCTAAATCAAACTTCTAGACTAACCCAGGCTCTGGGCAGCCGCTGAAGCAGCGAGAGAGATGCGTAAAAGTTGGATGCAATAGGTGTAAAAATGGTTTATCCTCAAGAATGCAGCATAACAGAGAAGCAAGCAACCTGATGTGAAATACATGGAAAATCAAAATTTGTCGTTGAGAAGTTGAAAAAAAAAAGTCAATGTATCTCGACCTCAGAGTTGACGATGAGATGTTGCGACCCCATGAATGACTCACGAGGTTGTACGATGGCGAATTATGCGCGAGATGGATCGTTTGTTCTTGCAACGATCCATGGTCACGACTGCGCGGCGAGATGGATCGTTTGTTGCAGGCTCAAATCACGACCAGAGCCGCTACAACAAGGAGCTTAGGATCTTGTCGGTCAGCTACAATGACACGAGTGAGACAAGCTCAAGGAGCTGCACCAGGCACAACATGAACATCTACACTTGCTGCTCTTCTTGGCGGGGATCTTCTATTGGATCTTTTTGCAGTTGCAACGAGTGGTCGCAAAGAACATCCTCAACGTGCATGGTAAAGTGATGCAGTCTAGTTCTCGCTCCGCTGTTGCAGTGGGCAACTCGCGTTCTTTTCGGAAGTTGGTGATTTGGTTTTTGTGTGGCTTAGCTGACTCGTCTTGAAGATTGACAAAATTATTCATAAAATTCGAGTACGGATCTTCTATCGACGGCTGCATACCGTGAAATATTCGTGTTTTTTCGCCTTTTACTGTTTTGGATTTTTTATTCGTTTTCCTTGACAATTTCCTCTCTCCTAATACTGCTCTTCAAAATTCTAGTTTATAACGGGGTTTCATTTCCTTATTTTTCATTGGGCGACGTTGTATTTTTTTGTACAGAATAGATTGAGACTTTGACTTCTTGCGTCGAAGTCTCTGGAAAATAAATGAAACGCTTTCCGCTCCTCGTGGTCCTGTCGCCTATCGGAGGTTCTGGTTTTCTAGTTGCTCATTCTACTGCTGGTGGTAATACTCACGTCGTGTTGTAGTCGCACCAGCAGCTACCCAAAGTAGAAGAACGAGCTTTATACGGTTTTTAAACTAGTGAAGGCGGAAGAAGTGACCTTTTCTTGACCTGGTGATCTTCGAGTTGTTCTTCATACGAATCGAAGGGTCAACACCATTTTTTTCTTTTCCTTTCAAAATAGATCGTGGTTTACAAGCAGACACTTGCTCCTTCAACTACCAAGTAAGCATAACAGAGATATGAAGATTTTTGTCTCGGCGGGTAAAATCAGATTCATACGGTTACCTCAGCAAAAAAGTCAACATGAAAAATAGGATTAAAAATTGGTGTAGTACGAAGTTGATTTAGAAGACTTGATAGAGAACAATGAGTGAAAAAATGTAATATTAGACTAAGACAAGAAACGAGTGAAGTTAGAAACGACCCACCGTGCTAAAAGAGCCACCACCTGGATAGGAATCTTAGCACGACCACATGGAGGTTCATCTTGTGTTCATCTTCATCTTCTTCAGGACGATCGAAACAACACTGATTTTTTAAAGCAAATCATACACTAGATACAACACCATGCTTCTATGTACGTTTTCGCTCGAAGTAGAGAAAAATGATCAGAGGACTTGAAAAGTTCTCAACGATGAATCTTATCTATCGGTAATAAGTTTCCTCCCGGCAGCAGACGAACTCCGCGATCTCCCGCAATTTCATCTGCGGAATAGCCTTGACCTTCATCACCACTCCCTCCCAGAAGGACTCCGGCTGCTTCGGCTTGACCCAGCCGAGCTCCGTTGCGGCTTTGAAGGTGATGCCGAAATCGCGCTTCAGCCGGTTCGAATCCTTGGCGTAGATCTCCACCCATTTGCGCCACGCCGGCTGCCGGATCAGGCACATATCGGACATCAACATCATGATGCCGCCCTTACCGTTCTCGTTCACGTACTGCCGTCGGATACCTAATTTAGATTTTCGATATTGCGTTTCTGCATGACAAAAATGATCTCTCTCTCATTTGCTAATGGTCATCCATGTAGGTTAGGGTTACAACGCATCACAAACTCTTCGTCTTTGTTGTTATGCGAAAATTCCATGTAACACAAAAATATGAATCAATACCTCTCGGCTTCAGACCGGTGATCAAATCTCCACTGCAGTCCTCCATCGTCTTATCGACCAGTTTCCACTCGTGATTCAGCAGATTCCACGCCATCATATTGTTAAACCTTCCCGGGTTGTGCTGCCAGGGGCCCGCGTAGCCGGAGATATGCTGGTGGCAGCGCCCGTAGGAGTGACCGCCGAGAATTAAGCACACCATCTGCTGCTCGGTAACGCCCGCGCGATCGAGAAAGATGCGGCGCATCTGGTCGGCAATAGCCAGTAATTCTTGCTCCTCGTCGTGGATACCTGAAGTTTTTATTGTATTTTTGCATGATGACAAACACAGAGTTGTATCGATATTACATGCGAAAACTGTAGTCATCTCCATTTCGGTGCAGATCATGCATGGCAAAGTCAAGCTTTCAACCAAAAAACGCAATACAAATCGAAAAATCATACCTTGTTCCGGCATGGGCAATCTCCCCGGCATGACCGGTTTCCGCTCGATATTGGTTCCCTCAAACACCTTACCGTCGCTGTCTCTCCTGCCGACGCTCAGCGGGATGATCGGCCCGCCGGACACCTCAATCACGACGTACGCGGCGAGTGCAAACGCGTCCGCGAAGGAAATCCAGGGATGCTTGTTCTTCACGAGGGTCTCGATTCTCTTGTGCACGTGGTCACACGCCCGGTTGTGCGCGTCGGATCTCTCCGGGCGGAAGCGCATGGTGGCGCCTTCTAACCCTCCGGTACCGTCGTGTTTGTTGTAGGTCAGGGACGAGTGGATGCAGTTACTGTAATGGTTGTTGTAATAGTTTTTTAGCATGACAGAATGTATGAGACTTGTTCTGCAGACAGGCAGGTTCTTCCGGTTCTTATTTGTGTTGCATCTTTCGGCATGACAGCTACATTTTCTACTCATGCACAGACTGCAAGAAAAAGCACTATTATAATACCGGATGTAGAGCGGGCCGTAGGTGCCATCATCGTAGAAATCGGGGTCGTAAATCGTGTCCCGCACCGACAAAGCCGCCTCGTGCCACCGTCGCGGCAAGTGCGAGACACACTTGGTACCGAGGTCACCAACCAAAGCGACCTTCACGTCCGCACCCTTGTGCAGGTGAGGGATGGGCTGTGGTGTTTTTTCGTGTTCAGGGTGAGGGTTTAGTGTTTCATGGATTTGTCATGCGAGATGCGTAAAAACATCACGGTTTCTCATGCATGGTCAGGCATTGATATCTAGTTCTAGATCAGTTTATCAAATTCTAGCCCATTAATATACTTTCGTCGGGTCCAGCGCCATCTTCATTAAGCTCGACGTGGTCGGGTCACCCCAGCCAATGGAAGACTATCAAATGCAAAAATGTCTGGGTCTGGAAGATTTGTAGATTTGTCATGCAGATATTCCATGACCCATGTTGTCTGTAATGCATAACCTGGCATCACATCGGAGGTCTACGGGCTGTTCGTCCCTTTGCCGTTCAGAGGCCTACTAAAACTGATATATGAATGCTAATACTGCGCAACGTAAACTTCTACTGAAAAAGTAAGTAAATCGGAAAACTTAGTACTGCTACTTAAGCGCTTGTAAATCTAAATATGTATGGGAATAAATTCTAAGGCCTTTCGTAAGACGAGCTGTAGCAGTAGAAGCAAAAGGGGCTGGCGCGCGAAAAGGCAGGCACAACAGATTTTTAGAGGGAATCCTGATGCCTTATCTGCATGAGAAACGCCCTCGCCGTGTAGAACAAGCTGGACTCCTTTTGCTCCTCATGCAATACAGATGTTTTTCGAATCCGAAGACAGCATCACAAGTTACAACCTTCCAGACCCAGACATTTTTGCAATCCATAAAGACCGCTTGTGGTTGAAGGTCGCGTCAGACGGCTTATCCGCACCTTTGTACGCACCGGCGAGAATCATGGATCCCTTCGCCCAGCCAGCGCCGCCGCCGGAGCCGATCTTGCTGGTCATCATGGACTTCAACGCCATGGACTTCTGGCCTTGCTCCCGAGCCACCTTGCCGACCAACTCCTTGCTCCCGTCCTGTTTGTTTTTGTGTATGAGAAATTGTAATTGATGTTGAGGAGTTGCTGTTCGATTTCTTGCGAGCAGGATAGCTAGCATGCTATCCTGTCATGACAAGTGCCACCTATTCTGCGGTTTCAACATGCATGACAAAAAACGCGTACAAGTTCTATACCGGTGCAATGAAGCTCATCTTCGATTTGCCTCGGTTGTCCGTCTCCTTCACCAGCTGTCCATCCTTGGCCATCTGTTCCACGGCTTCCATTGTCTCGCGGACAAGCGTATCAAGTGCAAAAGTGTCTGGGTCTGGAAGGATGCAAGGTTTGTCATGTACATTTTGCATGACTCATGATGTCTGTGATGCATGCCTCAGCATCACAGATTTTCATTTTGTGAGGGCTTCCTGATGCCTATACCGCATGAGAAATACCCTCTCGCCGTGGCAAAAACTGGACCTCTTTTGCTGTTCACGCAATACAGATTTTTGTAGCAATCCAAATTCAGCATCACAAGTTGCATCCTTCCAGACCCAGACATTTTTGCATTTCATAAAGAGCTCCCTTCACCCAGTGGGACGCTGGGACCGGCTTGGAGGGCGGCAGGACGCCATCCGCATCGGAATCGTAGTCGGACGGTTCCTGTAGTTTTTATTGTGGTTTTGGCATGACAGAGGCGATGTAGTTGTACAATTTACATTTTCACATTTCGATTTCTCATGCGGAGCCGTACATGAAAGCCATGATTTGTCATGCATACGAGCAAACAAAATCAAAATCAATACGTCGTCCTCGTCGTCATCGTCCAACATCTGCTTCACGATCTCCTTCTTGTCATCGTGAGTCAACTCAGCGATCGCACCCAACTTGGTCGCCATCTTGTCGAGTTAGGTTTGTCAGTAGGGGGTTCGTGTGCGAAACCAAGATTCAAACTTCTGCAACTAAGCTGCAATAAGCTTGTTGAAAATTATGATATCCTGCACAGGATGCTCTTGTAGGTATAATCTGCTACTGCAGACGAGGTAAAATCCTGTAATAAGTACTACTTATTATAGGCGGGAGAGGACAACAAGAAGCTAAACTACACAAGAGCACGGGGAAGTGTGCCTGTGTAGCTGCTCTTCAGAATCCTGTGGAGTAGTGGAAGATGGTTCAGCGATAGAACGTTCCAACAACATAGTAGTACGCATATTTGTACGTGACGAAAAAAACGACGTGTAGTTCTAGTTCTTGGACGTATTGTGATATAATAACGTTCGCATTTGCTTGTACGTACGACACGACCTTATTATGGCCATTACAGACACGAGAAACCGAAAATTTTTTTGAATTCCAATTTCAACACGTGCACTCGAGCTCAGGCTCAGGCTCACCAGAAAAAAACGACCGACATCACCATTCCATCGGCTTCCGCTTCTTAGAGCTGTTGTATTCATCACGATGACCGAAAACAGTGTCTGCGCTTCGTCATTTCGTTGCTCTCTCAGGGTGAAGACTGCGCTGACGTCGTGCATGAAAAAAAACAACCGAGATGTTTGTTCTTCGGGGGCTCTCAAGTGATGTGCTTCGTTCTTATTGCAGCGCCGTGGTCGTACGATTTTTTGCCGCGGTTCTTAGAGGAACAATAGGACCACGCACAAGTAGAAAATGACTGCGAACTTGGAGCAACAAGTGTTGTCTATGTCTTTCATCAACTTTAATAGCAAAATAGGTCTTGAAAAGCAGGGCAGTTTCCGGACCGTGCATTGTACAGCAATGAGGCTATGCTACCGATAATGATCACCACTCGATCTTGATATTCCTTCGTTTTTATGTAGTGCTTTTAGCTCGTCTTGCTTCGTGAAGTGGTCTTTCTTTGCAAAATCATGCTATACGATTTTTCTTCGGTTTCTCTTACTGCTCATGTGCTCGCTTCACCTTATCGTGTTGTACTGCGTGTAGAGAACTAAACGGTCTTCAATCTGAACTTAGGTATCTGAAGCTGACAAATTTTACTAAACTAAATTAACTAATGCGACTGTTTCTGGTTCTTCATGCGAAAACGAATCTGGTACTACTATATTCCTATTCGAGCTGCCACAGAATGACTTGCTACTACTAGTACTCGCCAGTTCCACCTTTCATATTCATCCTTTGTTCCTCAATTACGCTAAGCTTTTGAACCTGATCAGCTCCTGGCCACAAATGCCGTCGCCGCCATAGCTCCACCGTGAGTTCCGCCTCGCAGAGAGAGTGCGTTCAAAACCTTCGGCGACCCTGGGCTGACCGAATGTCTATTCCGCTTCGCGTTCGCAATCTGTTGGTTTTTCTGCACTAGGAAATTCGCCTTTCGATCCTTCTCTTCGTTGTGCCAGGGGCAGTTTTCCATCTTCCACTGCTGAAATTCCGAATCGAGTTCCGAATTTTTCTTAAACTTATGCACTGCAAAACTGTCTGGGTCTGGAAGTTGGAACTTGTCATGCTAAATCTGAATCGCGCAAAAATCTGTGTTGCATGATTACCAAATGCTGCCAACTTTTGATCAAGTTGAGAGGCAGTTTCTCATGCAGGATAGGCATGATAGTGATCTCGCGGAACCTGTCATGCTAGGTCCTCCATTACAGATCATATGGATCATGGAAAACCTGCATGACAAGTCGAGCAAGGTTCCAGACCCAGACATTTTTGCATTTGATAAAACTGCCCGCCCCGCATAATCTGCTCCCGGACTAGCCCGGATCGCCCCCGCCCGCCGATGGCGACCGAGTAGAAGAGTTCCTGGGGAGTGAGGGACCGCGGTGGCTGGTTCTCGGTCGTGGAAAACAGGTCCTGCTTGTTCATCGGGATATTAAATTGCTGGTTTCTAGTACCCTCCCCCGCGAGTCCCGAACGGTTTCGCACTCTGGATCCCCCACCTGCGGTAGCCGGCCGTGGTGGCAAACTCATCTGCATTTCGTGCACGTGATCCGGGACGAAGTGGACACCGGTGTCGTTCGTTGTGGAATTCATAGACGTCCGCGGCATCCGCCTCGCTCTACTCCCCCCAGGCACCGCGGAGTTCGGCCGTTCACAGAGCTCGGGCTTGTAAACAAAGGGTGGCGGGTAGAAGGATTCATCGTCATCTAACGTTCGGATCGGGAGCTTGTTGTGGGTCGTGATCTTAGTATTTTTCGCTGCTTGTTGATGTTTTGCATCAGAAGTTTGAAGTGTTCCTTCTTGTTCCTCCAAGCTAATTCCCCCTGTTGCTCCACCACCGCCGTCAAACCCAGGTCCGAACAACAATTTCCGCACCACTAAATCCTCTTCCCGTTTCTCCCGTAACCGATTCACCTCCTTTTTCGACAACCCCCGGTTCCCCGGTGACAACTGCTTCGCGGTTTCATTCATGCGTTCGAACCGGAGGTCTTCTTCCGACCTGGTTGGGAGTTCAAAAGTGTGGTAAAACCAGATCAAGAATTCCTCGAATTCAATCTCGCCCGAGTTATCTCGGTCGACGTCTAACCAAAAAGATTTCACCCGTGTCGGCGGAATCATGCTGTTCACGTGGCTTTTGGTAAGATGTGTGTTGGTGTTTGTCGGTGAAGAAGACGACTTGTCATGCGGTTTTTTCGCACTATTGCTGCTTGTTCCCGTCGCGGCTGCTCCCAGTATGTGTTTGTACTCCAAGTTTTTCAATTCCAACTTCTCCTGGAACATGCCCGGCCCCAGCCCCAATGAGGAAAACAACCGCTGTCTGGTCATCCTCCGCTGTTCGTTCTCTTTACTGCTCTGCCGGGATAAAATCTGCTTCCGCTTCTGCCGGGTCTCTTCATCCTCTTCGGAGGAGAAAAAATCGGAATCGGATACGTTTTGGTCCTCATCTTGGACGATTGGGGAGGGAGGGGCGATTCCTAACAGCTGGAGAAACACTTTTTCGAATTCTGGGTACTCCATCTTCCCAGACTCATCTTCGTCGTAGAGGTCGAAAACCTGTTTGATCCTCTCACAGGATAACACCGGGATGTTCGTCCGCTTCGCTAGAGCGCGGATCTCTTTATCCTCGGTTGTGAGCTCTTGGTCGAGAAAAGCGGAGAAGAGTAAAGGCGGGTCGTTTGCGGGATTAGTTGTAGATGAAGCTGCATCGGGTTTCTTAGTTGCAGCTTTCGTAGTTGGTGGACCAGTTGTGTTACACGTCGATCCTTTTTCGTTTTTCTTCTCCTTCTTGCTTCTATCAACGCCACCAGCGGCACCAACATCTTGCTGCGTTATTTGACTATGTCCAGCACTTGTCGTGCAGCCTCCCTTCGCGGGCGAGGCGTTCGCAGATTTCGCTTCTACTTTCTTTTTCATCCGCTTTTTCAGTTTACTGGTTGAAGAGAGAGCTGCGGCTTCGGCTGATGTTGTTACCGTGGTCGTGTTCTTTCCAGTTTTCGGAGAGCCGGCGAAGACTGACATCGGCGAAGAGGGATTCGTGTGAGTTGTGCTTCCCGGAGCTGCTCCCGTCTGGTGCATTGGTGTTGCCGCATTGAAAGTACCTGCAGTCGTTCCGGTTGCGCCGCCGGAAGAACCTGCTGCTACAGCAGTCCCACTTTTGATGTTCTGCCCCGATATTAAATTCGACGTTGTTGTTTTCCTTTTCAAGTCACTTCCCCTCCGTCTACCCCCACTAGAACAAGTTCCAGCCATTAACTCCTGTTCGATTTTCAGCTTCCGCTCTTCTTCCTCTTTTTGTTCCTGCAAAATAAACGCTTCGTCCGCATCGTATTCCCAATATCTTCCGTAGCGGAAAGACTCCGGGGATACTTCCCTTTTCAAAATCTCCTTCGCTTCTTTCATTTTCGGGTGCATCAGATCCGTGTTCTGGTATGAACTGCAAAAGCATCGTACTAGTAGGAATAGCAATACAAATATCCTCAGCGTGACAACGAAAATTTGTAATGCAGATTTCCCTTAAGACAAAGATTTGTACTGCATGGCTGCAATTACTACGAGCAGTACGATACTTTTGCACAGGATATCTGGCACTCCTCCTCAATTTTCTCGAACGCCTGCTTCAACTCAAATTCCTGCGTCTCCTGCTCTCGTTTCCACCTTTGGCAGAACTCCTTCTTGTTTTTCCGCATCTGCGTTTTCCAGGCTTTCGGCGAGACTTGGTTGTCAATCTCGGTGAATTGCAGGGAAGAAGTCGACTCAGTCTGTTGTTGAGGCAGGACGGGTGGGAAGAGGGGGGAGTTATTTTGTTTGGTTTCTTTATTTTCAACATCTTTTGTAGCTGTAGAAATTGCCGCTGTAGTAGCTCGACCTTGATGTTGACCTGGAAGTTTTGGTTTCAAGGTCGTTGGCCGCGTTGACTTCTCCACGCCGGCATTCTTGCTGTTACTGTGATCTTCTGCAGGACCGGCATCTGGTGCCAAAACACTAGCTACAGGCACCCCCGTATTCCCGCTCTTCATTTTGTTGACATTCAACTGAATTGTCGTGCTTCTGCCCGGCGCCGCAGACTTCGGTCTCGTGCTGACATTCACCCGCCCGCCTGCCAGGTTTAGATTGTGCTGAGCACCGGGACGGGCGGAAACCGGCCTGGTGGTGTTGCTGCTTCTAGTTCGACCAGCGCCACCCACTCCACCCGCCGGCGGCTTGGGCTGCAAGGTCACTGTAAACGGGTTTATGATTGGCGCGGGGCGGGGCGTGGTCGGGCGGCTGGTCGTACTACTGCCTCGACCGCCATACTGCCCGGAAGATTTGGGCCGCTTGGTATCGTAAAATTGTTTTTTCTTCTGCGGAGAGGGAGTGGCGTTGTCAACGTCGTGCGGGTCTATCGTGGTGACATTCACATTCTGCTGCTCACCTGCAAGAACGCCTCCTCTTTCATCATTTGCAACATCACCCGGGACCTGACGGTGTTGGTAAGAACTTTTCTTCGTTCTCCCACCGCTCCGACTAGCAGGTCGGCTGCAGTTCTTGCGTGTATCAGAAGCTGCAGTCCCAGCGCCAGAAGCCGTGTTTGGTCGGGAGCTGTAGTTTTGCTTATTTCTCCAACCTGCTCCGACGTCTTGCGCGGAGGTGGAGAAGATGGAGTGCCAGTTTCCCGTCGTGCCGGTGTTGTTTGGAGAAGTGGAAAGATGAGCCCCCGTCGTGTTCAAATTCCCATACCGGTCGAACACAATCCCGGAGTCCACAATGTCCAAAAACTCCTGAATCTGCGGTCTCTTCCCCTGTCCAGAGAGGTCTCGGAGCTTTTTCAATGTCGAGTTGAAATCCCATTCCAAGGCTTCTTTGCGTTTTTGGAACGGTATGTGGCTGTCGTAGTTCGCGGCCTGCTGTTGTAGTGGTCCTACTTGGAGGTCGTGGGCAGTAGACGCGTCGTTTTGACTTTCGAAGAACCACGGCGTTTTCTCCAGGAAGGATTTCTTTGCCGTCTTTGATGTCGAGTTCACTGTCACTCCCGGAGCAGGCGTTCTCGAATTTTGATATTCTCCACAACTGCTGCCAAGAACCGTGGAACAACCGGAAGTGAGAAAGTTATGCTCCGCCTGCTGCTGTGGCCGTTGTCTGGTTCCCCCCGCGGTCAGAGGGCGGACGGGGGTCGCAGCTGTTGCAGTCGCCCCGGCTGTCGCGGGTCTGGTTCGCATCATGCGATTTTTGTTTACAACGACCGGCGTCGGCCTCGAAGATGATGTCTTCGGAGATGGATGACGATTTGCCTGTTTATGCGCGGACTCTGCAGTTCGCAAGCCTGCTGTTCCTGACTGCGGCTTGTCCTTCTGCATGACATCAAATTCCGCGACCGAAAAGGTCACGCTGCTGCTATCGTCGTCGTCCTGAGCGACATCGAGCTCGGCGTCGTTTAGGTCGTCGTCCGTCGCTGGGTCGCGGTCGTTTTTGTCATGCTGCTCAGCAAGTAAATTATTCGGGTTGTCATGCTGTGCTGCAACACAAGTAGGATGTAGTTCTTGATGTTCCTCAACGTGGTCTGATGTAGTTTCCTCATGCCAGCTTCTTTCCGACGGATCGTCGTTATCGCTTGTTTGCATCCCTTCCTCCACCGCCGCTTGGCACACGTGGACACTCAGGCTGGCTAGTTCAGAAAACGAGCTAATATCTTGTTCCCCTTGTCCACCGTCTTCTGTTGCAGTTGCAGTTGCGCTGCTCTTCTTCACAATTCGCAGCGGCTGTGATGTGGCGCCAGTTGTATTTTTACTAGTACCTGTTTTGGAGGTTGTTGCAAGAGCATCTTCTTCTTCACGTCGGACAGGACACGACGCACTTCTACTCTCAAACACCACCTCCACCGTCGTTTGACGTTGATGTTGCAAGTTTGCACAGATTTGCGAGTCCACAAGGTACTGGGCCAGTTGGAGGTCGGTCAGTAGCCGGGGGGGCTCTTGTGCCACGGCGTCTACTTTTACATTTACTGCGTCCGCGTTTATGTCGCTGCAGCGTGAAGGTGTAGCTCTTGGTCCTGTCGTGCTGTCTTGCATGTTGCTACCGCTTGTGGCCGGCACTTCTTTCAGAGTCTCACTTTTCCTCACTGGAAAACTGTCCCAAGGCGAGGACACGTCTTCCAAAAGAGTCAGCGAGGTAGCAGCGGGAGCGGCCATGTTGTGTTTGCAACTTTAGTAGAAAGTTTTTCACACTTACTTGCTGCGCATGCGATGAGAGGAAGTGATCAAATTCTTGGTCGTATCTACACTCGATTCAAGCGACCAGAAAATACTTGCCATCTTCGCGGCCTCAAATAAATCGCCAAAAAATATATCACGAAGATCCCTTTCCCTATTCTCCCACTCCTTAATCAAAAAAGGAACCTCGGTTGTCATTTTTACCCACCCCCCGCTCCTGCAGTGGCTGCATGAATCAGCAGCTTTCGAAAGAAAAAGCCCGCGTGTCCTCCTGCACGGTCTTGCGAACTTGCAAAAAAAACTACCAGAGGCGGAACAAAACATCTGCCTTGTTGCGTTCCAACAAGAAGCATGCCGCAGCCGCAGCTCTTGTGTTTGAAACAGAAACTGTGTGATTTTTGCTGCTGAAGAAATGGAATCAGGTGGTGGTGTACATGTAAAAAAGTGTCAACAACATCAAGTAGCGGATCAGTCTACTTACTTTTATCTAGCAACAAAATGATCACAATCGAATATACAACAACACGAAGAGAACAAGATGCCGTAGAGCTGCACGAAGACTGGAACCTGTTAAACAATCTGAAACGAGGACGAAAGGGCACATCATGCGCAATATCTTGGAGTAGGAAACAAGGCACCTCCAGAAGACGACGTAAAAACGACCGTAGATACTAGGCGTAGTAGCAGACTAAAAAATTCTCGGAGAGGTGGCACACAAATACTGATGTTCATCTTGCCTGCAATTCAATCTGAATTCATTCTTTCAAAAACTCGTATACGTATTTTCGACTTTGTAGACCAAAGCTGCAGCGCTTCACACACCACCCCCAGCACCAAAAACCGCCTCTTCGCACAAGTGCAGGTAGAGAAACCCGTCCTCACTTACGTTCTTCCCATATAACTGCTTCAATTCGTGGCTCAACATCGGCGCTTGCCGGTTTTTCAAGAGGAAATACAGCGCCGTGTTCTTGACCGACCGGCGGCGCCTGGGTTGCTGCACTGCGGCTTGGTGATCCGGTTGACAAGAACCGCCGCCGGCGGGTGATCTTGCAATAGCACTGCTCCTTCCCCCTCCTGCGTCCGCTTCCTCCTGCGCCTCCGAGTCCATTTGCTGCTTCAACAACAGCGAAAACTGCGCCAGCGTCATCACTTCCGGCACTAGAAATTTCTTCCTTTTCAGTGTCGGCAAAAACTTCCCGTTGGTTGGGTGCTTTTCGCAAATCAGGGGGACGCGGGTGGGAAATTTCTCGAGGATTTTTGCGGATTCCTGCTTTCGCAAATCCTCCGAGACTTCTCTTTCGTAGTCGAAGGGGATGGGTTTGGAGTCGGGATGGTTGTTGTTAAACTCTTCGACTTCATCTTCGTGCTCCCACTGTAATTGTTCCTCATCCGAAGCGACTTCCTCAAATTTCTCCTTGTTCCGTTGATTTTCCTGCTTCGACTCGAAAAAGTGGCTGTTCACGCTGGCTCGCTGCTGTCGGGAGGAAGTGGAGGATTATGGGTAGGAAAAATTTGAAATTCTGTTCCCCGGAGTTGGAGTTGCTTCAGATCAAAAAAGTTCGTTGATATGATGGAGATCTGGGTCGTGGTACGTCGTACAAACTCATACTGAATACATACTTCCACCACACTGCTTTTTTTCTTCATTTCCCGTCGGTTTTCGATCGAAATAAGGACACGATAATACTGTAACATCGACCAATTGCTGTTCACGAAAGTTTCAAACTTCGCGGAAATCCGCGAAATTTCAAAATTTTATTTTTATTGAGTTCAAAAACCAAAACGACTGAGGTAGAATGGTTTTCGAACGAAACTGATACATCCGAAGCGATTGAAGCGTCGTGGTCTGGCGACGACTTGTCGCCAATAGACACGATGACAAATCCGCGAAATTTGAAAATTTTATTTTTATTGAGCTCAAAAACCAAACGACAAAGCTAGAATGGTTTTCGAACGAAACTGATACATCCGAAGCGGTCCTACAAGCGTCGTGGTCTGGCGACGACTTGTCACCAATACAGATGATCCCAAATCCGCGAAATTTTAAAATTTTATTTTTATGGCTTAGCCAAATCCGCGAAATTTTAAAATTTTATTTTTATTGCAATAGCAAATCAGCGAAACTTTGAAGCTTCATCTTTATCGGAGGGTGCGTCAACATCGTGTTGCTTTTTGTCTTTAAGCAGGGCGAGTCACACCATTTCTCTTGCTCCATTGGCTCATTTAAAGCTTACCAAATCCGCGAAATTTTAAAATTTTATTTTTATTACAAGCAAAATCAAGAAGCAGTTTTTTTTGAGGTACTGAGAGCTGGACCACTCCTGGCTGGTTGCGTTCGTGAAAAAGAGCAATAAATTTCAGCACGAAATCGTACCCAAATCACGACCTGACATCGCCACTTCAGGGCGGTCAAAAGCGGGCCATTTGTAGGGGGCAAAGTTGAAAAGAAAACCTCCCCGGAAATAGGCCCACGACACGACCTGACTAAGCCACTCCAGGTGGCTAAAAGAAAGGAGGCTGTTAGTCTCGACACACAAGGAATGCAAAAGGGCCTCTATCAGAATCTAACATGAGCAAGAACAAACTAACAACTTCTACACCGAACAATGGATGGCAACTCCGAATCGCGGAACTAGAATTTCAGTTTCAACGGGGATATAGACGATTGCCCGGTGAGAGCAGCGGAAAGGGAATTCACCCCGCTACTGATTACGGAGTTGAGCATTTTTTTGTACCTACTACTTGTTCTAGCGGCCTGGGCCTTCTGTTCTTGACACCAGCCTTGTCCTCGTTCGTCCGAGTGATTTCCTTTGATACACACAACTACTTAGTACGACCTCTACCTAGACCTACTAGTTCTGACAGGGAAATATTATATGGGCCAGCAAGGAATGGCAATATTAGTACAAGACGTCAAGAGCTCACGCCAAGCAACCATTCAAATATGTCTCTTCCGCTCAGGAGCTCCTGCACTCGCGGCAGCTACAACGAATTCACTCTCACAGCACGATCTTCAGGCTATAAACCCCACGAACGGCCTGCCGAGTGATAACTTGCTTTCCAGGACGAGTGTACGAGGAAGTGGCTTTGATTTCCTTGTCCCAGTAGCATCACCCCGATTCCCAAAGCGGAAGATTGTAGCAAGTCTGCAAGGCATGAGCTGCCCCCGATCGGTTCGATTCGAAGCTTTCGCTTTCCGTTTATGTACATAGTCTTTTCTTGATACTGTTTAGTTCGAAAGCACGGCCGAGGCGATTCGGTGTCTTCTCGTGATTCGCCGGTAGTTCAATCATACAGTTGAAGGCGCTCGTCTCTTGTTGCGCCACACTGACAGGACAAGCTTTGAGGATATCAAACACGTGCCAGAGTACTAGTTTCTAATATGAATATCCTCGAAATTGTATGAAGTTTTGCCAAGTTTATTTAAGCAGTATAGCAGCATATCGCTAGTGCAGTACCTTTTGCTAGATTTGTTCAGAAGTAGGACGAGTTTCAATACCCTATCAAAGGGTACTGAAAATAGTATCAGTTGCAAGATTTACTAGTAGGAAACAATGGATAAGCTGTAAATGATCCTATACGATATAATTACGTGTACTTGTTGAAGAAGATGCGTAAAGTAGTTTCAGGTTGATGCGTTTTGAAGAAGATTTTAGTATAGATACATTTTTCATTTTCAGATGAGTTCTCTCGCGAGACCTATTATTTCATCGCCTTCTCGAACGATAGGCCGCGTGAAAAGCTTCATCCGGTAGCACTACGTCGCTCCCCTCCTCCTTATATGAACTGCAAAAGTATCGCACTCGTATAAATGCATTATTCTTATTGGTAAAGTATAGAAATATGGGTTAATAACCTACAAATTTCCTCAGCATGAGAAATAAAATCTGTAATGCTGATTTACCTCAGGAAAAAGATTTGTAATGCATGATTGCAATACGAGTACTACGATACTTTTGCACAGGATACCTTAGAACAAACCGTTCAGAGAGCTCCTCCCCACGTTGTTGACTTGGCAGTACTTTGCGATGTATCAAATTGAAAAACACAACAAGGATGACTCTGCAAAATTGTGAAATTTGTGTTGCAAGAATTCCAGTCCGATATTACCGTTTCAAATGGGAAAATTGCAATACAGACTTATCAACATCATCAATGTCGTGTTTATTTTCAATTTGATAAACCTCGGGAATACTTCTCCACCTTGATCAAATCGTACTTGCCAGGTGCTGGCTGCCAATTCTTTGCGCGGACCTTTGGGATTTTTTTTTTTCGAATTTGTCATGCGTCATGGTGCTTTGGGAAATTTTTTTGTCATGAGTATGATCCTCCCCATCTTGGGCAGTCTCAAAAACCATCTGTTTGCGAAACATATTTTTAGTATTACCGTCTGGTCGATAAAATTTGTGTCTTTCGCCTTCGGAAAAGAGCATGCTGGCATCTTCAAATCCTTCGTTTTGTAGTTGATGGTGTAGTATGGATTGCAAATATGTCTGGGTCTGGAAACTTGTAATGCTAAAAGTGAATGATAGACGCACTGCAATACGCAGCTTTGCATGACAAATTTTTTGGCTGCCATGTCTTACGTATTCCGCATGGCACACTGCGTTTCTGCATGACAGGTAAGAGAGCTTTTTCGTGCCTATGCAACGCAGATTCTCGAGTCATGCCAGACAAGCATGACAAACTTGCATTCTTCCAGACCAAGACATTTTTGCATTTGATATGTAGTGATTTGGTGCCAGCGAACCACCAGACGCTTTTTTCCTCGACTCCGTCTTTGACTTGGTCCATGCCAGAGCGGTATCCAATGCAAATATGTCTAGGTCTGGAAGGGTGCAACTTGTCATGCACGTTTCGCATGAGGCATGATTTCCGTGATGTCCGCCCTAGCATCACAGATTTTTTGCGGCCGTCTTGATGCCTATCCCGCATGAAAAATGCCCTCTTCGCGTAGCAAGAATTGGACTCCTTTTGCTGCTCATGCAACACAGGTTTTTTTAGAATCCAAACACAGCATCACAAGTTGCACTCTTTCAAACACAGACATATTTGCACTTGATAAGCGGGTTGATGCGGCTCCAGCATGTTTCGGGCAACCTGTGATTGGGTTTCATTTTCTTAAGCATGGATTTTGTACTGGCATTTTGCATCACAAAGCAAGTCTCATGTACCTGTTGCCGCATGACAAAAAAACTCACCCAAACTATACCGCGCTTTTCGTAATAGCGCCGTATTTCGATGGTGGTGGTCCCGGTGGACCGCCCTTTCCTATCTTGTCGAGGAATGTGAGGTTCTTGCCTTTTGGGAAGTAGCCGAGGACTGGTCTCTTGATGTCTGACAAAGACTGCTTCACCGCATTTACGCCCTTCACGTTGAACTGGATTTTTTAATGGTTTTTTTGCGTTCTACATACAGTAATTATGTACATGCTGCATGAGAAACCGCGATTAAAGTGCAGATTGTGCATGACAAAAATCATATGGAAGATGGAAAAAATAGTACCTCCTTGTTCTCATACTGGCCCGGCCCGGGCTGCGGTCCCCTATGAACTGCAAAAGCATCGTAGTACTCGTATAAATGCATTGCAAATTTCCTTAGCATGAGAGATAAAAGCTGTAATGCGGATTTACCTTAAGAAAAAGATTTGTAATGCAAGACTTGCATTCATACGAGTACGATACTTTTGCACAGGATATCCCCTTTTCTTCACCATATCCTCTGCGTCGCCCTTCCATCTGGAGATCTATGCACTGCAAAAACAAAATTCAAATCGCTCTTTCTGTAGTTGTTGCGCATAGCGCATGACAGCTCCCTCTTGCAATGCTAATCATGCTAGAGCCCCTGTAGTTGTAAGGCAAAAAAACCGAAATGTTCACCATGTTTTTGCAATGGATAAATCCTTCATGAAGGCGAACCCAAAACCGCTGCATGACTCGTTGATGCCACGCGTCCCGGCTGGTGGAGTAGATTTTGTTACACGTCGAAAAGCATGCGGCCACGCATCACAAATTCCATCTTCAATGCGAATTATGCATGACAAAACTTCAAAAAACCAACATTTCTACTTTTCTTTCCCGGATCCGCCCATGTTGAGACCTTGTCGTATTTCCCTGGTGCTTATGAAAGTGCCTAGCAACTCCCTCTCGCCCTCATGATTTGTATTGCATGAACAGCAAGACAAGTCCTGGCATCAAAAATGCAGCTTTTGCATGACAAATTCGCAACCGACTCTAGTGCTGTTTCGGCTTCCGGAATTTGTCATGCAAGCAGTGCCTAAGGGAGAAGGGTAAGGTAGGGTGGATCTGCTGTTTTGCATGACAAATGAGGGGGACGAGGGGGAGTTGTGCACTGTCATAGTGCTGGGCACTTTTTTGCTTGTCTCTCGATGTCTGCGAGGCGGCTACTCGTTTTCCCACTGTCCTTCGGAAACCGACCGAGTGGTACCCTCGCTGTGGTTTAGATATTAGTTTTTGTCTCGGTTTGTATTTCATAGGATTCGGTGCATGTTGACGATGAAATTTGTATTGCAAAAAAGCGTGCCCATGCGCCAGTGATCAGGAGATTTGTCATGCTGGCAAAATAACAGCAACCCGTTCTATAATACGCTCCAATGTCTTCACGGGCAAGAAATATTCTGCGTTGGTTGGTTATGCATTGCAAGAGTATCGCACTCGTAATCATCGCTGTCATGCCTTACAAATTTCTTTCTCAAGTCAAATCCTCATTACACATTTGTTCATGTCTCATGCTAAGCCTAAGGAAATGTCTCATGCGATTTATACCGGTACAATACTTTTGCAATGCATATTGGTGGCGGTTCCCTTATTACTGGCGCGCTTGCGGAGTAGTTCAGTTGCGCGGGCGGAACGCCCGGTTCTACGCCTGACATCTTGGTTTAGTCTAAATATTGCGGAGGATGTTGATTGTTGTACTTGAGGCTTATTCACAGGTGTCTCTATCTTCTCCTGAGGGTCGAGAGAGGACCTGCCTGGGAGAGCTACAGAGGCTCCCGCTTGTCGCAGACACTACTAATTGACGGTTTCTTTTTCCATTCTGAAACAGAGGCAGGAGACAAGCAGGAGAAATCAAAATCAACGAGAAATCAAAGGCCGGGACCGAGACCGAGCGCCCTATCAACATCCAAAGTTGTAGTCCCGCATCGCTCCAGTTGTGTTTTGCACAAAAATTAATAATACTGTGTCGAGCAGCTAGCTGGTCGATGCTTCGCTCCACCAGTTCACGGCAAGACTTTCGAGCTAGGACTCTCAAAAGGGCGGCCGAATCGAGGAAGACGACTACAGCCACGAATCATGACGAAACGATGATAGTGGGGGGAGAAATGATAAAGAACACTCCCTACTTACCACACGGACACGATCGAACGCAAGGTGTGGAGGCTCCACTGACTTCAAATAATAGCCTGGTCGTGGCATGAATTGTGCGTGTTGTCGTGTAGTATCTTTGATAGCAGATGATCTTCACGAAAGATGTGGAATCGTCACGTGCGAAGATGTGCTGGTGCTTTCAGACTCCTATAGATACATTGAAGCAAATTCAGAACTCTTCTTATTGCGGGCACAACTACTCGTATTCATGATAAAATCGGTTCGTTGTATTTCTTATTTGCAGAGACGGAAGAACAGGAAGACGAACTAGTACGGAACAACAGGAGGAGGTGGAGGGGTTGGGATCCGGATGGGTATTTATTATTAATTCATGATCAAAAATAAATCAAAATTTGCGAACTCCTGTTGATAAACATTTTTGCGGGCAGGACCACTGGCGCTGGGTTTTCCGTTATCGAGCAGGTCGGGCTCGCCACGGTTGAAAAAACACTCCGCCGCCCGGCGCTATGCCATTGTCGTACGTGATGAACAAAAGGGTCTCTCTCTTTTTCATTCTATTTCTTTGATGATGTTGGCAGTGTGCCCTTTAGCGGACTGCTGCGTGCTACTCCCTCCTCCAGCCCGAGAGCAGCTGAACGCCGATCTATTTCTTTATTCACAGTAGAAATAAAACAAGAAGCCTTAACAAAATAGAGTTCATGAGCATCTGGAACGAGCCTTCTTTCGCTGCTGCGATGGCAATATAGCAGATCGCTCTCGATCTCGTGCCAAATCTGCTACAACATCGCCACACCGACTTCGCTTGCTGGGAGGAGGCGAGCAACGCCGCTGGACGCCGCCGCACCCACCCCAGAAATCCCGCTAGCCGTGCCGTCCGCTAACCACTCTAGCGTCTTCGCTCCGCCAGTCGCAAGACCTCCAATGGTGGCCGCGACTTTCCCGTCCCCCCCAAACTCCTTGGCTGTTTCTTTTATGAAGGTCGCGCCCGGAGGGCGATATTGGTAACCAAATGCGTGCGCGAAAATCTAACCAGCGCGAAAGCCTAACCAGCCGCGCGGCGAAAGCGCGACCCTGCGGGCCGCGCTTTCGCCGCACGGCTGCCGCCGCCATTTCTTTTTAATTAGAATCCCACTTCTATCCCGGGTCATCGGAGGCTTCCGGATTCGCATTCAAAGCTTATCGCAGGAGCCTGCGGGCCGCCGCGGGCCCCACCACTTCCCCGCGGCCCTAAAGGGCCGCGGACAACTACTGTCGCCCGCGGCGGCCCGCAGGCTCCTGCGATAAGCATTGAAGGCGAAATCCGGTTTGCTATTTCGCAGCGGGGCATCCTTTCTAGCCCCCTGCATGACAAACTGGCCTCCTGGCCCAGAAGGTATGTGGCCGGGGGGGGCAAGCCCCCCCCCATCCCCCTTCGCAGCGGGGCATCCTTTCTAGCCCCCTGCATGACAAACTGGCCTCCTGGCCAAGAAGGTATGTGGAAAACCGCAAACCAAAGAACCCGGGCTGGGCCACCAAAATCGGCCATTTCAGACCCGGAGAAGATGCCGAATTTCTGCTCACAACCTAGGGCAAATGGGGATTTTGTGACATACCCCCGCCCGCTTCTAATGCGGTTTTTTTTTCCCAATCGCGATGGTACGGCGCAAGCGCGCGCCCGCCGGACCGCCCTTGGTGGCCAGTTTCTGAGCCTGCCGAGGGTTCTCGATTTTTTTTAATTTTCGCTCTTTTTTCTGGTTTTCAAGTGGCCCGGGCGACCTGCACATTTTCACCGACCGCAGCTGACTGGCAATTTTGGAGCCTGCGGAGGGATTGCGCTTTTGCGCATTTTTTTCTCTTTTTCCATTTTCCAAGTGGCCCGGGTGATCTGGACAAAATCCGACGATTGCTCCCACCCACGTTATGAAGCAATTTTTTGCCATTTTTTTCAAACTTTTTCCATTTACGAAGCGGCCCAAGGCTTCCGAACAGGTCGCGGGCCTGCTTCTCCAACGCAGCTGGCCACCGGGCGGAGCAAAAAATAGTCCGTCTCTTTTTCAGATATCAAGTGGGCCAAACCGCAAAAGTGCTCTTTTTTCACCTTCTCCCGCTTGGTTTCTGCCGTTTTTGCGACATTTTTGCCCTCCTGGCCATTTTCCCATCTGGTCCGCTTTTTTTCCCTTCTCCCGCTTCATTTCTGGCCATTTCCCTGACCTTCACGGCTCCCGGCGGTTGCCCTATATGGTAACGGCAACTGCCTTCGCGCTGCGTTTGCTAAGCAATATCGCAAGCGCGCAGAGCGCGCGCGCCGGCTTCGTGGGCCGGCGCGCGCTCTGCGCGCGCGCGCGCACGCATTTGGTTACCAGATAAACGGGAACACCAGCAGCCCAGGGCCGTCTTCAGAAGGACCTGCATGCTGTTTGTTTGGCGGCCGCCTTGGCTTTGGCCTTCACCTTCGTCTTGGCCATTATTTCCTTGTTCCTCTCCAATTTATTGTATTGCATGACAATTCTAGCGCGGGTACGTTTCCACATCGGATAAGTAGAGTGCGCCTTGCTTCACCATTTTATTTCGCTCTTCCGATCTTCATTCTCCCTCGGCCTGTTGAATTCCTTTCTACCTTTTGCTTTTGCTGAAATGGGTTCTCGCTTGTCGTGTTGGCAGAACTGTTTCTAGGATTCACCTGGAAAAGAAGTAGTTCTAGTGAAGTCTAATATCATGCCTTGCACATCTACAAACACACCTGCTCCCACGGGGAAGAAATAAAGTCAAAGTTGAAGGGTCCTGTGGCAATGTGCCGGATGCCTTTGCTATCGTATCACCTTTTCGACAAGTTTTTTGGACAACTGTGGTTATGGCAATATTAGATAGAGCCCACCTTGCTTTCGAAAAAGAACGAGCTGCCGCTATCATCTTCACGAGGCTCGTTCCTGAGTGTAAAAGCTGCAGCGAGGACGAAGATTGCAAAACGAATCACGACTTCTAAGGACTTGCGGCGCTGTCTTCACGACAGCCGTCGCAATTCCGTACGACAAAAAAGAGTGGACGACCGGACGAGCTTCGAGGCCTCCTTGTTCCGAACTTGGTTATTGTTCTGAAGCTTCTTCGCTAAACCTGTAAGGCCGCAAAGCATCACGAGAGGCCCCGTGATGCTCACGTTTATTTGCACGGGACGTCACGCTTCGCACGACCGTAGCCGCAAAGCATCACGGGACGAGAGTAGTGCGGAGAGATCAAGAACACTTCCAGCATACTTCTGTGTTAACACGATTGAACGCATGGCGTGAATGTCGCACCTCAAAAGGCGCTGGCCGCGGCGTGAATTGTGGCTGCTATGCCTATGTAGAAAGTATCGTTAATAGAGGATGATTTTCACGAAAGATGTTGAATCGTCACATGCGCACTACAAGCTCAGCAAAAGAGTCTTTTGTTTCGAAAAATGAGAATGATTTCGTTGCTCGAAACGTCCAAACACTCTACTACTACGCTAGAAAATAACGGAATGCAACCACATGTGTGCATCATTCAAACTACACGAACGACAGCGTCGCCGCTTCTAAATCGCAAAAACAAATTTAGAAAAAATGAGTTTTCCTTTCCTGCTTTTCTTTTGTAGTGGATGATGATCTAGGTCTACTTTCCTGCCTTTTTTATTCCTCATCCATCTGATACTCTTACTCGTGAGGAGTAAAAAAGCAAGCACGTGAAGACTCATATTTTTTTCATGATTCCGATGAAATTAAACCTTCAACCTGTAAAAAAGTGCTGCCTTGAGCACGGTAGTACAGGTTTGACATACATAAAGAAAACGACTTGGCTTTGACATAAGCCGCGAGTAGTTGTTGTAAAAATCATAGGGTGTTGTATTCAGAAGTTTCATTCGTCTGTTGCTTTGCTCTTCATATTTAGCCAGTAACTGATATGAAATCGAAATCTGTGCTGTCGCTTGCAGAAAAACCTAAATTTTTCTGTCGAAGAAGATGTTATTTCATGTACAAAGATTTCAGAATAGATTAAGATTGTCGCCGTCGTTATTTGAGATGACTCCTAGTACCATTATGCGTCCAGATGTTCATGTTCAAGATACCAAGCCTCTCTCCAAATGAAGAAGCTCTTTCTCGCAAGTAGGTACAAAGCAGATAGTACTGAGACAGTTCGCGGCCTAGTGTCATCAAGTGTGAGTGTCAACATGAGTGGTGCATAAGAATTGTGCACCGTCATCTTCCTATCGTGCCTCATGGTGATACTTAAATTTGACAGCACAAACAAGCTGTAGAACTTCTATCCCCGCCGCCAATTGTCGTCATGGTCTGCTTTCGTGTCCTTGAAATTCTGTTTAATCGCGATTTTGTCGTCGTCCCCCCGATCACGATTTCTACTATTGTTCGCCGACATCCCACCATTCTCCCTGTCGCGATTGTTTCCCTTCCGGGGATTACTACTACTGTTGTCCCGGTTAATATCGCCGGCGCGGTTCACTCCCCGTTCCCAGACCTTGTCCATATCCCGGTCCCGATCCGTGCTGTCTTTTTCTCCCGAGCCTTTCCTCGGGTTTTTGTCGCGACCGTAGGTGGAGCCGGGGAGCTTCGGGTAGTAACCGTCGCGGTCCCGGTCCCCATACTTGTTACCTAGGGTGGGGGTTGATATGAGTTGCGGTTATTCGCATGACAGAGTTTTTGTCTCCTGATGCAGATTTTGCATGAGAACTACACCGTATGTGCTGCATTTTTATTTCACAGTCAATGTATCGTATTCTATAAGTACCTTTGTTCTTCCCCCCTCGGTCTTTCCCGTCGCCATCACCACCTCGACCCAAAAACCCTGATCTTCTTCCGAATTTCTTTTCCCCCGAATCACCGCCCTCTCTTGTCTCCGAGTCGTGTTCTGTGGGGGAAGACATGGAAGACTTGTGACTCGTTCTCGGGTTACCGCCGGAGCTGCTCTTGTTCCCACCTTGGCCCTCCTCTCCATTTGCGTGGCTGTTTTCGTCCGACGGGTCGTAGAGGGAGACCGAGATTTCCCGCCCCTTGAAAACCACTCCGTTCCACTTCAAAGCGGATTTTAACAATTCCACCGTGCCGAACTCCACGATCCCCGTGTGTTTTCCGCATGCTTCCATAGAGATCACCTTGGGCTCGCACTCCCGATTATCACAAGAAAAAACTGTTTCAGTGTGAACTTGTGATGTATAGAATGGAACACAGAAGTATTTGTCTTGCTACACCCGCAAGACATTGGACATTTAGGAACGTTTTCCCTTGGGAAGCGCGCATGGCAGATTTTCTGTGTCATGTGTAACAAACTTGTGATGCAGATCTTACAAAAGCATCCCAGTGAAACAGTTTTTTCGTGGGATACCGATCCCAGAAAAAGTACCCTAGGTCGTTATCGGTCACCGTGCGGTCGAGATTGCGGCAGACGCACTTGTAGGGCGGGGATTTCGGCAAGGGACCGGAGTATTCGACCTGATAGGGTTTTGGACAGCATTTCGTTTCTGCATGATACTCAAGCAGAACTCGGAATAAAAGGTGCAAGACCTACTTATTGCGTGCTTCTTCACAGGGGCCTTGTCTTTCTATTCGCATGCGGGTATAAATATCTTCCAACACAAATGCTCGAGTATAATTTCTATACCTGTGACCTCCCCTTCATGGGCACCACGGCATCCTTCCCGCCAGACGACCCGCCAGTGACCGAACTTTGTTTCGCGACGGGCAGCCCACTGCCCATGCCGTCGTGCCACAGCTCAATTTTCACTTTCCTTCTCTTCAGGTACTCGTTGTGCTTGCGGAGCGCGACCCGCAGCGATGGTTGGTCGACGAATTCAACTCGGGCACTGTGCCGGGGCTCCTGCATCTGCGTCACGGACAGGATTTGGCCTGAGAGAGTTTGGTTGATAAAGTATTTTTGCCATTTTTTAAATTCTTGGATCTACTTCGCACAGAACACAAGAACGTACACGTGAGGCTGCTGGTGGCCCAAACCTGCTACACCAAAGAGTAGCCGCGACAAGATTTTTGCAATACAGCATAGCATGTTCCGCATCACCCCAAAACTACAAACAACATATACAGTGTGGCGCGCCATCCTGGTAAAACTCTAAAATATCTTCATCCGTAGCTGCTTTGTCGATCCCCTGCATTTGCACGACGAACGGCGGATCTGTTGGTAAATCCTTCCCCAAAACCGCATTACACTCCGCCTCTGATTTCTCTAACAACGGCCCGAATAGGCTCGACCACAGTTTCCTGGGTTGCTTATGCATTGCAAAAGTATCTTCGCACTCGTACTGATTGCCGTCATGCATCACAAATCGATTTCTCTCTACCGGATATAGCATCACAAGCTCCATTTTTGTTCTTGAAAAAATTTGATGTGATGCAATTCGTACAACGCAGTACGAGTTACTTTTGCAGTGCATATTGCTGTTTGAACAGTAATTCCACGTCCCTCCTGATATGGCTCTTCTCCCCCATCTTCCGACTGGACAACCGCCCGCTGTCCCAGTCCAGATCCAACCACGCCCCATCGTCGTGGTTCTTGAAATAATGCCCTTGCGTGTGGATCATCCTGGTATCCTCTTTCGGCTCGTCGTAACGCACGTAATTGACCGTGACGGTTGATTCCAGTGGGTTCGGAATCGCCTCTTTCAGCTCATGACACGTGTACTCGTAGAATTCTGGGGTGGCTTCCACGAAGAGGTACGGCCGGATGGGGTATTTCGTCCCGTCGCGCTCGTGGTTCGCGTACAGGAAGGGCTTGGTTTCTGATAAATGGATTCGTTTATTTTGGTGTAAATTTGTCATGCGGAGGTACAAGTTAGGGAAATGCTTGTGCGTACAAACACAATCACTCATATTACTTCATCAAGAACGTAAGCAAAATATAATCCAAAATCCTATACTGGTAAAACATCGGTTCCAAGTCCACTGGTAAAAAACCCCAACGGTTTCACTCCAAATTTCGTGCGCCGCCATCGCGATGTTCGTGTGCTGTCCCCCGGCTTTCACCTCGCCACTAACAAACGACCAGTGTTTTCTCTTCTTGTCCGGGAAAAAGACGTATCAAATGCACAAATATCCGGGTCTGAGAGATCTTTAGCTTTGTCATGCATATTTTCCATGACCCATGATGTCTGTGATGCATACTGTAGCATCACAGATCTTTAGAGCGCTTTGTGTTACCTCTACCGCATGAGAAATGCCCTCTCCGTGTAGCACAAACTGGAATCCTCTTGCTGGTCATGCAATACAGACTTTTTTGGAATCTAAAGATAGCATCACAAGTTGCAATCTTCCAGACCCAGACATCTTTGCAATTCATAAGACGCTATACAACTTGATTTTGTCGTGCGAGTTTCCCTGCTGGCCCGCCGGGATTTTGTATGAATTGCAAAAGTGTCTGGGTCTGGAAGATTGCAACTTGTCATGGTAAATCTGAAGCATGCAAAAATCTGTGTTGCGTGAGTGCCAAAAGCTGTACACTTTTGACCAAGTTAGAAGGGAGTTTCTCATGCAGGATAGGCATGGCAGAGACCTCCCAGAGTCTGTCATGCTAAGTCCCGCATTCCAGACCTCATGGGTCATGGAAAATCTGCATGACAAGTCTACACTTTTCCAGATCCAGACATTTTTGCATTGGATATTTTGATGTAGGGGACGATAGAGAGGCACTGCATGAAGTATTTCTCCTGCGTCAACCCGCCTTCCACCAAATCCGCCTGCACGCCGAAGCACGGGTATCCTATGTAAAAACGTCCCCAGCACCCCATAGTCAAGATGGGGACTCGGCTAGACAAATCCACAAGTTTTGGCTGTTTTGCATGACAAATTTGGATTCGTAGTGTACTAGGGCTGTTTGAGCTAGCTGAGCAGCATCACAGATCTAGTATATGATGCTGGTTGGACTTGGAGCATTACAAATTCCAAAACGCGACTGGATAATGCTTCTCATGGGGCTCCGCATGAAAAACATTTCCAATTCCAGCTCATGCAGATTTGCATGACAACTCTGGGGTGGGGACGTTTTTACACAGGATAACGGGACTTGGTTGATCAAGTTCTCGTGGAGGCAATGCCACAAAGCTTTGTGGTTCATCTCGTGGTTCGGAATGTCGAAGATGATAATTCTCCCCCCGCAGTTAAACCGGAGTAGTGTCAAGACGTCTAGTATGAACTGCAAAAGTATCGTACTAGTAGTAATTGCAATACAAATTAGCTCAGCATGACAAATCGAATTTGTGATGCTGTTTTGCCTTGAGATGGAGATTTGTAATGCATAACTGCGATTACTACGAGTACGATACTTTTGCACAGGATATCTAATAATTCCTTCTGCTCCCTTGTCGGCTGCACCACGATGAACATCTTCGACCGTAACTGGTGTTCATGGGTTTCGATTATGCAATACAAATTTCCCGTACATGTACAAAATGCATCACAGACTTCACCAGTAAAAATACTTGTCATGCTAAGCTAAGATCGGGGCCAGGTTTTCTCATGCAGAGACCGCATTTGTACGTGTACGGGAAATTTACTGTGGATATCGATGTGGGTGAGAACGTTCTTTTCAATCGATTCCATCACTGACCACCAGTCACAGGTTTTCGCCAACTCTTCATCCTTCGGCAATTCCTCCGACCCCTTGAGCAAAATGCTATCCGGCGAATCCGCCTGGGTGGAGAAGGTTTTGGCTTGGAGCTGCGCCGCGAGGGAACTGAGGTCGGAGGGGGTGGTGGCTTTCTTCTTCGATTCCTCCAGGTTTTTTAACTCTTGCTGCTTCACCTGATTTATAAGGATTTTGTTCGTATAAATCTTTAGCAAATTGAAGTTTGTACCTTGCATGGCATAATGACAAGAAGTTGTGCAAGTCGTGCTGCTTCATCCGACGTCTTCGTCGTCGTGCGCCGGATGCTGCAACGAACTGCAACACAAATCAAGCAAAAAATCCTATACCTTCCCCGCCTTAATGAGCCACCAGACCGTTCGTTCCATGTCTTCCATGAAAAACGCAATTTCTTCCAGTGAGACCGCAATCCCCGGCTGGCCTTCCTTCGAGACCGTCTTCGGTAACGCCTGCCCCTTAGTACCATTCGCTGACGGAATGGTCGACTCCGTGCCGCTCCCGTTGTTGTGCGGCGCAGGACCCGGGTGGGGTTTTAAAACCGAATCCGCGGAACTGCTAGTTTTCTGCGACATCGCCTTGGCAATTTGGTCGATTTTTGCCTCCTCGGAGTCGAGTTTCAAAGGAAATTGCTGCTGTTGGAATAATTTCTGGGGTGTCGCCGTTGGGGTTTGGTCCGCAGGATTGGAAATTGCCATGGGGGAAGACGCGTTATTTCCGCCTTTCTGTTGGCTCATCGGGACGAAGGGCTGTGCGGTGCCGTACATTTTTGTGCCGGAAGTGGTAGACGGTGTCTGCGCGTTTGGGCCACTGGTGGTACCGTTGGGTGGCGTTGTGTTCGCGCCGTTCGCGGTCCCGGGAGTGGTGCCTAGTAGTGTAGGTACGATGAACAAAAACTTGTCATGCGAAATAAATCATATACGATAACCCACTCAATATGCTCTGTGCTGCTTGCAAAACAAATACAGAAATTGATGTTGTCACACGGCAGGAGCTCTACTATCAAAGAAAAACATTCCAAACGAACCTTTCTGCGCTGCCGCTGCCTGCATTTGTTGTTGTGCTGTGTACATTTGTTGCTGCAGTTGCGCATTGTATCCTGCCGCAAAAGCCTGTTGCTGCGCGTTATAGTGCATTTGCTGCTGCGCCTGGGCCATTGCCATGGCTTGTGCCTGTTGCTGCTGCGCCGCCATCGCCATGGCCATTTGCTGTTGCTGCTGCTGTGCCTGTTGCTGATGCGCAGCGGTCATCATGTTTGGTGGCGGCCCGTAGGGTGGCGGGTGATGCGGGACCTGCCCGTACTGCTGTGGGTAATGAGCCTGTTGTCCGCCACCGGGCTGCTGCTGCTGCCCGGGAATCTGCCCGTAATGGTGCTGCTGCTGCTGTGCTGCGGCGGCTGCAGCAGCGTAATTTGGGTACTGCCCGTGACCGCCGCCATTTGCGTGGCCGCCGTACATCTTTTTGGAGTGGATCCTCCAAGGATGATCGCAGCTGCTCCGCTTTTCGACGTCCTCGGAGCTCACTAGCTTTTGGCGTCCCGCGTCCTCGTTCTTTCCACAGGAACTACTGGTTGGTAGTAGCGGCTCAACTAGAGGCGTGAGCGTTTTAGTACTAGTAACACCCAACACGAAGAGAACTACGACACTTTCTTAGCAGCTACACCACTACAATAAGCTAGCTACTAGATGAGTCCTCTATCAGTATCAGTGCCTGTGTATGTGTTACAGCATGTGCTCTAGTATGTGTTATCGCAGAAGAAGTTCTCTAGAAATCCATATCCATTTTAGTACTTTGAATTTGCAGTGGATGTTGAGTAAGACCTTTGGCAAATTTGCAGCTCTAGTATTTTCATTTTTGTGAATTTACGAACATCAAACTTAAGCGTCAAGATGGAGCTAACATTGTCGGTATTTCTTGATGACCTCATCTGCCCCCGCGGATGAAGAACTAATGCGACCTACTATTGATGCAGATTCTCCTACCTTTACAATTACGTGGAGCTTCTCACATGTGCTATTCAAGGAGATCTTCGGAGCAGCTATACTTGAAGCGGTTTGGCTTTGATGATAGAGATCAACGAAGTATTGAAGATCAGTGAAGATGAGTTTTACAACAAATCTGTATCCTTTCGTAAAGCGATTCCCGGCCTGCTGGAGGAACACTTCTATGTACTGAACGGCGCGAAACAAGCACCACGCCTTCCTTACTTCTTGCGATGAATCAGCAAGGAGGGAAGCTATATTGTGAAGTGACGAAATTATGAGCACGCTGCTTCATCGCGACGTGCCAACAAGCGTCGTTTGATCCGTTGTTCAGAGAGCCGGCTATTACGAGCGAGTATATATTTGTTGAGTTTCATTTTCTTTTCGCGGTATCAGCCCCTGCATTTTTAGGTTTATTTGCCGCAGCGCTGTTGAGGTTGACAACATTTTCCTCGTCAACTACCGGTCTCCCCCACGGCATTCGTTTTACCATCAATTCCTGGCAAGCCTTAAACCCGTTCTGCCCATCCAGCATCAGAAAATCCTTCGCCGCGATCACTTCCTCACCTTCAAACACCTCCCGCGCCTCGGCCGCCAATATTTGGTCCGCCGGGTCGATCACGATGCAAGAATCTTGATCAACATCTTGTGCATCCGTCGTGGGTGACGATTCTGTGCTGCAGCAAAGCGCGTCTGTTTGTAGTTCTCCATGACCTCCTGGTATTGTCGCTGGTGAGATATTATCAACGTTTAATATCCTCCCGAGTCTCGTCCTCCCTAACATCGCACTGGTGCTTTCATTGTACCTGGCGGAGAAATGCGTCAACACCAATTTTTTCGCGCTGCAATCATTTGCCCACTCCGCGGCCATTTTCGGCGTAGAATGTCCTTTCTCGATACATTCTTCTCGCATCGCCTCTTCCAAAGTCGCTTCGTGGATAAACAAATCTGCGTTTTTCAAACTCCCATTCGCGACCGCGTAACTGCTATCGGAGCTGTCTTGAAGGATGCAAACCTTCCGGCCGGGGATGGTTTCCGAAACACAGTCAGAAGCCTTGACGGTTATCATTTGATGTTCGGAAGTAGTGCTGTCCGGGTGTTTCTTGTCTGCTTTTGGGATGAAAGTCACATCCTCCCCCTTCTTCAATTTCCCTAGCAACGGTCCGACGGGAACGCCTAACTGCTTCGCCTTGTTGATATCCAGTTTCCCCGGTCGGTCGGGCTCTTGGAAACAGTACCCCCAGCACGTCATGCCGTGAACCAGCGGGACGGCGGTTAACCGGGTTTTAATGGAGTTGTTGGAGCTGGTAGCTATCATTTTCGATAAGTCCACGTCTTCTTTCAATTTGTGCTTCTCGTTCGGAATTTCAATGAAGAGAATGTCGTAGTAACCCGCCCAGCCGCCGGAGTGTTTGAACACGCTCATCACCAGGTCGTGGATCTGTTTTTTTATTGATTGCCTTTTGCGATTTCGTTTTCCATGATTGGGACAATGGTCTTCTCGTATGACAACTTTATACACATGTCTTCCGAGGGCGCGCACGAGATGATGGAGAGCGAAGCAATTGAAGTTGAACCACAACCAGCCGTGCTGAGGAATTACCTGCCGTGCTGAGAAATAAAATAAAACAGCGAAGTCAAAACCACTCTATACCCCTTCCGGCCCGACGATTAGCAGCGGATTTACCCTCATGTCTGTCCCACACGTTAACAACAGCCCGAACAACCCGTAGCAGTGGTCCCCATGTAAATGTGTGATGCAGATCATGTCGAGAGAGCTCGCCTTCGCCCGGGAGCAGACCTTTAGTTGGTGTTGCGTCCCTTCGCCGCAGTCGACCATCATCGAAGAGCCCGTGTTGGTGGTGATCAGCATGGAGGACATATTCCTTTTCCCCGGGACCGGGATAGCGGAACTCGTACCCAGGAAAATCACCCGGTCAAACCGAACGTCTTGGTCAGAGGAGTTGTTTGAAGACGTTGCCGCTGTGCTAGCGGCACTAGGACCAGCCTCTTGTTTCCCTTTCTGTTTCTTCGCTGCTTTACCACTTGATATTTCATCTCCATTTTTATCGCCGGTCGTGGCAGAATTGGCATTGTCCTCATTGTCTCTAGTACTTGGCGAAGGCTTCCTTTTCTTGCTGTTCTTCTCCGCGTTCTGCTTTTTCTGGTCGAGAACCGGGGTTTTGATTGAGAAAGGAGCCGTGCTTGCACTACTTCCTGGAGCTACTACTTCGGCATCACCATAATTCGCATCCTGCCTGCCAGTCGCAGCCACCGGCCCGCCGTTCCGGGCCGCGATTCGCCGTATGCGAACGCCGGTTTTCTCGTCCAACATGTCCTCGACGGGGGCGTCGGGGCTCGGAGGTCCTGTCGCCTGTACTGGTGCTGCGTCAAACAAGCTTTGGAAGTTGTTGAACAACTGTGATGCGGAGGACCTGTAGCCCCTTGTTTCAGATGCGTTCGCTGTAGAAGTAGTACTGTGGTCTACTTGGTCACCCGTACACGCACTGCGTCCGTTGCCCATATCAAGTTGGATTTTTCATCTGGTTGGAAAGAATGCTACTAGGGACGATGTTAGCTCACTAAAAGTGTCGCGCGCAGGGGAAATTCTTCTGGGGGGGCGCGTACTTGTGTTCTTGTCAAAGGTGCAATAGAGAGTGAGAGGGTTAATGAGGTCCTGATTATTTTGTGTTTTCAGTACTTATAAGGCGTAAAATTTTTATCCAGAAGATGCAGAAAAACACCGATGAAATGGCTCTACTGTGCGAGTGGCATGCAGCAAAAGCTACGGTATTAATATGCTACTCATAGAGAGGACGGATCCTTATCCTTCAAGATCCATGATGAACTGCTAGGTGGATCCAAGATCCTTTCAGATCTTTCTACTATCGACTTCTTGTGCTAGCACCGATCTGCCTTCTGTGCTAGCACCGAATCATATTGGCGCATCAAAAAATGGAGCGCCTTTTTTTACTGTGATCATCCTCTACGGTCATCGCAAAGTAAAAGTAGAATGCCTGTCGCTAGTATTGCCTTCCATACGCTTACTTACGCGGCCGTGTACTAAGATAGATGAACATGCGTACTTACGCCAAATTCTAATCTAGCTGCGGCAACATGTGGACGTGCCGAAGGAAAATTTTGCAACGTTGGGAGCTGGTCGTTTCTTGCATTCTCAGAGTAGAGCCAGTACTTTCGACGGGTTAATATTTTTACGTTACAACACTGATGATCAGCGAGGGCGCACTCGCATAGAAGCTTGGCTTGGCAGTACAAGTACAATCAAGCGCTCTTGACAAAAATTTTAGCTAGTTTCGAAAACTAAAAAGGGGGATGCTAGTTTTGAAAACACAGGGGGACGCTTCTCGGTTGTAAAAAAATCGCAGACGTGGCCGCGTTGTGCTCAGGTGAAAATAAGGGTAGTACAAATAAAATCTAGATTCTTTATCGAACAAATCGATTCACGGGGACCACGGGATACACAGTTGATACTCAGGTCGAAACAATTATGCACTCACCGGCAGGCTCTCCTGGTGGAGCTGGTAAAGAGAAGGAAAAATAAAGCCGCTTAAAAAAAATATGCACAGAAGGTCAAAAAGAAACTTACTTCGTGAGTCAACAGCTACTGCATGCTCGCCCGGATGATGGAACCAACGCCATCAACATCTTTTGGTGCAGGAGAAGCGACCACGACGGGCTCGACCACGTTGTCGACGAATTTGTAGTTGTATTGCTGGTCTTCCACCGCGTCCACTTCCTCATTCACAACTGGCAGCTCATTTTTAGAAGTACCGGGTAGTTGCTCGGGTAGAAGTTGCTCAGGAACCGCAGGTGGAATAAACTCCTCCCCGCCCGCTCCGACCGACGAAGACGCATCCGAAGGGATCAGCAACTGGGCGCGGCTGCTGCGCTGCGGTTTTTTTTCCTGGAGCAGCTTTTTCGCCTTAGTACCGTTTGCGTCAGCACCTTCCGGCCCAAACAGGCCCTCCATGCCGCTCTTGCTGATCGGTAGGTAGTCGTCAGTGGCCGAGGAGTGCGGTTGATGTTCTCCAGTGGCCGCCGTGTAGTCCTCAACTGTTCCGTCTTGCAAAGACGAGCCCCCGCCCGTTGACAGCGAAATTCCCGTAGCCGGGGCCAAGACCACAGTTTCGTTTTTCACCACCGGCCGCGACTGATTCATGTTTTCCGTCGTCCGTCTTCCCCCACCAGCACCACGCCCGAACAAGGAAGCGCTCATGCTTCGCAAGAAAGTGGCAATCTTTCCCCGCTGCTGCTCCCTCTCCTCCGCGTGCAGTTCCTTTGCCTCTTGGAGGTCTTCGGATAGCGCGCTGCTGGGTTGCAGCATTGCCATTTTCTTTGCCTTCTTCGTCGCGAAAAGGCCGTGCGAAGCCGAGCCGGGCATTACTTCGTTTTGCCAGTGCCGGGGGTAGACTGTGGACGCTTTCCAGAGGAACTCATCCGTGTAGTAGAAGAGTCCGAATGCGACGAGGACCAATATCCTGTGTAAAAACGTTCCCCTCCCAGGGTTATTTTTGTCATGCAGATTTACAATCACAGAAAAACTTGTAACGCGCATCCCCATGAGAGGCATTTTCAATCGTGTCTATGCAATTTGTGATGCTGTAAACAGGATACCAGGGGGGCTTTGTGATGCGGCTGTCCTTGCTAACCCGCATTACAGTAGAGAGAAAAACTTGTCATGCGTCACTCCCAAAACTTCTGGATCTGTGTTGCAGAATTCGCCTCTTTTCTCTGGGATGGGGACGTTTTTACACAGGATAACCAAGATGTGCAGCGTGATGCCACACGCAAGCGTGAACTGCAACTTCGGGCTCGGTAACAGGTACCCCGGGGGCAGGGACCCGTCATCGCCTCCGTGCGCGAAATCGGCGGAGTGGATGTAGTGCTTGTGGAATTCCGGGAATACGGCTTCATTCAGTAAATACGCCGCCGCGAGGAGAAAGAAGACGAACAAGGCCCACAACTATGGATTGCAAAAATGTCTGGGTCTGGAAGAATCATGCTGTTTTTGTATGACACAGAAGGTCTGGCATGGAAGCTCTAGCATCACAGGTTTCGAGAGCCTTCCGCAATGCCGAATCCGCATGACAAGCCCCCTATTTTGCTGACAAAAAGTGGGAGCTTTTGCTACGTATACATGAGAGACTTTTCTGTGTTCTGAAATACGCATTACAAGTTGCATTCTTCCAGACCCAGACATTTTTACATTTGATAACAACGTATCCTCAGCAAAAACGTCCCCATCCGCCAGAGTTGTCATGCTAATACGCAATGACAGAAACATTTGCAATGCGCATCTCCATGAGAGGCATTTCCAATCCTGTTTTGGCACGACTTGTAATGCTGCAAATAGGATGAGAAACTGGCTTTCTCCTGCGGCTTTCCTTGCTAACCAGCACTAGACTGCAGCAGATGGAAACTTATCATGCAGAAATCCCAAAACTTGGAGATTTGTGTTGCAGATTTCCCGTCTTGAGGACTATGGGGTGGGGACGTAGTTCTTACACAGCATACAACGCGAATGCTGGGCGGCCCTTCGTGAGGTGCACCGTGGAGGCGAATCCCACGAAGCCGAGCGCTCCAGCGACCCAGGCATCCCGCAGATTATGAACTGCAAAAGTATCGCGATTGCATAAATGCATTACAATTTTCCTCAGCATGAGAAATGAAATTTGTAATGCGGATTTACCTTAAGAAAAAGATTTGTAACGCATGATTGCAATTATATATACAAGTACGATACTTTTGCACAGGATACAGGTGGAGCCACAGCACCTGGCGCACACACCGGTGGTAGGAAGAGGTGCCTTCGGCCGTTGGTGCTTCGTGGTAAATGTTCGAGTCCTATCAAATGTAAAAATGTCTGGGTCCGGAAGAATGCAAGTTTGTCATGCTTGTCTGGTATGATTCGAGAATCTGTGTTGCATAGGCACGAAAAGGCCCTCTTACCTGTCATGCAAAAACGCAGTTTGTCATGCGGAATACGTAAGACACGGGAGCCAAAAAATTTGTCATGCATATCTGCGTATTACGGTGCGTTTACCATTCACTTTTAGCATTACAAGTTTCCAGACCCAGACATATTTGCAATCCATAAGTCCGCATCGGGATCGGCCGCGCCGAGAAATCCCTCGCCTTTATCGGCATCGATCAGAAGCTATGCCGATTGCAAACATCGATATCGAAGATCTTCTGGGTCGTCTTCTGGTAGAATTCAAGCTTGTTGTCACGCAAATGTTCTTCATCCCGAACCACACAAAAATTTGTTGCATGTCACGCACCAAAAGTTCTTGTCCATTTCTCGCTAAAAACATGAAAAGAGAACCGAATCTCTCATGCGAGACGACCATAGGCATCTAATATCTTCAAGGGGCGTCTTCTGAAGCGCAAGCGGGTGATCGAAAAGATACATGAATGTACAGCATATTTGCAGGCATCTTCTGCGTGTTGATCCAAAAAATGCGTGACAAGTGCCTGCCCTCATCCCGACCTCCCAGATCGACCGATGTTTGCATTTGATAAAAAGTCATCTGGTTCCTCTACCAGTCCCTCTTCATTTGCTTTCTCTGCTCCACCCGATGTTGTTGTATCTTTCTCAACATGATTTGAATCTGCTGTTGCGACTTTCTTGTTCTCCGCCTCGTTTTGGTTTTTCTGCTTGTCATCTCCTGCTCTACCTCTATCGTGCAAGCCCTGCCTTTCAGCGGTTTTCATCACGGCCAGCCGCGCCCTCCTCACGATTTTCTGGCTACCGAGAAAAGACGTTCTTCTGGATGTTGTCGTGTGGAGATGAGATGAAATGGATGTTCCAGGATCTTCGGGTGTGTCCTCACGGTGAGGAACATCGAGAAACTGCCCTTGTTGGGTACTCGGACCAGCACCGCCAGCATGATCATCATGAAGTAGAAGTTGTGATTGAATATCATCACTGCGGTTCTTTTTCTGCAGGAAACTTCTCCTACTTTGCATCTTGTTCGACGTCGCAAGGGAATGGCTCTGAACTACATCTGTTCGGTAAGAACTACCGGATAAAGCTGGTGAAGAGGCACCGCCCGTCTTGCGCAGATACGTGGTGGACCTGGTCGAAGTGGTGGCGGTGTAGGAAACTACAGGGTAGACATTGTGCTCATTAGATTCGAGGAAAGACTGCGCGGGGGCGGCCCCTTCCGTGCTACTCTTGTCAGCTCCACCCTTGTTCTCCACATCTGCAGCGCCCGGGGCGGTTTGCTTCTTGTCGTCTCTCGCTGCTGCTTTGGCCGCGGCAGTGGTCTCCGCAGCTGCAGCGTCAGCTCCAGCGCCTCCAGTGGCACTCTTTGTGTCTTGATGATGATCACCCCCAGTGCTACTAGTTGCACCTGTACTACTTGTATCAGGAGCAGCCAGGGCTTTGTCGACGTCTTTTTCGCTGAGGTCCCCACCCAAATGGTGTGCGCCGAGCATGAGCATTCTTCCAAAGTACGCCCCGGCGCAGAAGGCAAAAAATGCGGAGTAGAGCAGGCAGGAAACGCGGATCCAGGAGGGGAAGATGAGGCAGTCGGGACTGTTGAGCAGGTCAATATCAAATGCAAAAATGTCTGGGTCTGGAAACTTGTGATGCTAAAATGTCCATGATGAAAACACTTCCGAATGCAGCCCAGCATGACAACTTCCCAAAACGCTTTCTCATAGGCACTCCGCATGACAAACTGCGTTTTTGCATGACAAAAGAGGCTGCGACTTTTGTTTGATATGCAATACAGATTTCCCGGGAATGCAGAGCTAGCATTACAAGTTTCAACCTTCCAGACCCAGACATTTTTGCAATTCATAGTCAACTTCCCGTTGCAACTGCTCCTGGTGCTGTATGGTGTTCTCAAACGTTACATTCTCAACTGTTACATGAATTTGTCATGCAACACTACCATCATCATCCACAAGATCAAGCTGCTTGGCATGACAAATTTGCGAAGGGCTAAACAGCACCTGAATCTATCTGCGCGGGATTTGTAATGCAATTTTTGCACTCTTCACCCTTTCGCTTTTGCCATTCTTGCATTACAGATTCATGTAACAGTTGAGAATGTAACGTTTGAGAACACCATATGCTGTTTCGCCTGCTCCGCCCTAGTCGCAGCCTGCAGCTCCCGCTGCTTCTTCGAAACGTAAAACTTACGCACCATGTTGGTGTGTGATAGTTATTCTGCTCGAAGATGTAGTGGTCGGAGTTCAGTTTTCTACGCCCTTTCTAGCACAAGGGGCGACTTTCCGGCTTGTGGATCATGGGGATGCAAAGATGCAACGTAAACAACCAAAACAGAACGTGGTTCTACTTAGAGTCAATAAGGTGTTCACAATAAATACCAGCAATTCCTGTTGTAAAGAAATCTGTGGGTGAATGTGAAAATAATATCATAGTGCACGATGTTCATGTTCTTAAAAGACGACCAGCGGCGGTCGAAATGAAGTTTAACGAAGGCAGTTTTGGACCTCAACAAACGAAAGTACACGACAGGGTTCATTTGAACGACGTTGAGAACGGAGCGGACGGAATTAGAGGCAATTTTTAGGCACTACTAGGACGATGTTGCCATGAGCCGTTACGATCAGTTACGAACAAGACGCTTAATCACGGGATGAGTCCTGCTCAAGAGTACAGCTAGCACTTACGTGACGAATGCACGTGACGAATGCAGTGCTTATCTTGAACGAAACACACTAGAAAGCGTACGCCACCCGAGAACGAAATCGTAGGAACAATATCACCTAGCTGGCAGGTCGGCAGTTCTACTTGCGCACGTTTTTTTTTGTGATTTTTTAGAAGTCATATTCCCCCGCGATAGAGAAGCCGCGTATTACATTTAAAATTCATTCGATGTTGCTGCGACGCCTTCAGAGACGACCCAGTAGACAGACATTGCTAACGAACTACCTCCGCTACTTTCGCTTTCGTTTCACCGTTCTTCACTTTCTTCGAAATGGCACAGGGAAGGATAAGATACCTGCTGCTGATGCTGGTGTGTCGACGTAACAGGGTGCTGATGCTCCTCGGTGACTACAGCACGCCGGTGGGATGAATCGCTTCTCTGGTCCGATGTAACGGCAGCTGCAGCAGTGCGTCTAGTCCAATGGGAGTGTTTCCTCCTCGTTATATTGTACAGTGAGGCGCGTTAGTGTAAGTGTTGGAGTCTTGTTGCGCTTTTCAGTGTGATAGAAGCCCGCCACTTTTGTTCATCGTGCAACAAAAAAATTCGTAAATCTGCTAAAAGTCAAACAAAGATAGAAACGCTGTTAGAAGCTGAAAATCAAAACAAACAAGGCTACATTGTAAATCGTAATTCCGGTACGTTAGTTGAAGATGCTCAAACAGGTAAACAGTAATATGCGTAAAATTGTTCAAATCAAATAAAAGTTAAATTGTAGCTAGTTTCAACAAGGGTTCTGTTACGTTCTCGACAAAAACTGATTCTGATGCAATTTATTGTTACAAGTTGGAAATCTGATTCAAGTTACGTTGTTAAATTCAAACTAGGTTAGTCAAAAGATTCTGAAATGCTATTCCTGCTGTAAAAGTCAAAAGAAGGTCTTGGTCTGCTGGTTGCTACCGCGTTTGGTTCGTTCCCACTCGAAAATGAATATTAAAAATTCAGATTCTCGTCGTCTGATTCTCTCTCATTGTGCATTAAAGGTTTTCTAAACTGTGAAATTTTCTGCTGCGTGAAACTCTGACAAGCAACTGTGATACTGTGATGTGTAAACTGTAAAAACAAGGAGCAAATCTGTGATGCTAATAAACACACTCTCGTTCGAAACTTCTAGATTTAGGCATGCTACATTGATGCCACTGTCCCTTTGAAAAGTAATCGCTTTCACCCATCGATAACTTTTCTTCACCCGATGATCTCCACCTGGTCGTCAACAGGGTATCATGCCAAAAAATGCCTGCTGGCACAGTTGCACGACATGAACTGATTTGTCATGCGAAAAAGTTATGCTTGAGGCACTTTATTTTTTCAAGCCTCGCCTGCTCTGAAATGACAAGAAATTAAACTGTTGTACTCAACTCTGGTGCTAGCAATCATTTTCTATTCCGATAGCACCTGGCGCTTGGACTTCTTTGACCGTCCGCTGACGGGCGCGGGTTCCTGTTTGATGTTTGTTTTTCTTGTGTTGCATGAATGGCATATATCGATGGTGAACTACGGGTAGAAGTTTGTCAAACTGATTTTCTGCTTCAAGAGTCATATCTGTGTTGCAACGTGTCGCGTGAAAATAGCATTTTCTGTTGCATGTAGTTTTTGTTTTCAAGCTACGAAAGAACAACTATCGAGGGTAAGAAACTGAAACTTGCATTGACAGCCAAAAAAAAAAATATTTATACAAAGTGCTGCACAGCCATGGCCCTCTCGTAGCCAGCTCCCGGCTGCGCGACCGGCACTGGTTCGCCCATGACCACCTGCGGATTCGTCGGTTGCCGATTCGATGTCGGTTGTCGTTGACTACTAGAAGAAGCCCCTGCTTGCGTATGGCGAGAACAAAGTTTGCCACAATCAGACTCAGAGTCACTAATTTGCAGGCTTTGCATTTTACAAATTTTAGCAATACAGCTGCCCCCTGTATTGCAGAAACACTGGGGGCATCCCTTCTGCAGTTTGGCTGTGATGCATTTTTGCGCATGACAGAAAGTTTCTTATTGCAAAAATGCGCAACATGGGTGAGTGTGACGAACTTTTTTTGTTTGATATTGCGTCCCGGCGCCCGGGCTGGTCGGGGACCGCGTGGTGCCTCGGGCCTCGTATTCCTTGGCCGGGATCTTGATGATTTGCACGTTGTTGGGGTTTATCAACTGCAAAAGTGTCTAGGTCTGGAAGATTGCCAGGTTTGTCATGCTTATTTTGAATGATTCGTGATGTCTGTGATGCATGCCCTAGCATCACAGATTTGTAGAGGACTTTGTGATGCCTCTACCGCATGAGAAATGCCATCCCCGCGTAGCACAAACTGGAGTCCTTCTGCTGGTCATGCAATACAAATCTTTTTAGAATCCAGAGACAGGCAGCATTACAAGTTTAGAATGTTCCAGACCCAGACATTTTTGCATTTGATAGGGTTGGTGGTGTCCAGTTCGTAGTAGTACTCTGCGCAGCACTATGAAAGTGCAAAACCCCCCCGCCTCCCCCTCATTTCTATTGAATGAACAGCAATACAAGCGTCAGCAAGAATACAGGATTTGCATGACAAATTTGACAGGACTGTAGTGCTATTTGGGCCGCCAAAACTTGTCATGCAAACAGTGCCAAGAGCCAAGGCTCTTAATTAAGCATTTTGCAACATGACAAATGAGGGGGGGCAGGGGGGGTTGTGCACTCTCATAAGCACGGCAGCGCCTCCCATTCCTCCTCCTTGTCATAGACAAACAGACCGGCGGAAACGGCGACCAGAGAGAACAGGACGAAGAGCAGGGAGACAAAGAACCTGTGATAAAAAATTTTCTATGTAAACGATTTCGATCTATTCTGCGCCGCATGACAGATGAAAAAATTCGTTCCCATGTTGCACCCTTACGCATGACAAAAAAAAGATCAACTCCTAGAAACCAATCTTATCTCATCATACCGAAAAGTGGAAATCTGCTCGTCGTCACTCGTGTCACCCAGATCCGGGTGCGCGTAGGTACTGGTGCGGAATTCGGTGACAATGTTGGAGATCAGATCCCATTATGCATTGCAAAAGCATCCGATGCTAGCAGTAATTGCATGACAAACTTTATTTGGACGACAATCAAAAATCATGGATTCTGTCATGCGGAGTCAGCAGATACGTACCATCATCATCAGCATCACACACGACCCGTCAGCTACATGTTCACGTTGTATCATTACCGCATTTAGTGTTGCAGCAGGACCACGACGGAAATTTTGCAATGCATACACGTTCGTGATGGGCAAAGGCGGTGACCTTCGAAGCAGATTCCCCGTAATGGGACTCTCAAACGTTACATTCTCAGCTGTTACATGAATTTGTCATGCAGAATCACTATCATGCTTCTCGCGATCAAGCTTCTTCGCATGACAAGGTTTCGACAAGCTAAATAGCATTACAATCTGTGCCAAATCTGTAATGCAAGACGCGCAAGGTCCCCCCTTTCACTTTTGCCATTGTTGGATTACAAATTCATGTAACAGTTGAAAATGTAACGTTTGAGCACGCCATACCCGTCGACGGTGACTTGTGGCAGGTCCCCGTCGTAAACCGCATCTGTCACTTCGTCTCCTATCTTCAACTCTGTAGGATCACCTCCGGGCGAGGTTGGGGTTGCTCCATCCGCAAGAACACCAGCTTGCTGATCCTGTTGTGCAGCCCCGAGCGCAGCTTTTTCGGCTTCAGACAAACCGTCCGTACTTTCTTGCACCCCATCTTGTTCACCTGAGGCTGCTATCAAATGTAAAAATGTCTGGGTCTGGAAGAATGCGCGATTTGTCATGCAGCTTTTCCATGACCCATAAAGCCTGGAATGCAGGACCTAGCATGGCAGATTTTGCGCGATCTCTCTCATGCCTATCCTGCATGAGAAACTCCCTCCCGACTTGGTCAAAACTGGACGACTTTTGGTAATCATCCGACACAGATTTTTGCATGCTTCAGATTTAGCATGACAAGTTGCATTCTTCCAGACCCAGACATTTTTACATTTGATAGCTGCGAGGATGGCAGCTTTTTCAGCCTCAGACAAGCCGGATCCAGAAGATGCACCAGCAGCGCCGTATCCTGTGCAAAAGTATCGCACTCGTAGTAATTGCAGCCATGCATTACAAATCTCTCTCTTAAAGGCAAATCCGCACTACAAATTCCATTTTTCATGCTGAGGAAATTTGTAGTGCAATTCATACTAGTACGATACTTTTGCAATGCATACACCGCCAGCAGAAGCTGCAAGAATCGCGGCTTTTTCAGCTTCACTCAGTTCTTCTTCGCCCTCGGAAGGTTGTGCGGAGCCGTCAACCGTTTGTGGGGCGATGTCAGCAAGCTTCTCCCCACCAGCATCCGCAACACCTGTCTCCGTGTCGGTAAGCAGGTCGCCGACGTTTTCCACCGCACTGCTTGGTGGTTGCTTTTTCTTCTTCTGAGAAACGTCGACACCAAGGAACGAGTTCTTGTTCTCGCCGACGCTCTGTCGGAGCACAACTCCAGTCTTCTTCCGTCGATTATCCTGTGCAAAAGTATCGTACTCGTAGTGCTTGCTGTTAATATGCATTTTCGCTGAGGCAAATCCGCATTACAAATTTCATTTAACTGCAACTAGTACGATACATTTGCAATGCATATCGATCGGCTTGGTGCAATTCGATCTTGGAGGCTTCGTTGCCGAGCCGGGTCGCCATGACGAGCTTCTGCTGATTCACCGTGAAGATGTGCTCCTTTTTCGAGACGAAGGAGGCCGCTGGTTGTGGTCCTGCAGGTTGCTGCTGCACTGCTGGTTGTTGCGCCGTGAGCCCGTCTCCAGCTCCGCCAGCTTCGGTAACGGTAGCGGCTTCTTCTGCCGGCGTAATTCCATCACCACCCGCGGCGACGTCCCCCGCCGCAGCGTCGCCTGCTGCTTGTTCATCTCCTGCAGCTGCTCCTTCCCCTGCACCAGCTCCTGCCGGCGTCCCATCGCCAACCGCTACTGTACCAGCTTGCTCTTCACTAAGACCATCACCAGCCGCCGCTGCTGGTTCTACACCTGCAGACCCTTGGCCGGCGGCGTCAGCACCCTCGTTGGATGCAGCCTCTTGTTCCGCCGCAGCTTTTCCAGGCTCCTGGTCGGTAGTTTTCTCTTCTTTTTTGCCTTCTGCTATAACCTGCTCAGGTGTTACAACAATCTCAAACGTTACAATAGAATGTGGAAATCAGTGATGCAAGAAGTGCAAGATCTGGCCAATTCTCATAGGATTGCGCATGACAAGTTTCGGAGCCCCAAACCGCATTAGAATCTGGCGAAATTTGTATTGCAGAAAGCGGAATGCTGTCCGAGTCTGTCATGCTCGTCATGCAATACATAATCCAGGCTCCATTGTAACGTTTGAGATTGTAACGTTTGAGCAGGTCATATCTGCCGCCAGCGCTTTCTGGATCTCCAGGTTCAGTTCTTCGGTGGCGTCAAACAGATGCTTCGCGCACATGAGGAAATCGGCGTCCGTTTTCGGGTATGCATTGCAATCATGTCTGGGTCTGGAACAAGAGTGCAATTTGTCATGCTAAATCTGTGTTGCATGATTACCAATAAAGCTGTACACTTTTGAGAAGCCCAAGAGGCAGTTTCTCATGCGGAAAATGCATGGCAAAGAACTCACAGAAGTTGTGATGCTAGGGCATGCATCACAGACCTCATGCGTCATGCAAAACGTGCATGACAAACGTTGCACTTTTCCAGACCCAGACATATTTGCATTTGGTATCGGATGGGTCGTGTCCGTCGCACCCGCTTCGGTCTTGTTCAAGCCAGCACTTTATCCTGTGCAAAAGTATCATACTCGTTGTACTGCAGTCATGCATTCCAAATCCTGTTCTTAAGGTAATTCCGCATTTCTCATGCTGCGGAAATTTGTAATGCATTTGTACGAGTACGATACTTGTTGTTGTTTTGCAATGCATACGCTTTCCGACGGGTCGAAGCGGTAGGGCCCGACCTGGTCGGTGCACAGACCAATGTACATGAGCACCATGGTCGCGACACCGAACACGTATGGATTTTAAAAATGTCTGGGTCTGGAAGAATGGAAGGTCTGTCATGCTCTGCCAGCATGACCCGAAAGTCTGCCATGCACGTTACCCAAGGGCCCCGTTTTTTTGTCATGCAGAAACGCAGTTTGTCATGCACAATAGGCTACACCTCGAAGCTCAGAAACTTGTCATGCTGAGCCAGCACTTGTGGCCGGCTCATGATACGCCAACCAGCAACACAAGTTTCCAGACATCCAGGGATTTTTACAGTTGATAACACGAGGGTAAGGGCGATGAGCGTGACCACCGGTTTCCGTGTGCTGCACGCCAGAACCAGCTATCAAATGCAAAAGTTTCTGGGTCTGGAAGGTTGCAACCTGTGATGCTGTCTTTGGAGGGTAACAAAAATCTGTATTGCACGACCAGCAAGAGAGTTCAGTTTGTGCTACGCGGAGTCGGCGTTTCTCATGCGGAATACGCATCAGAAGGCCCTTTTAAAATCTGTGATGCTAGGTCATGCATTACAGGCATCATGGGTTGTGCAAAATATGCATGGCAAACCTGGCAGTCTTCCAGACCCAGACATTTTTGCGTTTGATACCAGCCACAGCACTGCAAGCACGAGGTCGCGGGCGAACAGGGTGATCATCCGCTCCATTTGCGAGACTCGATCCCGGTACTCTTTCACCTTGGTCGCCGGTTTCCCGTCCTTTCCCTCTTCGATGTTGTTCCAAACGCGGCGGTAGAGTAGAACCGTGTCGAGTTTCACGACTTTGTGTCCGGAGTCCCCGCCGCTGATCTCGTCCATCTTGCCCTGCAAAAAGTCCTTGGCAGCCTTATGACCTGCTCAAGCGTTACAATCTCAAACGTTACAATAGAGTCTGGGTTTTGTATTGCGTGATGAGCAGAGCATGACAGACTCGCAGAGCGTTCCGTTTTCTGCAATACAAATTTCGCCATCGCCAGACTGTAGTGGGCTTCCGGGCTCCGGAACTTGTCATGCGCAATCAATCCTATGAGAGTTGGCTAGGTCATGCACTCTTGCATCACAGATTTCTATATTCTATTGTAACGTTTGAGATTGTAACACCTGAGCGGGCTATAAGCCTCCCTTGTGGGAAAGTACCCGGGCGGGAAGAAAAAGGTCTTCTGCATCAGTTTTGCGCCCTTGGCATCCGTGTACTCAATCACCGTGGCATAGTCCTGCTCTTGGTGGTATGCGTTGCAAAGCTGCATCACAAATCTGCTCGTACTAGTAGTAATCGCATGATCACAAATTATCTGCTCACCAACATGGGAAATATAATTTGAATTTGTAGTGCGGAATTGTCTTAAGAAAGACATTTGTATTGCATGGCTGCAATTCCAATTGTAACTGTACGAGTACGATAAACGCTTTTGCAGTGCATAGATGATCCTTCGTTTCGATGTGCACCGGCGGCTCCATATTGCCTGAAAATTAACCATCCCCAACCACTTTTTGATTTGCATGACAGACACAGAATTTTATACATGTTTTGCATGACAAATTGGATGGGGCTGGTTAATTTTCAGGGAATACTCCACTTCCTCAACTTCATTGTCCTCGCCTGCGGGAGTCGTAGTCTCTTCCTCAACAACAGCTTGCTCATCTCCCACCTGCTCATCATCTTCCAGGAAGGAGGCAGCTGCACCAGCGGGGGAAGAAGCGGCAGGATTGGCGCCCAGTAGCTCTTGCGCCGCGGCACGAGTGTCTTCCGCCGCAGCAGCATCCTGCGCAGCAGCAGCGGCTGCTGCTTCTTCCGCCGGGGACAACGTCGCTGCAGTGGTCGCAGCATCAGCAGCCGCAGCATCAGCAGCCTCCGCCGCTGCCGCCTGTTCCTCCGGCGTAGTACTGGCTCCAGCAGCTCCTGCACCATATGGATTGTAAAAATGTCTGGGTCTGGAAAGAATGGGATTTGTGATGCTAACTGTCGATGATAGAAAAATCTGTATTGCCTGAGCAGCAAAAGGGGCTGGAATTTTTGCCACCCGGAGAGGGCATTTCTCATGCAGAATAGGCATTAACAAGGCTTTGCGAGAACAACTGTGATGCTACAGCATGCATCACAGGTGTCTTGGGTCATGCACGAATGCGCATGACAAACTCCCCGAATCTTCCAGACCCAGACATATTTGCATTTGATACACCCGTTTCGTCTACAACTTCCTCTCCCAGCTTCGCTTCCTCTCCTTCAGCGGCAATGTTTTCCTCCTGTAGTCCATCTTCCCCCGGCGCGGTCTCTACTTCGCCCTCGACCTCTTCTTCCTCCGATCCGGTCTCCGCGGCCGCCTCTTCCGCGTTTTCCTGCTGTTCCCCCTCCTGCTGTTCTTGTTTCTTCTCCGCGCCTATCAAATGCAAAAATGTAGTCTGGGTCTGGAAGAGTGCTAGGTTTGTCATGCAGGTTTTCCATGACCCGCGCGGTCTGTCATGCACGACGGCCTAGCATGACAGGTTCTGTGAGATCTCTATCATGCCTTTTCTGCATGAGAAACTGCCTCTAAACTTGTTCAAAAGTGGACCTCTTTTGGTAATCTTCATGCAACACAAATTTTTCCACGATCCAGATGTAGCATGACAAGTTACAACACTCTTCCAGACCCAGACATATTATATTTGCAATGCATAGCGCCCGCGGCCTGTTCGAAGGGTGCAACCCCGAGCATGGCCTGCTTTTGCGCACTATCAAGCAAAAAAGTGTTAGCGTTAACTCAACGGTTTTGGGGCATGGCAGTGATGCATGACAAATTTTCGCTATCATGCATGCTATGCAATACAAATTTGGGCATCATTATCTCTCATGCATTGATTTCTGCATGCGAAATTCCGTATTAACGTGAACACTTTTTGGTGTGATACGCATCCTTCCCGCCCGGATTGTACATCTGGTCGGCGTCGATGTCGGCTTTGTGCGTCTGGTAATTGGTAAACACCGAGATCGCCATGATCAGGTAAATATGCAATGCAAAGCATCGTACTAGTATAAATCACATGACAAATTCCATCAGCATGAAAAATGGAATTTGTAATGCGGATTTAGGTTAAGAGGGAGATCTGTAATGCATGACTGCGATTACTACGAGTACGATACTTTTGCACATGATAGTAAAAGACCCCGATCACTAGCGCCGCAAACCGGATCCACATGGCGGTCGCGAAACATATGGCGTTCTCAAACGTTACATTCCCAACTGTTACATGAATCTGTAATGCAAGAATGGCAAAAGCAAAAGGGGGAAGCTTGCAAAAAATGCATTACAAATCCCGCGCAGATTCAGGTGCTGCTTAGCCCTTCACAAATTTGTCATGCGAAGCAGCTTGATCTTGTGGATGATGATGGTAGTTCTGCATGACAAATTCATGTAACAGTTGAGAAGGTAACCGATTTGAGAACACCATAAAACAACCCGCATCGGCCTCAACCCTGGGTCCCCGCGGACTGCGCTGCTGCTGAGGTCCCCGGGGGGACATCCGACCTCCTTGTGGTGGAAGTATTCTTGGAGGGGTCTGCATGTTTGTCTTCGTATGTTTCTAGCGGAAATAAATTCTAAATGATCTTTCGCTGTTGCAGTTTTGAATTTGTTGCTAGTGTTGTGCTAGCAGTGTTTTATTCTTCGAATGAACATTGTTCTCACATCGGAGTTATATCAAGAACGTCGTCCCCTGTTCAATTGATGCAGCCAAACAAATGCCCCAATTTGACTGAAAAAAAAGAAACCTGCTGGTTGTTGTGTTGAGAAAGAAAAGCAAATATAACGACGAGACCAACATGGTCAACAATGAAAATATCGACAGCCACGATTCCAACGAACGGCGAATGACGATCGAAGTATTTGTAGTCAGATCTTCAAAACGACGACCCACCGGTGCCGGCAACGGAGCTACGATATCAAACTGCTCTTCTTCATCTTCTATCTTGTTTTATACCCTCCTTAAGTACCTCGACGCACAAGAATTCAACGACATTCGACGAAGGGCAGATCGATCGAAGACAGTTTTTGTCTCTAATCTTCACATAGTTGAGACGGCTATAATAATGTCCGAGACTCTACTTCATACTTCACTCAACGAAAACGAATGACGACGATCTGATGAGGGAATGTTTTTCTTTTTCAGAGGCCAGTGTCGTGGTAGTTTATCGTAAAAATCTTGCTGGGGGGCCTAAAGACGAACAGCTTGTTTTGAAACTTTGTTGACGTCTCGATATTCTTCTCTTGGCAACTGAGACTTCTCCGACGACGTTGCCATAGCGAGAGCCGAAGCAGAAATGCCTACGAGCAGCTGCTTTTCCAAAACTGTAATTTTTTTCCACTCATCAAAATGTTGAAAGAGGATGTTTTTTTTTTTTTTGGTTTTTTGCTTTTTTTTTTTTAGCTTTGGTCTGAATAAGCTTCGCCGAAGTCTTCGCAGCGAAGTGTAAAGCAGCTGGTTTATAAAACAGAACCAGAAGTAGAGCAAGTAGTTTGGTTGTAATAATTTTCATCGTTCGCAGATAAGCAGAACCTTGCCCCCTTACGAGCAGGTGCAGTGGCACGAGAGAAATAACCATCGATACGATTGTTTAAGGTACAGATCAGGGAGAAATTGCTGCTACATAATCGAAAGAAGTGTCTAGCAATGCTGTTAAAAAAATGTAGAGAAGCCCGGCTATTACATACAGACGGGCAGTTTTAAAATTTCTTTTCCTTTTTCTTAGCACCAGATGGACATCAGTGGGCAAAAAAATTGTCAAATCACCACACCACTCGAATAAACAAAATTTATTCCACGCCGTTCTTCTACTTATTCTATCTTCTCGTTCATGGGGCAAACAAGAAAATGCGTCTCCGAAGATCATCTGGATCTTCTGCGGCAAAAAAATATTGCCGCATTAGAAAAATGCAACTTCGTTCCGCAAAATTGTGGTAGGATTTATGTTGTCGCTTGTCGGAGTGTCGCTGTCGCCTCGGAGGTACATCAAATGTGGAGCATCGTCCGTAATCTGCACCGTATAGACATATGTTTCGAGAGTAGAAACACGCGAAATGCTTGTCCACGAACGACGAGGAGTGGACCCCGCTCCGTTTCCATCACAGTAATATCTATCACTTTCGCTTTTTTATCCATCATTTCCTCTATAAATTCCAAAAAGCTATAATCATAACTCAGACTTCGAAGTTGTTTGTTTGATGTTGTTCCCCTAACTAGTATAGTACCCCCTCGAACATAGTACTTTTTGAGCTTTATTTGAGACTAAGAGCAGCTTAGTGTCGTGCGTCGTAGTGTGTTTCATCAAAAAGTCGTAAAAAAACTCTTCACACGATCCCACTCCATCTCGATCCGCAAGAGCTTCATCACCACCGCTTCCCCCCCTTTCCACCCACCCGATTTCGACTGGAATAGGATCCGGCATTAGTAGAGGAGGCGCCAAAAGCCGAACTGGAGGTGTGGTCTCTGGAAGACGACCCCGCAGCACTAGAGCTGATATTGTGGGTGTTAGAACTTCCTGTTGCTGAGCTACTACTTGTCATTGCAGACCCGACTGCCGTCGCGGCTGTGGTTCCACCCCCGCCGCGTACCGATTCCTCCCCCCCACCTCCGCGCTTCTGCTTCTTCTTTTCCCGAAAGATCTCCCGGCACTGGTCGCTGCAATCAAACAGCGCCTTGTGATCCACGTGATCCGAAAACACCGCCCACACTTCGCCCCCGCGGGAAACCTGCTGGACCGGCTTCGGGAGGTATGCATTGCAAAAGTATCGCACTGGTAGTATTGCAAATGCAATACAAACGAGCTCAGCATGACAAATGGAATTTGTCATGCTGATTTAGCGTGACAAAGAAATTTGTAATGCATAAATGCGATCAGTACGAGTATGAAGATACTTTTGCAGTTCATAGGAGGTGCTCGAGATTGATCTGGTTCGGGTCAATCACAGCCATGTGGTCCAACTGTTTCTCGACCTTAATCTCCTGGTGCGAAAAATCGGAGCCACCCGTGTTCGCCCGACCGCGCGCCGGACGGAGGATGGCGTTGTTAGTAGTGAAGGAACTGGAGCTGGAAGTCCCTTGCAGCTCACGCTGGTAGTGATGCTCTCCTCCTCTACTGCTCATGGGCTCCTTCAGGTTGTAAATCTGTCCTCCAGCACCCCCTGCTCCCTTTGCGGCCTTGTATTGCGCACTCCTTTCGTCCTCGCCCATGCGGACTAGATCTCGGTTCTTTCCCAGCCGGTTATAGTCGTATTCGTGCGGGTGGGGCCGGGCGATGGACTCGTCCCGGGTGGGACGAGCTTTGATGTCCTCTTTCTTCAGAGTCCGGTTGTGGTTTTCGCGTGAGCGCGACCGGTTTTTATTTCCATCGCCGCGACGGCCACCGGGTGGAGAGGATCGCTTGCGTTCTTGCGGCGTCAGCGGCACTGTCTCTTCAGTCTCGTCGTCGTCGTGCATGCTCTGCTTCGTGTGGTAGGTCGGGGGTTGGGCGGGTTCCGAGGTTTCGGGAACGGGTGCGGCCTGAAGATGTATAGTAGCAATGAGAATAGTTCGAGTTGTTTTTCAGAGTGGGATTATAGAAGGCTCTGCTAATCATTATATATCTACAAATGCGTGGGCAGGTCAAGAAAAACTTCAGAAAAGTTGATCTATCGGCATGATCCTCCGTATGAAATAACTACTTACCGTCGCCCAAACGCCGCTCGACAGGGGTTTGCACACAAACATTTCGCCGTCCTTGGTCACCGTTCCCGGGACCTGTCCGTGCAGAAAAAAATCAAACGGATCAAACGACCACTGCTCCGGCGGGCAGGCATTTTTCTTCCGCTCCGCATACAGGTGTTCTTTCTCCGCCACGATTTTCGCTCGTTTTCCTTCCCAGATCTTCCGCTCCCGCTCTCGGCGCTCCTCAGAAGCAACACGGAGGCTTTCGGAGGTTTTCGGAGACCGAGATTTTTTGTCACGACTTTTATCACCTCCGCGACGGTCACGCCCAGAAGTACTGCCATCTGCCGCACTTCTCTTCCGATCTTCATCTTCCCGGTCTTTCTTCCGCCCCGTAGTTCCGGTCCCTTTTCCTCCTCCGCGGGAGACACTCCGCAACTCCGGAGTTTTCAGATCTTTTCCCGACCGGCTCTTCAGCTCTTCCAGCCTGGTGCCTCGCGCAGCTCCTGCTGGGGAAGAAGACTTCCCGACACTGTCGGTTTTGTTCCCCCGCTTAGATTTCTTGTCGTAGTCGTCTTTGTGGTCTTTCTTGTTATCATACCGCCGCGCCTCCTTCGACCGGCCCCGGCCTTTTTCGCTGCGGGGAGCAGAGTAAGATCGGCCACTTTGGCCGCGGCGATCCCGATCGCGAGATGACTTCTTAATATTCTCCCGGCGAGAAGATAACTTCTCGTCGTGATCCTGATCCGACTTGTCCCTCGTTTCCCCGCGACCGCCTCTTCCGTTGTACTCGTAGTCTTTATCCTCAAAGGGGTTGTTCCGCCGTTTCAGCTTTTCGGTGATGGTCCGGTCAACCTTTTTCTCGATGTCCTCCGAAGATTGTAATGAAGCGGAGTTCAACCTTTTATCCACGACTAAGGAATTCGTCCGCGACAGCTGCTTGTCGTTCTTTTCGGTTGCAGATTTTTCAATCGACGGCTCGTTGCCACCACCGTATTCGGAAGATCCTTTCCGTCCTGCATTGGCTCCAAGTGGTCCAAAACTGCCTCTTTTCCTGTTCGGTTTCAGAATGCAATTTCCCGCCGCGGGATTTCTATTGCTAAACCCCTCAGAAGTGAGGACATTTGTAGTTCCAGCAACACTTTTGTAGTTGTTGTGCTCCTTCTCCACGTACTTCTCGTTCGGGCGTAAGTCGCAGCGCGCTCCACCCGAAGGGGGTCGGAGAAGAACGGTGGAAGGCTGATTGATGTCGGCTGCACTAGATTTAATGTTCATCTCTTCAGACGGGTTATTTTTGCCCGTCTTGTTGTCCCCAGAAGCAAAACGATCGGGAGATGTAGTTGCGCCAGCTCGGTCCCGCTTCGTCTTTATTTCCGCGGCAGCCTCGAGCTTCAGCTGCTCCACCCTGCCCTTCATTCCATTCCCGACGTACTGATCGAGGAGTTGCTGCCCCAGGGATTTGGTCTCACTGTGCTTGTCAGCTAGTTTCGACGGCGGCGGTTGCAAGATATTATTTTTCGTGCTGCTAGTAGTACCAGAACCAGCAGTGCTGCTATTGTTGTTCTCCTTGTTCTCTTTGACGTCAGCCTCTTTGCAGCTCCGGTTGGAGCCAGCGCCTCCACGTGGTACAGCATCCCGATCTCTCGCACCGCGCCGCGGCGACCTACTCGGCTGCTTCTGCCGAAATTCCCGTTCTCGCTCCAACCGCTCCTGAATTCGTTTTTCCCGCTCTTCCTCCTTCTGCTTCTTCTCCTCTTCTAACCGCAGTTTTTCTTCCTGCTTCCCCTTCTCTAACTGGGCGCGGAGAAAACGAAATTCCTCCAAGGTGACGTTGTTCTTTCGCATATCCTCGAGTTCCTCCGGGGTTGGGTCAAGTAAAGGGATGATGACGTCATCATCACCATCATGCTTCGACTCTTTATGCTTGCCAGAAGGAGTGCCGCGACTGCGGCTCCTACTTCCGCTTCGGCTTTTGCTCCTGTCGCGTTTCAAGTTATTTACCCGGAGACGTTCACGTTCTTGTTCTTCATCTTCTTCCTCCGCCTTGGCAGTTGCCATTTCCTTCGCCGCCTTCAGCTTGTCGTCCAGCAACTTCTGCTTGTAACGCGACTTCAGTTCCTCCGCCTTGGATCGCACACTCGCTGGGGTTTCGATATCTTCCGTCATTTTGCGCTTTTTGCTTTCGGGGTCGTCGTTGTCGGCTGGAGCGGGCAACTTCAGGTTATCGTTTTTCTTGTCATTCTGCTGTCTCTCCATCTCAACATCGCCGTCTGATTTTTCCTCTTCAATATGTTCATCCGATGACGACGGAGAGGACGATTCGCCGTGTCGCAGCGAGTCCTCACTATCTCTGCGGCGCCCGATAAAGTTCAAGTTGAGACCAAGACCACCAGGTCCCGGCGCGGCGGAAGTAGCGGAAGAACGACCAGTAGTAGTACCCGCGCCACCACCGGTTTGAGTTGTGATGTCTTGGGCAGCTGTTTTCTTGTCGGATTTCATCTTATTTTCGGCAGGAGCTGCTTCGTTGTCACGGCCGCTTTTCGCCCCTCCTTTCGACTTTTTGCCCTCAGCAGTAGCAGTTGCCTGGTTATACTTTCCGAACTGGGCCGGCGGTGAAATGAGATCATAAGTGGACCCGTTTCCATGCGCATCTTCACCGTCGTCATCGGAAACACTGCTGGAGCGCTTGCTCCTGTTGGTCTTCACCAAGACCGCGCCATCCTTGATGCTAGTAGTACCTCCCTGCTTTCCAAATCCAAAACGAGTAGAAGATGCATCAAGAGGCTTTTTCGCACTAGACTTCGGGATCGGCTGTCCGGAAAGAGTCGTAGTCTTGCGATTATTTTTCACCGATAAATCGTCGAGCTTTTTGGCGTTCGTCATACCATGGTCGCTGGTACTAGTCACCGTCTTGGGCTGCTGCACAACTTCGGAAGAATTCGAGTCGTTTTTCTTCACCACTGGTTTTCCGTAATAGTCTTCTTCCTCCTCCTCTTCGCTCTTCGAAACACGCGAAGGGGAGCGAGACCTGGATGGCGACCGAGGACTGCGGTCCTCAGAATCTTCATCTTCGTCGTGCCCGGAGCCGGATCCGGAGCCGATTCCGGAGTGTGGGGATATCAAATCGTCATCCGATTTCAAATCATCATCATCATCAACGTTATTTCGATTTTTTAAGTTCCCACCACCTCCACCCTTCTCCCACGGAGCGGCTTCCCACGGCGCCGCCGGCGGCTTGCTCTGCTTTTTCTGAATCAGAGGAGAAAAGTGCTTCTTCGCGGTTTTAGAAGTGTTGAGCGAGGTGGTCGTAGATTTGTCCCCGGCTCCCGTGTAAGAAGACGGCGCGCCGGAAATAGCCTTCGGGTTGCTCTTCGCCGTAGCAGAAGGCTTTTTGATGTCTGCAGAAGTTCCATCGGCGCCGGTTGCAGTACCATTGGCCGCGGCCCCGGTGGTACTCGTAGTTCCATTCGCGGCGGCAGTCCCTGCACCAGTGGGAGCCGTCTTGTTTCCGCTCTGTTTCCCCAATCCTTTTTTAGCAATCAAGGCGGAGATACCCGTTGCGTGGTGATGGGTCGCTGTACTAGTAGGCGTATTCGCAGACGCTAAACTTTTGTTCGCGCTCAGAGTCGCCGGATTAGCATTGCCCCAAGCGGCTTCGGAAAGGATCTTCTGCTCCGATAAAGCGGCGGTCTTTTTCGAAGTAGAAGTGGTGCCAGAAGTTGTGGCTGCGGAAGTTGCAGCGGAGCCATTGGCACCAGCTCCGTTAGTCGTGTTTTCCTTGTTCGCCAATTTAGCTGGATTCGCGTTGCCCCAAGCCTGCGCCTGGGAAATTATTTTCGCGCCGGAATTAGGACAACTCCCCGGGCTTTTCTTCTCGTCGTTTTTCTTCTTCTTGGCAGAAGCAGAGCCTGGCTCTGCTTTTTTACTGCCCGGAGTAGGGGCTCCTGCCGCTGCACTAGACTGGTTGCTCCCGAGCCACCCGGAAGGAGCGCCGGAAGTTTCCGCTGGCTTAATATTTTTAGGAGGTGGTGGTGGAAGGATGGTACTTTGTTGGTTTTTCTTTGCAGTAGTGGTGCCGGGATTCGCAGCTCCCCAACCACTGCCGAAAATGTCGGCCATCTTGTTGGAAAAAAGACAACACCGAAACCGATCTGTGTTTTATTTTGGACTTCGTTCAGGCTTTTAGATCTCAAAGAGTTCTTTTCGGTCTTAATTAGAAGTACCCAAAATCCGTTTGATGGGTCGTGCTTTATTCGTCTCAGATCGTAGTACAAGCTGAAACAAATATTGGATTTCCACCACAGTAGAGATTGCCAAGGTACTACAGCTCGTTATCCTACCCTATGTTTTTTTTTTCTCAAAAGTTTAAGTTTGTGTGCTAAGCGTGTTGTGACCACCGGAACATCGCGCGCGCTTGTGGACCTTGGTTGTGAAACAACAAGTCAGTGGATTGAAGACGGTAAAACAACGTGGTGAACATGTACGTAGTGACAGCGTCGGGTGCAGTACTCATCGCCAACGTCTGTACTCTTTCTCGCGCGCATCGAGAATGAGGGCGATCTTGGCCAGTCTTTTAGTTTTATCGCGGCTACCATCTTCTACAACAACTAGACATCTTCACTGCGCCCTTGAACAGTTTACTTGTGAAAAATCTTCGTTGACAAGTACTCAAGTTGTAGATCAACGAGCAATAGCAAAGTACGCTGCGATGGAAACAACAGCACGAGGCTGTATTCATTTTTATTGTAAGCTTTTCTTTCTGTTTTCTTTGAAACCAACATCAAGTAAGTACCACATTGTTCAGGCATCAGCTCGTCACAAGTCAGTCTTGTCAATTGTGAGATCAACAACCACCACAGATCTAGTGTACTTACTCACCTTGTGAAAATTGCTCTATCTGACACGGTCACGATCCTGATCGTAACCGTAAGACGAGTACCACTTATTTTTGGTTCCGTTGACGTTCGAGTTCTTGAAACGTTGTGTCCACAAAACTACAGAGCCAGAGACTCTGAACAATAGAAATCTTACCGCAGCAGCCTCTGCAAATCTACCATACTGATACTCTTCACATCCTCCCCCTCGTCCTGCTGCTCTTCCACCTCACGCGCTAGCGCATGAACGTCTTCGATTGTTTTTTCACTCTCGATCTCGTCCGCGGCATCTACTTCTCTATCCTTTCTCAGTTTCCGCACCGCATTTCTCTTCTCCACCTTCCTCTGTTCCTTTCTCTTCTTGGAAGTTTCTAACCGCAGCTTCAGTCTCCCAATCTCCTCTTCCAACTTCTCTTTCCTCCGGCCCCGGCTGGAATTATATCGCTGTTGATGTGCTGCTCCTGGTTGAGAGGGAGCTCGGATTATGTCGAGACCTCCCAGGTACATCTTCTTTCCCCGCCGATAGATAGAACTTGATTGTGATTCAACAACATGCACATCTCCACCTCTACTTCCTTCTCCTTTCTCCTCGATCCCGTCATCGTTATCGTTTCCCTCCTCCAGACCTCCTTCCGGATAGTAAAAATGCGTCAAATTCACCGGTAACTCCGCCTTCCCAGTTTGTTCCTTTTTCCGCAAAACCGCAATCAAAACCCCGACCGGATCGTTGATCAAGCTGGAATATCAAATGCAGAAGGTTCTGAGACTTCAAGTCTCAGCACTTGTCATGCATTTTTTGCATGACCCAGGATGTCTGTAATGCACGACCTAGCGTCACAGATTTTTAGAAGGCTTCCTGATGCCTACTCCGCATGACAACGCCTTCCCCGCGTAGCACAAACTAGACTCCTCTACTTGCTGGTCATGCAATACAGATTTTTTTAGAGTCCAAAGTTAGCATCACAAGTTCCAACCTTCCAGACCCAGACATTTTTGCATTTGATATGGAAGCCCTCGGTGGCTTCTCCCCTGGCGCGGCAAACAGCTCTTCGCAAATTTGCTTCGCGATAAATTTCCGATTGTCGTCACTCGGACGGGGCGGGAGTTTTTTGTTTACTTCCATCCCTTATGCACTCCAAAACCAAAAGCATCGTACTCTTACAAATGCGAGTGCCAGTCTAGCATTACAGATCTGATTTCTCACCTGAACAATCTGCATGACAAGTTCCATTTTTCTTTTTGGAACGATTTGTCATGCGATTTGAACTAGTACGATGCATTTGCAATGCATATCTCCTTCAGAAATTTCCGGAAAATCTTCGAGCGGAATTGTAATTGCAGTTTCTTCGCCGCTTTCATCTCGACCTGCCGTAAGGACGCGAGCTGCTTCAGCTGGACGTGGAGTTCCTCGTCTTCTGCAGAGGAAGAGCTCGCGGGGTCGTTGTTTTCTTGTTGCGAAAAAGTTGTCATGTTGTTCCTTGGTACAGCAGCAGCGGAAGCTGTCGCTCCTCCGCGGACCGGATTACTCTGAGCGGAATTGCTTGTCATTATCTCTTTTGCGGCTATAGCACGTTTCTTCATTCCGTCGACAGTCGCTACTGCACCTGGTACGGATGTTGATCCTTGACTTTTTGCTGCACCAAACGGGTTGCTATTAGTCTTTTTGCTCGAGGTTTTCTTATTCTTACTGGAACCAGTCGCGCCACCTTTACTATTATCCGCCAACAGCAAGCTCTTCCTTTTCCCAAACGACCCCGTCCGCTGCAAGTACTGGTAAGTTTTCGCTTCCGGCTCTAACTCCTCTTTCAAAAACGCGTAACTTCGCGCCAGCAGCGACTTGAACTTCGTGTCCTCCTTTTCCGCGTCTTTGTTCCCTATATCCACTGGAAATTTCCCGTACACGTACAAAATGCATCACAAATTTCCCCAACTTAGAGCATGGCACTTGTCATGCTAACTAGGATCGAAGGCGAGCTTTGTGATGCCGAAACCGCATTTTTTGGACGTCTACAGGAAATTTTTTGTGGATACCCTATCCCGTGATTCACCAAGTTCGGATCGGTCAGAATGGATTCGACGGTCAGAGAGCCGCTCTATCCAAGAAAAAAACTGTGATGTAGGTGTCTTGCGGTTGCAGCATGACAAATCTGTTTCGCATGACAGAGAAAGCTTGTCATGCGCAGCCAGTACGTGAGAACACCACGCACGAAATTATAGCGCTGCATGGGCAAAGCTAGCTAGCATGACAAGTGTAACGGTTTTGCACTTTCTGCATCACAAACTTACACTAACGCAGTTTTTTTTTTTGCATACAGTGGTGGTGGTGTTTAAAGCTTGGTTTTCAAGATGATGAGGAACTTCTTGAACATCACCCGAAGAGGTGGACAAAGCCCTCTTTCTCTTCCGATTCCGCAAACTTTCGTCTTCGATTTCATCGTCCACGAACACCACATTGTAGTCGTCGTACTCGTATCAACTGCAAAATAAGTATCGCACTCGTAATATAAAGGGCAGTCCAGCATGACAAGTTTCCCTTTTTACCACAATCAGCATGACAAATTCCAGGTTTCCTTCTGGAAAAATTTGTGATGCAATTTGCAAGAGCACGATACTTTTGCGATGCATAAGACGGTTAAAACTTCCTCCAATTTCTGAAACGCGATCTGCACCAGCGCCTGCAGCCTCTCGATCTCGTTTTCGTAGACCGTAATGACGCTTTCCCGTTCATTGTACAAAGACCGCAGTTCGTGGGACATGGAAGCCAGAGCCGAGTGGAGCGCGGCGTGACTGATATTATTGCCCGTCGTTCGTCCTACTGCATTCGCGTTCAACTCCGGATCGTCTGGTAACCCCAACTTTTTCGGTTGAAAATCGAAAAACGGGAAGTCTTCGTACTCTCCCACCTGACACTGCTTCGACCGGGTGAGGACTTCGAGGAGTTTTTCTTGGAAATTCTTCGGCTTCAAAACCCGGTCTTGCTTGAACAAAGCCGTGTTTTTCTGAAACTGGGTGTTCCTTGGCCGCACGTCCGCGGCCTGCGAGCGCGTGCGCTCCAGTAGGTGTTCTTCCTGGGTTACAACTGGACGCGTGTCTACTACTTCTACCCCGGTAAAAGTACTCGTTGCGCCAGCGGTCGTTAAAATTTGGTCCTTCTTCAGGTTTGTTTGCGGCGCTGGTTGTAGTTCTCCTGATGCAGCTGCCCCCGGAGTCGTAACTGCATCGTCGTCCGCACTCGCAGTTCTGGCGCCACCACCACCCGTTCGCGTCTTCCCCTTCGGCCGTGCCTTCGCGCGTCCAGCTGGTTTCGCCTTCGCACCCAGCGGCCTTCTCTCCCGCCGGTACCCGCCCTGGATCTCCGTTGGACTAGCGGCTTCGCCCTCTGCAAGCGGTGGTCCTGCTGTAGCTGCACCATTGTCACTCGGCGAACTCGCTGCTGCTGCTGCAGGAGAAGCCCCCGTAGCTTTTGCCTTCGCTTTTCCTTTTGCGGTAGCGGTACCTTTTTTCGCTGACGCTTTCTTACTTTTCGCCTTCGACTCAACAGAAGCTACCGGAGGTTCGATCGGAGGAACGACTTCATCCTTCTGCAACACCTTCACCTGCTTTTTCCCGCTGTTATCCCTTTGGATCAACAGTCGGACCGTTTGGGGCGGAGAATAGATCTCTTGCTCGATGTTATCCGGCCCAGCGCCGTCGTCTAACAGGACGTATCTAGGGTCAAGGGAAGGTGGAGAGGACTGCTGGTAATTATTACTCCCTGGCGACGAGCCGCGGCCGCCGGCTGCACGTTGTTGCTGGGAACTCATCTTGATGTTCCCTTGCGGTGGCGGTGGAGGCACTCTTTCCCGACTGGCAGTTGCAGTATCCGCCATCCCGGGCGGAAAAACAGACTTCGAAGTCACAGTCGCGTACGCGGTGATGGGATTGCCGGAGCGTCGTTGCTGCTGGGCACTATTCATTTTCACCAGCGCCGGACTGGCCTCGATCGAATTTCCTTCTTCAAAATCTTCTGGTTGTTGATCCTCGTAAGAAGTCACTTGTAGATCATGTTGATCCCCGTCTTCAGAGGAAAGTAGCTTCGCTCGGTCGACGTTACTCGCTGCTCCGGCGAAACTTCCAGCGTTTGCGTTTATTTCATCATCCATACTAGCTGCAGCAGGAGGAGCACCACCAGGCGGCAACCCCGTGTTCGCGTTGGAAAGAGAGGTTCTTTTCTTCACCGCCCCCCCTTTCGCCCGGCTAAACATCATCTCCCAGTGGCCCGCGTGGTCGTGCTGCACCTGCCGATTTTCGTTCTTCTCGATAGTTTTCGCGACCGGTGGGTGTTGCTGCTCTTCTTCTAGATCGATTTGAAGATCTCCTGATGGTGATGTGTTTGCTGCTGCTGCTGTGCCTGTAGCTCCTGTGCCTTTTTGTTCATCTTCAGCACCACGACCGGCTTGTTGTCCAGTTAATACTGCAGGGTTTGTCCTCGCGTTTTCATCTATTCCTTTCTCTTCCTCCGAATCTTGGAAATCCTCCACCGGACTGGGTAAATAATTGTTCAAACTCGCCCGCATCCCCGCTTTTTTCTTCAGCGAGCCAAAAAAACCCTCCGACTTTTCGCTGTTCTCCTGCTTCGTTCTCACCGCGTTGTCGTGTCGCTGGTAGATCAAATCCCAGTGCCCGTCGTGGTCGTGGGTAATGTTGCGATCCAGGAGTTTTGCGACGTTATCATCGTCGTGAAACTGCAGGAAAGAGGAGTCTGACAACAGCTCTTGGTCATCATCTTCATCCTGATGGAGATCTGGCTCATGTTCCAGTTCCTCGGCCTGGTAATGATCTTCGTAGTAGTTACCCTGAACAAGATCTTGATCTTCACCGTATTCATGTTGGTAGTCGTGGTTGTAATACCCCTCGTGGTACTGCTCCCCCTCTCCATCCGGATAGTAAGCGCCACCTGTCGTGTGGGCGCCGTCGCCATACTCTACTCCTGTCGTGCCACCTTGCTCACCGCCCTCGTAATATGCGCCGGTGGAACGTGACAGTTCGACTGTTATTTCATCCTGCTGTGGTTCTGGAGCAGGGAGAGGGGCTTGGCTCCGGTCAGCACCAGCTCCAGCGTTGGAGCTGGTGGCTCTGCTCTTCCTTTCCTGAGGCGCGAAAAGGAAGGGGGGCTGCTGCAGATCTATTTGTGGCTGATCATGTTGTAGATGTACAGGGGCGACGTAATCTTTCTGTCTTGGTTTTTGCTGCAGTTGTTGCAACCGCGGCGTTGGCCCGGTTCTTTCGGATGGTGTTCTACTGGAGGGGATTACCGACGGTGGCGGTATTTGGGAGGTTTTGTTACCAGTTCTGTTTGTTCTCCTCCGGGGATAGTTCAGCGAGCTTTCCGGGTTCAAGCTGCTGGATTGGTTCGAAGCGGTTTTCGCGTAACACCCGATGATCTCGGAAAGAGTGCCGCGGGCGGTTGCGCGGTCGCGGTTGCTGTTGTCTTTTCTCATCTTGTTGTTTGTGAAGCAGAGAACAAGCTGTGAACAAGAACTAGGCTGTACTTTGATAAAGAAATACGGCTGGTGGGCCGGTGATGTCAAAATCATAGCCGTACCCAGGACAACATGCTGCGCCGGTTGCAACACAGGAGAAAAATCGCTCAACAGCAGTCGTAAACTGTATCACGAAATAAACGAAAGACGATGGATAGCGACACTCACGCGTCTCAAAAATACAGCGCTCGAAAGAAATCGACTGACATCGCCAGAACAAGCACAAGCTGCTCACGAGCCAAAAACCACGAAGGCGATTCGCTCTGGTGCCACGACACGACTTTTATTTAATTTCACGAGCATGTGGGATTCTACTCATCACTTGACGATGCAGCGACAACGACAAAATCAGCGCTCGAAGATGAACACGACAATTTTCAAAGATCATGAAGATTCCCCCTTAATAGGCGGGCCAGTTGGAGAAAATGTGCCTTCCTCTTGTGTCGTCAAAAGTAGTTCTCTGTAGCCAAGAGTGAGTGCGCAGCTCGTGCTACAACTATCGTTCAAATTTCAATACGATGGGATGAAGATTTTCATGGGTTTTTGATGGGTCGCTTCTTATCATGTCTTTTTGCAAGTGGTACTACCTTTTTGTTCCTCCACTGCAGTAGATTGGAATGCAAGTAATTTTTCAACATATTCGCGTATATGCATCGCATGATCATGGCGATTAGGATTACTTCGCCTCCACCTCCGCCCTTGCAAAGATTTGATCCGCGTTACACTTGCAGCAGCTCCAGCTACACCTCAATTGCCGACTTTTTCTCCTCTTCCGCCGCACAGAAATCAACCCCTGCAGTGTGATGAATTGCAAAAGTATCGCACTCGTACTAATTGCAGTACAGCATGACAAATCTTCTTCCTGAGGTAAAACAGCACTACAGATTCCATCTGTCGACGCGCTATTCTAATTTGTAATGCAATTTGTACTAGGGCGATACTTTTCCTTTTGCAAGGCATAAATGTTCGATTTCTGCAACTCCACCGGCCCTTCAAACCCCAACAGACTCACCGAGTTCATCAACACTGCGAACAACGTATGAAATGCAAAAACATCGTACTAGTAGAAATCGCATATACAAATTTGCTCAGCATTAGAAATGGAATTTGTAATGCGGATTTGTCTTAATAAGAAGATTTGTAATGCATGACCGCAATTACTACGAGTACGATAGCTTTTGCGCAGGATACAACGTCAGGAAATCCAGGCAGATCGCCAGGGTGAACACGGAAAAATTTGTCGTCGTCGCTTCGGACACCATTGTATTGAAGAGTAAAATCAACACCAAGGCCAATTTCCCGACAATTGCCAGTAACAAGTTCTGCCGGAATTTCTGGACCGTTTTTCTCGCGAGCAAGACGGAGAATGGGATGCTCCGCAAATCAGAGTCGAACAACGCGATATCACTCGACTGCACGGCGAGAGCGGTTCCGGAGGCCGCCATGGAGAAACTCACGTCGGCTTTGGTCAGGGCGAGAGAGTCGTTGATCCCGTCGCCGACCATCGCGACAAGGCGCTTATTTGTTGAGGAACTGCTACCTGACGCAGATGTTGTTCCACTCCCGCTGTTCATCGTCCACAGGGAATGACTTGCGTACAACGCGGAGTTGTTTTTCCCCCCGAACACGAAAATCGCCGTTTTAAGGAATTTCCGGAGGAACTCCAGTTTAGAGGCGATTGTAGTTGTGCTGCTGTCGTGCCGGTGCCGGTCGTGGTCGGGTAGACTAACGTAGTGCCCGGCGTTAGAACTACCTCCAGCAGCCACTACTCCACCTCCAACATTCGGCTGCGTCTGCACGAGCGCGATGGCTTTCATTTTATCCTCTGGCGTATGCATTGCAAAAGTATCGCACTCGTAGTAATCGCTATCATGCATTACAAGTTTTTTTGTCAAGTCAAATCCGCATCACAAATTCCATTTCTCATGCTGAGGACATTTGTCATGCGATTTATGCTAGTGCGATACTTTTGCAGTGCATATGGCGACAACTGCGGCAATACCGTGAAGGGCTGCTGAATTTTGTTGACCAGTTGTTGCGCGATCTGCCCGGCGATCTCTTTTTGGTCCCCCGTGAGCATGGTGCCGTTGATTTTGAACTCCTTTCCGAGAAACTTCAATGCGGTCCCGGCCTCTTCCCGTAAAGGATCTAAAGCGGAGAACTCGGCGATTACCACATCATCGACTGCGACAAAGAGCTTGCCCAGGTAGTTGTGCGCAGAAGTAGAAGAACTGTTTGATATTTGTTGCTGGTTCATATTATTGTTCATCATCGTCGAGCTCGAGGTATTATTTGATGGTAACAGCCAATTTCTTTCTCTCGCAAGTGTGTAATTCCCGATCATGACATTTGCTGTGAAGGCGTCGATCCCCGTCCCAGACATCGAAATGTCCACCTCCGCCTGTACCCCGCGGCCCCGCAGCACCTCGATGTTGTCATCTTCGGAAAGCATGAACTGCTTGTTCTTCCCGATAATTTGGTTGTGGTTGAGGCCGTAGCCGGTAGCATCCTTTCCATCATCCCCCTCCTCCAATAGCGCCAATCTCCGTTTGCAGAATTGCGTCAACGCTAGCGCCAAAGGGTGGACGCTCGTCTGTTCCGATTCTATCAGATAAATCAACTGCAAAACGTCTTTCAAACTGTACGCGTGCTTCGATTGGAATCCCGGCTTGGTATTCTGGGTCCAAACCAACTGGAAGTCGCAAATCTGAAACCGCCCCTGCGTTAAAGTGCCCGTTTTGTCGTAGAAGATCTTACTAATCCCCGCTAACCGGTCGAAGCAGGAATAGGGGTCTTTGATCAAAATTTCCCGTCTAGACGCGGCGACGGTACCGCACACAAACGCCAACGGACCGGCGAGAATCAACGCGCAGGGACAGGCGCCGACTAAGAAGGTGAGAAAGAAGGTGCCGAGTTGAGGGACGAGGTTAATATTATTTGTAGTCGTGTTAATATTCAATCCGGAGTAGAGAAGCTTCAATCCCGTAATCACCACCGCGAGGAGGAAAACGAACGGTGTGTAGAAGTTCAGAAACTTCTCCATCGCCGGGCTGTTGTTCTTCTCGGAAAGGCTCTGTCTTGCTAGTTGCAGTATCCTTTCCGACTGGGAAGCGGATTTTGGGGAGGTGATGCGCATGTAGACACCTTTATTTGATGACGAAGTAGATCTTTTGTCGGTTTTACTTGTGATGCTGTCCTTTGTACCTCCTGTTGTAGCTCCTGTTGCACTAGCACGACTGGAAGAAGTAGTGGTCTTGTTCATCTTCTCCCCGATCGACACAACGATGGTTCCACCGATTAACTTACTGGACTTCTTCTCTGTGGAGTTCAGTTCCTTCACCACTGGCCGCATTTCCCCGGTCAACAACGACTCATCGACGAAAATTTTCACCCCTTCTGTGATCAAAACCCCGTCGCAGGGGATCGCCATGCCCTTCCGGAGTTGGATTTCCTGGTTCACGAAGTATTTCGGCGTGTTTGATGAATCATCGGCATTTGAAGAACTATTAAGCCCCAAAGACGAGCTCAGAGACTCATCCAACACCTCCATCGTCGCCTTCGCCACGCGGGCCTGCAGGTTCTCCGCGAGAAGGAATAGGAAGATGAGTAACAGCCCGTCTTCGCCTTGGTTCAGCGGGATGGACCCAAGAGAGCAGATGGACAGCAAGCTGTACATGCCCAGAGATGTTGGGAAACTCGCGATTGCCCGTTTGTAGACGTCGGAAGCGGCGTAGAGGAGAGCGAGAAGCGGGAAAAAGTATTGGATGAAAAATAGAAGGGTTGGCGTTGTACTAGTATTTGTACCTGATGTTCCTTCATCAGCAACTAATAGTGGTACAAGCCCCGCTTTCACCACCACTAAAACTCCCCACGCCGCCATCGCTAAGTAGAGCTTCATCGGCCCGTGCTTCGCGCCCCAGAATAAAAGCGACAGAATCCTCGTGGCTTCTGCGGCAGAGGAAGAAGTTAATACTGACGACTTTTGACTTTGACTGGTGTTTGTCGATGTCGTCGTGCTGATAATTCCTAAAAATTCATCATGGTCCCTCTCCTGTTCCTTCTCCTCCTCGGTCAACTGCACGTTGGATTTATTCCGCTTGTTACTGCCCCTTTTCTTCCGGAGTAAACTCGCGTCCAACTTTGCTTCGTTCAGCGCATCCACCAGGGTTTTGGCCGGCGCGAGGTACTCGTTGTGCTCGATGGTCGCTTCCCGGAGGGGGACGGAGATGTTTACGGACGTTACGGAAGGCATGGCGTACAGAATCCGCTCGCACATGGGGACTTCAGAGGCGCAACAGATGCCCCGGATGAAAATTCGGGAACGGGTTGAGTCGGTCGCTGCTCTTGCATCGTCGCTTGTAGACGAGAAAAGTGGTCTAGTTTCTGGCGAGGCTCCTGCTTGGTCGACATCAAGCAAGGGCTTACTCAGGAGCGCTGCGGAGTTTGCAGTTAGCAGCGGATAATTTTTCCGCTGCGCGACACCTCCGTCGACCTGTTGTGCTTGTGACAACATCTTTTTTTGTCGCAATGCAGGCATGGGATAATTACCCCGTAATTTATTTTGCACGATAGTCATACGACAGGTCTTGCTGCCTCTGCCATGATCGGGAGTGCAACAAGATTTCTGTTGATTCGTGAAGATGTGCTGGACAAGATGAACATCACGATGTTGATATGGTGTTCTAAAACTTCTCTCTGGAACTTGCAAAAGTGTCGTTGTGCTGCAAGTAGAAGAACTAGTGCTGCTTGAACAGCATGTTTTGTGACACTGCATCATTATCGTCGTCCCCAAGTAGAACGTCTATCACTCCAGCAACTGTTGTCTTCCTCATCGGCATCTTGTTTTTCGCCGTCTTCAAAACGGCACTGCTGGGTGAAAATGCTGGTGCGCAACTGCACCTCGATCTCGTGTACCTGTGTGTCGCAGTCGTATCTATTATCAGGCGGCGCGGCGGCGGCGCAGCGCGATAAACTTCTTCTCGTTGCAGCGCGGGGTGTGTTTGTGATATTATCGTAGCGTGCTCGTGCAAGCCAAGGTGTGAACAGGCGCAAAGCTGGGGTGCAAGCCAAAATGTTCAATGCTCGCTAGTACAACCGTGCGGTTAGTTTCTCTGTAGCTCTTGAGCTTCGCGGGGCAGTATTATGAATAAGCAGGCGCTGCTGGCTGTGAGGTGCATGCTTTCAAGTCAATGTCAAATGGGCAGTTTAGCAGAAGATGAAACGAAAACGTACTGTAGTCTAGTAGTAGTTAAAATTCGTGCTACTCGTGCTTCAAGTGCTCTGCGCAATACATGTGGCGCAGGCCCTGGCGATTTTCTTGTTTCTTAGTACGGAATTACGTTGTTCATCGACTTGCAGACATCTACTTCTTGTTCTACCACCTAACCAAAAGGAGATAGCGATAGGTCCATATTAGGGCGTAGCGGATGCTACTCGCAAAGCATCAAGCGGCGCGCGCGCTGTGCAACGGGACCAAACTCTCCTGCGTTCACCTCTTTTAACATTTATAGTTTCGTCTTGCTTTCAATTGGAATTAGCGGCTAAAAAAAACTCTAAATGTTGCGCGACGAACTCGAACACTAATTTTTTAATTTCAAGAGGTTTTTTCAAAAAAAAACGATCTGATGGTTTTCAACTTGCCTGAAAGGCACAGCAGGATCATTTTCTTTCATTTTGCAATGCGCGCGCGTGCCAGTGTTCGTTGATCTTGTTTGATACATTTTGCGTATCAAAACAAGTACAAGCTTTGATGGCGCGGGGGCATGGGCGGTGCAGGCGCAATTGTGAAACCTACACGCCTTGTTTTCTACAGTAAAACATCTTGTTCCATCTCTTACTTTAGTACGTGCGAGGTATGAGCTCCTTCTTTGGGAGAAGCTGCCACAGGGTCTCTTCAGCGCAATTCGAATTCCAGAAACGCCAGAAACACGGTGATCATGTCATGATGAGAATTTCACCACACCCTCGTCCAGTGATCGAAAAGCGAAAGCGCTGGGTGGATGAAATGAGCTGCATCCCCAGCCGGGTTCTTCCCCGCATGATCGTGCTGCATCTGCCGCAAAATTCGCGGGCCGCCGCCTGAAGATGAACCACCCCCGCCAGGGCCACCACTGCCGCCCGGTGGACCACCCGAATTACTGTTCATCCCACCTTGATTTCCACTCGTGTAATCCACTTCGATCGATTTTTTCAAAACCTCGGTACGGCGGATAATCATCACCTCAATCTTGTTCGATTCGGAGGAGGTAGTAGAGGACCCACGTGGATCGGCGCTGTCCTTTGCTGATTTTGATTTTGAGGATTGTGCTGTCGCGCCTCCAGATGAAATTGTTCTGGCAGACAGTATCCGGAACAAATCATCGATGCTCCCGACCGGCTCGGAGTCACTATGAAGTGCACATATGTCTGGGTCTGGAAGGCTGGAACTTGTATTGCGCCTGCGGAATCTAAAAATATCTGTGTTGCATGAGCAGCAAGAGGAGTTCAGTTCTTGGCACGCGGAGAGGGCATTTCTCATGCATGATAAGCATCAAGAAGCCCTCATCAAAAACTCAGTGATGCTAGGACCTGCATCACAGACCTCAGGGGTCATGCAGAACGTGCATGACAAACCCCGACTCTTCCAGACCCAGACATATTTGCAGTTGATAGTCAACTGACAACACCAAATCCCCCGGCATCAGACCCGCGTTGTAGGCGGGCGAGTGTTCTGCGATCCCGGCGATTTGAAAGATCGTGGTATGGACTGCAAAAGTTGTATCGCACTCGTAGTTGTACAGTACTAATTATCGCAGTACTGCATGACAAATCCCCTGCTTCCTAAGGTACTAAAACAGCACTACAAATTCCGTTTGTCAATTTGTCATGCTGCATCTTATTTGTCATGCTAATATTCCTACTAGTACGATATTTTGTTTTGCAAGGCATACGTGGAGTTGAGACCTAATTTCCACCGCCGGGCCAGTTGCGGCCGAACCGGCCGTGCAAACCCGGCGACGCCAATGTACCCGCGTAAAACTTTCCCCTTGGTCAGCAACTGCGAGCAGACCCAGCTGATTGTGGTGGACGATATCCCACGAAAAAACTGTTTCACTGTGATGATCTTGCAAGATCTGCATCACAAGTTTGTTACACATGACACAGAAAATTTGCCATGCGGTCTTCCCAAGGGAAAACACGCTGAAAAATCCAATGTCTTGCAGGTGTAGCAAGACAAATCGTTCTGTGCTCCATTCTCTGCATCACAAGTTCACAGTGAAACAGTTTTTTCTTGCGATAGACGGGACTGCGAACGCGATGTTGTTCGCGCCCTGGATATATCAAAAGTAAAAATCCCTGGATGTCTGGAAACTTGTGATGCTGGGTGGCGTCTCATGATGAGGCTACAGATGCTGGCCCAGCATGACAAGTTTCTGAGCTCCTAGGTGTTGCCTATTCTGCATGACAAACTGCGCTTCTGCATCACAGAAAAGCGAAGCTCTTGGGTAACGTGCATGACAGATTTAAGAGTCACGCCAGACAAGCATGACAAACATGAATTCTTCCAGACCCAGACATTTTTACAGTTGATAGGATGATCGCCGTGTTCATTCCCAGAACTTCACCGTTGCTGTTGACCAAGGGCCCGCCGGAATTCCCCGGATTGATCGCGACGTCGGTTTGGATCACGTTGTCAATCAGCCTTCCGTATGAACTGCGAAAGTATCGCCATCGCACTCGTATAAATGCATTACAAATTTCGATTTCCTCAGCATGAGAAATAAAATTTGTGATGCTGATTTACCTTAGGAAAAAGCTTTGTAATGCATGCTTGCAATGCAACGAGTACGATACTTTAACTTTTGCACAGGATATTCCGGATTGCGACCGCAGCGTTCTGTTCAAAGCTGAAATCACCCCGGCGGACACTGTCGACTGAAACCCCAACGGATTCCCGATCGCGATGCACAGCTGCCCAACTCGGGCAATTTGCAGCTTTTCTCCGTTTTTCGTGTTTTCGGGCGTCTTCAACTGCAATGGTTTTAGCTGCTTCGCGAATTGGGTATCCGAGGATGAAGAGGCGAAGAGTTGTTTGCTGATCCGCAGCAGAGCGATGTCCGTGCTGGGGTCCGACCCGACAACTTCCGCCTTGAGTATGGGACGCTCAAACGTTGTTAAGCACACTCCCAGCTATTACACAACACCTTGATTTGTCCTGCAAAATTACATACCATCAAATTCAAAACGAACATCCACACGATGAAGCTACTTTTAGAGACGGGGTACATCAGCAAGGAAATAATGCGTTGCCGCGAATTTGTAATGCAAAACGCGCAAGGCCCCTGCTTTCGCTTTATTTGCTATTCCTGCATCGCAAATTTATTTCTGTAAGAGTTGAGAATTAGTACCAACGTTTGAGACCGCCATATTGAAAGACTCGTCGGTCGTGAACGTGACGGAGATTTGCGTTGCTTGGTGGATGACATGGTGATTCGTCAGAATCAAGCCTTCCTTGTGCGACAACACGAATCCGCTACCCTGGCCCATTTGCAACGGTTGGCCGCCGCCCTGGTTCGGGTTCAATTGTGGGTGCTGCTGGCCGCCAGGCTGCAAGAGATTGGCGGCGCGCGCGGCTCCGATGCTGACGACGGACGGACCGATTTCGTCCACGACTTTGCAGACGGTTTTGGAATAGGGGTCGAGGTCGTCGTAAAGACTGCTTTTGTTGTTCTCGTCCACGACGGTTTCTGCGAAGCTGGCTGCCTCTGCACCAGAGCTCGACGTCGCGAGGAAGCGAACCCTGCAGCTGGCAAACGTCCTGCAGCTCCGGCTCTCCTCGTCGTCCTTTGGCATAAACAAAACACGAACGCAAGCTGGCCATCCTCCTCGTGCAGCTGGAGGTCTTCGTGCTGGTGAAAAATGTTGAGGGCCAGATCTGGTGCTTATTTTCGGTGCGGCTTTATTCAAGACGAAACGGGAAGAACTTCTACCAGGAGGACCGAACATCTGATGAAAAGCTTAGGCCTGCTGATGTGTACAGCCAAAAGATACACGCACACGTAGGAAGGAGGGATATGGAGGAGATGAAGACCTTCGCGTGCCGTTTACGTTGTTGCAGCAGCAAACTACTTGACGACGGTGATAAGAAGCAAGGCTTTGGCAGTCAGTGCATACGGTTCGCCATGTCAAAAACTTGTTTTACCGAGGACGATGCTATATTGCGTGAAGCTTTTCTATGTTGAGGGCACGAAGACGATAAACGAAATGGATTATGACCACGAAGACCCAGGGAGAAGGAGGACATGATCTCACTCTTTACTACTAGTAGTTTTAAGCGATAAAGCGAAGAACGCCAGCTGCAGCGCCAATGCGCGCAGCCTGCTTGAGCATCGCCGTGCAGCCTCGTGCCCGCGGAGAAGGTTATTGATGAATAAGAAGAAGTGCTGTCCCGAAGAGATTTTAGAGTCTGAGTGTGTGAGCTATCTTGTCTGAAAAGTTTCATCTACGTGCCACAATTTTCATCTTTTTTATACGTCAAAACCTTCTGATTCAGAAACCACTCGTGCTAGTATCCTGACCGCCAAATTGTGTCTCGTTTTCCAGCTCGGACAGCACCTCGGGCGATGAGCGGAAGAAACGCAGCTAAAGAAAAGTGGTTCCTCTCCCGTCATATTTTATTGATATTCCTACCGTCTCCGCTGCTGATTATTCTGACCGCCACCTCGGTTCTGATCCTTCCCGCCAGGACCTCCCCGGGCATTCTGGTTGCTGTGATGCTGGTCTCCACGATTTTTGTGGTTCTGCTGCTTGTTGGTACTATCGTTGTAGTTTTGTCCCCCGGTTCTTGCACTTGCAGGGTGATTGGACGAGTTTTTATTTATCTCTTCACGGTCATGATGTTGATTCCGGTTATTTCTGTTCTCGCCGCCCCTGCGTTTCTTCTTCCCTGTGGCATTGCCAGGAACTTGGTTGTTCTGGCCGATTTGGTTGTTCGGAGGCTTCGGACTCCTGTTTTGCTGCTGCTGGGTGTCGTGGTTCTGGTTCGGATGGTTCTGCTTTTGTTGTTGACCTTGCCTGTTGTTCGACTGGTTTTGGTTCATCACTCCATGCGCATTCGCATTCTTGTTCATCTGTCCTCCACCCCCGCTCGGCGCGTTTGTGGTCTTGCCAAAAGAAGGAAACGTCGAGAAGGAACTTCCTGGGTTATTAATACCGACACTAGTTGTGCCGCTAGTACTCGCTAGTGGATTTGCTCCACCACGGGGCGACGGTCCACCCGCGCCGGAAGAGGCACGGATTTTCACAAAATCGGAAAAGCTGCTTGCTTTTTTACTCATCTGTGGGAAGGTCGAGGTCGCGGAGACAACATGATTCGCTGCACCAGGAGCAGAAACGTTGGACTGATTCGCGTTTTTATTCCCACCAGCAACTCCGTTGTTCGACTTCGATGAAGGTCCGACACTGGTTTGTTCCCCGACATGGTCAGTATCACGAAAAGCTCCATTCCGGCCTCTTTGAAGGGGTGCCCGCGGCTGTTGATTCGGATTTGCACCAGCTGCTACAGCGGGCTGCTGCTGTTGTTCCTGCTTTTGATGCTTGTCGTTTCTGTTTTGTTGGTCGTTGTTCCTCCGGGTGTTTGTGTTGGTCGTGTTCGCGTGAGCGTGGTTACCACCAGTGTAGTTTCGCCCCTGGGCTGCATTTCGATTTTGTTGTTCCGCCCTTTGTTCTTTCGTGTGGTGCTTGTTGTGATCTGAGGTGTTCCGCCCTTCATGATTCTTGCTCCGGTCGTTGATGTCAGCCGTGTCGTTCCGGCCACGATTATTGTTTCTGTCGCGGAGGTCCCGCGGGGGCTCCCTTTGATCCCGAGCGGGGTGATCCCGCCCGCCACGCCTGTTGTTCTGGTGGTCTCCACCTCCCCTTCTATCCGGCTTATCATTACCTTTCCGCACAGGAAGTACGTCAGCCTCGCTTTCTATCCACAAAAAAAGATTCATTTTCATCAAATATTGGCACGCAAAAGAAACATACATGAAGTCCTGTGTTTGTCATGCAAAAAATGAATGGGGATGGTTTTTTTTTCTGTGGATATGTCCTTTTGCATTTGCAGAACTACGCTGAAGATCGTCGTATGTGACGTCCTTCCTGTCGCCCGCCCTATGAAGATCGCGCCTCGCTCCCCCACGGTCCTGGTTCTGTTCCTTGTGCAGCTTCATCGCACCCGCCGAGGATGACGCATTTGCATTTTGAAGATTCTCGTCCTTGTTCATCATGCCTCTGTTTCCTCTGCCTTCTCTTTGTTCTCGTGCCGCCCTCTCCTTGCGCTTTTTTTCCTTCAGATCCTTCCAACGTTGCTTCTTCCTGTCCTTGTTATTAGGCCGGCTACTATTTGGGTTTTTTTTGGTTGAATTTGTGCTGTGGTTCTTGGCTTGATGGTTTTGACCGGAGGTCTTGACTGCACCAGAAGTTGTAGTAGTCCCTGCGTCTTTCTTTTCATCATCATCTTCGCGTTCATTTACATCTTGTACCTCCGCGATAACGTCGTCCAAAAGCTGCTCGACGTCCTTATCATCATCATGATCTCCATCGGAGTAGTTGTCCGAATCGTAATGATCGACCACCTCTCTTTCATCCCGATCGGACAAATTATTTTCCTCCTCGATCACGCGATCGTCGTCCTCTGGAAGTCCTCCTGCCACCGATTTCGAGAAAGATAGCGAATACTCGTCTTCATCCAGATCGTCGTTAAAATCCGGCTCGTCCATGGCGAATGGGTTTTGCTTCCTGCGTATGAACTGCAAATATGTCTGGGTCTGGAAGATTTCCATTTCCCGGTTTGTCATGCATGTTTTGCATGACGACCCACCATGCCTGTAATGCATGACCTAGCATCACAGATATCTAGGAGGCTTCCGGATCATGCGTATTCCGCATGAGAAATGCCCTGCTCTCCGCGTACTGCAACCTGGGCGCCTCGTCTTGCTGGTCATGCAATACAGATTTTTTTAGAATCCAAAGACAGCATCACAAGTTGCAACCTTCCAGACCTAGACATATTTGCATTGGATATTGCGCTGCTCCAGCTCCTCTTCCGAAGCCTGCGGGGAGGATTTTTTGGACAGTGTAGGACCTCCAAGGTTGTCGAGATCTTTGTGCTTGTTTGTATTTGTTTTCGAAGATGGTGCTGGGCCTGGGTCGTCGTTGCGGCTTCCGGGCAGCACGTCGAGTTTTCGCCGTTTCGATGTGGCATTCCCTACATTTGACGGACTCCCTGCCCTGTTGTTTTCCTTACTTCTCCTCCGGGAGTTCTCTTCGTCGGACTCGATCGGCATGTCGGCAAAGGGGTTGCGGGAGCGGACCTGAGATTTGAATACAAGTCCTCGAAGATGTGGTCATTATTAATGTTGATGTGGGTGGAAAAATCCTAAATGACGCAAATCACTGTACTCGAAATCTGCAACCCGCAAGACTTGTAGTACAAAGCTAATATGTCCACAACTAGTATACAACCTACATCAAATTCGCCTATAAAAGTACCGCGGCCTCGTCCTTATTCATCTCCACCTCTTCCTTGGTCTTCTTCCTGCCCTCCTGTTCTACTTCCCCCCCTTTCGTAGTCGACGATCCAGTAGTTCCAACCTCCCCATCCTGCACGCCCTGGGCTCGCAACTGTTCTTCCACATCCTGAATGGTGATTCTCGGCGCATCCAACGGCTTGTCAAACCCAAGCGGATTCTGCAACTTCGGGCTCTTGGAGGTATCATAGTTAATATCATGTAGATCAACCGATGAACAACTTCTGTTTTGCTGCTCTTGTCCTTGTTCATCGAGCTGAAAGCTGCCTTTATTTTTGCTACCACGTCCTCGGGAACCACCTCCAATCGGTGACGTCGTGGTCGCCGCGGCAATCACACTGAGCGGAGGTGGGGGTGGAGGTTTCTTTGACCACCGGGCTGTGTTGCTACAACTTGAAGATGCTGTGTGGGGAGCAGTGTAGTTGTCAGTTCCAGAAGTTGTTCCCTTCCAGCGCCATTGGTTTTCGATCAAGAAGTTCGCCAGATTTGTCTCGTGCCGCATCTTTTCCAGCTTCGTTTCCTCCTCGTTTTGTAGAAAGTTCAGAAATTTCGCGTTCATCAGCTCGATGAAAAACTTCAGAAACGCCGGGTTGTTGTTCTGATCGACGCTCGTTGAGGTCGATTCAGGTGGACGAGACGTGGTATGAACTGCAAAAGTATCGTACTAGTAGAAATCGCATGACAAATTAGCTCAGCATGACAAATGGAATTTGTAATGCTGTTTTACCTTGGCATGAAGATTTGTAATGCATGACTGCGATTACTACGAGTACGATACTTTTGCACAGGATACGTGGCTCGCTCCAGCAATGCCGGCGCCGTCAACGCAGTACAGTATTTCTGGTAGCCCATCTTGCTCAGGGTCGCGACTACGGTACCATCGGGCCTGGTTTGGACATGGATTATGTTGAGTTGTGCAAGCATAGTACTTTGATGAGTTTGTGTTTGTTTACGCACGCGTATCACATCTATGATCAATGGTAATGGAGAGCAAGTAGAACGAACTCAAATAAAAACTGTTCTCACGTGATCTATGCTTTGTCTTATTTCTCATTGTTCTCATTTTATCCTCTTCATATACCTTCTCATCTCATAATACAGCCCGTCGGGGTTTGTCTTCTCGTCTTTGGAAAACTGCAACCCGAGCGCCTCCGCGGCGTTTCTCGCGTCTTCCTCGGAGACAATCCATGGCAGCTGGATGCCGTGTAAGGCGGGCAGGGTCACTATGGCAGTGTCAGGATTGAAATTGACGAAGTTGAAATTATTACTATCTATTATATTCATGCGAAAAAAGAGGTCTACAGAGGGTCGAAGGGAGGTGGCCGAGAGGTCAAAAAGAGGTCAAAAGAGGTCGACAGAGGTGGAGAGGTGGCGCGGGAGGTCATTCGAGGGGGTGGCCGAGAGGTGGCGCGGGTATAGCCAGCCGAACCGTTCACCCTAAAGCCGCGCCTATGGGGGACGGAGGTGGCCGAGAGGGTCGGGAGAGGGTAAGCGAGAGGGGGGCAGAGGTGCCGAGAGGTTGCGCGAATAAGGGCGAACCTCTCGCGCACCCTCTGGGCCACCTCTCGGCCACCTCTGTAGACCTCTACCGGCGAGTATAGCCGGATTATTAGCAACACCTCCCGGGAGAGGTCAAAAAGAGGGTCTGCGAGAGGGGTAGAAAAACCCGAATCCGCCCGGCACGAGGATGATTCTTTTGTGGCCTTTTCATGCATAGGCCCGAACCCTCTCGCGCACCCTCTCGCGCCACCCTCTCGCGCACCCTCTCGCGCAACCCTCTCGCGCCACCCTCCCGCGCCGGGCGGCTTCTGTTCGCCCCCGGTGTCCTTTGCAGCTGCTCCCTGCGCAGAGCGCCCACAGGCGCGGGAAGCGCGCAAGTGGTCCCGCGGGTTGGCGCCGCGCAAACAGGCGGCAGGACTCCAGTGTGTTTCATTATGCATATTAGGCCTGTGGCATTGTGGCCCGATCCGCAAATAGTCCTGCCCCGCCCCAACAGCCTTGCGGCCCGGCGTCAGCCGGGGCATGGCTGGTAACTTGTAATGCATAAAATCGATACCGGTTGGAAGCCCAATTTGTAAGCGGTGCATGACAAATCTCGGCACGAAGTAAATCCAATTTGTCATGCTGTTAAGGGACAGAAGGCGTCTTTTGTCATGCTACTTTAACATCCCTATTGCAGACCCCAAACAGGACGACAGTGGGCCTCACTCGCCATCCCTGCAAGAGAGGCATTTCATGCCTTGCAACTCATGCATGAGAACTTACTTCAACTTTGTCCATTTCAATCCTGACGCTTCCATAGTCGTCGCGGAGGACTGGCGACCGGTTGTGTCCGTCGCCGGCGCGGCGTCCACCAGTGTGTGGACGATGACCGGCATTGTATGTTTTTTCGTGCTTACTGGAAATGTTGGTTCTAATAAATATCTCTCGTCACATCAGAATCAAATGACTTTCACTTTCACGACGGGGAGCTTCAAATGACTTGTTTCCGTGCAGTCTCGACGATCATCTAGAAGATTCTGCAGCAAGTGGTAAACAAGAACCTAAGCACAGGTATGGAAACATGACTGAGATGAGGTGAAATTGAAAACTACCAAGTATAGCCGCCGAGGCGGAGGTAGTGAGGTCGTGGGCGTTTTCTTGCCGGCCGTCGCCTTGGCCGCGGCTTTGATTTTTCTGGGCCCGCCATACCGCCGTGAGTAACGTTGGGCCCCACGGTATGGCGGCCGCCTGATAAGCGTCGCAAATTTTGGCAGATTTTCGAAATTCCTTTCCGAAAGCCAGCCCACATGCTATGAGGCCGATCCTGGCGCCACGGGGGGCGCCCAAAAAGCGAGGAAAAATCGGGCCCATAGCATGCGGATTGGCTTTGCGCGTCTGGCGCGCTTTTTCTTTTTTGCGTTTTTATATTTCTCGCCAGCGCTTTTTGCAAAGCTTCCCAGGCTCTAAAACCGGCGAAAAGGCGGCCGCTTTCGCGGCCGCCCAAAATGCTCCGAAATCGCGGCCGTGCCATGCTGTTTCGCTGTTCTGATTTTGGGCGCGTTTTTTGCGCGCCCCTTTTTGGGCGCCCCAAATCGCCAGAAATCAAGGCGGTGGGCGCCTCAGAAGGGCGCCCCTTTTGCCGGCTCCCCTGCGTCGTTTTATCAAGTGCGAATCGATAGTTTTCGACCGGGCTTGTTTGACAACAAAGCCCCGGCCGCTTGATAAGTGCAAATTTTTTTCGTCAAAAAACACTTTCGCCCGCTTGAAAACTGCCGGTCGTTTTGCTGTCTGGGTGTCAAAAAAACTCCCCGGTTAGAACCGTTCGGTGACCTCACTACATACAAAACTGCGCCTTGCAGGGGGCGCTACGATCTGAATTCTATCGGAGTAGAAAAACTACTCGCTCCTCAAGCGCCGGCGGCGCACAAGACAGGAGACTACAGAGAAAAAAACCAATGCTTGCAAGGTGTTGGTGTAAACGTAAAGCTAAAAGCTACATCACACATCAGGGAAAGAGGAAAATAAATGCGCTTGGGAAATCGAACGAGCGTGCAAATGATCATGTTGTGTGAGTTCTGTACGCGGCTGATTGGAGACGCCAAGAGCAATCGTTGAAGAAGCGAGTGGATCCTACGCCAACAAAATTGATGGCAAAAACACCAGCTGCGGTCTACTCTTCGCTTCGCGGATGAAGCCTATTTTTCTGAAAATGAAATGGACTACAAACGACTACAAAGTACCGGAATATCAGACACGGAGCTGCTGTTTCAACATCTGCTACTCCCGGTGGGAAGAACAACTAAGTGAACACCGCTATTCACAGTTGCCTCCATTGACCTTTTTGCTCGACCAGCATGATGCCTCGTCGCAGCTATTGACAAGACCACTACCGGCACCGCCTGCGCCAGCTTGCCGAGTGCGAGTCCTTTTTCTTCTATGACACTAACAACTGTGAAAGCAAAAGATCATGGTGCCTGCCGTCCCAAACAAAAGTTGTATTTCATCATGGGTAGTTGTATTTCATGGGTACATCTCTTGTCAAAGAACAATCTCAAATTATTCAGACTCTAATGTCAACTGTCGCACTGACTGTCACTTGGAAATCAAACAGGTTGTACTTAAACTTACTCACTTCATGAATCATTATCATACGGATTTTCTTTTTTCTTGCAGCGTTTCTTAAAATTTTTTCTGGTACACAATCTTCCTCATGTATTCAACAACAAAAGTAAATTTCCAAATTGTACACGATGCATCAGGACTAGCTGGACAGACTATTAGAAATCGAGCATTCTTGATATTACGGTTGTTTTCTTTATACGATCTTCGTTTCATCTACTCAAGAGTAGAAGTTGTTCGCTAGAAGTTGTGCAACACGACTAATTTCAGCACCCCACTTTCCCCATCATTTTCGACAAGTACGCTTTTTGTTCCTGTTTTGAGGTATTCTGACTCCCAACGCCGCTACCGCCCATCAAGCTCTGAAAGCTCGAATGGTCTTGCTGGTGATGCGAATTATGCGCAATGGAGCCTGCTCCAGCACTTTGCTGCTCCAATTCGATCCGGATGCTGCCTCTTCTCTTTGGCTGTACATTGTCGACCGGGGTTGTCAACAACAAGTTTTTGCTCTGAAGATCAGTTAGCGGCTGTAACCCGATAGAAGTCGTGGCACCGAACCCGTCTTCCAAACTGCGATGCTTATTCCCGGAGACGAAAAAAGAGCCGAACTGCCTCTGTACAGAAGACGTGGCTGTAGTTACTCCAGTGGCTGTTGTCCACCCTCCAGCATGCATCGCAGCCCCCATCGTCCTCGAGGGTGTGGCTTCCAGAGACAACCGACGGGCGATGGAACTCGGGCGGCGCATGCTGATACTGGATGTTGGACCTCCTCCAAGGCCGCCGCTGTTTCTGGGTGGCGGTGGGGTCGGGACAACTGAAGTAGATGAAGAGGTTGGTTTCAAGATTTCTTCAGTGGCTGGCTCTACTTGCTTGATGTTTCGGTTTCCTCCCGTTTGATGAAGATCACCAGTAGAGTCACCTACAACTTCTAGCCCCGAGGCTGCAGTTTTGGTTTTGCTTTTGCTGCCGGTGCCACCTCCCGTTGATTTGTTTTGTAGTTCGGACTGATCTATGATCACGTTGTTGTTGGTATTGTTCTCCACCTCTTCCTCCACTGTAGCGCGCTTCATCTCAACTCGTTCCTCCGCAAAGCTGTTTTGAGGGTCTCCGAGCTCCAGAGACTCTCGCCCACAGGTTGTCGTGGTGGCGACGCCACAGGTGTCACCGCCTAGATGGGGATCTTTCGCTTGGGCTTGTTGTTTTTTCCCGGTAGAATAACTGCTACCTGAAAATGACGCGGCTGGTGCTTTATTCTCTCCCTTGTTACGACCTGTCACTGTCTTCATCCCCGGAACAAATCCCTCCTCGTCAGACGAATCCGCCCCAAGCCCAGAGGAATCCTCCTCCTCCTCTTCCTCGTCTGAGCAAATTTCTGATTCCTCGCTGTCTTTCAATTCATCCACGGCCTCTTGAAACACCTCCTGCCAGCACCGTCTCTTCCTCTGCTGGAACTGGTTTTGGTGCTGACGCATTGACGAAGAAGTAGTTTTATCTCTCGATAAAGATGTTCTTGTGCCGCGCCCGTAGGGAGAAAACTGATGCTTTTGAAGAGATTGCTGTTCTACTTTTACCGGAAAATTTTTGCACATCGCGTTGTAATCGCCATCGTCCCGTCTCTATGAATTGCAAAAGTACAACTATCGTACTCCTAGTAAATCGCAATCATGTATCTGACAGATCTCCTCTTCGAGTTGAATCAGCATGAAAAGTTCCCTTATCGTTGATCATGCTGAGCTAATTATCCTATTTGTATTTCATCGTATTGCAATTACGTACTAAATCCGGTACTTTAACTTTTGCATTTCATATGCTCAAGATCTTCCCGTGGTAGACTTCCGGCTCCATCAATCGGACGTTCGTCCACAGAGGCGATTTCAGAAAATCGTACTTCAAAAAATCTTCCAGGTTTTCCGGTGGCAATTTCGTAAACTGCTTGGAATGATAAGAGTTGTTTGGATTCATCATTCCAAATCGACCGCCTTGATCGAGATGGTCCGTCGGTATAAAACTTGTTGTCTTATTTCCACTACCAGCATTGGCGGGCGGACAAAAACTACCAGTTCCCCTCCACGAGATGAAACCGCCCGTCGCTGTTCCACCTGCTGCGTGTTCATACCGCAGGGGGTACTCGCTCCCCTCGCAGAGAAACCCGCAGGACAGAAATCCAGATTTGCTGTAGGGAAAAGTCGGTTGCCACTTCTGGTCCTGCTTTTCCTTTACCCAGGATTGCTCCCTTACCGGCTTTTTCAGCAATTCCCGCATTCTGTCCTTTGCCAACGGCCTGATGTTTGAGTTGTTCAAAATCTGTTCGGTTTTCAACAGTTTAATATTCTCTTCTTGCATGTTCAGCAGCTCGGAGTCAGTTTGATGAAGCCGTTCATCTTGCCGGGGAATTCTTACACCGCTGCTTATCTTCTTTCGGCTACTAGTACCTGCTCCCAAGTAGAACCCGATTTCCTGTTTTTCCACCGCGGCAGTTTCGAACGCGTCTCTGGCCAGTCGTTGAAAAGCGGATGCGGCCAGAACCAAAGCGGATTTCTTGCTGAGAGTCGCTGTTTTATTACCGTTCTGCTTCTTGAAGAATTTCTTGAAAAACTTCACCCCCACGAAGCGTTTGCGGACCTTCTGGGATAATTTCTTTTTCTGCCCCAGGTTGTTCATCAATATGTGCATGGTGTTCCTCCCCGGCCCAAACGACGTCGTCTGTCTTGCGGTAGATTTCCGGAAGTTTGGGGGGTGTGTTGTGCTTTTTCTGGTGCCGATAGTTGTGCTCGTCGTGTGGCTCTTTCTACTGCTGGTCGTGAAGATCCGCTTGTGGTTGCATGGGAATAAAGAACCTGTTGTTTGTCGCTGCTGACCAGTACTTGTACCCCCTCCACCTCCCATATGGATGTGTCAGAGTTGAAATCGACAAAGTTGAAATAATTTGCCATGCATAAAACGGATGCCAGTTGGAACCCAGTTTCCAAGTGGCGCATGACAAACTTCGGCGGTCCCTAAATCCAGTTTGTCATGCTGTTTAGGCAAAGAAGAGCGATTTTCTCATGCTACTTTAGCAGCTCGAGCTGCAACCCCAAACAGGCTCACAATCGGCCTCACTTGCCTGCTCTGCAACACACGCGCCTCGGGTCATGCATTTTATGCATTACAAATTATTTGAACTTTGACGATTTCAAACCTGACGCTTCCATATCCCACGCCCGGCTTGTTCACCAACAGTGGGTGATAGTATCAAATGTAAAAATGTCTGGGTCTGGAAACATGTGATGCAAGGAAGGGAATATTGATCACACTGTAATGCGCTCCCCAGCATGACAAGTTTTTCCGTGATTCAGAGTTGCGTACTCCGCATGAGAAACTGCGCTTTTGCATGACAGACAACAGGACCTCTTCGCGGGCACGCAATACAGGGTTTAGAGTCATGCCAGACTACCATGACAAATCTCGCAATCTCCCAGACCCAGACATTTTTACATTTGATAGATAGCAATCCACAGCGATTTTTGACTTCGCGAGCAGGGATAGATGGTTCCGCATGTGCAAAAAGTTGCTGATCTGCTGCCCTAGTCCGTCGTAGACACCGCCTGATTCAAACGCGAGCAACTTCGCCTCAGAAACCCAATTATTGGTGGCCGGAGCAGCAGGAGCTGCTCTACTTCTTGGCGACACAATTTGTGTTGCGGGTATTCCACTACCACCACGACCACCTTCCATCAAACTTGTTTCACTCATCAGTTCTTCCTGGTAACTCGACAACTTCGCTTTCCGTTCCTGCAACGCTGTGCTTCGCCGGATTTGCTTCATGATATTTTTCCGCCGGGAGGGGACGAAATTCTTTTCCGCGGCAGAAGCTGCTCCCCCGGATGTTGTGGTAGCGAGATTCGCACTACCACCTCTGAAAACACCCTCCGCACCGTTTCGCTTACTGCTCCACGCAGCCGCGGACTGTTTGAAACCAGATTTCACATTCGCGATCTGTTTGTAGTGGTGCTGCATGTGGAAGAGCAGTTGAATTTTCTGGTCGAGGTTCAGAAACCTGTGCCCAGATTCTTTTGCTAAAGTTTTTGCTCGTTTCACGGTCCGGTTCAGAAACTGATTGGTTTTCGCGATCAACTGCTTCGTTGCCAAATCTCCCTCCTCCACGCGTTTCTTAAAGTCCTCGAAAGAACTGAAGGTCAGGTTACTGGTTTGATGCTGGTTGTGACAGTTTTCAACATTTTCATTTTGTTCTTGCTGCGACGGTGGCGTTTTGCTGCGGCTTCTGGAGTTGTGGGAGGAAGCACTTTTGCTGCCTTTTTGTTGTTGATAACCACGAGGATCATGTTGTTGTGGCCCTGTTCCAGCTGGTGACGGCGGGAACTGGTCCACGACAAGTTGTGTTGTAGACCCAGCCCCGGGCCCTTTATCGTTCGCTCCATTCCCGCTCGTCGTTGGGCGGCTGCTCATATCAAAATGAAACATCCCCCCTCCCTAAATCACAGTCGAAATCTGTGATGCGGGATTTCTGTACACAAATCAGCTTTGTCTTGCAGTAGACAAATGCAGGCAGATACAAAGCCTGGGCGGCGATGTTCTGACGTAGGCACCTAGCATGACAGAGATCCCAACTGTAGTTCTAACAGCATCACAGACCGCCTGCAAAATGCGGCGGGATGTCTGGATTTGCCTTCTTGCAACACAGAGACGATTTGTGGCCACAAATCAGCATCACAAATTTTCAGAAGTGACCCCTTTTGGTATGGGGAGGGGGGATTTTTCCTTTTGATAGCTCAACCGGGACAAACTCCGACTCGTGTCGGACTGGCTCCCCGCTGTCCTGTGCAAAAGTCTCGTACTCGTACTAATTGCAATTATGCATGTAGCATGCATGACAAATTTCCTTTCCAAGGTAAAACTGCATTACAAATTTCATTTCTCATGCTGAGAAAATTTGTAAATGAGTACGATTCTTTTGCAGTGCATACCCGCGGTAGCGGGCCGATTCGGGTTTTTGCTGTAGTCAATCACTGCGTCGGAGAGTATCCCCTTCGCGGCGGTGGAAAAGGCGAAGTTTAGTTCGTCGTCGTCGTCGTCATTTGGAGGATTTGTGGTTAGTGTGGTTGTGCCAGTTCCACAGGTATTTCGCGGCGAGGTTGCAGTCGTAGTTATCTTTTGGCCTCCAGCTCCAATTATCCTGTGCAAAAGTAACGTACTCGTATAAATTATGAGAGCGTTTGAGCAATTAATTTTTCCGCAATTCAAAAAGTCGCGTATTTCAGATTAAAGTATCTGTCAATCCCCACGGTATGATCGTTTTTGCAGTCGCCGTTGCGGAGTGGAAAAGCTGGTGTCTCCGGTGCCGGTTTTGGGTGAGTTATGCAATGAGATAAATAGGGAGATTCCAACTTGAGCTAGCTAATTTAGGTATCTTGGTATGTATGTTTTTGATGTAGATACTGATGGTGTTAGGATACGCATTTAGATTAGACCAAGCGACGACCCTTTGAAGACCGGCGATTTGACGTCGCGGGGCCCCGTGTACGGGGCCCCGCGACGTCTTGGCCACCGTCTTACCTGGCTACCTAGGAAGCAACCTCCAGAAGGCAGCTGAATAGCGGCCGCAGTTCTTGATTATTTGTCATGCATAAATACTTCTATCTTAATTAGCTAGCTCAAGTTGGAATCTCCCGTATTTGACAACCATACCTTACAGCCGGATCACCAAACAACCGGATCATCAGGTTTCGACATCACCATCGTGGCGGCGGCGATAAAAGAAACAAAATGGAATGATTTTATTACAAAAATCTATTTTTTGAATTGCGAAAAAATTAATTGCTCAAACGCTCTCATATAAATGCAAGTTTTGCATTACAAATCTTTTTCTTAAGGTAAATCCACATTACAAATTTTTTTTCTCATGCTGAGGAAATTTGTAATGCATTTATACGAGTACGATACTTTTGCAGTTCATACCAATATCTGGATCATCCTGTGTCACAGCCGGCCTGTCGCAAATTGAATCCAAGGAAAAAACTGTGTTAGTGTACGTATCTTGGAGTGACAACATGACAATATCAATAAATTTGCTCTGCATGATGAAAAAGAAAGCCTGTCTCCAAGCACGGCTAGTAGTACGTGAAACAAACGGATATAATTAAAAAGAGGACTTCTACTTCATGATCATGGCTGGCCAGCATACGAACTGTAAAACTGTGGTGCGTGCTGCATTACAGACTTACAATTCCACAGTTTTCTTCTAGCATAAACCGCATTCAGGACCTCCCGAGTCGTTCTCGTCGGGCTCCTCGGGGCGGCTGCACGGCCCGCTGCTTTGCTCTTCATTCCACGGTCTAACGGCAGCGACTGCAACTGCTGGCTGTTGAAGGAAACACTGGGGGAAACGATAGTGCTGGACGTAGTTCCGTTGGCGCTGCTACGGTTGTTCTCCAGAGGAAATGCTGCAGCATTCGCATGGTGATTTCCGATAGTTGTAGCTGCCGTGTTCGTCCCGCTGTTCCGCCCGGCGGTCGCGTAGTTCATCCCGCCTCCTCCCCCATTCGCTTCTCGCTTCTTCAAAAATCGGTAGATTTTTTGCAACTCTTCATCGGATAATTGTTGGTTACCGGCTCTGTTGTTTCCAGAAGATGTTGTAGAGCCTTTCCCCGCGGCATTGTTCGTACTCCCGTTCAACAAAGTCGCCCGTCTGCGCCAATGCTGCGCTGCAACCGTCGCTACGCTTTGTCGCCGTGTCGTCGAGGCGGAATTAATTGCACCTGGTTTGCTCGGTGGAGATGACGAAAAATTCCCGTGATTTGCGAAGTTGAAATTGAATTTCTGATCCTGATTATGGAACTGGTCTTCGTTGTAAAGCTGCAGACTCACCCGGCGGGAAGTTGCGCCAGCGGTGGTTCTTGTTTCACTGGCAACAACATTCGGAGCTGCTCCTGCTGTAATTCCACCTGATGTCGTAGTACCACCTGGTGTTGATGACGCTGTTATACCATTCGCTCCTATTGCGCTACCGTTCCCGCCCAACTCCACGATCTGCGTGCTGTTTCTCTTCGTCTTCTCGTTCCGGACTGGTAACAGGGTGAGCAAGGTCTCCGTGTCGCCGTCCGAGAGTTTCAGCTGCTGCTGCTTTGTCGTGGCGGCGTGGTTGTCAGAAGTAGAGTTCGATGCGGTACCGCCTGCAGCTCCTGCAGTGGAGAAGTTGTAGTTCTGACTCGAGGGGGGGGATGCAGTGCTGTCGCGCTTGCGGACGCGAGTAGAGGGGGCAGAGGTGCTGGCTGTGAACGGAGTCGCGGCCATACTGATCCTCGTGCTCGCGGAAGTTAAATGTTAGAAGAGCAGTTGTATCCTGATGCAATTCAAAATACTTTTCCGTTGGAATATCAAAGGAGCGTGCTAACGACATTAAAGTCAAACAATAGACAGTACTTGGGCAACAATCAGATACCGGTGCTCTTTGTCTTTGGCAAAAGAAAGATGATAAAAAATAAAAAAAGTGAAAATCGACTTGATTGCATATGCGTCTGTGTATGAGAATGAGTGTTTTCACCCGACATGCCACATGCATAGTCACTTGTCCAAAACAAAAAGTCCGACAATTTAAATGCCCGAATCTTCCTCCTGCTGAAACAACGCACTACCGGAGCAACCGACTACACTATCGCGACCGATTTTTAGAGGACTTGAGCTTGACGGGCATCGACGAGAGTGAAAGTTATGAAAGAAAACTCGCAAGAAGACAATAGTGCACGACAAAAGTCAAGATTGATACGTGAGGTGCGCTTTATTTACAAAACGCAAGCGTCCTTTCTTCAATTCAACCGATGAAAATGAAAAAAAGTGCTACCAGATAAACGAATGAATGTAGAACAAAAATAGGCCGCCCATCAAAGAAAATGCTGATCGTGATCATATCTCCTGTTCGACCAGAGAGCGTGTTACCACAAAGAGGTACAACACCCGGAGTCGTTTTTTTTTTTTCAGTGGCAATGATATTGCCGCTCATTTTCGTTTTTTTATTTTATTTTGTTTTTGTTCTTGGCTGCAATGATATTGCTGATGCTAAGTCATGACGTTTTGGTTTTTGACTGACTTAAAAAGATGAGCCTACTTTTATATACATCGATCAATCCAATACAAATTTATATGACCTATTTGTCTAGATTATCTGCAACATGAATCACGAGACTGGAGACGAGCGCACGCAACAAAATCGCGACCTCTCGTTGTATTCGTATGGCATACATCGCCTACCTGTGTATATACAATGGGAACTATTTGACTTTGACATATTCACATCCATATTTGGCAAAACAAGGAACAACTTTGAGTTCAAATTGATCAAGTACTGGAAAACATGAGGGAAACAGAAACTGGCTGTGTAGTTCTCGTCGTGGCTGCAATGAGTTGCCGGCCACGACAAAGAGATATAGAAACCTGAACCAATACTAATAAATTAGCACTCCAACTACATTGATGTTGATAAATCAATAGGGCCCAATAGCGAAGACCACAGGCTAAAAGACAAAACGAGCAGGCCGCTCTTTTACTTTTTCACAAAATTCAAGTTATTTGAATATGAATTTAGTCTCCACAACTAGGTGTGGGCGGTTCTTGAGAAACAGAAACTCCATACTCGAGACAATTTATTTTTTTACTTCATTAACTTCATAATCACATGATGTCGTTAGCGAGTTTCAGGTTCGGCAGAGAGTAGGCCATTTTCGAAGGAAAATCGTCGGCAACGTTGTCAAACTCAAGGGTGACCGTTTGCAACCGAGACCGGCAGAAAACCAGTTCCATTGCGTCCAGCTTCTTCTCTTTTTCCGTATCGTCACCTGCTCCGGCAAGAAAATTCCTGCACCACAGTTCCTGAAAGAAACTGCCGAGGAATTCCGCACGGCGCTGAGCCTTGTCTTCTCCCCTGAGGGCCCGGAAGACGACTTGGAAAATCTTTTGCACAAGGTCTTTGTTGCGCTTCGCAGTGAAAATCACTTTCTCACCGGAATAATTAAGAGCAGGACTTTGGCATTGCTGCGGTACTTGCTGCTGCTGCCCCTGCCTCTTCGCTTTCGCGGCAGCGAGAACTTCGTCACGCAAGGAAATAAGGAGTGCGCCATCTTCTGTAGTTTCGCCGGCTGCCACCTCCACCTTCGCTGAGCAGTCCCTGAACAGATCAAGGATATCGATCTCGACCTTGCGCGCACTGCCGGAGGTGTCCGGGAAGAATTTCACCTCGATCTGGTTTTTTGTGGCGATGTCCGGCGCGACGACGCAGCAGCAAAACGCGTCTTTTTCGCCGAACTCGAACACAAACTCGATCTTCAAGTCAACATGTTCCGACTCATTTCCGATTCGCAAAGTTTTCCACTGCACAACCTTTGTTGTCGCTTGTCGTGTACTAATACCAGTACAACAAGAGCTGCTGATGTTCGTAAAAGTGCTCGTCCCTTGTGTCTGCAGTCCTCCAACATTTTTCATCTCAGCGGCGCGCTCATTTGCGACGACCGCCGTGCTGGTGTCTCCGGCGGGGTTCACAATGAAATTGCTTTGCTCCTGATCTTCAGAAAGGATTTCGCCATTTTTCTCAACCCAGAGGTATGGGGATGTGGCAGCGAGGCCGCGTGCCTGGAACAACGCTTGCACGACTTTGTTCACGACGTACTCCATTTCGCACCGCAAGACCGGTTTGTTGAACCCTTTCAGGTGAATGGTGCGCATGCCCTCGTGCTCGGAGTTCACGGAATACCGAACGGAGTCCGGCGTGGACAGATACTGGTAGGACCGATAACTGCGCAACGGTAAGCGTGAGCTGTCCAGCGAACTGTCTTCTTCATCAGCGTCTTCCTCGACGTCGTCAGCATCGTCCTCATCCTCGGCGTTAAACGCGACTCCATTTTGTTCCCCGTCAGGCGAGGCTTCGTTTTTCGCAGATTCCGCTTTTGATACCGCAGCTTCGTACTCGTCCGCGTCGGATTTTTCGGATGGATCAAGAAGTGCAGAAGCAACTATGGCCGGCCGCGTCACCCCGGTATTCTTGCTTGCGGGTGCAGAAGCCACAGCCGGCATTTTGATTTTCTTGGTCGGGGTCCGCATTGATAATGCCATCAGTGTGGTTGATGCAGGAGCGCTGCGTGCGGACGAGAGAGCGGAAGGAGCTGCATTTACTACAGAGTCCGCGTGCTGTCTCGTACTTCCTTCGTCGGTGGATGCAACAGCTGTCTTCTCGTTTTCCCCTTCCAGCGCATCAAACTGAATCTCCTCGATTTGGAGGCCGCCGTCCGAAAGCAAAACCGCTTCAGAGGAGTCCGAGGCGCTTTTGCACGCTTCGTCGTCGTCGTTGCCGCAGGCCGAGTTGGCTCGTCCCGGCGTGGCGATGTCGAATTTCATGGGCGGATGGATGGTGGGCGTTCCTGGCACGTTCTTCAAGTTGAGACTGGGCACGACAGCACCTTTCCAGGTTCCCTGATCTCCCTTTTGCTGCGCAGCGAAAAGTTCGCACAGCATGGCCTGTTGCGCCAAAACTTTCTCGAACACATTCGTCAAGTTGTCCATTTTTTCAGCTACCGTTCGTTCCAAACGGTCCAGCCGCTCATTCGTCGAACCGAGCGACGCAGCCAATCCGGCATCTTCTGCGGAAGCGCTGCCCGGCGCCTTTGGTGTGAAATGCACCCGGAGCTTCTCGCGGGCATCGTCAATCAACGGAAGAAACTTGTCCGTGTAGAGAAAATTGTACCCAATGCTTTGCAACCAGTCTCGCACCCTCTCGTCGAGCATACTCAATTGGCTGCGCGTCATCCGGGCCCCGGCACCAGTTCCGCACACAAATTCCGGCTTGCAAGCGCACGCCTCCACGTCCGCAAGTGCGAATTTGCACGAGGATCCCACAGCTTTGAACGCGGTGATCCAGTCCAACCGTCCTGACAGCGAATGCGGGTAAAGAAATTTCGCGGGACGTAGCAGCGCCTCAACCAAGTCCAGTGGTCGTGACAAATCGGAATCGAAATCGCCGCCGTCTTGTAGCCACGGAACTGTGCGCACGTCTTTGCGAAGCGCATCTACCATCTCAAGTGGTGTTGCAGGAAGCCGTGGTGTTTGCGCTGGGTCGTTCACCCGCTCGCATCTGCCGCTTGCAGGAGGGTCGTTGCGAACTCCACGACGAGGCACGTCGATCCCCTGTTTCGCACAATACACGAAGTTGACACTACAAATACACTTCGCGATGTCATCCACAGACCACATCCAGTTCAGGCCTTTAATCGAGGGTGTGGCACTGCACTTCAGAACCGCCTGCTGAAACCATAAGTATTTTGTGGCAATAGGCTTACTCCAAAGTTGCGTGCCCGGGTTGCGCATCGCGCGCACCATTTCGTCTGGTCGAAACCCACCAGAAAAGTCGTCTTGAGTCTCCGGCGCAGTGCCATCTTGTGTACACCACTTGCTGAGCATAGAGTCCAGATTCGCAAGATCTGCACAGCCCTTGGTAGACAGACCAATAAATACCGACTGTCCCACGGTACACAGAAACACACACCGACTGTTCCCGGGTAAGACTGCCGACATTGCGTCCGTCTCGAGTGTGTGTACCCACCTCCGCAGCGACATGTTCGAGGACTCCTCGGCTGTAGCCCTCAGTATTTGCAGGCACCGTATGAGACGCTTCAGCCACTGCTCGCGCGCCTCGAAGGGCTTTCCAAATGGCACGCGGCCGTTCCGCATGATTTCAAGCATCGGACGGAGCAGCCCTTCAAAAATAATTTTGTGCGATGTGCCAAAAAAAACGAGGGCCCTTTTCATCTCTGCCGGAGCTGGAAGTTGTTCGAGCATCCGTTCCTCCCAGCTCTTTGCTTGCCATGGTGCTCCGTGTCCGTTGTACTGGTCAAGCACCGCATAGAAGAGGTTGGGTCGAGAGTCTTTGTTGTCCGCTTGTTCGGTCAGCCTACTCGTGGCGGCGCCTGTCCAAAAGGACACATCGAAAAGCATCGCCAGCAACCTTTCCCGTACGTCATCTGGATCTGAAGAAAACGGTCCGACGATGGAGAAAATTTCGACGTGCGTCAGATACTTCATCACATCCACAACCCAGGCGAGCCGGTCCGGAAAACAGCTAGCGAAGACGCTTGTCGGCGCTACGTCAAGTGGAAACACAATCGGCGACAATTTAGATTTTCGCAGGAGCAAGCACTCTGCCATCGTCATGGTGTAGGCGCGCAAAAAATTGCTGGTCGCTTCTGTTTGCAACTGACACGCCATTTGCTCCAATAGTCGTTTTGTCGCAGTGAAAAAGCCCGGCAGCTGCACTTCTTTCCGGGAGCTGCACTTCCGGCAGTTTTGCGAGAGCCATGAGGATTCCCAGCCGGCCTTGTCAAAGAGCACGCTCATCGAATTTGACAAGCGCAAGGTGATCACGAGGGCCCCAAACAGGGCCAAGAAACTCAAATCAAATCCATCGGCGAGGGCCGAACACACCTCGTATGGCGTTTCAGCAGGCGTCCTTGCAACGGAGTTGCGATTTGATTTTTTATTTTCCGGCTCTTTCGTTGCCGTTGGAGCAGCTCTTTGCTGGCGCGGGTCCTGCTGCCGTTTTGGTGTCAGTGTTGCTTCCAACAAACAAGCGACTGCATTCGAAGCGATGCTGCGACAGTTGTCCCCGTGGTACTTGATAGCAATACACATGAGATACTTCCCGTCACTTGTCTCGTATGACGCTACCTGCTCGTTGTCATCCGCTGGCGACCCTCCTGGTTGAGGATAAACACCAAACCTGGCTGCCGTGTCAAGAGGTAGAAATGGAGCCGGAAGTATGAGTGCCGTGTCACCGGAAAGAGCCGTTGCTTTCCCTTGGTCGAAGTTCCACTTGGAAGGGCGCACCGTTTTAATATCAATCCGTGCCTTTTCCACCTGCTCGTTCGGAATTTCGCCACTGATTGTTGCGACCACACCAAAACTGAAGCGTTCGCATGTCCAAGTGGTCCACGGACCAGACGTATCCTCGCGAGATGCCTTCTTCACGGTTAACGTGAAGGAGTCGATTTGCTTTCGCTGCACGTCCATGATGAAATCACAGTTACAGGTAGTACACTAAAAAAATACACGACCAAGACCAAAGCGATGTGTATGAAATTGAAATCTATTTGGGCCGATGAGTCCGACTCGGCAGTTGATGAAGTTGTTTGACTACCACGCGCCAGTTGTTTGGCAGCTGTGCTTGTAACACACTCAAGATCTTCAAAACAATGCGAGTTTTTCCGTTACAGCTTGCTGATGGTGTTTATTCGTGTAAGTAACACAGGAGCGTTATCTATGAAAAAAGCAATTTCTAATTCTATCATCGCCAACTACACGTGAAGCAGTTCTGTGATTGTCATTGTTTGATTTGAAGGCTTTCTTGGGAAATACTCAGGAGGAGGTTCTGCTCTCGCGCGCTCATGAAATGAACAGGCGAGTTTTGTTTTGTGCGTGCTTTTGGGTCACCAGGTCCTGTGCGGGGAAAAGAGCGACACGCGAAAATAGTAGAGGACAACAATGGTGGCGGCAGTTGAATCGGTGTGAAAAAATAATGGAAGCACATAGGTAGCTGCTTGTTCTATAGAGAGATGCAAAGCTGCGATAAAGAAATTTCAACATTTTTAGAAAGGACAAATGGACGAAATAATCGAAAGCATGTCTCTTGCACGAAATTGAAAGCTGCGACTCTTGCGTGTACGAAGCAGAAAACCTGTTTCTGCAGATGATGTGTGCATCAACATCAAGCTATCGGACGAACCGAAATCGATGAAAGCAAGATGACACTGATATAAGTAGAGATACCAATGGCATACCGAGACATTCTGTCACGCAAGGATCTTTGTCCAAGCATGAGGCAAGCGACCGATAGCTATTTCTTTATTTCGTCAATGAAAGGTGGAGTCTGAATCTGATTCTGAAAAGATACACGTTAATAGTCAAGACAGACTGTCTCAGGATTTACTTGAAACACCGAGTGGACGTCGCTTGCGATGCGCACACGAGATTGAGACTGGTGCTCCTGCTTAAGTAATGTTCATAAACTGGTAGAAGTGTAGTTCCTAGTCCTACTAACGTGAGAGCTGCGTTCTTCCGGCATCCGGGCATGCCGGGCATTTCAAAGGATTGAATCGTGAAACAAAAGCGCTTTGTTGCTGTTCCTTCTTGGAAATATCAATTCCGGGCGCAAGATGATGATGAAGACCACCATCGCCGTTGGGACAGCTCTGTAACTTGAACTTCTACCTCAACCTCATGGCACTTTTTTACTAGCATCATCGTATATCTATCATGCTGTGGCAACAATCCGCGTCACACGTGTCTCACCTTGCTGTTCACCACTTGTCCTCCTTTTTTCGGAAATGATCATAGCCGTCCCTCTTCTCCCCCCACGAAGCGCCGGAGGACCAGTCCTTTTTCCAATCCTGATCACCACCTGCAGGTGCACCTGCACCACCCCCCCGCCGGTCATAGCCCCGCTTGATCCCGTGGTTCGTCCGGTCGTCTTTCTCCTCGTGCTTGAAGTCTCCTCGGACATCCTGGGTTGAGGCACCCGCCGCTTGACTAGATGTATTCTGGTGCCGCCGCGGCTTGTTTTCATCCTTACTATCACCGTAACTCGACGTCTTCCAAGAATCTTTCTCGTGGTAGAAATTATCCGCACATTCATCGTCGAGGTCGGCATTGCTTTTCTTCCAACTACTATCGCCGCCTTTTTTCCAATCTTCCTTCCCGTTCTTCTTCCAATCTGCCTTTCCGTCTTTCTTCCAGTCCGCCTTTCCGTCGCTCTTCCAATCATCTTTTCCGTCTTTTTTCCAATCGTCTCTTTTCCAATCGTCTCTTTTCCAATCGTCTTTTTTCCAATCGTCTTTTTTCCAATCGTCTTTTTTCCAATTCTCATTTTGATGGTCCTGCTTTTTCCAAGATGAATCGGTTCCCTCCTGCTTCCAGTCCGACCACTTCTTACTCATGTCCTCGACAGCGCCAGATGAAGATGTCTTCTTTTCACCGTCCTCTTTGTTATTCCAGCCAGGAGACGACGCTGACCAATTTTGCTTTTTCTCAGCGTACCCGCTCTTTTCTTTGCTGTTTGTAGTTCCTTGCCACTGGTGATTCTTGTAATCCTCACCCCCTTCTCGTCCTCCGCCGCCCTGCTGATTGTAGGACGACCCTGCTCCACTATTCCAAGATCTGTCGGATATTGCCGGGCTGGAGCGAGCGTCGTAGTTTCGAGTTTTGTTGTAGGTGTAACTGCTGGAAGGCGCTTCTTGTTTGTTGTAGTAGGTGTCGTTATAATCTTGCTTTTTGTCGTCATCCTTACTTTCGTGCTGTTTATTCCAGCGATCGTTGTTCTTCTCCCATCTTGAGTTGTTATCTTTATCGCTCATCTTTTTCCCATGATCATAATTCCAATCTTTCTCATTCCAGTTCTTGTTCTTTTTGTCATGCTGCCACTCTACTGCTTTGTCGCTTTTATTTTCGTAACTGCTGTTTTCCTTCTTATCTGACGAAAAAGATTTGGATTTCCAATCGTCTTTCCACCCCTTGTCAACATTCTCTTGATGCTGAGCAGATTTGTAGTTCTTCTCGTCCTGATCATTGTCATGATGCCATCCTCGACTTTTACTTGCTGCGGCTGCGGTGGCGTCATCTTTTGTTAAGTACGAGTTTCTATTTCTTGACTCGGAGGCATAATTCTCTTCGTCGTACTGTTCTTTTCTGCCAGTAGCTGCCATCTCCTCCACACTGCTTGCCTGCGAGGACCGGCGACTCTTGCTGCTCGTGCGCTTGTTCTTCTTGCCCTTTTTCTTTCTCGCTGCTGCTGCACTGCCCGTTGCATAATTCTCATCTTCGCCGGGCCCGCCGCCGAGGAGATCTACTTCCTGTAGCCCGTCTTCAGTATGTGTATGATCCTCTACATCATCGTCTTTGCCACTCAGGCCTCTACCCGGATGGTTGATCTGCAACGGTGGGCTGGCGAGATCGAGTTCGTTGGGCATTTTTTGGGTTCGGTTCTTTCCCTCAGACGTCCCAGGTAGAACATCAACTCGAGTTGTAGTTGATGCTCGACCTCCGACGTTCTTGTCCCCTGTAGTTCCAAGCAACTCTGCCTTGATCGACTCCCGGCTGGCGCCAAGGATGTCGATGTCGACGTCTTTCTGTGGTCCAGCATCACCCTCACCACTTGTTCCGCCGCCGAAAAGATTGTCCAACTGCTCAGCAACTGGAGGACTGCTCTTCAGAAGATTCTGAACAGCGGTAGGAGGAGCTGCACGGTCATCACTACTTGTTGGTGTCTTATTCTTCGAATTGCTTCCGCCTTCCCAATCAACGTGTTGCTCCAGCATCTTCAAATCATCTTCCTCGACGCCGTCGAAGAATCTAAATTTCTCCTCCTCGCCGTGCCCCTGATCTCCTGCATCACGACCTTGTGCTGGGACATCTTCACCAAGATCGTACTTCTTGTCTCCATCCCGACTACTTCCAGCAGCAGCAGGAGCAGCAGCTTCCACGAGTTCGAGCCCACTCGTCGTCATTTCGATTTCATCTTGCTCTTCCCCTGTATTAGCACCTGTCGGAGAATAGAACAGCAGCTTGTTCATCCGGTGGGCCTTAGCGGACGTTCTTCGATCAGACTCGTCGTCGTGGTCACGCTGGCTATTATCTACTCGTTGTTCCTCATCCTCGGCCTCCTTATGTTTCGCTTGCGATTTTTCTGTGGATGGTTTTTCTTCACCATACCCGGCTTCTCGTCCTCCTGCTGGACTAGGACTACCAGTGGCACCACCAGCACTGGACTTCGTAATTGTTTTTCGCGCCGGCTCCGACACCTTCCAAAGCACATCAGACCCGTCGTATTTTGCCATGTCAAAGTACTGCTCCTCTAAGTACTTCCAGTAGTAATTCGTGATCTGCTATGCATCGCAAAAGCATCGAAACTACTGTGAATTGCATCACAAATTTTGCTTTTGGCAAGAACAAAAGGAAAAGTGCAGTTTGTGATGCGGATTCAGGTCGGGAAAGATGTTTGTCATGCACGATTGCAAGAATTTTTCAACATACGAGTACGATACTTTTGCGCTTGATATCTGCTCCCCGTTCCACGGATAGCAAGTTTTCGACGGTCGCCAGTACTATCCTGTGCAAAAGTATCGCACTCGTAGTGATTGGAATTGCAGTCATGCATTACAAATTTTTTTCTTAAAGTAGATCCGCATGACAAATTTTCTTTCTCGTGCTGAGGAAATTTGTGATGCATTACTACGAGTACTACGGTCCTTTTGCATTGCATAAGTACATGAGCGGCGCGATCTCCTTCTCCACATCCACAACTGACGGCTGCGGAGGTTCCTGATGGGGTACAGCTACACCCAATGATGAAACTTTGTTCTTGATTGATGAGGACGTTGTGCAACTGCTCCGCACGTTTTTGTAGCTGCGGTACCCGAACAGCCACTTCAAAGCGGCCAGCGATTCGTTTGCGTACCCGGGGGAACTGTGCCCGGAAAAGTGGAAAAACTCACGGGAAGATTGCTTCGACGCGGTAGCTATGCATTGCAACTATGTCTGGGTCTGAAAGATGATTGCCAAGTTTGTCATGCATATTTGGCAGGACCCATGACGCCTGTAATTCTTGACCTAGCATCGCAGATTTTTAGAGGGCTTTCTGATGCTTTTTCCGCATGAGAAATGCCGTCTCCGCGTAGCACAGACTGGACGTCGCCTCCTGGCTGTTATGCAATACAGAGTTTTTTCGAGTCCAGAAGAAGCATCACAAGTTGCATCCTTCCAGACCCAGACATATTTGCGAATGCATAGTAGTCAACCGCACGTCTCGTGGGTGGAGCTTCTTGAGGCGTTCGATCAGAGACAACGTTTCTTCTAGCTTGCACCACGCGTCGCCCGGACAGTGCAAAAACCAGGTTGGGATATTGCGCATCCGCTTCGCAAACCAATGCTCGGCTTCCGGAATCGCCCGCGTTTCGTGGGAGCTCGCGGGCGCGAGAATCCCCGCGACGTTTTTGTAGCCCCACAGACTGTATCAAATGCAAATATGTCTGCTGGGTCTGGAAACTTGTGTGTGATGCACGGAAGGGAATTATACTGAAAGCACTCTAATGCGCTGCCCAGCAAATGACAAGTTTTACCGTGGTTCGGAGTTGCGTACTCCCCATGAGAATCTGCGTTTTTGCATGACAGGCAAGACAAGCTCTTCTACTTCGCGGCCACGCAATACAGAGCTCAGAGCCGTCGCCGTGCCAGATTAGCATGACAAATCTCGCAATCTCCCAGACCCCGACATATTTGCAGTTCATAGACTGGCGAGCTCCAGCACCCCGTAGCCGCCCATGGACACGCCAGAGAGGTAGATGCGGCTCGGATCCCCGCCAAGGTCCACGCCGGGAATGCAGAGTGCAGCTGCTGGGTCATCATGTTGAGGAGGTGCTGTAGATGTAGATGTTGAAGTTGTAGTCCTCTTACTGGCATCAACATATTTAGATGCAGTTGAAACTCCCCCGCCGCCGGTCAAGATGTTCCTCAATTTCGCCAAGGCCTCCGCGATTCCCAGATGGAACCGATCCGCGTCGCACCGGCACGGCGGCCCGCGGAACCAGTAGCAACTGTAGTCGCACATCGGGTCCACCAAAATTGCTTGGGATAGCAAGGAAAAGACTTTCCAGTTCTGCTCAAACGTGTCAAAGGTGATGTTTTTGTTGTTCCAGTGGTCAAAACTGGTGTGAAAATGGCACCACTGCCAGTCTTCCGCCAGAGTCTTCAACGGCCCGGCCGTCGCTTTCGGGTAGGCGTAATTGGGCAATTTCGTGATGGGGCAGTGAACTTTGGATCGGTATTGATCGCCGTGGAGATAGAAAAAGACCGGGCTATCCTGTGTAAAAACGTCCCCACGCCAGAGTTGTAATGCTAAAGGAATTGCAGCACACTTTGCCCCCCCCTCTGCCCCAGGCCGCAGATGGCTTGACGCGCCAGAGTTGTAATGCAAATCGGCATGCTGAAAATGTTTCTCATGCGGAGACCCATGAGAGGCAGTCTCTAGTCGTGTTGTGGGATTTGTGATGTTAGAATCAGCATGATATGCTAGAACTGTGATGCTGCTGAACAAGCTAAACAGGATTACACTGCGAGGCCAAACGTGTCATGCGCAACAGCAAAAGCTGACAGATTTGTCTAGCAGATTTCCCAGCTTGACTCTGGTGTGGGACGTTTTTACTCAGGATACGGGCGGCGCCGAGTTTTATTTTTCTCTTCAGCAGTGGTGGCGGCGGTTTTTTGCTTTTGTGAACCAGCACCTGCTGCGGTTGAGTCAACATCTCCAGCATCGTTTTTTTCCTCGTCGTCATCAAGGATTAGCAGGTCTTGCTCCTCATGCTGCTCTGCTTCTTTTTGCAGCTCATCATTTTCAGCGGTGCCGGAAGCTCCTTGTTCCCAGCCATTTCTACTTGATGTTCCCTTCTTCCAGTCATACCACGAAGTTGTTGATGCTCCAGTTCCTTCTATGTTGCCTTCCTCAGAGGTACTAGTGCAACTCGTTCCACCATTCTGTTTGTGCCACCAAGCTGCTTCCGGGATATCCGAAGAAAAACAACCAAATCCCCATCCATTTTTTGGACGACAGACTACACAGGATTTTTTGTTTTTCATGCATGCTCTGCAGGACAAATCGGATGGGGATAGTTCTTTTTCTGTGGGTAATTCATGTTTTTTTCGTAGTTTCTTTTTTCAACCCTCTGGAGCCAGTTCTCCCGGAACCGCTGAATGCGACTCTCCTGCGCTCGGACATGCTATCAAGTGCAAAAGTGTCTGGGTCCGGAAGGATGCAAGATTTGTTATGTATATTATTTCTCATGACCCATGATAGTCTGTGATGTATGCCCTAGCATTACAGATTTTTAGAACCCTTCCTGATGGACCTTCCGCATGAGAAATGCCCTGTGCGTGTAGCACAAATTCCACCCCTCTTGCTGGTCATGCAATACAATTTTTTTTTAGAGTCCACAAACAGCATGAAAAGTTGCAATCTTCCAAACCCAGACATTTTTGCAGTTGATACATGCGGAAGGTACACCATGGCACTCATCAACATGTTCTTTGTGCAAACCTGCACGGGGCACATCTGCCCTGGTATGCATTGCAAAAGTTTTTACAGCACTGCTGTTGTAATATGTATATGTACTAGCAGAAATAATTGCAAAGATACAAAAAGAAAAAACCTGTAGTCATGCTGACTGAGATTAGAAAGCGTACTAGTCGTGCTCGTCCTCCGCACCCGCACGCAGAGCTGGAAAAATGCGATATTAAACGAGTACTACAACTAGTTTGATATGCTTTTGCATTGCATACCTTGTCGAAGAAAGCCGATCATTTTTACCGCGTCGGCACGGTGCTTTGGCGCGCTTTCCCACATCCCGTCTTTGTCGCTCTTGAGCTGGGTGAACTGCCGGTCGCAGTACTCCTGAATGGTGAAGGAATTCCGGGGCTCCTGTATTACAATGAAAAATGCCCCCACCCCCGAACTTGAAAGCATTTGCATTGCAAACCTTTCCAAATGAAACATTCGCCCTCTGTATCAGCATCACAGATTTCCGATCGTGAATAGCAAAAGTTTGTATTGCAAAAGATCCCAGCAAGAGCGGTGCTTGTCATGCAAGCGATGCGAAACAACACTAGAATCTGCATCAGAAAGATTCATATTCCTTTCATGCATGACAAAAAGGTTTCATTTGGAAACTTCGCATTACAAATTTTTGCAACTTTGGGGGTGGGGGGCACTGTTCACTGCAATATCCTGCCACTCTTCCCCCGTGTCGAGGTCGAAGAAAACTTCTGTGACATAGCCCTTCTTAAAGTAGGACGAAACCGCGTGGGAGCGACCGCTGGGAAGGGCTTCGGAAAAAGAACAGGAGGTGGTGGTGGTACTTCTTTTATCCTTGATGTAGTTGCCTGTGATGATAGATCAAGTATGTAGCAATCTCTATTCCACCCGTGGTCCACATGTCAGGAACAAATCAGGTTTATTTTCTAAGTACTTATACTTAGGGTGAGTTAGATTTTTTTGACGATGGTGTGTTATTCTTATTGTTTCCATGCGTCTGCTCTATGTCTATTCTAATTCTTTTTCTTGACTCTGCAACTACTTCTACGACGGATTTTCAAACAAATCTTACCTCCTCGTGCGGCATGTTGGTGCTTGATGCTCCTCTCGTCTGTTACCCATCGATCGGCTGAGCACTTCCAGGGAAGCAGCTTTTTGTTATCCACCACAACGTATGAATGGCAGAAGTCTCGCACTCGTCGTATGAATGCAACACAAATTCCCTCAGCATGAGAAATGAAATTTGTAATGCTGATGCACCTCAAGAAAAAGATTTGTGATGCATGATTACGATACGAGTAGGAGTGCGGTACTTTTGCACTGGATACAACGTAAAACGGCAAGCTGTCCGGACTGGCCACGTCAATCGGAATCGCCAACGTTGAAAAATTATGAATTGCAAAAGTATCGTACTTCTAATCGGATTAATGCATTACAGATGTCTCTGTCAAGTTAAATCTGCATTACAAATTTCATTCCTCATGCTGAAGAAATTTGTCATGCATTTTATACTAGATGAGCGATACTTTTGGATTTGCAATGCATAGAAATACAGCCGCCCGTGCCCCGCCTGCTGCTTAATAATCTCCTGCCCACTCAGCGCCGCATGGGTGCCCGGTTCGCGGACCAAGGCGGAGCACGGCTCCCCCAGCGTCATGAAGTTCTCCGGCACTGCGAGGCGTAAAGAGTGGAACATGCTACCGCTGTCGTGTTTCTGCTATCAACTTCTGCAAAAGTTGTATCCTGCTCGTATTTTAATTGCATTCATGCGATGACAGATGTGCTGTTTCGCTGCCGGTTTGGGTTTCTTTGTCTTATTGTTAAGTATTTGTGCTGCTGCTGCATGAGAAATCCTTTTCAGGTTGCTGCAAAGTTTACAAATTTCTTGTGATGCAATTAATACGTGGCGCGATGCCTACTTTGCGATGCATATCTTCGTCACGCGAAACACTAAGAATGGGACGGAGGGGTCGAAATTGCCGCCGTCGTAAAGCCGGTTTTTCTCGTAGGGGGGGAATTTCACCTCCTCACCGTCATCCACCTCCTCGGCGGAAGAGCTGTTGTGACCATCCCCATCTGCATCTGCTTTATCAGCGGCGCCAGTAGTTGTACACAACTTTTTGCTGTCCTCACCCTCAGGTTCTTGATCCCGCGGGCTGAGAAATAACTCATCGTCGTGTTGTGGTAACAAGCTGGACTCGAATTCTTGGAGCAGGTGGGCCTTGACTTTGCGATCCGGGTTCTGGTCGCTGTTGACCTCCGGCGCTAGGATTTCTTGCGACTGTACCTAATTCATTCGTATTTATTTTCATTTCGGATCTATTCGATGGGAATTTTTACTTACTTATCATGATTCGTACAGTACCAGTACTGCAATGCACAACATGCATGCTCTACTTCCAGGAATTATAGACATGACACTTGCTCCTTTCGCAACATGAACGCAACACTTTGCATTCGCTGCAACCACAGTAGAACAAGTAATCGTGATACCTCGACGGCCCCCTCCTCCTGCGGCACTTTCGTCGTCTCATCCTGCGGAACAAGTTGACCACTATCGTCGCCAAGCAGGTCAGCTACCGTCTCCGCCTTGACAGAAATAGTTTTCTTCAATAAACCATGTTTACGACCCCCACCGGAAGAAGATGAGTCAGGTCTTCTTGCGAAACTTTGGTCGAGCCAGTAATTGCCGACGAAGCCCTTGCTGATCCTGTTGCTCTTCACAACTGTGGTGCTACCGGGGATAGTACCTCCGCTGCCTTGACCTTGTCCCACTTGTTCACCATTTTTCTCATTCAACAAATTCAAATCCACCTGTTGCTCTTGCTTCAGCTTTTCCCAAATTTCCTCCACCGTCACCGGCTTACTCATTTCGTCCAACCTCCACCGCCCATACAGCGTCAGATGCTTCATCTTCGCTTCCAGATATTCGATCGAAACGGCCCACCGATCATACGGGATCCCATAGGAAAAACTATCCGTCAGCTTGCAGTAAAAGTCCGGTGGTCGCGGGGAAGCGGAGAAGTTCTTGCGGTTCTTAGTCTCATACGGCGAGGCTTTTTTGCCGCTGCTATGTCCGTCGCACCAAGAGGACCAAGAGTCGACGTTTTTCTGATTTTCTTCTGTTTCTTCGGTTCCACTTTCCTCTGTTTCTTCCGTTTCAGCTGCGAGGATCAGTCTCTTCTCCTCATCAAACAAGACCGGCCGCTGCAAAAGAGTTTCCCGCAAAGTCAACCCCGGCCGGGCGTAGTAGAATTCGTTAATCCAGGCAAAGCTGCTGTCGCGGAATATCCAATAAGCTTCGTCCTTGATTGCAGTTCTGTGATTGATAATTTATATTTGTTTTTGTAGTGTAACTGTAAAAATTTACGTCGTTCACATCATGGCGTGTTGACTACAGATCACTGTGCAGGACAAAAGCAAAACCGCATGAGATTCAGACGAAAAAAAACACGAAAAACCCATAATATACAGCGATTCCCGAATGATTGCAAGTCGTTCCCGCAGGATGTGCAAGGACTCCTCATTCACAGCAGGAGCTTCCAGTTGTTCCCGTTCCCCTGCTAGTTCCAAATCATCCAACTCGAAGGCTTTGACGTAATCGGCAACACTCACCGTATTCTTGTCAAACTTCGCAATGCTCGCTTTCAAAAGCCGCAGCCAGACATTGACGCACTGCGACAACTGCCTCGACTTCGTAATGACGTCCGCATAGTCCGGATCTATTTGATGTTCCGAAGATTTCGTTTCTCCGTAAACATCATTTTCAAAACAGTAGTTCCATTCCACCAGGAAATCGCGCTGCTCACACAGAATCGTCTTGTGCTTCACCATGTCGTATGCATTGCAAAAGTATCGTATTAGTGCAATCAATTGCATTACAAATTTGCTCAGCATGAGAGCTGGAACTTGTCATGCAGTTTTACCTTAAGGACAAGATTTGTCACGCATACTTGCAATTGGTACGAGCGCGATACTTTTGCACTGGATATGTCGCTGTTGCAAACGATTTTTTCCACGTAGTCCGCAAAGGATTCACAGTCCGGATGGTCCTTTTTCATGTCGTATCAAATGCAAAAGTGTCTGGGTCTGGAAAGTTGCTAGGTTTGTCATGCAGGTTTTCCATGACCCACGCGGTCTGGCACGCACTGCCTAGCATGACAGGTTCTGTGAGATCTCTATAGTCATGCCATTCCTGCATGAGAAACTGCCTCTAAACTTGTTCAAAAGTGGACCTCTTTTGGTAATCATGCAACACAAATTTTTCCACGATCCAGATGTAGCATGACAAGTTACAGCACTTTTCCAGACCCAGGCATCATATTTGCAATGCGTACGTCGTAAATGGAGTACGGTAACCGACTGCCGTCGTGGAAAATCAGCATCTGCTCCGGTTTATCAAAAGTAAAAGTGTCTGGGTCTGGAAACTTGTGACGCTGGGTGGCGTATCATGAGGAGGCCACAAGTGCTCGCTCAGCATGACAAGTTTCTGAGCTTCTAGGTGTTGCCTATTCTGCATGACAAACTGCGTTTCTACATGACAGAAAACGAAAAGTGGCGCTCTTGGGCAACGTGCATGACAGATTTGAGAGTCATGCCAGACAAGCATGGCAAACATGCACTCTTCCAGACCCAGACATTTTTACACTTGATACGGTTTGTGGTCTTCGATTGTTTCTTTGATATGTCCTGGGGTGCGGAGGTAGCCGGTTTTGGTTCTTCGCTTGGAAGATGATGGGGAGGCGTCTTGTTGCTGCTTTTCGACTTTTTTCTCACCGGGAAGCAGTTCCACCACGTCGTTCAGCGTCGCCTCTACCACCCCGTCCCCGGCCCCCTCGCGTTCTTTTGCATGAACAGCAACAGCATCTTTATCTTCTTCCTCTGCAACTACGAGATTCTTCAGCTGCGTCGCTGCTTCCCCGCCCAAAGAAATGGAAGAACTACTGCTGTCGTCCCCGTCAATGCTACTTGCGGCGATGTCTTCAGGTGAGGCGGCCGCTCCAGCGCCAGTTCTTGGTTTTTCTACGCCGAGGTCTTCATCATTCGGCACCTGCTGGGGAGAATCCTCCCCGAGTGTCAGGGACAGTTGCCTTTCCAAATCTTTCGTGAAAGAGCCGCTGGTTCCTGCGCGGTCGCGTTCCTGAGAGGTGGACTCTCGTTGTTCTGTTGCTGTTTCCCCGTCCCCCAAAAGATCGACGCTTTGTTGAACTTGAGGTACGTCCACCTGGGCAGCAGTTGTTGCTTTCTCTCCTCCTGCCACACCTCCTGCAGCAGCTGCTCGACCTACCGATTCAACGTGATTCTGATTCTGTTTGATTTCCTTGTGCTGCTGCGTCTGTCCTTGAAGTTGTTGTACCTGTTGCTTCTTCTCCTTTTCCCCAAACTTCGCCAATTGCTCGGCCGTCGCCACTTGCGTCGCAATTTTCTTGTTGCGATCCAAGAGCAACGCTTTGTTTGCACTGGCATGCTCGGGGTACTCTTGCAACTCACCGTGGCGGCGGAGCAGCGTTTTCTCCTTCAACTGCAGGTAGTTCTGCTGGTTGCTGAAAGAACCCGCGATAGTACCGCTCGTCGACTGCTTCGACGCGGAGGCAGAAATGCCGCCGCCGGACGTGTCTCGTTTATTTGGCGGGAAGAAGCCGAGAGTTTTGTCATCCACTGGATTTTTACTGCTCTCTGGGAGTTTCACGTCTTGGAACATCTGCTGGAATTGTAAGTGCGCAGCGGTCGGACGATTGGAAGCTGTGGTCATCTCCGCGTTGGTGTTCTTATCTTTGCCTTTAGCTTTAAGTGCCTGCTGCTGCTGTTGCTTCATCTGTGCTGCAGATTTCGTCAACATGAGACCCTGCTGCTTCTCCTCCACACCAACGGTCGCATGGGGCGCGAATCTCCGCTCCACTGCCAATTCCTTCGCAACTTCTCGATCAAAATCCAGCGCGTCGGGTTATGCACTGCAAAAATATCGCACTCGTAGTTGTAATCGCGGCACTCATGATGATGCATTAGCATTACAACTCTCGACCTTTTTAAGGCAAATCCGCATTACAAATTTCATTTCTCATCATGCTGAGAAAATTTGTGATGCAGTTCATACTAGAACGGTACTTTTGCTGCAGTGGATACGGGTAAAGTGTCGACGATTTTGATTCTTTTCCCGTCCGCGGCAGTGGTGTACTTCGGTAGGGTTTCTTTCCATTCGTATTCTGGGTAAAAACGTCCCCAACAACAGTCAACATGGAAACTCTGCAACATAAATCCAGAGGTTTTGGGCGTCAGGCATGACAAGTTCCATTCTGTATTGTTATTGTAGTGTAATTTAGCAAGGGAAGCCGCATGAAAAAGCCATCTCCTTATCGTCTTTACAGCATTACAAATACGAAAACACGAGTCGTGTTTTCGTATTTGTAAACACGAGTCGTGTTTTCTCCATGAGAAATACTTATTTTAAGTCGTCGACTTAAAAAAAGTATTTCTCATGGAGATGCGCATCACAAGCGCTTCTACAATTGCAAATCTGCATCACAACTATGGGGCACCAGTGGGGACGTTTTTTCTCAGGATAATTCGAAAAAGGTGTTCATGGACTTTAAAGCATTTTTCACCGCCCGCTTTTCAAACACCTGCTCCCGGTTCGGGGCGAGGTTCCCGAAGTAGTTAGGGGTGTCTGTGGAAGTTGTACTTGCAGCGAAAGGCCGCGGAGAGCAGGCAGATTGGGTACTAGTTTTATTCAAAGAAGAAGAAGAAGAAGAAGTAGTAGCCTGTTTTTTGTTCTTCTTCACCCCCGGCAAAACAAAGTTCTTCAAGTTGATCGCTGTGTCCCAATTTTTCACGGCTTCCTCTGGCTCTAAACATTTCGGCGACCACTTGATCGGAAGCATGTCTACGATGTAATCCTGATCGTCGTCGTCCGAGTCATCATCATCATCATCATCATCGTCTTTTTTACTCGCACCAGAAGATGTTGGAGAACCTGCAGGAGCTTCTTTGCAGTAAACCTGAAGGAGATCGGCTGCTGCATCACCATGATCCTTAGTTTTTTCTTTCCCACGACCCGTCGTAAAATCAACCCCGAATTCCTCACTCGCCGCTAGGTTGACAAAATCCTCGTTATTTTTGTAGTTGAACAATTTTTTCCGCTTCTTCAAATACTTCTCATGCATCTCCTGCGCGTCCATCAAAGTCGGCAAGCCGTGCTTCCACTGATAGTACAAGAGCTGCGTCTCGTGCTCTTTGCTCCAAATGTGGTGCCAAATCAAACCGGAGGAAGAGCTGGATTTAATATTTTTCGACGTTTTAATATTCATCATCCCGATTTTTCCGTCTTCACCATCCTCGTCAGCAGCAACCACACAAGTTTCATCAGCAGAGGACGCAGCACTGCTACTGCTCTCCCTGGTGTCTACGCCCAAAGCGCCCCACTCCTCTTCCGGGTAAATCATCCGATCGGAGTCTTTCAGCTGGACTTGACAGATGTGGCAGTAGGATTCCACAGACCGTTGTAATAAGTGCAAATCCTCTTCTTTCATAGCCTCCATGTCCTGGATATCCTGCAGGAAGTCCGTCACCCAATCCTTCTGCTTCTGAAAGCCGTCGTCTTGAAACGTATGCAATACAAATTTTCCGCACAACATGTACAAAATGCATGACAAATTTCGCTAACTTGTAGTCGTGTGAACTTGTCGTGCTAGACTAGGATTAAAGCCAAGTTTTGTCATGCAGAAACAGCATTTGTACGTGTACGGGATGAAATTTGTACTGCATAAAACACTTTGTACAAACACTTCAACTCGTAGAGGGAAAACGGGATTTCGTAAAACCGGATATGGACTGCAAAAGTATCGCACTCGTACTAATTGCATTTATGCATCACAAATCTTTTTGTGAAGGCAAATCCGCATTACAAATTCAATTTGTAATGCTGAGCCAATTTGTAATGCAATTTTTACTAGTAAGTACGATGCTTTTGCATTGCATACCGGAGGAAGTCCAGCAAGTCCATGAAACTGTCAAAGTAGGTCGCAAGGTTCAGACCCTGGAGGACGTTCTTCGTAGTGGTTCGTTTCGTAGTGGAAGGTTTGTTCAGAGTGGAAGCGGATTTGCCTTTGTCAACATTTGGTTTCGCGTCAGAACTAATATCTCCTCCAGGATCATCTCCACCAACTGCTTTCTGCAACAACCCCGTGTTCATCTTGGTGTTCTTCTTTTCCTTCACGCAAGACCGGTCAAACGGGTGGGAGTAGACACTGGAACTGCTGCTCAATCTCCCTTGCTTCACTTTTTTGATCTTAATTCCGTTTTCGATTTCCACTTCCAATTCCGGCGAAAACGGAGCTAGAAGCAGGTCTCCCTGGGTACTACCAGAACTACTCGGGCTGGCGGCCAGCAGTTCGTCGATTTCGTCGCGAGGTGAACGTCCATCTTCAACTGCATGATTTTTTTGTCCTTCGATTTCAACATCTAACTCATCTTCTTCGATTATCAGTACATATGGTTTGCAAAAGTGTCTGGGTCTGGAAAGTTGGAACTTGTGATGCTAACTTTGGACTCTACAAAAAACTGTATTGCATGACCAGCAAGAGGAGTCTAGTTTGTGCTACGCGGGGAGTGCGTTTGTCAGGCGAAATAGGCATCAGGAAGCCCTCTAAAAATGAAATCTCTGATGCAAGGTCATGCATTATAGACATCCCGGGTCATGCAAAATATGCATGACAAACCCGGCAACATTTTTGCACTTGATAGTACAAACCGTTGCGCAATCTCGTGCCGTTTCGCCATCAGAAATCTCTTCGCCTTCCGGATCTCCTTCGTACCAATTCTCGTCGAATGATCACAGGACACTTTCTTCAGCAGTGGGTCTCGGTAGAGGAGATTTGCCTCGTCAGAGTCGGCGAAAAGAACCGTGTCAGTGTAGACGATCGCGGATGGGGGGAGGGAGGTGGCTGTCATGCTGGTCGTTTTGGGGGATGAAGAAAGAGCAGCTCCTGCTCCTCCGTTACAACTGTCGGTATTGACTGGAACGAGCGTATTCAGGTTTTTCACAACCAGCTCCTCCGGATCAATCTTACCTTTCGGAACTGCTGGTTTCTGCTCTTGATCTTCGCCTGTTTCCTGAACTATCGAGGGCTCCGCACTGGTAATATCGCAATGCGGCTCCGCCGCATGATCGCAGAACTTCACCAGTTCCTCTGTAGCTTCCAAAATGCGCAGCTTCAACAGCGGCAATCGCTCCTCGATGAACTTCATGGATTCCATGTGCTCGTGCGTTTTCTGGTACTTTGACTCATACTCGGATTTAGTCGTGACAATGTCCACGATGCGTGCGAAAGTGTGCTGACTTTTTTGTTGCTGGACGGCAGCATCAGCACCAGCGGAAATTATGGCCACTTCTGCAGTCGTCATGCCGGACACCTCCGCTTGGGCTTGGTCCAACTGGATTACATCGCCCACTACAAATTGAAAATCTCTTTCCCCGTCAAGCCCGTTTTTCTTCTTCACTTT